AAAGAAAATGGCCTTTTCGTTGCTTAATAGACTTATCATCCATCGAGAATAGGATCAATAGACTTCATTATCGGTGGAGAATAGCCTCGACCTGTTTCTGTGATTTGTACCCTCCATAATAGAAAGAAAATGACATTTCGGAAATATCGCCTGAAGTCTGTGGTGGTATCCCTTTGGAATTTGCCAAAATTTGACCCAGAATAAATCCGCCCATATCGATGCTTAATGGACTTAATCATCATTGAAGAATAGCCTCAGGCCAAATCCATGATCTGTAGCCTTCAAAATCCAACAGAAATGGCCTTTCGTCGCCCAAAAAATTACGAAAATGTCATTCGAAAATAAATTGGCCCAAATCGGTGATTAATAGATTTATCATCTGTTGAGAATATGATCAATAGACATCATTATCGGTGGAGAATAGCCTTGTCCTATTTTCGTGATCTGTAGCCTCCAGAATAGAAAGAAAATGACATTTCGGAAAAATCACCCGAAATCTGTGATGGTACCCTTTTGGAATCTGCCAAAAATTGATCAGAATAAATCCTCCCAAATCGGTGCTTAATGGACTTAATCGTAGTTGATGAATAGCCTCAGGATGAATCCGGTATTTATAGCCTTCAAAATCCAAAGAAAATGGCCTTACGTCACTCAAAAAATTACGAAGATGCCATCCGTAATTAATTTGGCCCAAATCGGTGCTTAATGGACTTATCCTCGGTCGAGAAAAGGATCAATAGACTTCATTATCGATGGAGAATAGCCTCGTCCTGATTATGTGAACTGTAGCCTCTAGAATCGAAAGAAAATTGCTTTTCAAAAAAAGCACCCGAAATTTGTGATGGTTGGATTATGCCAAAAATTGACCCGGAATAAATCCGCCCAAATCGGTGCTTAATTGACTTAATCATCATTTAAGAATAGCCTAAGGCCGAATCCGTAATTTGTAGCCTTCAAAATCAAAAGAAAATGGCCTTTCGTCGCCTAAAAAGTTACGAAATTGCCATCCGAAAAAAATTGGCCGAAATCAGTGCTTAATGGGCTTATCATCCATCGAGAATAGGATCAATAGACTTCATTATCGGTGGAGAATAGCCTCGGCCTGACTCCGTGATCTGTAGCATCCAGAATAGAAAGAAAATGACATTTCGGAAAAATCGTTTGAAATCTGTGATGGTACCCCTTTGAAATCTGCAAAAAATTGACCCACAATACATCCTCCCAAATCGTTGCTTAAAGGACTTAATCTTCGTTGAAGAATAGCCTCAGGTCGAATCCGGTATCTGTAGCATTTAAAATCCAAAGAAAATAGTCTTTCGTCACCCAAAAAATTACGAATATGCCATCCGTAAATAAATTGGCCCAAATCGGTGCTTAATGGACTTATCATCCATTGAGAAAAGGATCAATAGACTTCATTATCGGTGGAGAATAGCCTCGGCCTAATTCTGTGATCTGTAGCCTCCAGAAACGAAAGAAAATGGCATTTTGGAAAAATCGCCCCGAAATCTGCCAAAAATTGACCCCGAATAAATCTAATCAAATCGGTGCTTAATTGACTTAATCATCGTTAAAGAATAACCTCAGGGCGAATCCGTGATCTGTAGTCTTCAAAATCCGAAAATAAATTGGCCCAAATCGGTGCTAAATGGACTTATCATCCGTCGAGAATAGGATCAATAGACTTAATTATCCGCGGAGAATAGCCTCGGCCTGATTCCTTGATCTGTAGTCTCCAGAATAGAAAGAAAATGACATTTCGGAAAAATCGCCGGAAATCTGTGGTGGTACACCTTTGGAATCTGCCAAAAATTGACCCAGAATAAATCCGCCCAAATTAGTGCTTAATGGACTTAATCATCATTGAAGAATAGCCTCAGGCAGAATACGTGATCTGTAGGGTTCAAAATCCAACAGAAATAGCCTTTCGTCGCCAAAAAAATTATGAAAATCTCATCCAAAAATAAATTGGCCCAAATCGGTTCATAATGTGCCTATCATTCGTCGAGAATAGGATCAATAGACTTCATTATCTGTGGAGAATAGCCTTGACCTGATTCCGTGATATGTAGCATCCGGAATAGAAAGAAAATGGCATTTCGGAAAAATCGTCTGAAATATGTGATGGTACCCCTTTGAAATCTGTCAAAAATTGACCCGCAATACATCCTCCCAAATTGTTGCTTAATGGACTTCATCGTCGTTGAAGAATAGCCTCAGGGTGACTCTGTGATCTATAGCCTTCAAAATCCAAAGAAAATGGCCTTTCATTGCCCAAAAAATTACGAAGATGCCATCTGAAAATAAATTGGCCCAATTCGGTGCTAAATGGACTTATCATCCGTCGAGAATAGAAGCAATAGACTTCATTATCAGTGGAGAATAGCCTCGACCTGATTCCTTGATCTGTAGCATCCAGAATAGAAAGAAAATGGCATTTCAGAAAAATCGCCCGAAATCTGTGATGATACCCCTTTGGAATCTGCCAAAAATTGACCCGGACCAAATCCTCCCAAATCGGTTCTTAATGGACATAATCGTCGTTGAGGAATAGCCTCAATTCGAATACGGTATTTTGTAGCCTTCAAAATCCAAAGAAAATGGCTTTTCGTCGCCCAAAAAATTACGTAAATGCCATCCGAAAATAAATTTGCCCAAATCGGTGCTTAATGGACTTATCATCCGTCGAGAATAGGATCAATAGACTTCATTATCGGTGGAGAATAGCCTCGGCCTGATTCCCTGATCTGTAGCCTCCAGAATCGATAGAAAATGGCATTTCGAAAAAATCGTTCGAAATCTGTGATGGTACCCCTTTGGAATCTGCCAAAAATTGACCCAGAATTAATCAACCCAAATGGGTGCTTAATGGACTTAATAGTCGTCGAAGAATAGCTTCAGGGCGAATCCGTGATATGTAGTCTTCAAAATCCAAAGATAATGGTCTTTCGTCGCCTAAAAATTACGAAAATGTCATTCGAAAATAAATTGGCCCAAATCGGTGCTTAATGGACTTATCATCCATCGAAAATAGGATTAATAGACTTCATTATCGGTGGAGAATAGTCTCGGCGTTATTCCGTGATCTGTAGCCTCCAGATTTGAAAGAAATGACATTTCGGAAAAATCGTCCGAAATCTATGATGGTACCCCTTTTGAATCTGCCAAAAATTGACCCGAAATAAATCCGCTAAAATCGGTGCTTAATGGACTTAATCGTCGTTGAAGAATAGCCTCAGGCCGAGTCCGTGATATGTATCCTTCAAAATCCAAACAAAATGGCTTTTCGTCGCCTAAAAAATTACGAAAATGTCATCCGAAAATAAATTGGCCTCAATCGGTGCATAAGGGTTTTATCATCCGTCGAGAATGGGATCAATAGACTTCATTATCGGTGGAGAATAGCCTCGGCCTTATTCCGTGATCTGTAGCCTCCAGATTTGAAAGACATGACAATTCAGAAAAATTGTCCGAAATTTGTGATGGACCCCTTTGAAATCTGCCAAAAATTGATCCGGAATTAATCCACCCAAATGGGTGCTTAATTGACTTAATCCTTGTTGAAGAATAGCTTCAGGGCAAATCCGTTATCTGTAGCCTTCTAAATACAAAGATAATGACCTTTTGTCGCCCAAAAAATTACGAAAATGCCATCCGAAAATAAATTGGCCCTAATCGGTGCTAAATGGACTTACCATCCGTCGAGAATAGGATCAATAGATTTCATTATCGGTGGAGAATAGCCTCGGCCTGATTCCGTGATGTATAGCCTCTAGGATGAAAAGAAAATGGCATTTCAAAAAAATCGCCCTAAATTTGTGATAGTACTCCTTAGGAATCTGCCAAAAATGACCCGGAATAAATCCGCCCAAATCGGTGCTTAATGGATTTAATCGTCGTTGAAGAATAGCCTCAGGCCGAATCCGTGATCTATATCCTTCAAAATCCAAAGATAATGGCCTTTCGTCGCCCTAAAAATTACGAAAATGTCATCCAAAAATAATTGGCCCAAATCAGTGCTTAATGGACTTATCATCCGCCGAGAATAGGATCAATGGACTTCATTATCGGTGGAGAATAGCCTCGACCTGATTCTATTATCTGTAGCCTCCAGATTCGAAAGAACATGGCATTTCCGAAAAATCGCTAGAAATCTAGGATGGAAGGATCGAGGACGAGTTTCGGGAGGATTGGAGGTACCGTGACAATTGCCCCGTAACACTGTAACAGTGCAGCGCTTGCGTCCAGAAAGCAGTTGCAGTTCACGGTCCAGCATTGGAGTGCATGGTCTCTTAAGGTTGTGAACTGGAACCACAAACCGTGAACAGTGAGGTCTCCAGGAGGGTTCCAGAGGTTACTAACGGCAAGGCAGTTCACTGTCTCTAAGACCGTGAACTTGGAGCACAAACCATGAACCCCGAAGAGTGAAGCGGTGCGTTTTGGAGACGACGCCGAGTTCACGGACGCGTCGAGGAGTTCACGGCCGTGAACTGAGCCCGATCTCAGTATAAAATGGGCTTTGAGCGGAAGGAGAAAGGAAGAGCTCATTTTTAGGTTAGGTTTTCATTTTTCAACATTCCAAAATTTTAGTATATTAACTAAGAAAAGAGTTACAAAATTATTAACGTAAAAATGACTAATATTTTGATTGATTAGGAAAGATTTGACTAATTAATATAATTTTAATAAATTTGGATAATAAAAAATATTTTTATGCTAGACAAATTGGGGCGTGACCGAAAAAATCAAGCAAACGCTTTCTTGAGCCTGGCTCCTAGATAAAATAACCTAAAAGCCTAAATCCCGTTGCCTTCTTGAACACGCGGGGAAATGGGGGGAAAAGGTTGCCGGCGCGCTTATAATGGACTCCTTGTCGTCGGCGCTACTTCCCGGTGGCTGCTTGTTCGTCTGTTTTCCTCGCCGACGGCGAAAACTTCCCAAAAAACCCACAAACACTCACTTAAGATTCCAGTTCCCGCTTATATTCAATTCTCAACAACCGTCCAAAATCATCAAAATCCGCGTATGAAACCACTACTTACCCTTTATCTTTTTCCCAGAAACGGAAGCAGAGCTCTGCAAATTGGCTTTTCTACTTTCAAAAGTAAACATCTACTAAGAATAGTGATCCACCTTTCATCTCCATTATATCAACTCAAATTACGAATGCCCATCTTCACCTCTCTTGATTCAGTGTAGAAAGAAACGACGCCCTGATTAAGCTCTCTGTTCATCAACTCTCATGGCTGCTGCTGTTGGATCGAAAAAGGTAACTTGGGTACATAATTAATCTGTAATTTGCAATTCAAGTATATTTCTCTCTGATGCTCTCTTTTCTGATTCCCTTGCGTGAAAATTTTGGGGCTTTTAGGTTACCTATGCGCTGATTTGGGCTTCTATATGGATACTCTGTTCTTCTTCTTCTTCTTCATCATCTTCTTCTCAAGCTGCTGCTGCTGCTGTTGTAACCCACGACGACGACAACCCTTATGCGACACTAACTAGTATCAATGATACGTCATCGATTGAGGCGGTGGAGAGGCCGCTGCCGCCGCCGATGAATGGATCGGAGACACCAGTACCACTAGATGAAGATGAGGATGATGTTGATGATGAGAATCACTGGTGGGTGGACCTGTTTTTCAGTGCGGGCGAAGTATTTTTCTTTGTTGCGTTGGGATCTGTTGTCGTTTGCACAATAGTTTGGATCCTGAAAATAGCCCATAAGGAATGTGGAAAGGGCGTTCCAGTGACTGACACCGTGACACGTCCACAGGGACCCGACCCTGAGAATCATCGTTGATCGTCTTGGTCAATTCTGTCAGATTAAAAGCTGCGTTGTCTCTGTTTTGATTAACGAATGAATAATGTATCGTTTCAAACTCTTGTTATTGTTAATTGAGATTTGAAAGTGAGCTTCATAACAACATGACAATAGCGATTCTCAGTATTGAGTGCTTCTACAGTAGTAGTGGTGATTCTCTGCAACAGTGAGAGAATAACATTCCCGGCGTTTGAAACTTTCGAAGAAAACCAAGGGTGTCCCCAGAAGAACAAAGAGAGGAACAATAAGAAGAGGATGAGGAAGAAGAAGAAGAAGAGGATCTTCTTCAGTAATTTAGACCGACTACTAGTAACATCTTCTTCTTCCTCAGCCTCCGCCTCCGCCTCCGCCTCACATTTCTTGCCAACCTTCCCTGCTTCCGCTTGTTCTGTTTTTGCCGGCGGTGGCGGATCGGCTTCCTTCTTATTCTTGAGAAACTCGACGAGCCCGTCGAGAGAAACTTGAGGGTCGTCGGATTTCATCAGCTGTTGAGCGACTTCCGCCGGCGTAACGGGAATCCCTCTCTGCATCCAATCCTCAACGCACTTGAACGAGGGATGCTCTTTAACCCCAAGATAGTTATCGGCTAGCAATCTGAATCCTTCAAACGAGCAGTAACCCATGTGGATGTGAACATCCATCCTCCCCGGCCGCAGCAGCGCTGGATCAAGCTTCTCCTTGTGGTTCGTCGTCAAGATTATAATCCTCTCGTCCCCGCAGGTCGACCACAATCCGTCAATGAAATTCAGCAGCCCCGATAACGTCACCTGTAATTACCCAATTATTAAAAAAAAAAAAAAAACAGAGCCGCGTCACGTGAAGAAAATAAACAGAGTGTAAGAAAGAAACAGGGGAGGAACAGAGTACTCAAATTGAAGGAACTAATGGCTTCCATTTCTTACATACCCCATCAGTGGAGCTCTTTTCGTCCTTCTTATGTTTAATCTTCATCTTCTGATCATCAATTTCCTCCTTGGGAAGCCTAATTTCGGTGCTCTTGCTGCTGCAATCCACGTCCTCGAGCAGCAGAATCGACCGATTCGTGGTCGCGGTGAGCACGTCTCGAAGATCGGAATCCGATTTCACGCTCTGCAGCTGGAGATCGTAGACATTGTACTTGAGGTGATTGGCAATGGCGGCGACCAGGCTCGATTTCCCGGTCCCCGGCGGGCCATAGAGAAGGTACCCGCGCTTCCAAGCCCGGCCGACGCTCCTGAAATAGTCCCTTCTCTGTACGAAGAGATTCAGGTCATCGATGAGATCCTGCTTCAGTGCAGGGTCCATAGCCAGAGTATCGAAGGTCGACGGGTGCTTGAAAACGGTGGCGTCCCACCCGCCGTCGCCCTTGCTGTACGTGAAGATGCTGAGGCCGTCGCGCTCCTTCACGATCTCGTCGGCGACGCGGGAGACGTGCGGGAGGTACGTCTCCGTCACGAACTCGACGTCCTCCTTCCTGCATTTAAGCTGGTACCACCGGTTCTTGCGGCTGTTGAAGTACCCGCCGGCGCCAGAGTTCTCGGCCGCCGCCTCGTGGAGGGTCCACTCGAAGCGCCGCCCTTGGAACTCGTCCACGATCGTCGACCCCACGGCGATGGCGGGCTCCACTGGCGCCAGGATGTTGTTGCTGTCGTTGTGGCCGACCATGAGGCTGCTCGTCGACGGGCCGATTTTGGTCGGGAGGTAGACGCCGACGGCGTCGAACGTTGCGTTCTTGAAGCGCTGCCACCTGTCCTCCACGATGAACGTGAACTCGTCGGAGGGGGATATGTACCGGTGGACTCTGTCGGCGATGGAGCTGCGGATTTCTTGGGGGACGGTTTTGTTGTAGAACTCGCAGGTGGCCACGACGGCGGTGGAGACGGCGACGATGGTGGCTAAGTGGCGTCTGAATCTTTCGCCCATTGTTTCTCTTTGTACTGTTTGTATTTGATTGTAACAAAGGCCGAGCCTGAGATGGAGACCGTGGCTGGCTTTTTGTATATATATAATCCATTTCCTTTTCCTTAACGGATTAGGATTGGGATTGTTTTCTCCTTCTCCGTTTAGGATTAGTAATTTCTAGTTGGACTTTGGCTATTCCTTTTCGGTTTAGGAGCCAATTGAGCAAAGTTTCCAATTTTCCAATGTTCTTTTATCAAACATTTTTGCACAAAAATATACTACATTTTTCTTGAATACATTAGCTTTCTAAATTTAAACTCCAACGCCCCAAATTTTTGTTACTTTTATTCATCCATGTCCGCAATATTATCCCCTCCAATTCCTTATTCTTTCTTTTTCGTGATAAAAATTATTATTATAAGAAAATTTTGGCTCGAAGATTCAAAAACTAAGCTATCGTTAGCTCGTGGAATTTGGGTCCCAAATTTTTGTTACAAATTTATTTTTTAAGGGTATACAATTATAATACAAATTCATGGGGCCGAATATTAACTTTTTTACATCCATATCCGTGGATCCCACAAATTTGCAAATCACATATTTCATTTGAAGTTTGATTATGAAAAAAAACTTATTAAAGATTGGGTCTAGCCTCTGAGAAGGAAGGTGCAATCTACCATATTGTCATTTCTAGTTGAGGGAGGGTCTATGAAGCTAGAGCTATGAACTTTATATTGCGAATGAGCTGGTTTTGCAAGCTAATTGGTCCTTAATATATGCTAAAAAATTCGCACCTTGATATTTTTTTTATGGAACACACCATGACATTCAAGAGTGAGATTAGTATCACAAATAATTATAATTAATCAATTCATTCCAATAACACTACACAAACTCAAAGAAGTAATTTTCCCCCTATAGTGATTTTTTTTATCCAAGATAAGCCCCTAGGGCATGGCCGGATAACAACAATATAAAACTCAAAATAATAAAGAACGGTAGTCCGTATGCAACCGGACTCTCGATAAAAGAGCCTGTTATGCCACGAGGTGATTTGGTAATGAGTAATGACAATTGACAAGCATAAGAAAGGAAGGAGAAAAATGATTGGTGTGTTGGTTAATAAAGAAAAAAAGTTAAAGGGTGTCTTAAATAGATAAGGCAAAGTAGAGGGGTGTGTTTAGTAAATAACCATTTTAACTATGTGAATTCTGCACCACTATTTATTTAATTATTGTTAGAAAGTCTCCCGGCCAAGCAACAGTATCTTCCGCCGAGGGTTTCGCCCAGGAGGCTGAATTGCGACGGCGGAGGCGACTCGCCGGAGACTACAGCGGTAAGAATTACTCACTCGCCTAATTTGTTGATTGTGTTCCCTGCTACCATTTTCCGTTTTCTGATTGCTTCCAGTTTCTCGTATTAGGTAGGATTGAGTGTAGTTGCTCTCTGTAGCTGCCTCCAGTAGAAACCGCCATGAACGCCGACAGCAGCAGCTGCGAGTTGGGGAAACCTGCAAAAGGTCGCATTGCAGAAGAAGAAGAAGAAGAAGGAAATGACAGGTTAAGCTCTCTTCCGGACGTCGTTCTTCATCGAATTCTCTGCTTGCTCGACACCAAATCCGTCGTTCAAACCTCCGTCCTGTCCCGATCGTGGAGGAACACCTGGAAAGACGTTTCGGTGCTCAAATTTCACAGCGATTCCTTCAAGCAGTACTCGAGCTTCCAGAACTACGTTGACAAGGTGCTGACCCTCCGCCATCCCGTTGGTCTCAGCGAGGTAGAGTACCTCGACCATGATGATTCGGAGGATCGAGATGGGGATCTGTTCGTCAAGGTCATCGATTATGCACGAACCCATGATGCTAAAGAGCTGGAGATTGACCTGTTCAATCATGGCAGAATGCAACCATCTTGCGTGTTTTCCCTCTTGTTTAACACGGTGGTCTCGGATTGCAAACTCAAGGGTCTAACACTCACATGTCTCATCATCAACACTGAGCTCGCGCCTGCTGGGTTCCGGATGCTGAAAAAGTTAAATTTGACCAACTGCTTGGTGGCTACGGGCAGGAGTGGGGACTTCGATATCTTCTCTGGCCTTCCATGCCTCAAGTATCTGTATCTGATTCAGTGTGTGTTCATCAGTTTTCCCAAGGATGATGACTCCAGCAGTTTCACGATCTCTGGGCCCCAGTTGGATACCCTGAATATGGAGGTTGCTGTGTCTGCCAAGATCAACATATGTGCACCAAAGCTCAAGTTCTTCAACCTCCGGCACGACTTAGGATCCTTGAACTTGTTCAGCTTAAGCATACCTTCCCTTGAGATTGCTGATATGGAGATCTATGATAAGACGAATTCGATGGAGGCTGACAAGGAGAGCATGACACAGAGTCTGATGTTCTTGTTCCAAGGTCTGCGTGCTGCACGAGCTATCGCGCTGGATTCCATAACCATCCAGGTAATGAACTCTGTCTATATGGTTGGTACTGTTATATGATGAAGGAACTGTTTATGTTGAGAAATATCGAGTGATCTGGTAAATTCACTGTCTTAAGATGGGTTTCCATGTTCTGGTATGTAGATATTGAGTAAAGTTGATTCGGCATTCCTGGAGCAGCAGCCCTCCCCCTTCACCAAATTCAATACCTTGATTGTGGTGCCTGACACTGTGCCGTACCTACTGGTCGATTACTTTCTTAAAGGGTCTACTGATGTGAACCCAATTGTTATGCATATCTTGCCGTATACGCCATAGTTCAGGGTGTTTTTCTTTCTTCCCAGGTCATTTTAGAAACAGGTATTTTGACTGCGATATGGTCTTGCATCCATTGCCAGTACCTTAAAGAAGTGTGTGGTCGTTTATGTTATGTACATTGTTCCGCTCCAGAAACCTTGAGAGTTCCATTCATGCACTAGTACTTGCAACTTTGTGGTTGGTTAGTTATGTTATGTTGTTCCTGAAGAGCCTGCACTTCTGCAATTTTGTGGACTTAAGCGCCTGCCCAGATGGATCATCTTCCTTGTTTTTTACCCATTGGATTAGCCTTAGAATAATCTCCACTGTTTCTTGATTAGCATCTCGACAAGACCTGACCTATTAGTAATCTTATTCTTTCATCAAATCAGGAGATAGCTGACAAACATTAAAATGTTTGGAATAAACCAATATAGTTGACAAACAGTACACATGAAGAGTTCATGGGCTAAAATGTTAAAACAGACAAATCTGGTGACTCGTTTGGAAATTGCACATTTCCTATTTGTATTCAATTCCATCCAAGCAAATACACGAACCAAGATTTCTTCTGCCAAGGAAACAAGAAAAAGCTTGGCAACCAAGTTATGTCAAAAGAAGGGAGGAAGAGAGAGAGAGAGAGTGGTGGCATTGGCAAGGATCCTTTGCTTCATCCAAAAGTCGAAGAACATGTTACTGTATGCCAAACATGGGTGTTTTCCCTTTCAGCTCAGCTTTGCTTGCAGACATTGTACTCCTGTTCATTGCCTGGCCGGCCATATTCAGATTCATTCCCTTCCGCACAAGCACTACTTGTGAAGGCTGGCTCTTTCCCCCGGATCTGCGCATCTATCTCATCTCAATCGCACGAATCAAAGAACAAGCTGAGACCCTGCTAGATTGATGGAGAGTTTAGCCAAGCAGGGGAGGTAAGAAAGATGGAGAAAATGCATGCAGTATGAAAGGTTTCTTCTCTATCAGTTTTCCCCCTGCAATTTTTCATATTTGGCTTGTTTGATCTTGCAAGGAGAGTTACATTCTCTGGGCCACCAGAACACCAGCAAGAGTACACTGGAACATCACCCTGGACACCACAATCCTTTGATGGAGGTATGTGTTTTGCTGGACCAATCATCATGGATACATACGACAATCCTTGTGCTTTTTCAGATTGCAATCATTAAGAGTCTGTTAATCTATGTGTAGATTTGCAGCAATATGTTGGTTCTGTAGATTCAGTGTTGTGTTCCTTTTTGTCTTTGCTGTAGGTAATAATGTGCACAGAAGTTGGTTCCAAAGGCAGGATGGTTATGATGAATATGACCTAAAGGAAATGGAGTATTCAGCTGCTGTTGCTGCCGCAGCATTCGCGATTTCTTCGTCGCTCGAAGAAGAAGAAGCTGGAGCAGCAGATTACAGAAGGAAGATGGAAGAAGATGAAAGGCGGAGGTCAATGGGAAGACCCAAATCAATAATGAAAGAAGAAACCCCCATTTCAAGACTTGCCTCCTTCAGAACCTTGTCCATCAAGGAAGACAGAGATCCAGGTCAGTATATACTATATTCCCAAGAGAAAAAATGGGGGGAAAATGGAAAATCATACATTTCAGATGATGTAGAGTACTCTGACAAAACGGATCATGCATCAGGTGAATCTTCTGACCGGAGGATGCGGCAGCAGCAGCAGGAAAGAGGGTTCCCTGCCAGAAGGCCAAGCCTCTCTTCAGGAGGAGAAGATTCTTGGGAGAAGGCTCAGCTGAGGAAGATCAGCAAAAGGTGATCCTAACAAGTTCCACTGTTGTTCTAATCCTAATGATGGGGTTGATTCCCAATGACAAAATCTTATCATTTCTTTCAGGTACGAGAAGATGGAGGCAAAGATTGTTGGTTGGCAGGAGGCAAAGAAGATGCAGACCAAACTCAAAATGGAAAGAAAAAGGGTCTGTTTTGGTTTCCTGATATCTTTCATTACATTTACACTTCTGATACATTCACTACCTTGCATAATGTAAATGGATTAAGATGCTGATCTAGTCCAAACAATGGCCGAAACGAATGCAGAATGAGTTGGAAATGAGGAGGACAAGGAACATGCAGCATTACCAGAGCAAGATGGAGAGGATTGACATGATTGCCAGTGGAGCGAAAGGGCAGCTGGAAGAGAAACGGAGGAAAGAAGAAGCTGAGGTGAAACACAAGGCCAGGCTCAACCTTCACTCCAAGGGCCGTACGAAGAATTCTTGCTTCGGGTGGAACTAAAACACTCTCAGAATTTATCGAGTTACGCATATTGTTATGAGAAATTGGATAATTGACATTTGGAGAACCTGTAAAACTTTGAATTGGAAACCTGTTGTGCCGATTGTTTGCTGTAAAACAAGAATTTGTACAGATAACCACCTGAATGAACTAGTGATATAAACGAATTGCTGACAGAGTTTGGAGAGGGATTGATTCTGCGTTTCCATCATCAGTTGCTGCAAAAATCGCAATATCCCTTTCTATCTGCTCTTCATACTCCTAGGTGGGTTCGGATTGCTGACAGAGTTTGGAGAGGGATTGATTCTGCGTTTCTATCATCAGTTGCTGCAAAAATCGCAAATCCTGTAAGCAAATGGAACGAAAAGTAATAGTGAAAAAAAATAACTATGGGGTGAGAGAGGCTCGAACTCTCGACCTCAGGATCACTCTTTGGCTATGAGACCTACGCGCTAACCAACTGCGCCACCACCCCATGTTGAATTAATTTTCAACAATTCTAATTTGTCTAAAAAGGATCCATTACCAATTAGTCTAAACTTATACGTATTGCACGAAATTTTAGTGTTGCAGTAAATGGTAATTGTCAAAAAAATAATATGTCATTGGTTAGTTAGTCGATCTCTTCTAATTCAATCACGTAATATGCGTCGAAACCAATATAAGTTTTACATTACCATCGAAACACTAAATTATTAGCTTCACTTTTTATATCGATATTGTCAATTCAAAATCTTGTTACAACCTCATCAGTCCACAACGATACACGAAAGCTATATATCAATGACGATAATCAAAGTATCAAACTCGTCCTCACTAATCATCGTTAGCATTTTGGTTTCCTCTGCCTGTTTTCGTCATTACACATCTGTGATTGATATTTCATCCCTGTCCGCTGTCCTTTTACATCAGCTAAAACGCCATTTCCAACCGTTGGAATTTACTGTAAAGAAGAAAAAAAATTTACCGTTATTTTTGTTTTATTGTTTTCACTCCTTCCTTCCTTCTTCCTCGAGATCCCAAATGATTTCTCACACTCTTCTGCAATTTCGAGCAACAAGCCAAAGACCCTCACTTTCTCTCTCTCTCACTCTGTTTCTCTGCTCAGATTGCAGCAGAGCTCTTCATCAATGGCGGAGTACGAAATCCACGACACCAATCACCACCACCACCACCACGGCGGGATCCCGAAGGAGACGGCGTTCCAGGCGCTGAACACGATAATCCAGCTCCACTTCGAGAAGACCCTGGAGAAGAAGCGGGCAATCGACCTCCAGAAGAAGGAGCTCCACAAGTCCTTCCTCCTCTTCTTCATCTTCCTCTCCCTCGTATTCTTCTCCTTCTCTTCATCCGGCCGACTCCAGTGCCGCCACTGCTGGGCTCCGATCACGCTGCTCTCCCTGGCCCACCTCATCTTCTACGTCGCCGTCGCCCAGACCCTGAGGTGCATCAACGGGTTCAAGTACCAGCGCCGCTGCCACAAGCTCACCCTCGCCCTCGCCACCGAGAAGCTCCGCGAGCTCAAGATCCGCAGCGGCGGCGGTGGCGGAGGAGGCGGAGGGGGAGATTATGGGGGCGGGGAGATGTTGGTCGGAGACGAGGCGGAGCTGGAGATTCATTACCAGGAGCCGCCGGAGAGCTACTTCGGCAAGTTCAAGAGGAATTGGGCGCTGCATTTTGGGTTCTTGATTTTCATCTTTGGGTTTATGATTTCTTCTGCTGTTGTAATTCTCTGCTTTTGAGAAATTTTGGTACCTACCTCCGCCGCCGGCGATTAGAATTTAGATGTCTGGAAACACTGATGAGATTGGGAATTAATTGTGTAATGATTTTCTACTCTGTTAGGCGGAAAAATGATATTTTCCTTCCAGGAATTTTAGAGATATGCCATTGATAAATCGACAAAAAGTTAGAAGAGAATTAATAAGTTAAAGGTTCATAATAATCATATTAGAGAAGAAACCGATCAATAACACTATAAGACAGTTTGAGAAGGAAGGAAAGGAGAAACTCCATCCAACTCCAAAAAAGAACATCACTTGAGAAAAAGCTTTTCAGCCCTTTTTTACAGAGACAGTGCTCATTTTCACCTTTTTGCAGAATCAAGAGTTTGACCATGAAAGTAACAGCAAAAGAGCAATAAGTTCAGTTCTTATTCGTTAAAATCACCATGTGGTTGGTAAATGGTAACATCATCGACCTTCTGTCGAAGTAAATGCTACACAGCACCAGTACCAGTATTGAAGACCAGTACTAAATAGATGTAACAAATTGTGTACAATATTCAACTCTGATCAAAGAATGTCGCATATTGGTGGACTGTATAGGTAGATGGCCATTTCAAGCAATCACAAAGCTAGACGGTATTAGTAAATGAATGTCAGCTATCTGAGTAAACCTTGGAGGGAGCAAGCCTTATCATAACCCAGGGTGGCCAAGGCCAATGGCAGAGACCTCAAGATTCTCAGGACAGAGCTGAACACAAGGATTTATATGCACTAACACATAGCTTGAACTTCTCAGCAGCCATGGCCTGGGACGAGCCCTGATGCCTGTCTGGATGCCATTTCAAGGCCGACTCACGAAACCTGCAAAACAAAGCACCAGAGAAGAAAACAATTTGGAGATCTGATCCAATGTGTCTCAAAGATGTGATTGTAAGGCCAAGGGCTTACGCGTTCTTCACTTCTTCGATATCCAGAGGGCCGGACAAGGGCAAACCGAGGGTTCTTCTGTCGGAAAATGAACCCACGGCGATGGGTGACTCCCCATCAGACTCGGGTTCACTGGCATTTCCACATTCTTGGCTTCTCCTCCATGTCCAGTGTGTAGACTCTGTGTTTGATCGTTGGGAAGCAAACCCTTGGTTGAAGGACCAAGTGTACCATTTGTTCCCGAATTTCGCTTGGAACATGGACTCAGGATCATCCGAGTCGTCGGGGAAGGTGTCTTTACGAAACTTGCCTGAAAGTTGAATAGCATATCAAACGCATGACCAAGAAAGATACTTTGAACAACTTTTGAAACTCTTCTACCATGAATGAACTAACCAACCAACCGAGTCCAATCAGAGAGCTACATGGATAAAGAATTGGGTCACTAAATGCTTACGCTTCATCCTGGCACTATGACCCCTCCTGCTTTTATGCTGACTTGAGGAGTTTGGATGTCTTTTCTTGTCAGCAGTATTCCTGTCTTCTGCACCAAAGTTCCATAACCGTTCTTCCTATGAACAAAGCCACAGCAATCATGATTGAAATCCAACGTAGCAAAGCACTAGTTTATGATTCAGGGCTGTTCCTCCTCTCAAACCAAGTTGATAAAGCACATGAAAGAACATGCTTTTGTTAAGATCAGAATGACCAAGTAGGCTTGCTTCAATTTGACTGCCACTGGAAGGGTCACTCAAACCAACTATTTTCAGAAGAAGAGTTTACTAAAACAGTACTCACATCAGGTTTGCTAACATGAATGCATCTAAAGTCTGGACAAAGAGGATGTAAACTCTCCAACTAACTCTAGTAACTTGTCATCTACCGCGGAATTGGTGAACATTGAGGGGCAAATTCAACATAGGAATTGTTACCTGGCGTGGTGGTGAGGCTCCATTACTGAAGAGGAGATGCTTCAAAGCCTTCTTTGTATCAGCACGTTTTTGTCGCACCGCGAATCTCACATGATCCTAGATAAATCATTCTCGTATTGTCAGATAACCTTCTCATAGCGATCAAAGAAAAAAAAGCCCCTTGCAGAATGGTCCATCAGATCGCTGAGCATAATAACTAAAGGACGAGTCTTTGCAAACGAGAATCAAGTCGATTCTCATTTCCACCCCACAAGACATAACTATCCAACTATCCATATCTCCAGTCTCTTAACAATGGAGATAAACAATAATCAGGAAAGCAAAAACACAGAAGCTGCCTGCTACAACTATCTCACGGAAATGGATCAAAGGATTTCACAAAAACCAATTCCAACAAGTAACCAATTAATACAAGTTAAAACTCAGGAAATTGGAATTGCCAAAGAAGAACTCACAGTTTTGCCCTTGTTCTTCGACCGGTCGCAGGAAGTGGCCGTCGAATGAATTGATGCGACGGAGGGGGTGTTTAGATTCGATTGTGAAAAAGCTGGAATCAAGTTGTTCTTCAGGATGAACAGGTTTCGCCATCTGGGTACTTGCATAATCGAGGAAAGAACCCAGCTTTCTAAGAAAATAATTTAGGGTTCCAGCAGTTCCGCTGCAAGCAAGAATCTCTGCAACCGGCGGTTTGGCGGGGGGATGGGGGCTTTGGCGCGCGGCCGGCGACGGACAAACAAAAAAAGGGGGCGGGTTTTGTTTGGGCCGGAATGACAGGTCGTTTTTAGCCTATGGGCTTTCTCAAAGAGGTCAAATTATTAATTTAGTACTCCAACTTTATGCCTTAGACAAGGTGGCCCTCCAACTTTGGTGGTCTGTTTCGTTCTTGTCATTTACATACTTACCTTTATAGGTCTGGAACTGCACCAAATTAGTATACAATCAGATAAAAATGGAGAAAAAAGGATCGGAGGATCGTAATTATATTAAAAAATATGTATTTGATGTGTGAACTGGATCGTTGCCTATTCCTGAAGTAACAATCTCCTTTTCTGATAGACTATAGAAGAGCATATACATTGTGATGAAGGCATTGCTTCCATGCTCAAATCCTGGTTACCTAGAGAACCTTGAAGAACAAACTAGCCCACCATTAGAGGCTGGATTCAAATCAGAGAGTGAAACTAAGACCATCTGATCTCGCTTTAACTCCAATTCCGTACTTTTGCTTTATAACTTAGAGAGTGTGTCAAACCATCATTTATCCTCAGCAATGCCTGAACTAGCGGGAACCTGATCCTGCACGAGCTTCACGTTCTTGACGCCGTTGTTCTCTCTGATGAAAACAGCTTTAGACTATGAACAACTGGTCGTTTTTTAGCATTAACCAAAGAGAGAAAGAACTTTCTGTCAGCAAAAGGAGAGGCAGGGAATTCAAGTTTACCCTTCTTTCCCAATAAGGGTGGAAGCACACGAAATCATAGACAGGGGTAATGGTTGAAACCAAGACCACATTGAGTCCTGTGAACACCAGCAATGCTGCCATGGGTCGCGTACGATGTGGCATGTTTATTCACTTGCTTCTGCTAGACTCTCTGTGTCTGCAATATGTTCCGAAAAGCGAATTTGAGTCTCAAAAGTCTCAGAAACACAGGATTTGAAACAAGGCATGACAGAAACTTCTATGTACATAAAAAGCCACAATAACCTGAAGCAGGCCATCATACCAAATCTACGCACAAGCTTTGGAACCAAATTCAAAGCACTCTCAACTGAATTCTCAGGTTCCATTCCCATTGCAATTCTAAAATCTAAACATATACTCATGGACCCCTAATTAACCTCCCAACTCATTCAGGCATCTGATGAACCTTCAATTTCAGCTCAAGAAGTCAGAAACCTAAGTTTTGATGATCATGTTCTCGATCATTACATCCCCGAGCTTCGATAAGATAAATCTACTCATTCCTAGCGTTCCACTTCCGAACAAATATCACATACAAACCAAGCTTGGGGGGCTAAACCAACAGGAGTCAAACAAAGTTCAGAAATTTCATTATAATTCCCTAAAGAGCGAAATCTTATCGAACAATCAAATCAAAGCTATGGCCTTTTCACTCATGCAAGCAGAACACACCACAACCATGTCTCTAATAATGAGCAAACTACAAACCCACTTCCTAAAGTTCAAAAATTTCCTCATAAAGAGCAGAACCCAGGTAACCTAATCACAAATTCCTCTTCTCATCCAGAGTGCAAACATTTTTGCTCAGTTGTTCATTCAATAAAATCCTCTTTCCGAAAAGAAAAGCTTTCAGATTCAAATTAAATAGAGAAGGAATCGAATGCTTTCAGTACCTATTTCAACCCCGAAAAGCAACGACTTCGTCGAGCAGCTTCCCCTCTTCAGTAACGACCGCCGGCGGCAATTAGACGAGGGAACTGAGAGATCAAAGAAGAAGCAAAGACGGATGAAGGAGAGTAGTTCTCCCAGTATGGGCTCGGTAGTTAGTAAAATAATGGATTGGGCTTCATAGCCCAAATGATTTATTGGGCTTCCTGGAGATCTAAAAGCCCACGTTCAATCTCCGTGGCACTACGAAAGAAACGCCGGTTAGCTCCATTTTACCAGCGCGAACTCCAAAACCCGCTTTAAACCCCCAAAAATAATTCCGCCGCCGTCTCCGTTATCTTCCTCCTCCTCCTCCTTCCGCCGGCGACTGCGGAGAAGCTCGCCAACGCACGCCTCGGCCGCAGATTTGACCCGTAAGTTTCGCACTCTTTCTTCTTTCGGTATCTTTCTCCCTAGGGATATTTCTAGCACGAAGAAATGAAACGGGGGAACTCGAGATATAGCGTTTGAACTCAAGCACTGTAAATTTCCTGCGGAAGCTCGACAATGGAGTTTATCTGTTCTGTGAGCTTATAACTTGTAGGTGCTCTCTAGGATCTAAGTGTTTGAATGAAACGATTTTCTATTTTCAGAAGGGTGTGAAGGAGATTCAACCTTTGGGTTTGGAATGAACTGCTTGTCTAGGTTATCTGCATACTCCGCAACCATCTTTGGAAGGTCGACCAGCCATTTCATTGTCAAGGGCACCTGGAGTCAGTGTTCAAGCCCCATTTGGAAACACAGCTTTGAGCTTAGTTCCGTTAGAACTGGGAACCCGAAATTCGTCTTTCCCAAGTTCGCCACCCGGTGCTACTCATCCGAGAAGCCCAAATCGAAAACTCCGCGGAAAAGGAAGTCGTTAGAGCAGAAAGAACCAGATATGGAGAAAGATTCTTTCTTTGTGGTGAGGAAGGGGGATGTTGTTGGTGTGTACAAGACTTTTAATGAGTGTCAGGCTCAAGTTGGATCTTCAGTAAGTCTTATAGCTTCTCTTCTCTAGATATCGATCAGAGTTTGGAGCATTGTTTTGAATTTCTGAATTTTTTTTGGATAGATATGTGACCCTCCTGTGAGCATTTACAAAGGGGAATCATTACCGGATGAAACCAAAGAGTACCTTGCAACTTGTGGGCTTCAGAATGCTATATACACTATTCGAGCTCAAGATTTGAAGCCTGACCTCTTTGGCACTCTTGTACCTTGGCCATTTCAGGTGAGTTAGATAATCTTGGAACCCTTGGTTGTTCATCATGTGAACACGTTAGCCTCTAGGTCTTGAAGCTGGACTTATATCAGATTTTGACTATTCTGAAATTAACAGCAACCTGGTCAGTCCACCGAACATATCGATGCCAGGGATGACAAAAAGAGAACCCTAGATATGATGATACCACAACCAGCGGTAAGTTTGTGGCATCTTTAAGATGTTAAACTCTTCAGCTTGCTTTCAGTGGTCAACCCTTCTCTCTGTGTGCTTTCTCTCTAGATGCGTTGCTGATGTTTGGCAGGAAGCAGGTGGAACAACCACATTGAGTATAGCTGATCCCTCAAAGAAGGCTGTCCGATTGGATTATCAAATGGCTACTCCGATACGTTCTCTTGGTTATGACCCGGTAAGTGGTTATGTAGAAAAGATGTATGTTCATGTGTAAACTATTGCTTCTGCTTTACATTAGACACAGCTCTTTGCCACAGTCAATTCTCAGGACACATTTCTTTGTATATCCTCTCATGAAGTTAGGTTGTGGATGCTTATTCTATGTAACTTAGTACAGTAAACTTACTCACTCTTCTGATCTACAGGAATTTTGTACCCTCGCGTTTGATGGTGCTTCAAGAGGAAACCCTGGGCCCGCAGGAGCTGGAGCTGTTCTACGGACAAGTGATGGAACTTTGGTGTGCATTGACTTCTAAGCATCTATAACATTTTTCTTCTTGATGTTTCCATATATCTGAAACTTCAGGTTTTGTGTAGATCTGCCGGTTGCAAGAAGGATTAGGCAACAAGACTAATAATGTGGCTGAGTATAGAGCTGTACTTCTTGGAATGAGATATGCTCTCCAGAGGGGCTATCGAAAAATAAGCATACAAGGCGACTCCAAGCTCGTGTGCTCTCAGGTTTGGCTCTTCTTTTCTCCCTTTCCAGTTGCATATTTGGGTTTAAAATGCCTAATAGATCACTGAAATATGATGTTTCTAACATAATGGTCAGTTGGTCACCAAACTACCTAAAATTCTTAACAACATTAACTAAACTAAACGGGTTGTAACAAAACAGTCACTCTTATCTCATTATGTCAAATAAGCTTGCACTGTCTCTCACATTCCAATCAGTCATTCTGTTCGGGTTCTAGCTTTTCCTCGCGAGTTGAGAGTAGATTTTGTGCATTTGGGGTCAAGTTAGAAAGAGCTGGGTTGAGTTCATGGGGGTGAGGGATGGCAATGAGTCGGGTTGGGTCGGGTTTTGCCAAACCCAAACCCAAACCCATGGGTTTATCCGTGAAAAAAACCCGGGGTAAAACCCACTGGGTTTGAAAAACTCAAACCCAACCCAACCCGCTGGGTATCCGCGGGTTCATGGGTACCCACGGGTTTTTGTCGTAAAAAATTTACAATAACATGTTCCTATCAAAATTAAAGTCAAATATCAATCTCTCAATACAAATTATCCATATTTAAAACACTATTCTAGAAAATTCAAGCAAATCACAAATTAACTATACAAATTGTTCAACGCAATCTAGAAAACTCAAGAAAATTGAAGTAAATCATAAATTATCCATAAATAACATATAAATTGAAGGCTTCTTCCTTTCAATTGAGTTTCTTCACTCTCCACTCGATAACACAAACTTCATTCTACACAATTAGAAAGAAATAATTAGACATGTCTCCACAAACATAAATAAGATTAGTTGTTTAAAATATTAAATATACCGAGAAAATTAATTATATGTGTGGGCGGGTACCCACGGGTCGGGTTTACCTAAACCCAAACCCAACCCAACCCGGTGAATAGTGAACGGGTTTAAACCCAAAACCCGTCAACACGGATTTTACCCGTGTTGACCGGGTTGGGTCGGGTGGGTACCCGTGGGTTCGGGTTTGGTTGCCATCCCTAGTGTCAACTGGTCGGTTATTGTCGACATGACAGCTCTGTTTGCATGTTCACTCAACCAATACCAGATTATATATCGTGATTGGTTTGCTACCAATGGCTTAGTTTCGGTAGCATTATGATATGCTTTATGTAATTCATCGACCGTTTGGCTACGAAACTCTTAAATTCAGCAATCTCAGAGGCATGTAATCCTTGCATTTCTTTTCACAGATGGTGAAAATAACCGTATCTCGAAACCTTTTATGTCACAGGTTGATGGTACATGGAAGGTCAAGCATGCTGGCATGGCCGAATTATGCGATAAGGTCAAAGAGCTTAAGGACAGATTCGTCTCATTCGAGATTAACCATGTTCTGAGGGTAAGACCAATTCAATAGCATGATGATACATCACCAAACCAATGTTGCATCTCATATTCGTTGACTGCCTTTTCTTTCCAGGAATTCAACGCGGAAGCTGATGTTCAGGCGAATCTTGCTGTCAATCTTCGTGGTGAGTAAACCCTTCATCTCATTTAAGCTTTTGCTCGTCCTGGCTGTTCAACGAACCGAGATTTATTAACAGTCTGCTGATGTTTCTGTTTCTTGCTTCAGAGGGAGCAGTTCAGGAGGTTTACGAATAGCAGCATAGCTACTTACACATAAAGCTTGTTTCTTCTTCTACCTGGTTTTCTCGCTTACCTGCCATTATCCCAGCGACTGAAATAGTCAAAGATATTCGACATTCCTGATGGGTAGAGAGGCCTCACATTCAGCACGAGAGATGTCGAAAGAGGCCAGTTTTTGCAATGTGATTTCCAGTGCCCATGCAGGTTTGAACAACTTATTATAAACTCTCAGAATATGAACTATATACCTTTTGATGCTTGCATAGCCATTTTGGATACCATCGAACTTGCCATATTTTTTCAAACCTATAGAAAGTAAAATCAAGCTAACTTTTCATCAAACCCCTACTAGGATGATGATAGTTGAAGGATACTAAGCTTTTTTGCGACGGACATATCAAAACATTACCTAAGCTTTGATAATGGCCATAATGACCTCATATGATCTCTTATTACCGTCTTTGAAAAAGGTAGTCATACTAGGCCTTGTAAGGGAAATGAGTAAAAAGATGCATATTTGGATCTCTCTTTGACAGCTAAAGGTATCATAATGAATCGGTTCTCGACATGATTTCAGAGCTTTGGATAAAGAGGTATATGTTCGAATTTTCAATTGATATTCAACAATCAGTCTGAATTTTCTGGACATAAACTTACTCCGTCCAAAGTGCTTATGACGAAACATGGCCAAACTGTTGTCGCGATTCGGTTACTATGGATTGTGGGTCTTAGATGGATGGTTTAGCATACAATATGGGAGTCATGAAGTCGGCTGAGTTATTGTAGGTTGTGAGTTATAAATTGGTGATGGTGCATACAACTTGAAAGATCGTTATGGATTGTGTCAGAAGAGGAGCCATTCATACCAATATGGTCATTGTACGGTCAATCAAGGAACCATGCGATCTTAATATTTTTTTTGTCAAATACATAACAGCAGAAAAACGTGTGCAATTGTCTCTTGTCTCATTACGAGGTCAAGTATTACCCAACCGAATATCGATCGAATGGATTGGATTGAACCAAAACTAATATGTGCAACTTGGAATTGTCATCCCAATGTATGATTACTCACAACTCACAAGACGATGATTAACACCACCCAATCAAACAAAGATTAGGGCATCCATCCACAACCTATATTTAGAATATTCATAGAATCACAAAAGTGATTACAGGGTGGATACACTCATACACATGTAACCATAATTTTACCCGCAAAAGAAATAAATGGGAAAACTGAAAGGATTGTTTGTGGCCATCCATATAACTTTATGTAGATCAATACCATAATAAGTTGTCAGCATGTCTGTCTGTCTCTCTGTCCCATAACCCCCCTTCCACTCCCTAATTAGTTTAATTTCAATTGATTTCCCCCAAACCTAATTTTTTTTCCTATGTAACAAAACTAAGGAGTTGTTTGTTTGTGTGCAAGAAGAAAATGAAATAGCCGTGCTACACGTGACCGACAAAAAAGAAAGAGAAATAAACGACATATTGTTCACCACCGCAACATAGCTAAGTTTCGCTAATTAACAAATTCAACGCATTCCAACATAGTGACTTATTTGAGAGAGGGGGGGGGGGGAATGATGGATAATCTAATGAACCGGTCGAGTAATCGAGCGAGATTGGACCTGTTTGGCTTGAATTCATGGGGTTGTCAATTGTGTCACTTGGATGAGTTCTTCGGAGTTATAAACGTTGATAAATGGTCTTAGTGAAACTAATCAAAAGTTACTTGTATACCAAAAAAACACCATCAACTCCATTTTTACCACGAGTAAACAATCAATACACATCACGAGACTTCCCACACTTAAGCTGAATCAAACTTTCAAAATCGGCTCGATCAGGTAATTATAAAAATAATATGATGCGTTTCATATACAATAGAATTGAAAATATTTTAGTTTCGATTGCATTAAAACATGAGAAACAATCGGCTGGATCGAGCCTTTTCACGAGACTCAAACCGAATCGATTTCAACCCTGTTTGTTCCGATAAAATCTCTCTCGCATTTCTGTTTGATCAACTCGTACTCTCATCCGTTCCGAATTATAGACCGAACCAAATCGTTATCCAACCCTCCTACGGGAACCACGATTATCAACGATTCGATGGCAACCCCCATTATACCCTCATTCCAACTCATCCAAACAAACAAGCCCTAACTAAATTATTTATCAACAAAACCTCCCTACCCCGAACCCATGTGTGGGTATTATATATATACGTAGGATACAAAATAAGGTGCCAAACAAAACACAAAATAAAATTTTTCCAAAGAGAGTCCCTCTCTCCCAAAAACCCTCCCAATTAATTTTAGCTCCTCGATAGTAACCATGGGAGCGTGCGCCACCAAGCCAAAGGTCACCAAAGACGACCAGCTCCTCCCGGCGCCGGCGCCTGAAGAACCCACGAAACCGGCGGCGGCGGATCCTTGCCAGGTGGAGGAGCCCAAGAAGCTAGAGGACCCAGCCTCCGCCACGGTGGAGGAGAAGGAAGTCGTGGTCGTCGCAGAGAAGAAAGACGTCGTGGAGATAAAAACAGAGGAGGAGGCTAAAACAGAGGAGGCGGCGGCTAAAACAGAGGAGGGTAAGGAGAATATTACCGTGGACGATGAGAGCGCCAGGAGACGATCTCTTGGTCACCTTCTTAAAGAGGTAACTATTTTTTTTTTTTTTTCACACCATAAGATCATAATATTTCCTTTGTTTAAGTATCTTTTCTTTGCTTTTCTTATCGATTTAATAGTGGTAGATTAGTAGAAAATAGGTTGAGATTAATTTTCACACGGTAAATTTTTGATAGCTAGAACCATCGTGTGAGACCGGTAGATACGATGTTCAAACAACTAATCTAAATTTGAGAATGATAGGAAAACACAATAAAATCAACTAATGAAATAAAGAGAAATCCGTTTGTTTCGTGTCACAAGATGAATTGTTGTATACATATTCATAGATGGATTCTTCCTGATCAATTTTTCATCTAAATTTTATATTTATGGGACATATTTTAAAGTTTGGAGCTAAAGTTTGGACCAGGTTAACATTACAATGAAGTTCCTTACAATTTTAATTCAAAAGAAATGGTAATAATTAGTATTCATGATGAGTAATTACAATTTAGATACTTTTTAATAATCTTTTTTCTTAATGCAATGCTAATCCGGCTGAATTAGTGGATGTGGGCTCCTCCTTTTGCACCAACTTAATCTAGGAAATATATAAAAAAAAAGAAACTGCAAAAAATTATAAGTTAATAGAAAGAAGGGAAAGTGGTAGATGAATATACAACTGTGTGTACAGGCTGTTTGGGATGTCTTTTTGCTTGTCTAACGCGTTGGATTATTTATGGCGACCATTTGTTTTCCCATTTCTTACCATGCCCCAAATACTTGCTGTATTGATTTGATGTTTTTATGTAGATTATCATAAAAGAATTTAATTTAATTAATATGTAAAAAAGTACAATAATACTCATGTTAATAAAATCTCGAAACAGTGGACTTAGCTAGTATTCATACCTTGGAACGTAAGGATTTTTTTTATAACTATTATGTTGACAATACTATTGCTATGAGAACTACGTGTTACATTCAGGTGGTATTGGTTGATTATTTGCACGAGTATGTCGAATATTCAAAGGAATGATCAATATCTGTCACGCTTTAGGTCGAAAGCTTTGTATGCTATGTTTAATGCAATGTGTAGTAGGCTATCATATATCATATTCAGTTTCTTTTCTATGTGACAATTACTTGACAAGCAAACATGTGGTGTTTTTTTAGGGTTCTCAAATTTGGATAAGGACCTCACATAACCCCATTATTGTTGTTGGGTCCTCCATTGTCGTCCTCATCCATTAACTTTACATAATGCAACTTGGAAATTGAGATCCCAAAATAAAAAATGCCATGCATAACATGCACTTGTCTATGTCTTATTGAGTAATTTGAAATTTTTTGATTAGATATTGTGGATGGTATGGTATTTGCTTGCCTTGTTCTTAAATTTCGTGACCATCGACACATTTTATGACAATGAAACACATTTCATAACTTTGTAATTTGCTTTTTTTGTTAGACTGGTTACAAATTGCGAAAACGATCACATAGTCGATACTATCGACAATAATATGTATCCCGAGTTTTAGTAGTCTACTCGACTCGAATTGGATTAAATGAAGTGTTTGGATGGATATATGAGTTGATGAACTTTCTGAAACTTAAGTTGCATGATTATAAAAAAACAGAACACAGAAGGAAAAGAGACTGTTGTAGAAGAAAGCAATGAAAAGCCTCCAATTTCAGCAGAAGCGAAAGTAGAGGAGGCAGTAGCGCTTGAAAAAGTGAGACAACCACCGCCACCAGCCGCGGCTGAAGATTGCAAAGAAACAGAGACCAAGACAGAGGCAGAGGCGGCTCCAGAAGTAAAAGCTGATGAAGAAGTAAAAGAAGAAGTAGAGGAAGAAGAAGAGAAGAAATCAGTAGTGACTGTGGTTGAGTCTACAATTAAACGAGAGCAATCTGCTGCTACTGAAGAGCCATCTCCAGCTTGTGCTGAAGAAGAGAAGGCAGAGGAGAAAGCAGAGGAAGAGAAGCCGCAGCAGGAAGAGAAGGCAGTTGTTGTTGCTGAGAAGGTAGAAGTTCCTGTCGTGGAAGCTAAGAAGGAGGCAGAGGAGGATGCAGAGCCCGTTGAAGTAGTTAAGGAAGCTGTTGTAAATTAAAATGATGATTATTATTATACAAGGTGGTTTGATATTTTGGATTTGGGAACAGTTTCTTTTCTTTCTCTTGTGGAGAAGTTTTTGGGGTTCTTGGGATATTTGGTTGTGTTCTTTTGATTCAATTGGTTGATGAAGATGCCACATTTTGATGGAGGGTAAAGAAGGAGTTTGATTGTGTGTCTGTTATGTGGGATGGAAGTTTGTACAAATATTTATGTGTCATGTCTTCTATTCTATCCAATTTTTATGTGTTGATATTGGATTTTTATGAGGACCACTTGGTGACATGAACATGTGTAGACCAAACCTTATTGTAATTGTCGTTACAAAGGTGCGAACGACGGAAAGAGACAATATTTGAGCATAAACTCGAATACATCTCACTATTGAGTCCAGACTGTTATCTTGATATTGTTGAAATACAACTTGGTAAGCATAACCATGTCAATCCCGAGATCGATTCTTAGACGGTGTTGAAAAACAGAGGCTTCGCATTGTTCCTCTTCCTCACAAAGTAGTCTTACACTCGATGAATTGAAGTAATGTTATTTAGTCATTTCGCTATTTCTTTTGGAAAAAAGAATCTTAATGAAATATTCGATGAATACTGAATTGTTTTTCTTTCTTTCTTACAACTTATAGTGGTCATGGAAAGAACTGATTATAAGCACTACTAAGCAGGAGTGGTAGTAGCATCATCGTTTGCTTGATTATGGGTGACAATTGTAACAACTCGTTTAACCTCCGATGAGCAGTCTTGATCTTCCACTTTTGGGATGCTCTTCTTCTCATCAATCTCCATCTCCATCTCCATCTTCACCATCTTCTCTTCTTTTATTTTTGCCCATAAAACACTATAGAGCCCTCCAGCCAACAACACTCCCCCCAAAATACTATGGAACGTTATAGAAGCCACCAAAACAAACATATTAGAATAACTAATAGAGCTAAAATATGATTTTGCCTAAGCATCCTGGTGTTCGCGACCTGCCTAACGCCTAGACACGTTTAGACGAGTGCCTAATATCGTCTTTTCAAACCCTAACTATGATTACTACAAAAGCATGATACATATATTTGGGTATGTACCTTCCAATGTTGATGAAGTCACACGAGACTGCAGAGCATATGGTTGTGAAGATGAAAGCCAAAGGAGTGGAGAGGGCAACAAAGACTGGACCTTTCTTCTCTACAACCCATGCTTGCAGGTAATAGCTTACCCCAGTCACCATAACTCCCTAAGTACACATATATAGCAAATTCATTAAAGGCTACTTTCCTTGTAGCCAAGGAGGAGGTAAGCAAATAAAAAAGGTTGTACAAGTTTTTCCTTACACAATAAACCACGGCTACAAGTTTCATATCCCAGCCAAGTTTCCACTCATTGAAATCTCTTTCCATGGTAATTGCAATGGCAAATGACTGAATCGAGCCCGAAGCACATTGAATAGCCGTGAATAGAAGCTTTGGTGGATAACTCTTCTGAAGTCTTGCCTATGAAAAAAAAAGGTGTATTATGCATAGATAACATTTTCTATATGGAACCCAGGAAGTGCACATATGGGATATATATACATTTCCCCCCGGTCTTGGTCTTGTGTTACCTTTTTCGTATTAGATTAGGGTTAGGATCTTCTAGAGAATGTGCTATATATATCTTCTAATATTTATTCTCTAATTTGTATCTTCTCAAGTATATAATAGTAAAACTGGTATCTCCACCTCATGGATTAGCTAACACATAGTGTTAGCAAACAACGTAAATCTCTGGAATCTCTACTCTTTTCCATTCCTGATTCCCAGATTCGTTACAACAAAGTATGTTGCACCCTTCGATTTACCCCAAGTACGATAAGCAGATGTTCGAAATGATTCAACGAGAGGAAAAAGTATATGATACCTGAAAAATAAGCCAATAGCCCCAAGTGAAGTCAGACGAAAGCATCAAGGCACAACCTTTGATCCACGTTCTATAAGACTGATGGCTCTCCCTTTGCCCTAAAGCATGTTTGAAGAGGCAGAGGACCTTGAAATGGGGGCCTTCATACAAAGCTAGGGCTGCTACTCCACCTGTGCATATCACTATCCCTAACAATTTTGCCTTGCCTGATTTACTCCCAATCCTCAATGTTTCCGCTCTGTGTTAGCCATAGGTAGACCTAATTAATCAATCACATTATCGCGTCTATGGTACACCCTCGATTTTAAATGCGTCATAGACGTGGTTTTGATGATATAGATATCATCAGAATTTTCTTTTTTGTTTTGTTAGTGTTTAGGTTTTGTATGTTACCGAAACAGAAGGGCCAAGAAGAAAGTAGTGACCGGAAGGGTGTTCATGGTCGCCGCGGCCAACGTGGCAGAGGTGTACAGCAAGCCGAAGCCACTGAGGTTCAACGACGTGGTTATCCTGCACATATGTGTACATTCATGTTGAGTATGTGGAAGATTTAAAGTCCGACTTTTTTTGGGAGTTTACGAATATAAGATATAAGATATTATCTAAATTATTTATCAACAATTCGAGTTATGATTGTGTTTTACATGTGCACTAACCTAGCTAATGTATGTTATTTAGAACACAAAATAGAGTAAGGAAACTAGTGGCGGAGTTCAACATTTACCCGATGAGAGCAAGCACGAAAATCTTGCAGAAGGTCAGCAGCGAGAGCGGAGGTGCATGCTTCCTGTAATTCCATCGTATGACCATGCACAAAGAAAATTAAATCAAGAGGTGAATCGAGATTCTTTTAATAGTTCGAGTTACCGAGATTCAGTTGGTTCCCGGCTCTTGGTATCAGAGACTTTTGATTGAAAGGTTGAGGGCATTGTTCGAAACTTCGTAACATTCGTTATCAATTAGTTAAATTAATTGATGTAATCACATGGCCGTTGTGGATACGATGAACTTCTCGAGTTGGTTTTCACTTGATCGCGGAGGGTAAATACGAACAAGAGAATATTAATTATAAGATTTTTATTGAGTTGTGTCCAACAACTTGAATTATCGAGACGATACTAGACGACTTTTCAAGAAATTAAGCAGATCAAGTATATATATAAACACGCACCATTCGAGGAAGAGGGCAGGAGGAGCGAGGATGAGGGTGGCGAAGGCTTGCCGGTAGAAGACCAAAACGGAAGGGTTCAAGCCGCCGTCGAACGCCGCCTTCGAGACCAAGAACATTCCGGCGTAGATCAGCCGAATCAATACCACGGCTCCATACGCCTTGGTCGTGTCGTCGTTGCACCACGACCAAAACGATGCCGTCTTTGAAGCTCCTCCTCTCTCTTCTCCAACCATATCCATCTGCATACGACTCTACTCAGTCTCTCACTCTCTAGTATTAGTTTGTTTTTGGGTTGAAATGGAGGCTATGATATATATATATTTTTGGTCGTCGATATGTTTGAGAAGACGGGTTGTTGAAGCTTCCGTCTATTTTTCATGTGTTGATGATTTATCGATGACCGGGGAGATGGGTTTTCCTTTTGTTTGTACGTAGTTCATGGTACCATTTTGCCGCTTTCTAAATGTTTTATTTTGGGCATACGCTTTGGGGTTTGATTCCTTATGTATGTGTTGGAAGCTGCGGGCGGTGGTATCAAAGAGGGATATGGTTGGGAGGCAACAGTAGCTTGGGGGGAGGGAAGAGACTGTATGTGATGTGATACGAGAGTTGGTTCGCGGCTCTATTTCCTTCACGCAAACTGTACTACCAATCAAGTTTGAGGAAGGAAGTTGTGGAACAATCTAGAAGAGTAGAATTAATGATGTTGGCCGGGTAGTTAATTCATGGAACTTCTTCGTATTTCCTAGTTACTAATTGGATTGGTGGATTGTTGGCAAATTACAATTCATTCACTAAAATATCCAATCAATCCAATATTTTTATACTTTACATTTTGGTACATAAAATTTATTTTAACGTAAATATCATTGGAAAATTATGTTTTGGTACCAAAAAATTTTATCATGACATTTTAGATTCTAAACTTTTTTGAAATTTACACGTTAGTCCAATGTTTAGATGCCATTTGGATCTATGATCCAATCCACTAGTCAATTTACCTTACTTGTTTGGCCTGTGTTGGGGCGGGTCCGAGCATGGGTACCTCTCGTCGACTCGACCTGCCCTGACCCGCCCCGTTCTCGACCCATTCTAGCCTAAAATTCATGTAATCTTAATCAAATTACTTAGAATTTCCTCATATTACCTCATATTTTAGCTATAATAAAGTTGTAAATAAATGAACACCTCAATTGCTCCAATACTTTAACTACATTTTATCATATTATGGTTTATTTCTTGGTCTTGTAATGAAAATAATGAATATTTCTAAAAAATTTCACATAAATTACATACTTATTGGGTCGACCTGCCCCGACCCGCGCCCCATGATAAATTACCTGACTTGAACCCAACCTGACACGAACCGGGTATGAGTATCAAGATACTCTATCCGAACCTTGCTATTGTCATTCCTAGTTTTGAACTCATTGTCACTTCTAATACCATGGCAAGGACTATTCCAATTTGCATTTGAGAGATGCCGCCATATATAGATATAAAGAAATCATTACTATGGTAAGTAGTGATGCTAGCTAATGCTTGTTAGCATTCGCTAGATTATTAGTGCTGATTGTAACAACTTGTTTAAGCTCTAATGTGCAGTCTTGTTCTTCCACTTGTGGGGTAACCTTCTTCTCATGATCCTCGATCTCGTTCTCTTCTTTGACTTTTGCCCATAAAACACTATGGAGCCCTCCAACCAATAGCATTCCACCCAAAACGCTACAATTGCAGCCAACAAACAAAACTAGATCAACTGAAAAATCATAATTAGTAAACTATGATTATCAATTTGAGTATGATACATAGCTAATTAGCTATAAGTACCTTCCAAGGTTGATGAAGTCACACAATAGTGCAGAGCATATCATTGTGAAGATGAAAGCCAAAGGGGTAGACATGGCCAAAAACACTGGACCTTTCTTCTCTAGAACCCATGCTTGGAAGTAATATGTTACCCCACTCACCATACCTCCCTAAATACACATACATTGCAAATTAATCAATCACAAATTAATCTTGAAACTAAGCAAAAACCCCATGATGTGACAAAAGGTTATATATATATAAAAAAAATATAGTAAAACTACATACGACAAATTTTAGGTTAGTTAGATTGATTACGTACACAATAAACCACGGAGACAAATTTTACATCCCAGCCAAGTTTCCACTCATTAAGATCTCCTTCAATCGTAATTGCAACCACAAATGATTGGATTGTGGCCAGAGCACATTGAAGAGTCGTGAACAAAAGCTTTGGTGGATAACTCTTCTGAAGTCTTGTCTATAAAAAAAAGGAAAGTAATTAGTTAGGTATCGGTTGAGAATGATACGAGTATGTGCAGACTTCATTCGATACGTACGGTTTATAGTTTTGGTACCTGAAAGACAAGCCAATAACCCCAAGCGAAACTAGATGAGAGTGTCAAGAAACTGCCTTTGATCCATGATGTATGAGATTCATGGTATTCGCTTTGCCAGAAGGAGTGTTTGAAGAGGCAGAACATCTTGAAATGGGGGCCCTCGTAGAAGGCAAGAGTTGCCACCCCACCCATGCATATTACTAACCCTAGCAATTTCACTTTGCCTGATTTCGTCCCGACCCTCAATGTTTCCACTCTGTGTCAACCATACATCGATTCACATCATAAATACATACAATCGCAATACACATAATGCAAACCCGACTATAGAGCTCACAACCCATATGTGAGAACGTGCTCACAAGTATGAAAGGTCATCAGATCGCGTGGGAATACTCTGCGGTCGGTCGTTGGATGGACACAAAATACCATCGTGTCTATCCAATGATCGTGACACTTTCATCCACGATCTGATTGCTCCACGTGTTAGTGAGCACGTTCTCACAAATGGGTTGGGCAGATATGTATATACTATACTTGAACCGACGGGGAGCAATATGGCATTAACTTTTAAGTACCGAAGCAGGAGGGCCAACAGGAAAGTAGTGACGGGGAGGGAATTGAGGGAAGCCGCGGCCAAGGTGGAAGAGGTGTAAAGCAAGCCAACGCCATTAAGATTCAATGCCAACGTTATCCTGCAAAATATGTTCAAGAGAATCAAATTCTACATAAGATTTTTTTTTCCATCATATTTTGTGGATCTTGTAAATCTGTATGGTATGATGGCTAGTATGCGAAAACTTCGTTTGACAGGACGTGTAAGAGATTGAAACAGTGTAATTTTTTATCTTGAAAAATCTCCCAAACGAAGTCTGTTTGTTTGGTACCAATAGAAAAAGTTTATTTACACAGAAACTAAACGGACTAACTATTCAAATTACCCGACGAGGGCAAGCACGAAAATCTCGCAAAAGGTGAGCAGCGACAACTTCGGTGCATCCTTCCTGTAATTCATCATAACCATGCATAAAGAAAACAAATCAAGGGGTAAATGATAATTTTTTCTATTACCTTTATTTGAAGAAAATAAAAAAGATATGTAAGAGAGCGTGATAACATTTATTGTTTGACCTGTTTCAAACAACTTAAAGTTATGGACATGAATTTGGTTTATCGTGCATAAACTGAATATACGTGGACTACGTAATTGCCTATATATGCATGCATGGGTAACCTAACTAATACGTACCATTCGAGGGAGAAGGCAAGCGGAGCAAGGCAGAGGGTGGCGAAGGCTTGCCGGTAGAAGACGAAGATCGCCGGGTTCAAGCCGCCGTCGAACGCCGCCTTCTGTACCAAGAACATTCCGGCGTAGATCAGCCGTGTCAGCACCACGGCTCCATACGCCTTCTTGTCATCGTTGACATTGCACCACGCCCAAAACGACGCCGCCGAAGCTCGTCCTCCCCTTTCTTCTTCTTCTACTTCTCCACCCATATCACTTACATGGAAGTCGTAGTCTTCTTTCACTCTCTCTGTCTTTCTCTCTGTATTTATTTCCATTTATAGTACATATAGTTTCCTTTTGTTGAATACTTTTGAAGCCGGCTACGATATTCTTGTCGCCGATCGATATGTTTGAGTAGACGAGTGGTTGAATGTGCCGCCCGTTTTTTTGATTGCATTAAATTGATGATCGCCCGTTTTTTATCCTTTCGTTGTCATCTTGCTTGGAACCAATTTGCCGCCTTTCTAAGCATTCTTTGCTTTGGCATTACCCCTACCCTTGAATCTTAATTACATGAACCCAATAATACTAATGTATAAAGAGTTTCACGTGTTTACTTGTGTGCTATGAGTAGGGGTGGCTATTTGGACCGGGACCGGATTAAAAACCGGAAATCGGACCGTATAACCCGGATCGAGACCGGACCAGGACCGGATAGTAAACAATCCAATCCAATCTTTGGGCTTAGATTTGAGGTAAAAAACCGGATAAAGACCGGATAAGAGAGCTCAACACCCAAAACTTAAGGGTAATTTGCATAAAGGGTCACAAACCTTTGCACTTAGTACAAAACTTAACCAACTCCTCACCCTTTAAGGCCTTAGGCCACTCAAATCCCACAATATCAATATAAAATCAAGACCGAATTGGGACCGGACCGGATCAAAACCGGACCGGATCAAGACCGGACTGTATCCAATCCAATCTTCGGTCCTTATGTTTTCAAAAAGACCGGACTGGACCGGATCAATTTGGGCCAATTTAACCGGACCGGACCGTATAGCCACCCTTAGCTATGAGCCTATGTATAAAATTTAGGGGGTGGCATTTCGGTTATTTCTGTTATAACCGATAACCGATCGGCCGGTTATCTCGGTTATCGGTTAACCACTCCCCCTACCGAAAACCGCCCGAAATAGGTTTCTGTTTCTCGGTTATCGGTTAACCGACCCACTTTTAAGATAAAAAACCATTTCGTCTAGCTTCCGATAACCGGCCGAAGTTCGGTTACTTCGATTACCAGTTATCGGTTTAACCGGCTGGTTAATCGGTAACGAACTGCCACCCCTGGTATAAATTGAACCCAATTCATCTATATTCATATTCACGTTTTATATAATAATATAGGGGGAAAAAAACTTAAGTTTTCGTAAATGAATTTCAATAGAGTAAAGTAAATCTCTAATAATATAGAGTACAGCCATCCTATTATAATTTATACATATCTCATCGACATTAATTATTATTCTTATTCAAAAAGTAAAACAAGAAAGCGTATTATTATTATATTGTACTAGTAGTAGTACTGGTATTGTGTTGGAAGATGCTGGTGGGGATAACAAAGAGGGATACGTTTGGAAGTTATAATTGCGTAATTTCCTAAATTTATTTAATAAAATTTTATCCTTCTTATAAAAAATTAGTTGACATATGCATTTAATTTAGTATGAATGTCAACAATAATAATAACAACATAATTTCCTAATAACTACTTTCCATATATATGGTACTCCATCCATATATTCCTCATTATTGTTACCACTACTCCAGCTCCCAAATTATTTATTTGTTGTGTTAAAGGTTGAAGAAAAATCAACAGGTCCCAGTAACTTGACTAATCTGGAAATGTCCAGATATGTATATTAATCACTTCTTACACACTCAATCAAACGAAAATCAGCTCATGAACATGAAATTTGTATATACTCACCTTACAATTAATATATTTAAATCAAATATTAATATTGAAGATCGGAATCTGTCCAAGGTTCATTTTAACCGTATAACACCTAAGCTAAATTTTGACTATCACTCATTTACTCGATATTTGGTTTGAAAATTGAAAGTGTCTGTTTCTCATGGTAAATTCTTGGGCCCAAATCAAGATTTTCCAGTTTGGGCTTCTGAACAACTTTCACGGCTTAAGGGAAAAGTCCCATTTGGTTGGGCCAGCATCAGAGTTGCTGCGGGCCGAATGGATTTAACAATCCTATGAAACAGCAGTACTCCATATATAGCAAAGTCCACTGAAGGCAAAGGATCCACTAGTTCTCTTACCAACCCAGATTCATTCGTGAACCCACCCATTAGGCTTTGGTTGGTGTTTGATGAAAGGTTTGTGGGCCGCAAAATAGGTTAATTGTGTGTAGGTTCCACTGTTATTTATTACGAATTACGACCACTTGCGTGTGAATGATATCGATTAAATTGATGATCATATGACAACTAATAGGCCAAAGGGACTGTTGTGATCATCCAATGCAAATGATCCCTGTTGTAAGAAGAACTTATCGTAAGTACTACGTAGTAATAAATTAAGGAGTGACGGACATTGATAGAAGCACATGTGTCACTTGTGACAACTTATTTGAGCTCCGATGAGCGGTCTTGTACCACCACTTGTGGTATAGTATTATGCTTGTGATCCTGATTAGGCCAGAGGGACTATTGTGATTATACAACACGAATGGTCTCTCGTCATTAGAAGAACTTATAATAAGCACTACGTAAGAATTAATTAAGTAGAGACGATAGGAAGAGTCCCACTAAAAACAACTTGTTTAAGCTCTGATGAGCAGTCTTGTACTCCCACCTGTGCTATAATACTCCCCTCATGATCCTGATCAACCTTATTCTGCTTCTCTTCTTTGACTTTTGCCCATAAAACACTATAGAGCCCTCCAACCAATAGCACTCCACCCAAGATACTATTACCCACAAAAACAACTAAATTCAAATTAGGTAAACTAAAATGAATTCTAACTACGATTACAAAATCATGATATATAATTAAAGTTGTGCATCAGTCAACTCGATTCATTGTAATGTGGTCCAGTTAGACAAGATCGTCGTCCACCTTTATATAAAAATTGGTACCTTGCGAGATCGATGAAGTCACACAATAGAACAGAGCACAACATTGTGAAGATGAAAGCCAAAGGAGTTGACATCGCTAGAAACACTGGTCCTTTCTTCTCCAAAACCCATGCTTGCAAGTAATAGGTCACCCCAGTCACCACAACTCCCTAAGAATACATAACAAATAGTTAGTTCTTAAGACATGGAATTAGTTAATCACACAATCTATTAATGGCTAAAACGATCGATCTTATTGTTGATCACGTACACAATAAATCACAGCGACGAGTTTCATATTCCAGCCCAGTTTCCACTCATTGAAATCTCTTTCTACTGTGATTGCAACAAAGAATGACTGGATAGAGCTCATAGCGCATTGAAGAGTCGTGAAAAGAAGCTTAGGTGGGTAACTTTTCTGAAGTCTTGCCTAATACCAAAGAAAAAAAAGAAACAAGCCAAGTTAAATATAAATTCAAAATGTAGTATCAAAGTCGAGAGGTAGAGTGTCGGGATTCCGACGACCCTTAACTCTCATTTTTTAATCTCATGGTATTCCTACATGTGCAAATTTCAAGTCCATATGAGTAGGCTTTTTTTTGAGGGGCATGTTAGTAAATGATATAATATTCATAATTGAATCTTTCCAAGCTACTCGAGTTATTGGGACCAACTGGTTATTGAAAATATATTAGAGCATGATTTGTCGTTAATCGTTTAGTCTCAATAACTTGTATTGTTGGAAGAGGCCTATATATGGTTCTTGTGCCACTTCTTACACATTCTTTCAAACGAAAACCTACTCATGATACTATATCATAAATTGTTCAATACCAATAACTAGAATTGAATAGTATATGCTCTTTAGAAAGTTTGAAATGTATATATGGTACCTGGAAAATAAGCCAATAGCCCCATGTGAAACTACATGAGAGCATGAAGGCACAACCTTTGATCCATGTATTATGAGATTGAATGTATTGACTTTGCCCATAGGAATGCTTGAAGAGGCAGAAGAGTTTGAAATGGGGGCCTTTGCAGAAAGCTAGAGATGCTACTCCACCCATGCATATCGCTAACCCTGCTATTTTTGCCTTTCCAGATGTACTCCCGACCTTCAAGGTTTCCACTCTGCGTTCATACGACATCAACTTCATAAATACTCAAAATCGAACGACCGTGCGTAAGGGATTTCAGTTTGGTCTTGGTTTTTCGATTTTAATCAAAGCCAAACTTATAAGAAGTATAGTTGTTCTGGTTTTCAGTTGTTAAAACCGTTTAGCATCTTAATAGTTTTGGTTTTGGTTAAATCCAAAAAATCAATACGAAACCGATAACACACTAACTAAGTCAAATACTCGTCAACAACATGCGTTGTCACCAGGCCAACTTATGTACGTAGTAGACTTCTTTCTTATTTTCTTGCTTCTTGTTGGACCTTATCGCATGTCCAATAATTTTGTTTGTTTAGACCATTAATTAACAAAAAAAAAAAAAATTTGGAACATATCAAAGTAGAATTAATAGGTGTGAACAACTATGTGTATTCAGCCTTTGACTAGCCTTTTTCATTTTTATATTACCTAAAGAGAACGGCCATGAAGAAAGTAACGACGGGAAGGCAATTCGTGGTAGCCGCCGCTAAGGAGGCAGAGGTATAAAGCAACCCGAAGCCATGGATGTTCATCGTCACCGTTATTCTGCACATATATTACATTGCATGCTTGCAGACTAATTATGCAAAACAATAATTATATATAGAAATTAAGCTGACAAGCGGATAAAATCACGATCAAAGAGAAGTTGTAATAAATTGGATGAACAATATTATGATATGGTATACAATTATAACTAACCCACTTTTTATATACTCGTAAACTTGTCTATATAGTGTTGCTCTATAGCTATATAAATTGATGGAGGATTACCGCGAAAGCTTGATGCGATTAAACGAAGTTTTGTTCTCCGCCTTCAAGCATTATATTGAAGACTTAGTTCATTTTGAAATGAACAGGACAATTAAAATGACCATTATGAAGAAAATGAATGTATATACATGAACCCTAAATAAATCATAGGGTGCACTGAAAATACCCGACAAGAGCAAGCATAAAAATCTTGCAGAAGGTGACCAGCGAGAGCGGTGGAGAATGCTTCCTGTAAACAATCATAATTAACCATAAAAATAAAATCACCAATGAATAAGAGGCAATTGGTTGCTTGTACTTAACAAAAATTTCCACATCCATATATACCAGTCCGAATCCAATTTAATTGGGTATGGCAAAACCCAATCGATAGAATTTTTAGTGAATATGTGTAAGCCCCAAATTTAAATATTGAGGAGATAATTGGACATGATTTTCTTACTATTCAACCTTAACTTGCCTAAATATATATACATATATTTAAATGATTATTTTGTTTTTCAACAGACTTGATATTCTATCATGTTTCCATAGTTATATACCATTCGAGGAAGAAGGCAAGAGGAGCAAGGATGAGGGTGGCCAAGACTTGCCGGTAGAAGACCAAAACGGCAGGGTTTAGGCCGCCGTCGAACGCCGCCTTCGACACCAAGAACATTCCGGCGTAGATCAGCCGGGTTAATACCACGGCTCCGTACGCCTTCGTGGTGTCGCTGCACCACCACCACCGCGGCGTCGTCTTTGAATCTCCACCTCCACCTCCCATTTTTACGACTGTAAGTAATGCTTAAAATGGGTCTTTCTTCATTTTTATATAGTACAAGCTAGTAAGCACAAACGGCATTAATCCCGCGCGTCTAATCAACTGGCGATTGGTTTGAGACCGAATTAAATGACTTGTCGAAGTGTCCGTCATGTATATATATAGTGACAATTGTGTTGGAAGACAAGACAGTGGTGTAGTATCAAGATTTGAATCAGAATATCTTCAAGCAAAGATTAAAAAAAATCATAATCAATTTACACTGGAAAATTTTGTTGATGTTTTTTTTAATATAGAACATACACGAAGTTAAAAATATAAAAAAGTAGAACAAAAATTTCATCATGGTTAGCTATCACACTAAGTCTCTGTATAAATATTTTTTTTATGGTGTTATACACTTCAATTTTTATATTTTAGTTGGATTTTAATAAATAATTTAGAATTATAATTACCTTATAAATGAATGATAATCTTAAATTCCCAACCTAAATATCATTGGTTGAATATTGCATATCGAATTGTAGTATTGAATATGGAGAAGAGATTTAAAACTTGACAAGTAGTGTCGAGTTGTGATTTTCCCAACCCTTTGCTCCGTCATCTTCACCTCCTATTTTTAGCCATCAAAAGTAACTAGCTCGAGAAACTGCTCAGCTTACGTGGAGTGTTGATTACACTCTTAATTGACTTGACATTTGGATGTGACACCATCTAGCTTTAGTCTTGAACCCCTCTTCTTGATAGCTTCTCCTTATTACCTTGGGTTTTCAAATGATAAAAATGCTTAAGGCAAGAAGACCCCGCCTTCCCTCATGTGGGTGAGATTTAGAATCACAAGAGTCAAAATGGCAAAAATAATTCACCACATACGACCACAATAGAGTTCCTCATGCGTAGATTATCCCCCCCCCCCCCCCTAATCACATTAGGGTGCCTCATCGTCACACACTTCCTTATTTAGCCAAATTTCACCCCACGATATTGCATTTGGGGTATGCTGATTATCCCTAATCACATCAGGAGGGGGTGCTTCAACACACAGCCAAATTTCGGAATTGATAGCTTAGGGTGGCGCATACAAGATGACATATATGTGTGATGTGCCCAATAACCCCAATATATATTGCAGACACTGGCGGATTCAGGGGGTGGCCACCCCGGGCCCCGGCCCAGCCCTCCTCTGGATCCGTAGTTAGTATAGTACTTATGAAATTTTTGATTTTAGACATTCGACCCAATGTTATTTTATGATATGATTGGGTTTAACTAGTAAAATTATCAACTTGAACATATTCAAATCACTACTCTAAATTTAGCCTAGAAATTTTAGCCCCAAAGATTATGCATATAAAAAAAACAAAGAAACCTAAAATTCTAAAAAGTTTAAAACGTTAAAGACTAAAAGAAATATGAGGTTTGTTCCCTTAAAAATTTACTAGAGCAGCTAGTGTGCAGGGATGGACACACAATGCAAATTGATTAGTAGATTGATTTATCTGGTGTTGATGCTGCTCGTTTCAACAACTAATACGAACAGAACCTTTTCAACAATGAAACATGTGAGAACTGATTTACTCAACAAAATGAGCGACGAATTCTCGCTGATTGCTCAAGTATTTTATTTGAAACAGTGTATACTATTGGTATTGATGTAGACTCCTTGATGCATTTCCTAAATTAAAATATAGTAGTGTACAGTTTACATTGCAAAAAACTATAATCATTATATTTTTTTTACGGTTCTAATTTTCTAATGAAATGCGGCCCAGTGCTCTTCTTAGTTCTGGATCCGCCGCTGATTGCAGATGAATTTATAAAGTCATTTAATCTCTTGTATTTGACAGATGTGTATATATTTTTGTGTAAGCCATTGATTATAGAACTTAATGGTTAGAGTTTAGGAGAATAATATTTATTATTCGTGATGATTTAGTCGGCGCCGCGGCGGCGGAATAGAATTCGAAAGGGGTAGTGCCAACAGGAAGAAATTAAGATGAGAAGGCAACAAAACAAAACCCACCTCTCCGATCATCGACGCAACAAAACAGGCGACACGTTCAACCACTTGTCTACTCAAACATATCGATCGACGGCAAGAATACAACAGCCGGCTTCAAAACTATTCCACAAAAGGAAACTATTACTATAAAATGGAGATAATTAAACACAGAGAGCTAGGAAGTGTGAAAGAAGACTCAGATGAGAGACAGAGCACGACGTCCATCAATGTCGTATATGGAGGAGAACAAGAAACCTAGAAAAGGGGAGGAGCTTCGAAGACGGCGGCGTCGTTTTTGGTTCAAAAGGCGGCGGGCGACAGCGAACTTCGAAGCTTCCGTCATAAACATGTATAGTAACAATGGTGGTTGAAGGCAGTGGTTGTCAGCTACAAATTTCTCTAAATTTAGGGAAATGGTCGTTTGGAGGTTGCGCGGCTGCTAAATTGATGAAATATTGAAGATTGCTAGCTATTGATTAAGGTATCTCTCATTTATCTCGTCAACAGATCTCATTCCTTTAGTGTGTAGGTGTTCATGATTTCGATATTTTTGGATTCGGGTCTTAAATACTGGATTTTGAATGATATTATGGGCATTGTACAATCTCGTTTTAATTTTAGCATCTCCTACTAGTCACCTTCCAAATGTTTGTAGTTACCTTCAGGCTCCATCCACTTTGGAATGAGCCATAAAAAAAAATGAAAAACACAAAAAAGCAACCAATCGAATTAATATGTTTTTTTATGCATAAGAGTGTTGATTGTGACGTAAGCCCATCAATACAATTTATAATACATTTTTAAGGTTTGTTTTGCTCAATTTTAATTTTTCAGAATGAAAGTAGGAACTAGAAATGGTTTTTTGTCTTAACAATTGATTATTGATTGAACGAGGAAACAAGAATCATAACCAATATATTGCAGTAGACAAATTTGTTGAATTCTTTTTTTAATACAGAACATAGAAGTTAAAATCAGAATAGTAGAAATTTTTTCCATCATGGTTAGCTAGCACACTAAGTCTCCTATGAGTATTTTTATGATGCTTGATACTTCGATGTTCATATTTTAATTGGATTTTAGTAAGCGATTTAGAATGCATGGTTATTACCTTATAAATGAATGTTAATCTTAAAATGTCAACCCAATATCATTGGTTGAATATATATTGCATATCGAATTGTATTATTGAATATGCAGAAGTGAACGACCCCTTAGGCCACAAATATGTCTACAAAGTTTTTGTACAAAAGAAAGGATTGTGACCAAATTAAATCCTTGATAATCAGATTTTTGTACAAAATCCTTAATACAAATTCACGAAGCAAACGACTCCTTAATGACGTATAAATAATTTATTTATTTATTTATGGAAGACCTGCATTCAGGCGAACTGACTAAAGTTCGGATTGGCTATGGCTTTGCTCTAATCGCTTCATCACTATGAATTCGGCTAGAGATGTTTCGTCCATACATTGCGGTATGGTTATTTACTTATTTTTGTCCTAGACTTCGTGGATATTGCGATGATAAATAATAATAATAATAAAAAAGACTTGTTTAATTATGCCTTTTTATGTTTTGTTTTTTGATGGCTCATTTCGATGTGTCTGAGGTATCTACAAACATTTGGAAAATGACTCAAAAGAGATGTTAGAATATAATTTTCTTGATATGTTTGAGCCAACGAGTGGTTGAAGGTTCCGTCCATTTGGTGATCGGAGAGGTAGGTGTTATGTTTTATCCTTTTGTTGTCATCTTCCTAATTGGAACCATTTTGCCGCCTTCTCATCTTTCTTTCTGTTGGCATTACCCCTTCGAATTTTTATTCCGCCGGCTAAATCATAGAGAATAATTTTAATTCACCTACATTTTGATTCTATCGGGTATGGACTTCTACACGTTTGGGTTTCGATTCTTTACCAAATTGGATTAAAATTAGATCGTATTGAAGTACTATATAAATATATATGTTGGCGTCTTCGGTGTACTCACTTTTTTAGTGCATTTAGTGCACTCGCTTCATAACCGTCATTTTAAACATGCGATTTATGTCAAAATGATGTCAATCATCACTTATGATGTGATGAACAATAACGCACATGAATTTGCACAAAAACCATTGAAGATTTACTCTAATTTGAAGGATTTAGAGTTTAGAGATTTAGGGTTAGGGTTTATAATTTGGGCTTTAGGGATAGAACTCAAAATTGGAGGTCTAGAGCTTAAGGTAATCCGCTAATTAGTTGTTATCATATGTTATATCATCATATTACACTAATTCTACAAATTAAAACTCAAAATCCGACACCTTAAGACTAGCTTTTGAGTTGGGTACATTGAACGCACTCATTTTTGTAAGTGCACCGAAGTAGTCACCATATATATATATATATATGGTTATGTCTTCGGTGCACTCACTTTTTTGGGTGCATTCAATGCACCCGCCTCATAATCGTCATTCTGAGCAGACGATTCATGTGAAAACGATGTCAATCATCCCTTGTAGTATGATGAACAAGAACCACATGAATTTGTACAAAAATCATTTAAGATTCACTTTAATTTGAATGATTCAGGGTTTAGGAATTTAGGGTTAGGGTTAGGGTTTACAATTTGGGATTTTGGGTTTAGATTCAAAATTGAATGTTAATAGGTTAGGGTAGTGGGTTGATTAGTAGTGATTCTGTGTTATTAAATTTCAAAATTTGATGTATTATGACCACTTTTAAAGGTGGGTGCACTGAATGCACCCAAAAAAGTGAGTGCACCGAAGTAGCCACCATATATATATATATATATACTTCTCGATCACTATGTAATTTATAATCTTGTTAAGTATAATGCAACTGACTTATCTCTTCTTACCTATAGATTAATACATTGTGTTAGAAAATTAGGTAAATCTCAATCCATTTTCTCATTTTCCGATTATCTCAATCCATTTGGTTGGGTCGGGGAAAAAAACATCAGAGTTGCTGTCTGCGGGCCAAATGAATTTAACAAACCAAGCCCTCGATCGAAACGATACAGCAGTATTCCATAGCAAAGTCCATTGAAGGCAAGAGCTGTCGGCCCAAAACTCTTGCACTATATAAGTCTACAAAACAAAAGGATCCACTAGTCCTCGAACCAACCCAAATTCATTCGTGTGAACCCAGCCATAAGTCTTTGGTTGGCTTTTTTTTTTTTTATGAAAGGTGGTTGGCCACAAAATAGGTTAATTATGCCCAAGTTCGACTGATGTCATTGTTGTGAATTACGGCCAATTGCATTCAAGCAATACCAATTGAGTTTACGATCCCTCGCCATAGGAAAAACATATCATAAGCACTAAGTACAAATTAATTAAGACATTGATAGTAGTACGAGTGCCACTTGTAACAACTTATTTAAGTTCTGATGAGCAGTCTTGTACTTCCACTTGTGGTATAGTATTCTCCTCGTCACTCTGATTAGGTTAGAGGAACTATTGTGGTTATACAATACGAATGATCCGTTGTCATTATAAGTGACGAAATTGGTGGTTATGCGGCGGCGACGAAATTGGTAGTTGTACCACAGGTGCCACTTGTAACAACTTTTTTAACCTCTATTGAGCCGACTTCTACTTCCACTTGTGGTATAGTATTCTTTGCATGATCCTGATCGACTTTAATCTGCTTCTCTTCTTTGACTTTTGCCCATAAAACACTATATAGCCCACCAACCAACAGCACTCCACCCAAGATACTATTACCCATAAAAACAAAAGGTTAAAAGTAGGTCAACTAAACAAATTCTAATTGATAAACTACGATTGAGAAATCATGATATATAAGTAAGGGTGGGCATTTGCTATTAGTCCTGAACCAGATCGAATCGAGATAGGCCAATTGTACCTTCCAAGGTCGATGAAGTCGCACAATAGTGCAGAGCACACCATTGTGAAGATGAAAGCCAAAGGAGTAGACATGGCTAGAAAGACTGGTCCTTTCTTCTCCAAAACCCATGCTTGCAAGTAATAGGTCACCCCAGTCACCACAACACCCTAAGAACATATAGCAAATTAGTTAATCAAAAAATCAATTAATGGCTAAAACAATCGATCTTATTGTTAATTACGTACACAATATATCACAGCGACGAGTTTCATATCCCAGCCAAGTTTCCACTCGTTAAAATCTCTTTCTATTGTGATTGCAACAAAGAATGACTGGAAAGAGCTCATAGCGCACTGAAGAGCCGTGAAAAGAAGCTTCGGTGGGTAACTTTTCTGTAGTCTTGCCTAATACAATAAAGAAAAGAAGTTATATGAGTCAAGTAAGATGTCAATGCAAGATGATAAGTATATACATCATATATGTTTAGCATGATTTGCCGAAACAGTTTAGTCCTAATAACTTGAGTTGGTGAGACTGTAAGTAAGTGGTATATGATTCATAATTGAACCCCTCCCAACTACTCGAGTTATTGAGACCAACTAGTTCTTGATATGGTATCACAGTCTCTTGTTACTTAGAGGCTTTCGGTTTGAATATCGACGACCTCATTTGTTAAGCACATGGTATTTGGACCTATACAAACTTCAAGTTCATATAGGGTGGGTTTCGTTTGAGGGGTGTGTTAGTAAGTGACATATGATCCATAATTGAACTTCTCCCAACAACTCGAGTTATTGGGACTAACTGGTTCTTGAAAAGACCGACCATATGTATGGATCTTATATATATATACCACTTCCTTACACGCCTTCTCAGACGAAAGACAACTCTTGAGGTTGAAAAGTTTCACAGACCCGACATACCATGTGTTTAAATCAACTATCAATATCAAGAATCATGAGGAGATGAACACAAGACATAATGATCAAACCATCGCTGATATCATATCATAAATCGTGTTGGTTCCAGTAACTCGAGTTGTCGAGAGAGACCCATTTATGAATCGTATACTACTTCCTTAGTATAGACACTGAGACATATATATGGTACCTGAAAGACAAGCCAATAGCCCCAAGTGAAGCTACATGTGAGCATCAAGAAACAACCTTTGATCCACGTATTGTGAGATTCAAGGTATTGGCTTTGCCCATAGGAATGCTTGAAGAGGCAGAAGAGCTTGAAATGGGGGCCTTGGTAGAATGCTAGAGATGCTACTCCACCCATGCATGTCACCAACCCTACTAGTTTCGCCTTTCCAGATGTACTCCCGACCTTCAAGGTTTCCACTCTGCATCCATACGACATCATTTTGAAAATACACAAACCCGATTTTTTTATCAATCGTGTGTTACGGCTTTCGGTCTAGATTTTTTGTTTTAACCAAAATCAAACTGGTCGATTTAATGATTTTGGTTTTCGATTTCGCATTAATTTCGAAAAGACAATATGAAACCGGTAACATCCTAACTAAGTCAATGCCGGTCAACTAATTAACAAGCCATTGTTATCAACTTATTTGCAGTAGGCTTCTTTTCTATTTTCATGCTTCTTGTTGTCTGTATACCCAAATTAAACCAAGACCGTTAAGAGACTTATTGATTTTCGGCTAACCTATAACTGATATAAGCCCCTTAATAATTTTGATTTTGGTTTTTGGAAATTTTCGTGATTTGGTTTTTATTTTTTCATATTTAATGATTTGATTAACCAAACCTGCATCCCTACCGTACGCACTCCACAAAAAAAAAAAAGTTTCATGCCAATTTCGGCGTAATTGTGCATGCAAATTTCTGCGTAATTTTGTTGGCATAAACTTCTATATATAAATTTTATTAGTCGAGTTTATTTCATCCTTTGTATAGATGAAATTGACTAAAGTTTCCATTAAGATATATGTATAATGTATATTACCTAAATATAACGGCCATGAAGAAAGTAACGACGGGAAGGCAATTAGTGGTGGCCGCCGCCAAGGAGGCAGAGGTATAAAGCAAGCCATAGCCATGGATGTTCATCGTCACCGTTATCCTGCGGGCACGTATATATTGCATGCATGCATGCACACTAATTAAAACGTATCGGATAATCAAAATATATATCGATTCTAAACAAAGTACATGTACTAATAATGGTCGAAATACCCAATGAGAGCAAGCATGAAAATCTTGCAGAAGATGACCAGCGAGAGCGGCGGCGAATGCTTCCTGTAGCGATACACAAAAATATCCACATTCGTATATATCAGGCTTGAATCCGCGATTTAATATATCGCGCGGATATGGTAAAACGCAAATCAAAAGAACCACTTTTAGTGTATATGACGCTAAGGTATAGGGATCGTTTGTAGATCCAATAGATGCATTTTATCATAGATAAAGATAGTAGCATAGTGATTTATAGTTATACGTTTTATCGTTGATTTGATGAAAGCGCGCAGTTGTTTCTATAAGCCAAAAGCTGTTTACCCAAATTTGAATATTAAGGAGAATAGGCTTGCATCATGATTTTCATACTATTTTAAATATATATTTTCCATGGTTATATACCATTCGAGGAAGAAGGCAAGAGGAGCAAGGATGACGGTGGCCAAGACTTGCCGGTAGAAGACCAAAATGGAAGGGTTTAAGCCGCCGTCGAACGCCGCCTTCGACACCAAGAACATTCCGGCGTAAATCAGCCGCGTTAATACCACGGCTCCATACGCCTTGGTGGTGTCGTTGCACCACCACCACCGCGACGGCTTCGAAACTCCTCCTCCTTCTCCTCCTCCCATATGTATGTGTCAATATAGACTGCAAATATGCTTAATCAATGTGTCTTTAATTTCTTTCCTTCTTATATATTATATAGCATAAGCTAGTAAGCATATTACGGCATCAATCACGTCCTCGCGATTGGTTTGAGACCACGACTCGTTGAAGTTTCCGTCAAAAAGATACATAGTAACCATGTGTGGGAAGGTTGGGTAACATTGTTTAGTATAAAATGAAAGAGTCAAATGCATCGGTTGTCCGCTTACCAGCATGTTTATATAAGGTTGCATAGATGATGATAATTACGGGTTGGATAATTGACGATGAGAAAAAGCAAAAGAATATGCTGATTAATACGTTGTGTTAGCTAGGTCCACGTGCAAGAGAGAGCAGTTCCACTATACTTGAAAATGTTACATATTGCAGATGAATTTAGAAGTATGTATAGTATTTTTTTTTCATATGGCCTAACTCAAATCCAATATGGTAAAGAATAAGGTTGCAGACCAGACCCAGGACAACAATCTCAACGTGTATAAGCCTATACACATGACTAGGAGATGTTGCCCCCGAACCTTATCAGGATAGATAATCCGATTCAATACATATCAACAATAGATTTGTTTTTATTGTTGAATGCTACTTATTACGGGATTCGAATATGAAACTTATAGATTAAAGATCAACAACATATACCAATAGATCAAGCCCTTATTCGTCAGCTACCAACACTTCGAGTCATTTTCCAAATGTTTGTAGATACCATTCAGACACTTTGAAATGGGTCATGATAAAAAAAAACAAAATATAAAAAAAGCAAGCAATCTAATTAGCATGTGTTTTTTGTTTATCATCGCCAATAAGTCGAGGACAAAAATATGTACCGCAATGTATGGACGAAAAATCATCAAGCCAAGAACATGCTAGGTAGTTTTAAGGCTTAATTGCAACTTTGGTCACTCGAATTGCTATAAAATTTCACGTTTGCCACTCGAATTAATTTATTCCATTTATAGTCACTAGAATTAGTTGAACAGTCCAAGTTCGGTCACTCTCCGTTAACCTCCGTTAGACTCCGTTAATGACGATCGTTAAGTGATGACGTGGCTAACAGAAAATCACAGTCAGCATAATTTAACACTAAAAAACGACGACCCGCCACGTCATATTTACCCATCATATCAGCCCTTCTTGCCCAACCCGCGAACCAACCCAATTAATTGACCCAAACCCAAACCCGAGACCCAAACCCCCAAAAAATAAATCGCCGTCCACGAGAAAACAATCACCGCGATTATCCCCACCACCGCAGCATTCGACATCCCCTTCTTCCCTCCTGATCTCAAGCACACCTCCATGGGCCGACCACACAACCCCTCCGATGAGTTCCCCTGAAACGAACTAACGAGGAAACCGGAGAACGATGGAGAAACTGGTCACATCTGGTTCGATCCCTCTCTGGCGCATTTCGTCGAACACCTGCTCGGCCAAAACAATCGTCTTCTCAAACTTATGCTCCGGCTGCAATCTAGCTCTCCTGCCATTGGCGGATCCAGGGGGTGGCCAACCCAGGCCCCGGCCCAGCCCTCCTCTGGATCCAAAGTTAGTATAGTCCTCATGAATTTTTCGATCTTAGACATTCGGTTCAGTGTTATTTTATAATAAGATTGTGTGTAACTAGAAAAATAATTCATATGAACATATTCAAATAACTACTCTAAATTTAGCTTATAAATTCTAGCCCTAAAGATTTTCGTCTAAACAAAAACAACGGACATGAAATTTTAAAAGTCTAATGCGTAAAAGACTAATAAAAGAAATATGAAATTTATTCCATTGAAAATTTACTAGAGCAGTTGTTGGATATAGGGATGGACACACAATGGAAACTGATTAGTCGATTGATTTTAGTATTGACGCTGTCTGTTTCAACAATTACTACGGCGAGAACCTTATCAACAATGAAACATGAGAAAACTGATTAGCGCAACAAAATGAGCGATGAATTACTCGCCGGTTGCTCAAGTATTTTATTTGAAACAAAGCATACTATTGACATGGATGTAGACTCCATTATTGATGCATTCGCTAAATTAAAACACCATCATGAACAATTGACATTGTAAAAAAATATAAAATCATTATCCTTTTTACGGTATCTAATTTTTAATGAAATCCGGCCTAGTGCACTACTGTGTTCTGGATCCGCCGCTGTCTCCTGCATATCCCATCTAACAAGACGTTGTAAGTAACGACATTGGGCTCGATTCCCTTCTCATCCATCTCTCTCAAAAACTTCTCCGCCATGTCCAATCTCCCCAGCTTGCACCATCCGCAGATCAGAACAGTGTACATCCTGACATTGGGAACGAAGCTGAATTTCCTCTTGTTGAAAACCTCGACAGCCACTTTCACATGCCCGTACTTGCAGAGAGTGTCGAGCAGGAAGCAGAAATGGGTCGAATCCACCGACCCAATGAACCCTTGCATATCGTCGAACGCGCGAATCGCTTGGCGGGTGAATCCGGCGGATTGGTGAACCCATCTGGATGATTAGCTGCCAACAAACGTCGAATTGGTGAACCTTCGCGAGGATATCGATCATGAGGTTGTAAGCGGCGGAGGTGGCCGGAGAAGAAGGGAGGGAGAGAGAGTAGTGGAAGAGGGATAGGGCGATCTTGGAGCTGTGGCGGAGCGGATTAGGGTCTGGTGGAGGAGGGAAGGCGTGAGCGAGATTCCGTTGAGCTGGAGGCAGGATTCCATGGCGTGGAAAGGGTTGTGGTGGTGGAGGAGCATCTGCGAGAGCAGTTCGGCGTCGACGGATGGTTCGAGTGCGGGGAGCTCGGAGGTGACTGCGGATGCGGAGAAGTTGCGACGGCGGAGGAAGGTAGTGGTGGCGAGGGCTCGATCTCTGTTTATTTTTCAGGGGTTGTGTCTCGGGTTTGGGTTTGGGTTAATTAATTGGGTTGGTTCGCGGGTTGGGCAAGAAGGGCTGACATGGCGGGTAAATATGACGTGGCGGGTCGGGTCGTCATTTTTTAGTGTTAAATTATGCTGACTGTGATTTCCTGTTAGCCACGTCATCACTTAACGGTCGTCATTAATGGAGTCTAACGGAAGTTAACGGAGAGTGACCGAACTTGGACTATTCAACTAATTCGAGTGACTATAAATGGAATAAATTAATTCGAGTGACAAACATGAAATTTTATAGCAATTCGAGTGACCAAACTTGCAATTAAGCCGTAGTTTTAATGATTAGATGGATTTTATAAACTTTTGACGTTACAAAACATGTTGTGGGTGATTGTAAACATTAACAAAGTCCGATTGGAATCTACCATCTAAATGGTTGGAATGCATTTGGGCTGGACAATTTGTGGAAAAAATTCAAATGCGAATCAAACCAATCAAAATCGGGTTAAACCAATTAAAAACAACTAGTTTGACCATTCAAACCCGTATTTTTTATGAGTCATTCAAACCCGTATTTGAAGATGAAGATTAATAATTTTGTAATATATATTTATTTAGAAGAAATAATTTGGAAATATATGAATATAGATTAGCAAGAATGTTTTAAAATCTGTCACATATGCATAATCTATTTGGTATTAGAGGTTTTCTCACATATATTATATTAAACTCGATTTGAACTAGTTGAACTCGATCCGACTCATTAAACTTCAAATCACTTGTCAAACCAACTTGATTACTTAATTCGACAACTTGTATGAAAAATGTAAAACAAGAAATATTATTATTATATTATAATAGTAGTAGTAATTTGTTGGAAGCTTCTGTGAGGGTAACAAAGAGGGATACTTTTGGAAACAATAATGGCGCAATTTCCTAATTAGTAGTTGACATATGCATGGGTCCATGCATGTCAATACAAATAAGTAATAATTAACATAACTTTCTGTTTCTGATAGCTACTTTCCATATATATGGATGTGTTATAAATAAGGGTGGCTATACGGTCCGGTTAAATTGGTCTAAATTGATCTGGTTCAGTATGTTATTTTCGAAAATATAAGGATCAAAGATTGGATTGGATACAGCCCGGTCTTGATCCAATCCTGTCTTGACCCGATCCGGTCCCAATTCGGTCTTGATTTTATATTGAGCTTGTGTGGATTTGAGTGGCCTAATGCCTGAAAGGGTGAGGAGTTGGTTCAGTTTTGTACTAAGTGCAAATGTTTGTGACCGTTTATGCTAATTACTCTTAAATTTTGGGTGTTGAACTCTCTTATCCGATCTTTATCCAGTTTTTGATCCGGTCCCAAACGGTTTTTTTTTTATCTTAAATCTAAGCCTAAAAATTGAATTGGATTGTTTACTATTCGGTCTCGGTCCGGATTATACGGTTCGATTTCGAGTAAAACCAAAAAACTCGAACCAGTACTAGTTATAAACCAATAAATTACATAGCTAATGTATAAATCTTAATCACTCTTTTACACGTCTCATTAAATAAAAGCAAGACTTTCAGTTTGGGCTTCTGAAACAACTTTCACACTAGAAAATAGTTTCATTTAATTGGGAAAATCTCATATATAGACAGTGGCGTAATCATAATTTTGATTAAGGTGGGTTTGACGTAAATATATAAATTATACTTTATTAATATTTAAACAATCATCACCGGCTTTCATAATTTGTCGACTGATTTTTCCTTGAGAATGAAGAATTTGATAGTAAATTAGGAATTAGCAAACTCAAAATGAACAATTAGCGACACCATTTTTATATAAATCTAGAGTTGTTTACATAATATGCAAGGTTAATATGTGTTGATGTGACTTAAATCGCACTATCAGCCGTTACGACTGGTAGTCGCGGGCAACGCCCCCGGCCCACGGTGTATGAACTCAATATTATTTGGGTTCGGGTTCTTGGCCTGGTCTGTAACCGTTTCCTTTGCCAGATTGGATTAGGTTTAGACCCATATGGAGAAGTACTATAAATACTTCTCATACTCCTTTGTAATCTGTAATCTCCTCGATATAGTGAAACTGGCTCTCTCTCGCTCGTGGACGTAGCTAACACACATCATGTTAGTGAACCATGTAAATCGTGTGTATGTATTTTTTTTTCGATTCTCGCTTTCGTATTCTTGCTTTGTCGTCTCCGACGATTTTCCGATCCGTAGCAACGCGTTTAAAACAATATGTGTCATAATGTTCTCTACAATCTATTGGTAGACAAGTAAAACTAGTGAAAGTGTGATGTTGGGTTTGAGTATTACAAAATTATGTACAAATATTATTATTTTTGGGTGTTCTAATTCTGAATCAAAGTAAATCTCGGAACCCACTCTCTAAGTAACATTGTGACTCCACCACAATATATAGATGTTAATCACTTTCTTACAAATCTCGTTAAAGAACAGCAATATTATTAGGACTTCTAAAACGATTTTCTTTAGAAAAAAGTTCCGTTTGGTTGGGTCCGCGTCAGAGTTGCTGCGGGCCGAATGAATTTAATAAACCGAGGCCTCAATCGAAACGAAACAGCAGATAAGTCTATAAAACGATCCACTAGTCCTCGAACAAACCCAAATTCATTCTTGCGAAACCCATTAGGCTTTGGTTGGCGTTTGATGAAAGGTTGTGGGCCGCAAAATAGGTTAATTAAGTTTAGGTTGGACGGCTATCTATTACTACATCGTTGTAGTGAATCACGGTGTTGATGTGAATTGAATCGGACTATCTGGCTACGACTGGATGTCATGGAGTTTTCCTTGTCCGGTGAGCGAGTGGGGTCCAGGAGCAACGTTTTTCCTTTACCAAATTGGATTAGTGTTAGACCATGGAGAAATACTATAAATACTTCTCATACGACTCTACAATATGTATATCCTTAAAGTATAATGAAACTGGCTCTCAATTGCTCGTGTATACTAGCTAACACACATTGTGTTAGTGAACCACGTAAATCTGTGTGTCGTGTTTCGTTCATGCTTTCGTATTCTTGTTTTATCGTTCCTCATATTTTCCAATCCGCAGAGAAACAGTTGTGACACATGGGCTATTGAGTCGTGGTAAGGGATAAGGAGAATAAATTTTGCCTGACAGTAGTGAGGCGTACCAGGGTTCAGTGGAGCCCATTAATGGCGGAGATTATGGTGATTCGCTTTGGATTGACAATGGCCGAGGAGTAGGGATGGCAATTACCCACCCATGGGTATTCTTGCCCAAATCCAATTATACCCATATATTATGGGTAGGGTATGGATTTATTCTATATAGGTTTGGATAGTACTTGGGTAGGTGGATTTGGATTTGGATTTTGTTTTCCATGTGAAAATGGATATGGGTTGGATATGGGTATCCATCACTTTGGACCTGTTTGTAAATGTTTATTGATTTAGGTACTAAATGTAAAACAAAAAAAATTGAAGTATCAAATTATAATTTTTGTATAAAGTTCAGGTACTAAATAGTAATTTGATATGTAAAATTAGCAGCGAAACCTTCCACCGGAATTTCCTCCGTCGACCGGTCTCTCCGCCAGTTCGCCGGCAGCCGGAAACGTCACTGGTGACTCTGGGAGTCTGGGACCCGATTCGCCGGTGAACCTGGAGCGTGCCTCAACTTCGTCGGAGCCGGAAAACGTCGCTGGTGAAGCTGGGAGTCTGGGACCCGATTCGCCGGTGAACCTGGAGCGTTGAAAATCATCCACAAAACAGAGCAATCGATACCATACTCTCTTGCTTTCTTCTTCTCTAAACTCTCAATCCAATAGAAACCATGTCTTGTTGCGGAGGAAAGTGTGGGTGCGGCTCAAGCTGCAAGTGCGGCAGCGGCTGCAACGGCTGCAGCATGTACCCCGATCTAGTCGAGACCTCCACCACTTCCACCCAGATCCTCATCGCCGGCGTTGCCCCGGCCAGCATGTAAGTTACCAATTCCTCTGTGATCCTTTGAACCTTATTATTTTCTGAGTTAATCAAAGTAATATTGAATTGGGTCCGAATTTATTCGACTGCGCAGGGGATTTGAGGGCTCGGAGATGAGCTTCGGTGCGGAGAACAGCCACTACAGTAACCAAACCCATCACCATGTCCACACAGAATCTCAATCATTCACCATCTCAAGACAAACAACTGTCATGAGCTGTTTTGACAAGGCTCTGCCAGCATTTGACATAACACATCTTTAAATGGTTGAAAGAAGTGAGTTACAGATGAAAACTGGAATCTCCTTTCCCATGTCTTCTTCCCTAGTTTACAAACCAGATTGCATAACAATTAAACAAAGAAAGGCAAAAAGAGCCAGTCTTCAAGTTAACAATATTTGGCATTATGAGACTCTCTTCCACTTTCTCTTCCTTCTTTGCCGCTCAAATTGGCAACGATACTGGACAAGGCAGAGTACGTCCCAAAAGCTGATGCCACTAACCCAACTGTAATTACCAAACCACACAGAGCAACCTGCAGAGTAACATCCACACAGCACAAACAAACACCATTACTGGGATTTCCAAGAAGAGAAGCATTCAATCTGCAGAGTAACATCAGAGTCTGCACATCATTTAGACAAGCATTAGATGGTACTGTAACAGATATGGTTTCCAAATTGGAACAAAGAATGGTACTGTAACATATGGCAGCAAGAAACTAACCATCCTAAAGAGCAGAAAACTAATGAAATGGTTCTCAGTTCTCATATTCCACCACTTCTTCATCATAACCACCATCATTCTCACAGAAGATGGTTTGAGTCGAACCATCAACATCGGGAGAAAATTCGGCTACACCTGCAAAATAACATAATCAAAATAAATCATTCTCAAACCAGCTATGTTTCTACTGCTACTGCTAAGTGCCACCATGGTTTGTATATTAAATTCCCCAACCACCTGAGTTTCAGACTTTGAGCAAAACAAAAAATGCTAGCAGTCACAGTTGAAACAAGAATAAGAGCAGCAACAAAGAATAGTTTCTCACCACGAAGTTCATTAAAAAGCCAGTTCTGAGTGCACATAAGAGCTTCCACAGTCTTGGAATCAAGCCGGCTCCGATGAGGGTTTAGTAATCTTCCACTTGTGCTAAACGCAGACTCTGAGACAACTGTTGACACTGGAATGGCCAGAATGTCCTTGGCAATCATCCTTAAGGTTGGAGAACAATCATACAAGCAAGCTCTCTTCTACTAGTTTCTTGGTCAAAAACAACAGGACTCGAACTCCCCATACCGATTTTCCTTTTCTTACTACCCAAAAGTCCACTCACCATGACTGGATCAGCATGTTTTACTGGACATTTAAACAAGTGATTGCGCAAATGAGAAGTTCCTGAGTTGGATTCAGCAACAAGCTTTTTATGGCAATGTTTGCATTCAGCTTTTCTTAACCCATTAATCATAACTCGATCATATTCCTTCCATACCTCAGACCACTGCTTTGCAGAAGACCATGACATACGACTAGAAGGCACACTATGTTGGTCTGGATTACTAGTCTCATGATTCATTGAGAGATTATCATCATTAGTTTCTGAAGCCATATTTCCCTAAAAATACCAAACAAGCAACAAGCAATCATTCAAACTAGTGAAACAGCCCAATCATTCAACGAAACAGAGATTACAGTAAACTATATATTTCTAGTTCTAACTTCTAACTCTTTCAACTTTTAGAACCAGAGACAGAGAGAGAGAGAGAGAGAGAGAGAGAGAGAAAGAGAGAGAGAGAGAGAGTGATTGTATTTACCAAAAGATGACTTCTTCTTCTTCTGGAAGTTGGTGGGTATTTGCGGCTGTAGTAGTCGTAGCACTTCTGGAAGAAGGAGATCAGGCTTCTTCCGTCAAGGGCGTGTCCAAGCAGGCGAAGGGCTCAAGCAATATTACCAGCAACACATCCACGAGCTCCAGCTCTTGGTTCGGCAGAAGAGTCACAATCTCAATCGTCTCGAAGCGCAACGGAATGAGCTCAATTCTAGAGGTGACTGCTCCGATCTCGTAACTTTTTCTCGTTTCTTCTAGCCCTAATTTTGTCTCCCGTGTATCATCGAGTCTCCTGTTAAATTCATTAGACCTCGAATCGAATGCTGGAGTGGGTTCGACAACGATGACGGAACGGGTGCGATTCAGTGGGTCGGAGCTCGGAGGGGATAACGATGGCGGCGATGGCCGTGGCGCCGGCGAATCAACTGTGTTTCGAATCGAATGCTGGAGTGGGTTTCAACAACGATGGCGGAGTGGGTGCGACCCAGTGGGTCGGAGCTCGGAGGGGATAACGATGGCGGCGATGGTCGTGGCGCCGACGGCGGTGGCCGGCGGAGGGGATAACTGAGACAGCTCGGAAGAAAAGAAGTCTCGAGTCTCGACTGAGATGGAAGGGAAAGAGAGAATCTCGATTTTTTTTTGTTTTTTGTTTTTCAGTTTTAATTATTTGGATTTGGATTGTTTTATCCAAATCCATGGGTAAACCCAAAGTAGATCCAATATAATGGGTATGGGTTTTGACCCATCTGACTTCACCCATTTGAATTTAACTTGCACTCCAAACCCAACCCAACAAGGTTGGATAATTAAAAGCCCATGGGTATGGGGATTTTTGCCATCCCTACCGAGGAGCATGGATTCCGATCGACAATGATTGAATCGGAATGTCGGGTGGCTATACATTATCTACAGCGCGCAGAAAGAACAAGAACGGAGGAAGGTGACGCGAGTGTAGGGGTGAAGGACGTGAATATCACCGATATGATCGACATGGTCGATTTGTGGACTATAAACAAAATAACGTCATTTTAGTTAATTTCATTAATAAAAAAATTAACTATGATTCATTTCATGGCTTGTAAAAGTTAAATATTGATAATATTTGTTGAATTCAAGTATAAAAAGTTTGAGTTTCGACGTTAAATTTTTTATTTAAATATAGATTTTTTTATCTTGTTTTGAATGTTATATTTTGTTTAAATATAAATTATAAATAACTTGTCTTCAAATATATTTTTTATATATGCTTCAATGTATTTGATGTTAATTCATATTTTTATATATTTTACTAAACCGACACGAAGCAACAGAAACCTGTTGTACCAGTAGTCGAACCATCCAGTTGCTAAACGAATGGAACGATGTAAGCGGATTTAACAACCTTCATCATATTAATCATATGCCCAAAGAAAATAGACCTAACCGATTCTCATTAGTGCCTGCATGTCTTAGTGAACAGTAGTTCGGTTATATATATATATATATATATATATATATATATATATAATAATAATTATATGCATGGTGCATGCCTAGCTAACGTGAATATATGTTAACTAATAGAGGCGTAAAGCGCTATTCTATCCATAGTTCATTTACGTACCATTCGAGGAAGAAGGCGAGAGGAGCAAGGATGACGGTGGCCAAGACTTGCCGGTAGAAGACCAAAATGGAAGGGTTCAAGCCGCCGTCGAACGCCGCCTTCGAGACCAAGAACATTCCGGCGTAGATCAGCCGTGTTAATACCACGGCTCCATACGCCTTCGCGGTGTCGTCGCTGCACCACCACCACCACGTCGTCGTCGAAACTCCTTCCACTGCCCATATAAGATGTATGTGTTCATTACGACTGTAAAAATGCTTAAGCGTGTCTTTCTTCCTTCTTATATACGGTGGCATTAATCTCGTTCCGGCGATTGGTTTGAGACCACGATCGACTTGAAGCTTCCGCCATAAACATATATAGCAACAATGGTGTTGGAAGGCAGTGGTTGTCAGCATCCAACATTTCTAGATTAAGGCGGAAATGGTAGTTTGGAGGTTGGCGGCTGCTTAATTATTTGATGAAATATTGAAGATATATTGCTATTGATTTAAGGAGAAATTTTACAATGCTATATAGTATTGGTGCTATATGTTTTTGTCTTTATGGTACAATTTAAAATTGTACATTTACGTTATGGTACAACTTCTTATTGTACCTATACTTTTTGTACAAATTCTTTTATGGTACAATTTGAAGTTGTACCTTTATGTGATGGTACAACTTCAACTTCAAGTTGTAAAGTTGTACCATAACATAATGGTAAAAATTGCTTTATGGTACAACCTAAACTTATACATTTTATGTTATGGTACAACTTTGAGTTGTACATTAAAACACCAATGCTATATAGCATAGTAGAAGTGTTCATTGATTAAGGTATCTTTTATTTATCTCGCCAACAGAGCTCATTCATTCCTCTAGTGTGTAGGTGTTCATGATTTCGATATTTCGGATCTAGCTGGTCTCAATTACTGGATCTTGTATGACACTATAGATACTGCCCAATCTAGTTTAATTTTAAGTGCTAGACACGAACGTCCTTTAATAGTGTCCCATGTCTATAAATAAATAAAAAAGTGTTTCTGACCATACTAATGAAACCTTGCATATAATATATATATATATGGTGGCTACTTCGGTGCACTCACTTTTTTGGGTGCATTCAGTGCACCCACCTCTAAAAGTGGTCATAATACATCAAATTTTGAAATTTAATGGGTAGCATTAGTCTCATATGATGATATAACACAGAATCACAACTAATCAACCCACTACCCTAACCTATTAACATTCAATTTTGAATTTAAACCCAAAATCCCAATTGTAAACCCTAACCCTAACTTTCTAAACCCTGAATCATTCAAATTAAAGTGAATCTTGAATGATTTTGGTACAAATTCATGTGGTTCTTGTTCATCATACTACAAGGGATGATTGACATCGTTTTCACATGAATCGTCTGTTCAGAATGACGATTATAAGGCGGGTGCATTGAATGCACCCAAAAAAGTGAGTGCACCGAAGACATAACCATATATATATATATGTATTCACACTTAATATTTGTAAATCAAGTTTTATGATTAAATAAAATATGCATAAAATCTATATTACAACCGCACTCGTTAATTTATTTTTCTATACAATGTAGTCCCCCAACAATTTTTATCTTTCGTTATTACTGAATCAATAATTCCTTTGACACATTAAATCAATCCTTTAAGTGTTGGTCGATCATTCTATAATTATAGTACTGTCTTTCTCCAAATAGCACACCTCAAATTAAATTATACAACTTACTTTCTCCAAATTCCAAATCATAGTCTGAAAATCCTAGTCCCATTAAGAATGATAAACATCAACGGTAAGATGATTATATCTCTAACATGATTTATTATTGCTCGGATATATGAACGATGAAAGCCTCCATGCTCACTCTGGTGCGTTCCGGGATTACAGAGCTATGTTATATGCAGTATTAAGCCACTTACATATAGAAAAAGATATGAAGGACCTGATAATAGACCTAATACTACTTTATTACTACTAAATCCAATAATAAATATCGGACTAATAAATAATGATAATATAGGAATCTAATAACATAACCACAGTTTCAACATAAAGTATCATACCTTTGAATTTTTCAGTACAACCTTCGATGCTTGTTGCTGGTTATTCATGAACTTCATGGGACGGCTCCAAGATGCCAATACCAAGAAAATATCGAACACAACCTTCGGAAGCTCATCCCCACTCCAAAATGGATACTAAAGACTACTGGTTGGTTGGTTTTTTATGGTTTGTGTTTTGATGGTTCATTCCAAAGGTGTCCCAGCGTATCTGCAACACATTTGGGAAATGATTCAAAAGAGGCATTGTGATGCTAATTAAAGTATCCTTTGTTTCTTTAACAAGACGTTTTGGCCATAATGACTCGTTTTGGAAAAGCATTGGCCATGTGACCAAAACTATCCGAATCCAAATCCAAATCGGTTGGTTCGGCCTGTTTATAAAATTTAGACCAGGAGCACGAAGTTTGGTCGATTATTCGTAACTCCAATAATGTAGTCTGAAATTTAATAGAAGGGTGAATTTGAACTCTGGTTCAACCTGTTTATATGCGTGTATATTTTAGTCATAACTTGTAATTAAGGTGGTTTACCTTAGAAACCTGATTTGTTGCATGCTCTGATTTGTGTAAGTTCTTTATAAATGTGAAATGAACACAAAAACATGCATCATAATAACCTCTTTAACTATTGCGCATGAATCCTATATCTTGCATATCATACACATAAACCGGGTTCTTCGTATTGATCGGGCATAATTGCTAAACAAAAAATTAATCATCAACGATATAAACTTGATCTTATCGACTTGATTATCGATATCCCGTCGCATCATAAAATTACACTCTTCATAAACACAAATTGAAAAAAAAAAATGAGTAGTTCACACTTCACATGTCGTTTTGATTGAAATCAATAGTCACATCGACTCAATCAATCTGTCAAAATTAGGATATCTAGATCACTCTATTATTCCAATAATCTTCAACATGTATAAATAAGTGGACTCTTCATCAACACACACCATACATAGAAGCAAAATAATACAGTAAACAAACAAACCATCGTCGCCGATCATCGGAAAAGCTTGTCCATATGGGAGGAGCTTCACCGACGGCGAGGTTCGGTGGTGACAAGAAGGCGTACGGAGCGGTGGTACTAATACAGCTTATCTACACCGGGATGTTCCTCCTCTCCAAGAAGGCGTTCGACGGCGGCTTCAAAGCTTCCATCTTCGTCTTCTACCGGCAGACCTTCGCCGCCGCCCTCATCGTCCCTCTCGCCTTCTTCCTCGAATGGTAAAAATTATAAATACACAATATTATTCTCCACTTCATTAATATAGTCAAAATCGCGTTTTAAAACTTAAAAAACTTACTCTTTTATGCTTCTAGGTTATCATAATATTTTTTTACGTAAAATCGAAGTTTTATAACTAATGTAGTTAAAAACACGCTTTAAAGTTTAAAAACCTACGATTTTATTTTTCTATATCACCAAAACACTTCCTACGTACAAACGCGCTTTTCACTACATTGCGGTTCACTACCTTTGACTCTTTTCATTACATTGATATAACACTTTTCTCGTGGTCCAAATCTCGGCCGGCGGCGAACAGGAAGGACGCGCCGGCGCTGTCGCTCCCCACCTTCTGCAAGATCTTCGCCCTCTCCCTCTTCGGGTAAAATAAATCCGTTTTATTTCAGTTTTGTTCAAATTCTTAAGCCACATATCGTGTAATGCGGCACCCAAGGGAATTAAGGTATTATATATGGTAATTAACAACAAATAAATTGACAAATATGTTGATATCGTTGGATTGTTATATCGTGTCTTTTTGACGTATTTATGAATGGATGGATGGATGATGCAGGATAACGTTGAGCTTGAACGTCAATGGGATAGCTTTGATCTACACTTCAGCCACTTTGGGTGCTGCCATTGGTAATACCCTGCCAGCCATTACGTTCTTCGTGGCTCTTCTATTCGGGTAATTTAACTAAATTAATTCATATTACTTTTTTTTTTAAAATTAATAATCTTTAGCACTTCATCCAAAGTCGCTCATCAAATTTGAAGATTAATCTAATCTTGTTTAGCACTTTCTAGTTCTACTCTCTGCTATCATTAATGAATGAGCTAATACAATTGGGAAATCCGAATTGTAAAAAAAAGTGTTATTTGTGTCTCGAAAATATTCAATATTCCATTTATATCCCAGAGTATGATAGTTTTGTGTCATTTATATCATGAAGATTTTGTTAACCGTTACAGATAACGGTTGACCAGATGGTGGTCAACTTGATGTTGACTTAGGAGCGGAATCGACGGAGTGATTAAGACGATTTGGGGAATTTTGTAATTTTTTTTATTTTTCTCATTTTAATCATTTTAGATGAAAATATAAATAAAATTTAATATTCAAAATTACATATCATATGCCAAGTCGACACTGACTGCATTTTATGTTAAATATTGACGATCAAACTTGGTCAACACAAACGGAAAAATAGTTCTAAACATAAATGTCATATTGAATAGTTTGGAACACAAGTAACACTTTTGTTGATAGTTCGGGTTTCCCAACGGTATTAGCCCTTAATTGATAAAGTATAAGTCAAACAAAAATCAATATCGATAGTTCTAATTTTATCGAATGTGTGAAGATACCTTAATATATATATATTTTTTTTTTGTTCCTTCTCAGTACACCATCTTTTTTTAATGTGATTGCATATATTTGATGAAATGATTAATTATATGAACTAGGATTAGGTCGGGATTTAATATAGAATTACTGATATTGCTAGATCACGTTCTTGTGTAATATCAACCGTCCAATTAATCCAATGATACTATATATGTACATTATTAGATGACTAAAATCAAACAAGTTTGCGATCATGTATAATTGTGTGTTTTAACTATCTGATTGTGCATCTATGTGAGCACGTTCTTACAAAGCTGAGTTGTGACCATTTTTGCCAAATTCAATATAAGATAGCTTCCTTACATATAAAAGTAGAAACAATCCAACCACTCATAAACACTAGCTAATAATGACTGTGTTCTAAACTAAGTTAATTAGCTAGTTTTGTTACCTCACACAGAATGGAGACATTAAAGGTGAAGACAAAACCAGGGATGGCAAAACTAGGTGGGATAGTTATATGCATGGGAGGAGTGGCAGTTCTTGCTTTCTACAATGGCCCCCATTTTAAGGTCTTGTCTTTCCACAAAGGCCTCCATGGACATGACCTTAGACCTCAGCAACACTCTAGCTCTTCTCATAACACATGGGTCAAAGGTTGTTTCTTGATGCTCTTCTCCAACCTTACTTGGGGCTTCTGGCTCATCTTTCAGGTAGGTAACAGCTAGCTTTCTACCTTAATTTCTATAGAATCACTAGCCTATAAGTGGTTGATTAAGTTTGTTTGCGTGGTAGGGAAAAATGCCACAATTAATAGGTGGGTTAGGTTTATACAAAGGGTACAACAAGATAGAGTACTTTCCAATAGCACACTCATATATTAACAATGTTGTCACGCATGCACGTTTAATCTTCAGAGTTCTTATGGGATCTTATGCATTGATAGGTGGGTTAGGTTTCTTACTTCAAATTTTCATTTGGTGTTGTAGGCAATACTTCTGAAAAGCTACCCATCAAAGTTTCTCTTCACGGCTCTTCAATGCTTTTTGAGTTCGATCCAGTCCTTAGTGGTTGCAGTTGCCATTGAGAGAAATCCCCAGGAGTGGAAGCTTGGCTGGAATATGAGACTTGTGGCTGTAACTTATTGTGTAATCAGAACTAAACTCATAATCATAATTACCACCTAATCATAGTATTAAGTTGTGGTTTCATGGATTTATTATTTTATCTCTAGGGTTTTGTGGTGACTGGAGTGACATTTTACTTGCAAGCATGGGTTTTAGAGAAGAAAGGTCCAGTCTTTCTAGCCATGTCTACACCTTTGATTTTGGTCTTCACAATGTTGTTTTCTGCACTACTAGGTGACTTCATCAACCTTGGAAGGTATATACTTATATATCATCATTCTTTTTTTTTTCAAGAATTCAAATTATTTGGATTAAGCTACATACGCCTTCAGCGTAATATCAAAATCTCTATATATAAGTGGAGTTATGTTGAAATTGTCAACTTGGAATATAATAATTTATTGAGGACGTTCAGACTAACGTAAGATTGAACACCTTTCAAAAACTAAAAGAAATTGAATATGTACCAACTCGTGAATCCAATTTAACATTGTTCTTGTTTGGTGATGTGTTTCCATAGTGTATTGGGTGGAGTGTTGTTGGTTGTTGGACTTTACAGTGTTCTATGGGCAAAAGGCAAAGAAGAAAAGATTATGATTGCTGAGAATATTGATGGGAAGATGAAGACTACACAAGTGGAAAAGGAGAGCTTAGATCTTAAACAAGTGGCTACAATCATTAGCATCCCCGATCATCAAGCATCACAAACCAATGAGTCGAGTTAAGTTTTGATGGAGAAATTAAGATCTTCACATCATCTATATGCAATTCATGCTTAAGGAAAAAATGGGAAACATAAAACAAGTTTCTTTTAGAAGAAGCGGTGGGAAACCATTTCTTCCATTGTAAGAACTCGTGTTAACAGTCGTAAAGATCAACGATCGAGTAGAGGATAGGACCGAGGCAACAAACTAGTCACAGACGACAAATGTAACAATCTCTATCAATTACATAGTTTCACAAAGCATCCCTTTTCATATGCACTTTGATTTACAGATCATTCACTACCAAGTTGTAAAAATGCGGACTTGTAACAAGACTTGGACAAAACAATCACTTATGATTTGTTTGGACGAGTTATATTGCATATGTGGTATTTTGGGATAAACTGATGCATTATTGTTAGATGTGGCTCACATCGCACAAGAATTGTTTTGTTTGATTAGAGCTTTTGCATGAGTAATTTGGTTTGAGGTATTTCTTCACAAAATGGGAAAAAGGGTTTACAATATGAGTTATTTCAAATAATTAACTACTCTTAAGGTGTTATTCGTTTTTTTTATTGCATTAATTGACGATCGAGCGATGATCGTAGAGGTTGGGAAACTAGGAGTTGTTGTAAACGACCTCCACGAACTCATGCAATATTACTGTATAAAGAGTTTCACTTGTTTACTTGTGTGCTACAAGAACTCATGTAATTCATATTCACGTTTTATATAATATATAGAAAAAAAAAAGAAAAAACTTAAGTTTTCGTAAATGAATTGCAATAAAATAAAGTAAATCGCGAATTTTTTGTTTTAAATTCCCAATCCCTAACTCATCGTCGACTTCTCTCTCAAAGCAAAATCTGTCATCAAACTCTCACCCGGTCAATGAATTACGTACGTGAAGAATTAATATATTATGAAGTCGAATGAGTGATATGAAGGGTTGAATGAGTTTTTAATAGAATATGTTGAGAGAATGAGAGTCACATCCTAAATAATTTGAATGATGAATGTATTGTAATTTTTTTTTTTTTACATATGAAGTAAATCATTGTAAAGATTTGATAAAATTTCATTTAATATATTTTATTTCGGACCACCTTCAACAAAATTCTAACGGCGCCATGATCGGTGTATACCATCCACCAAAAAACAAGGGTGTAGTGTAGATAATAGTCATCCTATTATACATATCTCATCGACATTAATTGTTATTCTTATACAAAAGTAAAACAAGAAAGAGTATTATTATATTATAATAGTAGTACTGGTAATGTGTTGGAAGATGCTGGTGGGGATAACAAAGAGGGATACTTTTGGAATTTATAATTGCGTAATTTATTAATTAAATTATATCATTCTTATAATAAAATTAGTTGACATATGCATGGAATTTAGTATGAATGTCAACAATAATAATAACAACATAATTTTCTAATAACTAGTTAACTACTTCCATATATATGGTACTCCATCCATATGTTCATCATTATTGTTACTCCAGCTCCCAAAAATACCAATTTTTACGACATGATGAATGAAATAACAATTTACAACACTTTTTAACTTCAGTTCAAATTATTAACACTTATTTAACAACAATACCAATTTGTTCATAGGATCAAAGTTCAATAGCTCACAACATTCTCTAGCTACTCTGAAAAGATTGATATAAAATGTGGAGTTTATATTGTAGATGATGTTAGTTCCCCTTTGATATTGACAACGTATCTCCATCTAATTAAACTTAAGTGACATCTAGGTGCTTTCGTACTCCGGTCTTTGCACCTAACTCATTGCGGAACCCTTAGCGTGAGACGTTCTGATGTTGCCTAGTACATAAGTGTGCCTAAGCATGAGTTTAAGCACACCTTTTTGAATCATGGTTGTATTATAAATCAATGGATCTTAATATTTTGAGTAATTGGGAGTTGCCCATAGAATATATTTAAATCAAGTATTAATATGAAAGATCATGAGAAGTTAACCTGTTGGTTTCATCTGGCTTCATTTTAACCGTATAACATCTCAGCCAAAATTTGACTATCACTCATTTACTCGTTATTTGGTTTGAAAGTGTATGTTTCTCATGGTAAATTCTTGGGCCCAAATCAAGAATTTTCAGTTTGGGCGAGCGAACAACTCTCACGGCTTTAGAGAAAAGTCCCATTTGGTTGGGCCAACATCAGAGTTGCTGCGGGCCGAATGGATTCAACAACCCTAGCCCTCAGAACGAAACAACAGTACTCCATACGAATAAGGAATAAGAATTATCGGTCCAAAACTTTTGCACAATATAAGTCTATACAAGGATCCACTCGTCCTCAAACTCGAACCAACCCAAATTCATTCGTGTGAACCCACCCAATAGGCTTTGGTTGGTGTTTGATGAAAGGTTGTGGGCCATAAATTAAAATAGGTTAATTATGTTTAAGTTCCACGGTTATTTATTACGATGTCATTATAGTGAATTACGAACCACTTGCGTGTGAATGATAACGATTGAGTTGATGATCATATGATAACTAACAGACCAGAGGGACTGTTGTGATCGTCAAATGCGAATGATCCCTGTAGTAAGAACTTATTGTAAGTACTACGTACTAATTAATTAAGGCGTGACGACATTGGTAGGAGCACATGTGTCACTTGTGACAACTTATTTAAGCTCTGATGAGCAATCTTGTACCTCCATTCGTGGTATAGTATTCTCCTCGTGATCCTGATTAGGCCAGAGGGACTATTGTGATTATACAACACGAATGTTCCCTCGTCATAAGAAGAACTTACATAAGCACTACGTAATAATTAATTCAGTAGAGACGACATTAATAGTAGCACGTGTGGCACTTGTAACAACTTGTTTAAGCTCCGATGAGCAATCTTGTACTCGCATTTGTGGTATGGTCCTCCCCTCATGATCCTGATCACCCTTAATCTGTTTCTCTTCTTTGACTTTTGCCCATAAAACGCTATAGAGCCCTCCAACCAATAGCACTCCACCCAAGATACTATTACCCATAAAAACAACTAAATTAAAATTAGTTCAACTAAAAGGAATTCTAATAGATAAACTACGATTACAAAATCATGATATATAATTAAGGTTGTGCATCGATCAATTCGATTCGGTATAATTTAGTCCTCTGTAGACTGGATCGTTGTCTACCCCTATATAAAAATGGGTACCTTCCGAGGTCGATGAAGTCGCACAATAGAACAGAGAACAACATTGTAAAGATGAAAGCCAAAGGAGTTGACATTGCTAGAAAGACTGGTCCTTTCTTCTCCAAAACCCATGCCTGCAAGTAATAGGTCACCCCAGTCACCACAACTCCCTAAGAACACATAACAAATAATTAGTTCTTAATTATGATATATAAAATTAGTTAATTACACAATCTGTTATTGGCTAAAATAATCGATCTTATTGTTAATTACGTACACAATAAACCACAGCGACGAGTTTCATATCCCAGCCAAGTTTCCACTCATTAAAATCTCTTTCTATTGTGAATGCAACAAAGAAAGACTGGATAGAGCTCATAGCACATTGAAGAGCCGTGAAAAGAAGCTTCGGTGGGTAACTTTTCTGAAGTCTTGCCTAATACCAAAGAGAAAAAAACAAGCCAAGTTAGATACCAATTCAAAATGTGATATCAGAGTCGGGAGGTCGTGTGTCCGAATGCCGAGGATCCCCAACTCCCATTTTTTAATCGCATGGTATTCGTTTGTGTGAAAATAGATATAATATTGATATAACCTTTTCAAACAAGTCGATTTATTGGAACCAACTGGTTCTTGATAGTATATTAGAGCAAGATTTGTCATAAATCATTTAGTCTCAATAACTTGCGTTGTTGGGATCAGAGAGGCCAATATATGGATCCTGTACCACTTCCTTACACGGCCTCTCTAACAAAAATCAACTCACGAGCTTGAATTTTGAACAGGCTCACTACACCATGTGCTTAAATTAACTATTAATATTCGAGATCATGAGATTTTAACTCGAGACCTCACGGTCAAACAATCTCTGATACCATATTATAAATTGTTCAATACAATAACTCGAGCTGAATAGTATATACACTTTAGAGAGTTTGAAATGTATATATGGTACCTGGAAAACAAGCCAATAGCCCCATGTGAAGCTACATGAGAGCATGAAGGAACAACCTTTGATCCATGTATTATGAGATTGAAGGTATTGACTTTGCCCATAGGAATGCTTGAAGAGGCAGAAGATCTTGAAATGAGGTCCTTTGTAGAAAGCTAGAGATACTACTCCACCCATGCATATCGCTAACCCTACTAGTTTTGCCTTTCCAGATATACTCCAGACCTTCAATATTTCCACTCTGCGTCCATACGACACCACTTCATAAATACTCAAAATTGATCGATCGTGTGTTAGGGATTTCATCAGTTTGATCTTGGTTTTTCTATTTTAATCGAAACCAAACTGATAAGAAGTTAAGTGGTTTTGGTTTTTCAGTTTTTAAAACCATTTAACATTTTAATAGTTTTGGTTTTGATTAAAACCAAAAAACCAATAAGAATCCGATAATACTATAAATAAGTCAAATACTCATCAAGAACATGTGTTATCACCAACTTATGTACGTAGTAGACTTCTTTCTTATTCTCATGTTTCTTGTTGGACCTTATTGTACGTCCGATGAATTTTGCTGTTTAGACCATTAATTAATCGGAAATGGTTGCATGATATATACTATATCGTCCTAACCTCAAATGGTGAACATGAATCCCTAGTTCTCTGAACTCAAACCTTAAGATGAATTTAATTAATAAAACAAAATGACAAACAATTTTTGTTTCAACGAAGTATGTCAAAATAGAATTAATAGGTGTGAACGTATACATGTATTATACATCAGCTAATGACTAGCCTTTTTCATTTATATATTACCTAAAGATAACGGCCATGAAGAAAGTAACGACGGGAAGGCAATTAGTGGTGGCCGCCGCCAAGGAGGCAGAGGTGTAAAGCAAGCCATAGCCATGGATGTTCATCGTCACCGTTATCCTGCATATATACATTGCATGCATGCACACTAAATATGCAAAACCATAATTATATAGAAATTAAGCTGAAAATAGAACATTAATGACCAAAAATGTTTTAATTGCCGGGAACTGTCTAATATTATGATATGGTAAAAACTTATAACCAGGCCACTTTTTTTACTCATAAACTTGTCTATATACGTGGTTGTTATATAAATTTATGGAGGAGTATCACGAAAGTTTGATGCGCATAAATGAAATTTTGTTCTCCACCTTAAAGCTATATATCCTCGTATAATTTTGGCCATTAAATAGATAAATTTTGATCAATAACTAATCTTTTTTTTTTTTTTACTTTCAGATGTTTTTTTTATCCTTTTTCATAATAACAAAACACAATTTTTTGCCCATTTTCAAGCATTTTCTTGAAGATACGGTTCATTTTGAAATGATCAGATAATTAATCAAAATGATGGTTATGAAGAAAATGAATGTATACATGAACCCTAAATCATATTTGCACTGAAAATACCCGACAAGAGCAAGCAAAAAAATCTTGCAGAAGGTGACCAGCGAGAGCGGTGGCGAATCCTTCCTGTAAATCATCATAAGCATAAAAAGAAAATCACCAATAATGAATAAGAGGTAAGACTTGGGCAATTCGTTGCTTGTACCTAACACAAATATCCACATCCCCATATACTAGTCCGAATCCAATTTAATCGAGTATGACATAACCCAAATCGATAGAATTTTTTAGTGAATATGTGTAAAATTCAAATTTGAAAGTTGAGAATTAGATAGTTGGACTTGATTTTCTTGCTATTTAATGCTGACTTGCCTAATTATATATATCCATATATGTAACTTTTTTAGAAATGATTTTTAATTTTCAACATGCTCGATATTCTATACATATTCCATAGTTGTATTTGTATACCATTCGAGGAAGAAGGCAAGAGGAGCAAGGATGAGGGTGGCCAAGACTTGCCGGTAGAAGACCAAAACGGCAGGGTTTAGGCCGCCGTCGAATGCCGCCTTCGAGACCAAGAACATTCCGGCGTAGATCAGCCGTGTTAATACCACGGCTCCGTACGCCTTCGTGGTGTCGCTGCACCACCACCACCGCGACATCTTTGAATCTCCTCCTCCTCCGCCCATTTGTATGTGTAAATATACGACTGTCGACTGCAAATGTTGCTTAAAATGGGTCTTTCTTCATTCTTATATAGTATAAACTAGTACGCCCAAACGGCATTAGTCTCGTCCAACTGGCGATTGGTTTGAGACAAATGACTTGTTGAAGTCTCCGTCTTATATATATAGGGACAATTGTGTTGGAAGACAGTGGAGTAACTGTTAATAAAGTCTATCAAAAACGCTCAAGGCAAGGATGTGGTACCATCTTCAGTCTTGAACCCCTCTTCTTGATAGCTTCTCCTTAGCTTGGGTTTTCTAATGATAAAAACGCTCAAGGCAAGAAAGACGCCCCTTGCACTTGGAGGGCATGCTGATTACCCCCTAATCACACCAGGAGGGGTGCTCTAACACAGCCAAAAAATTTCCCTCCCGTCACACTAGGCGTATGATGATTACCCCCTAATTACATTATGAGGGGTGCTCCAATACGTAGCCAAATGTTACCCCTCCTCGTCACACTAGGGGATATGCTGATTACACCCTCCCTTAATAACACCGGGAAGGGTGCTCCAACACTTAGCGAAATTTGACCACATTTCACCTTGTCATCATTCTCTAGAGTTGACCAAATTTTAACGCACAACGTCACACTAGGGGGTATGCTGATTACCCCTCTTAATCACACTTGGAGGGGGTGCTCCAACACCTAGCCAAATTTGGGCACATTCCACCTTGCTATTATTATTTAGCAGAGGCGGATCCAGGGGGCCACCCCCAGGCCACGACCCAGCCCTCCGTTGAATCCAAGAGCTAGTATATTACCTGTACATTTTTTATTTTAGGTATTCGTTTTAGTGCTCGCCAAGTTATGACCCAACCCTTTCCTTTCAAATGTGGCCAGTGCTCTACCATATCCTGGATTCGCCGCTGTTATCCAGAGTTGACCAAATTTTACCCCACATCGTCACACTAGGGGTATGTTGATTACCCCCTCCCCCCTTAATTACATTAAGGGATGCTCCCACACTTAGCCAAAATTGACCAAATTTCATCTTGCCATCATTCTCTAGAGTTGGCCAAATTTTACCCCACACCGCGTCACATTGGGTAGGGTATGCTACCCCGTAATTGCATCAGGAGGGTTGCTTCAACACTTAGTCAAATTTAGTCATATTTCACCTTGTAATCGTTCTCCAGACATTGCTTTTACCCCACCTTGTCACACTAACGGGGTATGTTAATTACACCATAAGCACACCTGGAGGGGTGCTCCAACACTTAATCAAATTTTGAAATTGATGGCTTAGGATGACACATACACGATATAAAACTATTTAATCACTTGTATTTACCCGATAGCCATTGATTATAGAACTTGATGATTATAGTTTAGGAGAATTAAAATGATTATTCTTGATGATTTAGGCGGCGGAATAGAATTCGAAAGGGGTAATGCCAACAGCAAGAAAGATGAGAAGGCGGCGAAATGGTTTCCTAGCAAGATGACAATACCAATAAAATATCGAACACAACCTTCGGAAGCTCATCCCCACTCGAAAATGGGTACTAAAGATTGGATTGGCTTTACTCTAATCGCTTCATCAAGACAAATTTGACTAGATATTTTTTTTGTCCTCGATTTTGACTTCTTTTGGATATGGCGATGATAAACCCAAAAAAGATGTTAACTAGATTGGTTGATTTTGTTATCGTTTGTGTTTTGATGGTTCATTCCAAAGTGTCCGGAAGTATTTACACACATATGGAAAAATTAGTCAAAAGAGGCATTGTGATGCTAAAGTATCTTTTGTTTCTTCAACAAGACGGTTTTGGCCATAATGAATCGATCTGGGAAAGCATTGGCCATGTGACCAAAACTATCCGAATCCAAATCCAAATCGCTTGGTTCGACCTGTTTATAAGATTTAGACAAGAAGCTTAGAAGCGCATGAAGCAATTGATATATTATTCGTAACTCCAATAATATTATAGTCTGAAATTTGATAGAAGTGTTAATTTCAACACCAGTTCAACCTGTTTACATGCATATGTATATTTTAGTCATAACTTGTAAAGTGATTTACCTTAGAAACCTTATTTATTGCACTCTCCGATTCGTGTAAGTTCTTTATAAGCGTAAAATGGACACAACAACATCATAATAACCCCTTGACTATAACGCATGAATCCTATATCTTGCATATCATACACATAAATCGAGTTCTTCATATTGCTAAACAAACAAAAATAATAATAATTAAGCATCAACAATATATATGAACTTGATCTTATCGACTTGTCTATCGCTAACCCGTCGCTTAATAAAATTACAACTCTTCACAAATGAAAAATGAGTAGTCCACATGTCATTTTGATTGAAATCAATATATAGTCACATCAACTCAAACAATTTCGTCAAATTAGAATATCTCGATTCCAATCATCTTCAACATATATGAAATGAGTGGACTCTTCACTCTTCATCAAAACACAACAAAACCCCCAATAATCTTTCTTTCTTTCTTTCCCACCACACACCAAAAAACCACCGTCGCCAATCATCGGAAAAAGATTTTCGTTATGGGAGGAGCTTCACCGACGACGGCGAAGTTCCATGACGGCAAGAAGGCGTATGGAGCGGTGGTAATAATACAGCTTATCTACGCCGGATTGTTCCTCCTCTCCAAGGCGGCGCTCGACGGCGGCTTCAAAACTTCCATCTTCGTCTTCTACCGGCAAACCTTCGCCACCGCCCTCGTCGTCCCTCTCGCCTTCTTCCTCGAATGGTATAAATACACAATAGACTTTTCCATTTCATTAACACTTGTTTAATGTTCCAACCTCGGCCGGCGGCGAACAGGAAGCACGCGCCGGCGCTCTCGCTGCCCACCTTCTGCAAGATCTTCGTCCTCTCCCTCTTCGGGTAAAACGAATCAATTTGCTTCAAATTAATTTCGTTAAAATTCCTTACTACTCACACATGCAGACATGCTGGTATCGTTGGATTGTTATAACGCGTTTATGAATGGACGAATGGATGGTGCAGGATAACGTTGACATTGAACGTCAATGGGATAGCTTTCATCTATACTTCAGCCACTTTGGGTGCTGCTAGTGTTAATACTTTGCCAGCCATTACGTTCTTCGTGGCGCTTCTATTCGGGTAATTAATTAACTAATTAATTAATATTAATTTTTTTTTTAATTAATCATCTTTACCACTTCACCTAAAGTCGCTCATAAAAAATGAAGGTTAATCTATACTTCTTTACCACGTTCTACTCTCTTCTATCATTAACTAATAAGGTATAAGTCATACAAAAATCAATATTAATAGTTGTAATTATATTGAACTAGGATTAGTTCAAGGGATTTAATATGATGAGTAGTGTATCTATAGGATTACCGATATTGCTAGATCACGTTCTTGCAAAGTTGAGTAGTGACCATTTTTTTTCCAAATTCAATATAAGGTATAGCTTCCTACATATAAAAGTAGAGACAGCCAGGGGCGGACGCAAGTTATGGATGGGTAGTCAATTGACAACCCTTAAATTAAGATTTTGGACAAAATATTTGTGTGAAATGTTATTTCGGGAATGATAGTATATGAATTTCAGACTATTTGACAACTCTTACAAATTTTGATTTATCGTTGAATACTTTTGATGAAATTTTTGGGACCGCCACTGAAAACAACCGAACCACTCATAAACACGACTAGCTAATGACTGTGTTCTAAACTAAGTCAATTAGCTAATTTTGTTCTGTGTATATATGTATTACCTCACACAGAATGGAGAAATTGAAGGTGCGGACAAAACCAGGGATGGGAGGAGTGGCAGTTCTTGCTTTCTACAAAGGCCCCCATTTTAAGGTCTTGTCCCTCTTTAAACAAGATGACCTTAGACCTCAGCAAAACTCTAGCTCTTCTCATAACACATGGGTCAAAGGTTGTTTCTTGATGCTCTTCTCCAACCTTACTTGGGGCTTCTGGCTCGTCTTTCAGGTAGGTAACAGCTAGCTTTCTACCTTAATTTCTATAGAATCACTAGCCTATAAGTGGTTGATTAAGTTTGTTTGCGTGGTAGGGAAAAATGCCACAATTAATAGGTGGGTTAGGTTTATACAAAGGGTACAACAAGATAGAGTACTTTCCAATAGCACACTCATATATTAACAATGTTGTCACGCATGCACGTTTAATCTTTAGAGTTCTTATGGGATCTTATGCATTGATATTGATATATATGATCGGACATGTAATATAATTACTGGTCAAACATGGTTTGATGATGAAAATTCACATGCCAGACAGATCGAATTATGATGGGTGATGGTCAGATCATAACGGTTTTGGTTGGGTTTGGGTCTAGTTGGGTAGGGTTTATCCCCTCGTTAATTGGGTGAAAAATTGCCGACTTTGGTTCATGAGTCCATTGACGCACTTTTCTTACTTCAAATTTTCATTTGGTGTTGTAGGCAATACTTCTGAAAAGCTACCCATCAAAGTTTCTCTTCACGACTTTTCAATGCTTTTTGAGTTCGATCCAATCCTTAGTGGTTGCAGTTTTTTTTTTTTTTTTACAATAGGCATCATTCATTTCATTCCAAACCCAACCAAGGGGAGCACAACGATTACAATAATGGAGCGACAAGGTTGGCAATGAAAATCCATTCTGGAGGAAGGAGATCAAGGCGAGAGTTCCTAGCGATCCAATCAGCCACCTTATTAAATCGACGAGGAACAAACTCAACCGTGATCCAAGGAGAAACACAGAGAATGGAAACCACACGAGCAAGGGATGCCCGACACTGCCAGGGCCACAGGCTCGGATCTTGTCTCAACGCATTAGTCAACCTCTGACAGTCAGAGCGAACACACGTTGGTACAGGGTCCTGGGCCGCCCAGATAACTGCATTAAGAATCGCAAATGCTTCCGCTTGAAGCGGGGAAGAACAAAAGAACCGCTCAGCCTTCCCATCGATAACCTGACAGTGGGAGTTTGCAATAGCAATCCCATAAGCCGCCACCTGTGCATCAGAAACAAAGGAACCATCACAATGCACAACCTTACAGAAAGGACCAGGCGGTGATAAGGTCGACGATCGAGAACTCTCAGGCTGAGAAGGCAATCCAGCTGGACATGAGTAGAAATTGGCTGAGGATCCGATCCTAGCTTCTTGGACATTCAAAACATCACGTTCGGCTAAAATTGCCACAGAGGACGGAGAGAACGCCCGACTCTCAAATACCCACCCATTTCGAGCAATCCAAATGTTCCAAAGGGAACACACAATCTTGGTAATCTGGCCAACGGAAACCCTGTCTTTTAGTCCAAAGAACCAATCCACAAAGCAAGAGTCAGCCACAGGAAGCACATTAAGCAGCCCAAGCTGAGTCCAAGTCTCAAGCGCCTTGGGGCAATGAAAGAAGCAATGCATAATCGTTTCCTCCTGGTTGTCACAGAGTCCAAGTCTCAGAAAGAAGTCGACACAAACATAGGAGCAGAAGCTTAGCAAGGCACATCGGCGTCCTCCCGGTCTCCAATCTCAGCTCCAACCGGAGGCAAAGCGGGAGGTTCAACATTCCTGGGAAACAGGCGAAACATGATATTTTGCAACCAGCAGCTCGCTTCCTCCCTACCAACCTTCTGCGCAGCACCCAACCATTCGGCAATACTGTAAGCAATCCGGAAAACAACCACTTGACCTAGGACGAACTCTTCCTTGAAAATTCTGGAATTCCGCTCTAACCAGATACGCCAACAAAAAGCATGAAGAGAAACCATCGTGCACCACTCCTTGGAATTGGACGGCTGTCGGCTAGGCCACCTTCTTATCATCTCCGTGATGTCAGTACTAGTGGTCTTGAGCTCGACGAAGGCTGACAGAATCCGCCAAACCTCCTTGGAGAACCTGCAAAGAAGGAAAAGATGATCGATTGTTTCCTCCTGATCACCACACAACACGCATCGACTTGGGAGAGCCCAACCCCTCCGCTTGAGGGCATCCTGGGTAAGGATCTTCTTTTGGAACACCATCCACAAAAACACACAGACTTTCGGAGGAACAGCAGGCTGCCACACGACTCTGTAGGGAAAAGAGGATGAGCCAGGAAACTTCTCCTTGATGTACTCGCCATAGAATGAGCGAGCGGTGAATCCTGTGATTGGAGAAGGACTCCAAACAAGTCTAGAAGGGCCTGCACAGAAATTGTCAGTTGATAATCCATTAAGCATATTCAAAAGTGAAACTCTCTCTCTCTCTGCTCCTCCCCTCAAGGTAAAACGAAGAGGAATATCCCAAGAAACTCTCCCCTCTGAAAAGTTAATAGCATCAGAAACCCGGCAGTTAGGCAACTCAACCGCAGCCGCGACCCTCGGAAAATCATCAACAAGAAGTCTTCCCTTAATCCACACATCATGCCAGAGAGATACACGAGATCCAACACCTGCTTCAACATACGCAAATCTCCAAAACATATTCTTTGTCTTAATAATTTGAGCCCACGGGCTAGTGCCAATAGGACCCATTCGCTTCCCCGACATCCATTCTGAAGAATCATTGGGAAACTTGATCGAGATAAGATCCCTCCACCAAGCATCCCGCTCAAGAGCGAAACGCCACCACCATTTACTCAAAAGGGACTGATTACGAAGTCTCAAATCTTAAATCCCCAAACCCCCATATCTCTTTGGTGCTTTACACGAATCCCAGGAGACAAGGTGAAACTTCTTCTCTCCCTGCCGACCAGACCAGATAAAATCCCTTTGTAGTTTCTCCAAAGTGTCAATAACGGAACATGGGGCGCTGAAGAGGCTGAACATATAAGTAGGTTGGCTAGCCAACACCGCATTACACAAAGTAATGCGCCCAACCAACAAGAGATACTTCCCCAACCAAACCTCCAATCGCCGACGCGCTTTATCAAGAACATTACTCCAGATTGTCGGAGAAGTCGGAGCCGCTCCAAGTGGAAGTCCCAGATAAATAGTGGGAAGGAACTTCCATTCGCACCCAATTATCTCGGCGAACCTGTCAAGATTATCAACCTCACCTACTGGAAAGAGTTTGCTCTTATTGAAATTCACTTTAAGCCCGGTGATGGTTTGAAACCACAATAAAGCCGCAGTCAAGTGAAAAACCTCTTCTTCCGAAGCATCACAGAAAATAATAGCATCATCCGCATATAGTAAGTGGCTCACTTCCCCCAATCTTCCCGGATCGTCCATACAAAAACCAGAGATAAGTCGAGCCTCGCGGGCCTCATCCAAGATGAAAGACAAAACGTCCATAACAAGGCAGAAAAGATATGGAGATAGAGAATCACCTTGCTTCAAACCCCTCTGCATCCCAAAGAACCCCCCGGCTTCACCGTTAACCAACACCGATAACTTAGCGGAAGTCACAATACCTTTGATCCACTTTCGAAACCGAGGATGAAGACCCATATTCTCAAGGATCTTGAATAAACATCCCCAACTAACTGAGTCGAAAGCTTTCTCGATATCGAGTTTTAAAATCAGCCCTGGTCTACCACCTCTCTTCCTACTATCAACAAGTTCATTAGCCAACAAACAAGTTTCATGAATTTGTCGTCGCCTTATCCCAGCGAACTGCTGCGTAGAAACAGTCTTTCTCATGGAAGGTTGAAGCCTTCTAAAGAGGAGTTTTGATAAAATCTTGTTCATGCTACCCACAAGGCTTATTGGTCGAAAATCGTTCAGCCCTTCTGCAGTCTCTTTCTTAGGAACAAGACACAAGAAAGAGTGCCCAATAGAATCTGGAATGAAACCCGTAATGTAGAACTCATCAACCGCCTTCATAACATCCGCTTTGACAATGTTCCAAGCTTTCTTAAAGAAATCGATGGTGAAACCATCGGGGCCCGGGGCCTTATTGCCACCACACGAACTCACAGCCTCCCAAACTTCCATCTCCGAAAAAGGGAGGGTAAGCTGATAGTTCTCCTCCATACTAAGAAGATCTCTCTTGTATTCCGTAGGAAATGGTCTACTAAGATTCTCTTCAATGTACCTCCCCTGAAAGTGAGAAATGAAAGCTCTCTTGATGTCCATTTTATCATCCAGTACCTGACCTTCAACCTTAAGCACCTGGATCTTATTCCTCCTCTGGTTATTATTAGCTACCCGGTGAAAATATGCTGAATTTTTATCCCCGACCTTGAGCCAACAATCCCTAGACTTTTGACGCCATGATATTTCTTCCATCAACAGAATCCTATCCAATTCACATTTCAGGAGACTCCTATCATTCTTCAAAGTATCAGAGATTGGACCCCTCTCCTCAACATCATCAATGTCTCTAATCTGCTTGAGAATACGATCAATCCGATGCTGAATTCTACCAAATACCTCCACATTCCAAGTCTTAATAAGCTGCTTAGTCTGTCTGAGCCTTTGTCCAATGCGAAAAATCAGCCCCGAACCCGTAACAGGAACGTTCCACCAACCGACAAGGGACTGTAAAAAAGAGCTTTCCAGTAACCACATATTCTCAAATCTCCACGGTCGATGAACAAAGTCAGCATCCCCCCATCGGAAACAAATCGGGTTATGATCAGAATCCACTCTTTCAAAAGCAAGCAAAGGCTCCGACGCAAAAGCTTCTTCAAAGGAGAGGTTCACAAAAGCCCTATCAATGCGCGAAAGGGAAACACTAGAACCGTCTCCACACTGAGTGAAAAGAGCACCCCTTAGAGGAAGGTCGATCAGCTGATTAGAATTAATGAAAGCATTAAACCTTTCCATCATTTCCCTACACCTAGGCCCACCGATGTAATCTTCATCCGATCGAACAAGGTTGAAGTCCCCCAATATACACATAGGAGCACTAAATCTGTGACAAATCAAGTCTAGTTCTTCAATAAACTCCACTTTTCCTTCCCTTTCTTGCGGCCCATAAAAAACCACAACTGCCAATATTTTCATGCTACAACTATTCTGAATTCTAACAGCAAGCGAAAATTTCCCTTCCCAAGAATTGAGCAGCTTGAACTCAGCTATGTCCCAATAGATCACAATACCCCCACAACTACCGATGGCATCCTTGGCAACCCACTCTGAATTGCTATTACCACTAACTGAAGAAATCAGGAACTGAGAACATTTACTCCATTTAGTCTCCACCAGTCCAACAATTGAAGCACGACACCTTTTGATAATGGCTTTAATACGCGCCCTTTTGTCCGGCGCGCACAGCCCACGAACATTCCATGACAAGATAGAAGTAATCATGATGATGTTACAGACGCAAACCTGTTCCGGGTTTTAGTACTAATGTTCCCGGTCAAGCTCTCAGTACTTCCTTCATCCACGCGTCGAGTCTTTCGCCTCACCCGAGGGGACAAGGGGAGGGTCTCAAGCGAGCCGAGGCGATGTTGTTCCATTTCCAGTCTTGTCCTTGGAGACTTTTTCTTCTTTTTCTTTACCTCAACAGCTAGCTCTTCGAATTGAACTTCCGCATCCAAACCCGGGTCTTCAGATAGAAGCTTCAAGATTTGAGAAAATGAGGAAGAATTCCCAGAATACAGCAAAAATTATACATAATTCCCTGAATACATAAGTTTTATAAAAGTTTCCCAAACTACCCAAGTTTCAACGGGTTCGAGTTTATGGGACTTGAACTACTCACAAGTTCGACGATAAGAAACTCGAACCAAAAGTGGATCGACTTTTAAACACTCGATCAATAGTGGTTCGACTTTAGAAGACTCGAACAACTATGATCGATTACAGGAGACTCGATCTCAGTAGATCGAGTATAAAACACTCGATCAAGTAAGATCGACTTCAAATTCCTCCATGTAGAGCAACGACTTTAACTCACTCGATCTTTGTCTGGACTAGATCGAGGCCGTAAGACTCGAACTACTGGCCCACCGACATGCTTCAGGATAGGGTTGCAGGGATAAGATTTTTGTTGTAGCAGATCGAGTTTTAGAAACTCGAACTAGTGTAGTTCGATTACACTAAACTCGAACTACTTGCTCAATCATTCTGTCCAGTCGCTTTCTATCCGACATGCGCCAGAATAGGGCGCAGGGGGGAAATTATTGGTCGACATAGATCGAGTTTAATGAACTCGAACTAGTGTAGTTCGAGTGTACTGGACGCGACCCACTCCATCAGTTTACGATAAATAAAAGCCATCACTAAGCACTTTCTGGCAGCAATCTTCCTTTCTATCTTCTTTCTTCCAAACACAAACTGCAGCTGCTGGAGCACCATAGCTGAGCAAAGAAGAAAAAATTTGGAGGTAAGTTCTGCTTACTTTGTTTGAATGAGCATATTAGAATTTTAGATTAATTTAGTATTGTTTGTACTGTATGTAATGAGCTGCTTGTATAAACTGCAGAAATGGGTAGAAAATTTCGAAAATTCGACTTAAAGATTCGGTGGAATGGTCGAATTACACACTTTCATGATAGTATTGACTACGAAGATGGTGAATCAAGTATTGTCCGGATTGAGAGCATATTTACTTGGCAAGAACTCAGTCATATTTGTGCTGAACGATGTTGCATAGCAGGGCGAAGAGTATGCAAGATGACTTACCGTATGCCGGTTTACAAGGATTATGCACTTGCATATGAAGGATCAGTTTTGTCTGACGATGATGACATTAATATGATGGTGAGATTTATTGCAGAGAACAGATTTCCACTTGCACAACTCCGAATATATCCTCGCCAAACAAGCAGATCCCCAACTTTTTCTCCCAATCTCATCCCAATCTTCCAAAAGAACTCGAAGCCACATACAATGCATATTTCCACCAGACTTGTTCGGAAACAAAAATCCTCCAACCAAACAAATAAGGTAGATGCGATCATACCTATCTATCTGAGCATCCGTGGCATCCTCCGGTAATTCCCCAGCGGTCCTCACTAGCCAAGGTATCAATAGCATAGACTTGTGTAGAGGTGGTACACGACGACCTTCTTCTGCTTCCTCTGGGATGATGATACCTAAACGCTCGCTTATATATTGGCCCCAACCATTCAATGGTTTTGAAGAACTTTCTATTATTGCATCACCATCGATTGGAAGCTCTGTCAGCATGGCTACGTCCTTCAACGTAATCGTCATCTCTCCCTCTAGAAGGTGGAATGTGTGCGTTTCTTTTCTCCATCTTTCCACCATTGCCGTAAGAAGGTTGTTGTCCATCTCCATCCCCACAAACTTTCGCACCCTCAGCAATCGCGCTCTTTCAATGAAGGGCTCGATACGATCATCCCATTTAGGCAAGCGAGATAGCGACCGATGGGTGATTACGTCAAGTTGTTCCTGTAGAAAAAAAACATTAATTATTATACAAAAAAATTAGAAGAATACTATCACATTAAAAAAAAGTACATGAGGAAGTGCCTACCGGATCTGCCGCCCAAACACTTTCAGACCGATGGTAAGGTTGCTCATCCAACAAATCGGTTTCTCGCGGTCCACCTTGAATGTATAATCTAGGATCGTAAATACTCGGATCCATCTCGACAATTTTGAGTGATAGAAGTACCAAACTAAAGAAAAAAAATCTGATGCGGAAGATCGGGCTTAGCCGCAACCACAGAGCATATTTTTTTCTTCAAGAGTGGTGGGAGGAAGAGAGGAAGAAGAATGGAGTGGTGTGAGTTTTGGTGGAATATGAGGGGGGTATTTATAGGTTCTGTGGGAGAGTGGATCGAGTTTACAAAACTCGAACTAGTGCATCGATTTTTGTGCACTCGATCCGCGTCAAAAGCAGATCGTGGTTAGGCACATCGAACGAACCAGATCGAGCTTAGGGTAATCGATCAACGGTTGATCGATGCTGACATCAGCGATCCACTGCATCGAGTTTTAGGCACTCGATCCGCGTCATCGAGTTTGACGCACTCGATCCGCGTCATCCCTGCTTCGCGGGTTTGACAGTCGAACGGCCTAGATCGAGTTTAGACCACTCGATCAACGGTGGGGCGCGCCTGACGTCATCGATCCGCGTCAACTGGATCGATTATACCTGACTCGATCCACCTACCTCGAGTTTACCGCACTCGATCCGGGTCATCACTGCTTCGATGGTTGAGCAATCGAACGACCCTGATCGCGTCCTAGTAAATCGATCTATGGTGGAGCGCTGCCCAGCTCATCGATCCACTTCATGTGGTTCGAGTGTTCCATCCTCGATTCACCTAGATCGTGTTTTTGGCAATCGATCCACTACTAGTTCGAGTTTTGTGAACTCGAACTATGTTAAACTTTGGTAGTTTGGGAATTTTTTTTTAAAAGTTCGGTATTCTGGGAATTTTTTTTAATTATTACTGTATTTTGGGAATTAATCCAGAAAATGATCGACCCGCTTCGATCAACCTCTTGAAGTCCTGCTCATCTTGCCATTCCTTAAGGTAATCATCATTAATAGGGCGAAACTCCACTATCGCTAAAGGATTGTCGTCCTGATTGTGCGATGGACTTAATTCAGAAAGTTCCACCCAATCCGAATTTGTAGAAGAAAACTCTGGCTCGGCACAGTCGAAATAGGGAAGGCATGACAGTGAGGGTAAGGATGAATGAGGTAGGGATTCGGGCATTATTAGATGAGAATTAAACTGGGGAGGAGGAAAAAGTACGGAGAGGAGGTCAATTGGATTATGAATTGGTGGAGGGATGGGGTTAAGGTTAACAGTGAGGCGAAAAGAAGGTTCAGGGGAAATGAAAAGGGAGAAGAAAGTCGAATGAAAAGAGAAGGTCGGGGAGGAGGAGGTACTCAGACGGTGGAACAAGAATAAAAACCGGAAAAGAATCACGTCCATGCCGCAGTGAGATCTCCACCGGTACCAAACCACCAGCTTTAATCTTGATGATTACCAACGGTTCATCCCAGTTACTACCATCGGCATCGACGAAATGTAAGGAAGTGGTTAAGCACCATACACGGGCCTGTATAAGATCCAGCATAACCTTCTCCCAACAACTCGAGTTATTGGGAGCAACTGGTTCATGACATGGTATCAGAGCTGGTTTGTCCTTGAGGTCACGTGTTCAAGTCCTCACGACCCCCAATATTAACCGTTGTCTTTCAAGCACATGGTAGGGCTGGGCCAGTGCAAACTTCAAGCCCATGAGTCGGCTTTCGTTTGAGGGGGCGTGTAAGGAAGTGGTTAAGCACCATACACGGGCCTGTATAAGATCCAGCATAACCTTCTCCCAACAACTCGAGTTATTGGGAGCAACTGGTTCATGACACGAAACCTCCGCAAATATCTCCTATCCTCCTAAACACCGCTCCGCAGCGTAGATGATGAGGGATTCCAAAAACAATGATCCAGTCCAGACCACTTTGACCTGCCAAACCTCTACCAACGTGCTCCTCCCAAAAACGAATAACCACATTATAGTTCTGAAACTTCGTGAATCTAGTTGTCTGCACTCGGATAGCCTCCTGCCGGGAAGGACACACAAGCATCCAATGATCCCCAACCCTCCTAGTGAACCGAAATCCTTGTCCAAGATTCCAACAACGCATGAAATCCTCAGTAAGATCAAATGGCAAACCCAAGTTCTGGACCCCAAAGAACTCAAGACTCAAACAATGATCCAAGCCAGCTCCTTCTATCCTCAACGCCTACGTTGGAAACGTCAATCACCGTTTGGCTGCCAACATGAGACAAAGAGCAATCCCCAGAATCAAAGACTAGGCCTTGCTTGAGGACTGAGGCAAAAGATCTTTCGGGCGTCACTAAAGAGACCTCCTTCAGGGGTCTGCTCGCGGTCGTACCCTTTCGACTAAAAGAACCAGCAACTTGGACAAGATCAGACCACCCCACATGATCACAAGGGATGATGACATAGAAAGATTTGCCTTTTGTCACTTCCTCAATCTTCAGTGCATTCCCTCCTCGATTCCGAAAGAAATGAACCGACACATTCCGTCCCCTGATGGTTTTGCTCCCGAGGGCGGTCGATCGATTAGGACGCGTGGGGAGGGTTCTCAACCAGCTGCCACCGTGTTCAGGCTCGAGGAAGACAAAACGTCGCCGACACAACTCCCCTTCAGCTGTGAGTTTCAGCAGAGTTCCATGCCTGGTGCAATACTCTTCCAACAGAACGTCCTTGAAACCAACTTTCACTACTTGCCGAAGACCTTTCCGACGTCCGCCGCTTTGATGATGCCCTCCTGCCGGGAACCTGCAAAACGGAAAAGAAACCCTCGAACTCTCCCCACCCACTCTCTCGCACGCGGAAACTCTCTCTCTCTCTCTCTCTCTAACATCTCTCCTCTTCCTTCTTTTTTTTTCAAGAATTCAAATTATTTGGATTAAGCTACATACGCCTTCCGTGTAATATCAAAATCTCTATATATAAGTGGAGTTATGTTGAAATTGTCAACTTGGAATATCACAATTTATTGAGGACATTCAAACTAACGTAAGATTGATTACCTTTCAAAAACTAGCTAAAAGAAATTGAATACATACGTGTATTTATATATAAATCTATCTAGTTATTGAGCAGTAAACTGTAGAATCTTACCAACTCGTGAATCCAATTTAACATTCTTCTTGTTTGGTGATGTGTTTCCATAGTGTATTGGGTGGAGTGTTGTTGGTTGGAGGACTTTACAGTGTTCTATGGGCAAAAGGGAAAGAAGAAAAGATTATATAGGATCGTTTGGATGAGGAATTCTAATGGATCAATCTGACACAATTGTCTCGTTTTGAGTCAATTGTGCTAGATTGATCCGTTTGGCAGCAGAAAATTTGGATGAAGCAATTTGGGCTGGGGAATTCTGAATTGACTCATTTTGAGCCAATTACAATTGTCTGGGGTGGGGGCAGGTAATCTGAATTGACTCGTTTTAAATGACTCGTTTTGTAAAATGAAACAATTGGTCAAATTGTCTCGTTTTACAATTGATCCATCCAAACGACCCCATATGATTGCTGAGAATATTGATGGGAAGATGAAGACTACACAAGTGGAAAAGGAGAGCTTAGATCTTAAACAAGTGGCTACAATCATTAGCATCCCCGATCATCAAGCATCACAAACCAATGAGTCGAGTTAAGTTTTGATGGAGAAATTAAGATCTTCACATCATCTACATGCAATTCATGCTTAAGGAAAAATGGGAAACATAAAACAAGTTTCTTTTAGAAGAAGCTGTGGGAAACCATTTCTTCCATGCTCTATTAGAGGATGGAATCGTATTGGAGAAGACTACCTATATGTTGCAATGGATAGTGGACAAAAACGAGCCAACATGAGTACATGATAAGGATCATCACCATTTTTAACTTGAGAGAAACATCGTGAAAATATATACAATAGTGCGATGTGATTGTTTTTTTTTTTTTTTTTTTTTGAAAGAATTAATGGTTCGTATAAAAAGTATAAAAAAAAATATGACCAACGACAGCTAAGCATGGATCTAGGAGACTATGAATGACTTTTTGTCGAAAAATTGAACTGTTCGGATAATAAAAGAACAAAAAACAAAATATCACCAACCACACTAACCATTAAAAAAATTCATGTTTATCCATTAACAAATAGTGATTAATTAGTTTGATATGAATGTGTATACTTAGGAGTTGTGGTGACTGGGGTAACCTATTACTTGCAAGCATGGCTTCTAGAGAAGAAAGACTCCTTCCTTCTAGCCATGTCCACTCCTTTTTGGCTTTCAGTTTGGGCTTCCGAAACAACTTTTCAAACCCAGGGCTCGAAACTAAACATCAGTATCCCACATATCAAAAGGTAGACTTATCAATTCAAAACTCTTAACCCAATAAAATGATTCATTAATCTTAGCCCATAACGTAAGGTAATTAAGGTAAAGGTGAAGTGAACATATGTTGTTACAAGTATGTATGTTTACAATTTTGTAGTGATCAATTAGTTGAAAATCAAAGTGCCTATGATGAAAAGGGATGCTTTTAGGGTGCAACTATGCAATTACTAGAGATTGTTACATATGTCGTCTTAATTTCCCCATCAAAACTCAACTCGATTCATTGGCTTGTGGCATTTGGTGATTGGGGGATGCTAATGATTGTAACAACTTGTGTAAGCTTCAAGCTCTGCTTTTCCACTTGTGTAGTCTTCATCTTCTCATCAATATTTTCAGCAATCGTCATATTTTCTTCTTTTCCTTTTGCCCATAGAACACTATAAAGTCCTCCAACCAACAGCATTCCACCCAATACACTGTGAAAACACATCACCAACAAGAATAATCTTAAATTGAATTCATGAGATGGTAGAATTCTACCATATATGCCTCAACAACTAGCTAGAGTTATACATAAATACACAGTCATTATTCGGTCTCTTTTAGTTTTTGATAGGTGACTAATGTGCGTTAGGTATTCTAATTATCCTCATTGATAGTTATATCCAAAGGGTGGTGGATTCAGTATTATGATAATCCATTAACAAAACTGTACGAGAATAACTAGACTTGAAATTTGCATTAGCACGTATTCATCCAACTAACTTGAATTGTCGAGAAAATAAGAAAAGGGATTATATATAAGCATATACCTTCCAAGGTTGATGAAGTCGCCTAGTATTGCAGAAAACAACATTGTGAAGATCAAAGCCAAAGGAGTTGACATGGCTAAAAAGACTGGACCTTTCTTCTCTAGAACCCATGCTTGCAAATAATATGTCACGCCAGTCACCACAACTCCCTAGAGAGACAAATGTATCAAACACAAATGGGGAAAATTAAGGATTTATGTGGTAATAATTACTGAGTTTAGGTATGATTACACAGTAAGTGACAGTCATGAGTCTCATATTCCAGCCGAGCTTCCACTCCTGGGGATTTCTCTCAATGGCAACTGCAACCACCAAGGACTGGATCGAACTCAGAAAGCATTGGAGAGCTGTGAATAAAAGCTTTGATGGGTAGCTTTTCAGAAGTATTGCCTACAACACCAAATGAAAATTTGAAGGAGGAAAAATTAATGGGTTAACTATTGGAAATTCCCTACCATAATCAAACAAATATAGCTAGTGATTCTATAGAAAAGGTAGAAAGCTAGCTAGTATACCTACCTGAAAGACGAGCCAGAAGCCCCAGCTGAGGTTGGAGAAGAGCATCAAGAAACAACCTTTCACCCATGTGTTCTTATGAGAAGAGCTAGCGTGTTGAGATCTAAGGTCATTTCCATGGAGGTCATCATCATGTTTAAAGAGGGACAAAACCTTGAAATGGGGGCCTTTGTAGAAAGCAAGAACTGCTACTCCTCCCATGCATATCACTATCCCACCTAGCTTTGTCATCCCTGATTTTGTCCTCACCTTCAATGTCTCCATTCTGAGAAAGAAAAAGTTGGGAAAGGATGGAACCCAAAAGAAAACCATGTGAATTATCAATTACGACGCTTTGTATTCAATCATGTGGGTCGAAATTAAATTAGTATATACGTACCATCAATGCGTAGCATACTTTATACTATCAGTAGATGATTTTTGTACATAATTTGTCAAAAGTTTTCAAATGAACTTATCATCAATGTGAAATATTGTTTACAAATGTGTTTTATAAATACGTCAACAAAAAGGAGATCGTAAATTATATAAAGTGAGTCACATTGTAAACATAAAGTATGACTTAGTTCGGATTTAAAACCAACGTGGTACACTGCCCAAGTGACCATTTATTACCACTACTAGTACACAAGATCTTTCGAGACTAACATTTATAAGCTTCCTGTCACTATAAATGCAAACATGATAATGTTATATAAATTAGTCCCCATATCAAACCGTCCAAAATTAAACACGTTTGTATCCACAATTCTGATATTGCGGCCGGCAGTGATGATCCTATGCAATATGCTCATAAAATAATATGGATCATTTTTTGTTTGACTTATATAGCTAATTATTAATTATAGAAGAGAGTAGTAGAAAGTGCAAAAGAATGTTTAGATTAATTGGTTCTAAGTGATTAGCGACTTTAGCTAAAGTGTTAACTTTAGCTTTTCTATATAGCTAATTAGGTTAAAGAGCATATATACCCACCAGACTATATGCATATCAAAGTAACAATGAAATTAATTAAATTACCCAAATAGAAGAGCCAAGAAGAACGTAATGGCTGGCAGGGTATTAACAGAAGCAGCACCCAAAGTGGCTGAAGTGTAGATCAAAGCTATCCCATTTACGTTCAAGCTCAACGTTATCCTGCACCATACATCGCGTCAAAACGCGGTATAACAATCCAACGATATCAGTATGTATCAGTCTGCTCGTATTAGACGACGATACGTATGAATAAAGAATTTTAACAAAATTTGAAACAAATTGATTTATTTTACCCGAAGAGGGAGAGGGCGAAGATCTTGCAGAAGGTGGGCAGGGAGAGCGGCGGCGCGTGCTTCCTGTTCGCCGCCGGTCGAGGTTTGGAACATTAGAGAAGTTATAATTAATTAATATCAATGAAATGAAAAGAGTCGAGGTAGCAAAATGGGAATAATAATAACGTGTATTTATACCATTCGAAGAAAAGGGCGAGAGGGACGACGAGGGCGGCGGCCAAGGCCTGCCGGTAGAAGACGAAGATGGAAGTCTTGAAGCCGCCGTCGAGCGCCGCCGTGGAGAGGAGGAACATTCCGGCGTAGATCAGCTGTATCAGCACCACCGCTCCATACGCCTTCTTGCCATCATTGAACTTCGCCGTCGGTGAAGCTCCTCCCATATAATAATGAAAATTAAAGCTTTGTTATTGTTTTGGTGTGTGTTGGAGAAGAAGTAGCTAGGCTTTGGTTTATGTGTATTATGATGGTTTAATTTGTCAAGTTGTGGATGTGTTGTGTGTTTGATGAAGAGTCCACTCATTTATATATATGTTGAAGATTGATTGGTAATTGGTATAGAGAGATCGAGATATCCCAACTTTGACATATTGTTTGATTCGATGTGACTATTTGATTTCAATCAAAATGACATGTGAACTATTTCATTTGTGTTTACTAGAGAGTGTAGTTTTGTGACACGGCAAGTTATCTATAATCAAGTCGATAAGATCAAGTCTACGTTATTGATGTTTATACTTTTTGTTTTGGCAATTCTGTACTGATCAATATGAAGTACTCGATTTATGTGTATGCGATCATGCGAGCGATAGTATTCACGCGTAATAGTTAAGAGGTATTATAAAATTGTTTAGCACATTTCACGCTTATAAAGAACTAGCACGAACATGAGCGTGCGATAAATGAGGTTTCTGAGGCTAACCAGTAACCACAAGGTATTGCTAAAAAAATATATGCATATAAACATGTGGAACCAGAGTTCAAATCGATCCTTTTATCACAATTTATGACTCCGTTATCGGAGTTACGAATAATAAATCAAACTTTGCGTTCCTCCAAATCTTATAAACAGGTCGAACCCAGCGATTCGCATGCATATAATTTTGGTCATATGGCATATGCTTTCTAGAACGATTCATTATATGGCCAAAACGTCTTGTTAAAGAAAAAGAGATACTTTACCATCACAATGCCTCTTTTGGCTCATTTTCCAAATGTGGCTGCTGGGTAGATTCGTTCGGCACTTTGGAATGAACCATCAAAACACAAACCATAAAAATAAAATAAAAAAATCAAACAATCTTATTAACATTTTTTTGGGTTTAGGACAAAAAAAATATCTAGTCAAAATTGTCTTAATGAAGCGATTATAGTAAAGCCATTTTCAAGTGGGGATGAGCTTCCTAAGGTTGTGTTCGATATTTTCCTAGTATTGGCATGTTGGAGCCGTCCCATGAAGTAGTTCAATGACACAGCAACAGATACAGGAGGTTCTGGAAAAAATTATGACATGCGGTATCGGAGATAGTTTGTATTTAAGCTCACATGTTTAAATCCTAATAGCTGTCAAGATTAACCTGTGGTTTAAAATACATGATATGTCGGGTATGTACAAAATTACGAATAACTGGCTTCTCGAGCGTGTTCCTCTAAATCTTATGAACCGCGGTCGAACCAACCGAATTGGATTTGGATAGTTTCTGTCTAGGGACTAATGCCTTGCAACCTTAGAACCTTGATACATATGGTATATAGTATTCATACGATACACGCATTTTGAATCACTAGATGGACATCCTTGTTGTACCTGTAGGAAATAAATGCACAATAAAAGAAAGAAGGAAAAAGGAGGATATCGCCAGCCGAATTTCCTCCATAATTGCTCAACCGAGAGAACATGAGCCACGTCTCGCGGTTGTAAAATGTCTTGCTTTCGAGTTATTTGTGTAACATATATCTTCTGAATGTGCGTATTTGGTGGTATATGGTATAGTTCGGGTCAAAGGCGAATCTTAACATTGAAGGCTCCCCTACCACCTCAACTACGGTCCAACCGTGATTTGAAAAGGGAAAACACAATTCCCTTTCAATGTTGATGGAACTATATTGAAAGGTCTTTAATTGATTTTCTTGATTTCTTGATTGAGATGAAAATGACCATAAAGCGAGACAAAAGCACGTTCATGATGATGATGTGCTGATTAAGTAACGATTCATTATTATTCAACCACCGGTTATTTCCAAACTGAGTGATTGAATATGGTTGGAAATGTGATTGAATATGGTTGCATTCCTCACCATGAATCAAAGGAAGGCCTAAAAGAAGGGGAAAAACAAGTCTTGCTTAAAATATCACAATCGCTTTCGACAGAGATATATACGAGTGACTTTCGTTTCCAAGTGAGTGATTCAATGCGGTTGGAAACGTGAATATGTTTGAAAGTTCGCGATCTAGTTCACGACTCGAAGGATATAGGAATTCCGAAAAGAAAGGGGAAAAAATGTAGTCTTGCTTAAGAGATCGAAATCGTTTCCAATAGAGAGACGAGTAACTCTTGTTTCCAATTGAGTGATTGAATGTGGTTGGAAAATCTGAATAGGTCTGAAAAAGAGTGACCTAGTTTGCAACTTGACGCATCCACTTATCTGCATTCCTCACCGCGAATCTTAGTAAGGCCGAAAAGAAGGAAAGAGAAGTATTGCTTAGGAGATGCACAATCGTTTTCGATAGAGAGAGATGAGCAAGTGACTTTTGTTTCCAAGTGAGTGATTTAATATTGATGGCAAACTTTCACAACTTTTGGGATCCCAAATCGCTTTCAAGGTGTCACTTCTATCAACTACACGTTACATGCATGCTATTACTATATACATGTAAATGCGTCCATTTTCCGACGAAAGGGACGGTCTCTTTTTGGCGGCCGGCCAGTCAATTCTCCGGTCATTTATTAGCTAGCTGGTGATGGCCAGTTGGCTTGATCTTGAGTTGTGGGAGAGTCGAACTTGAAGAGGACGTAGCCTTAGAGTTGCAAACTGGCTCTCGAAACACATTCTAAACATTTTCTTTGGTATGCATGAGCTTATAGACCCTCTCCTGCATATCGAATCTATCCTTCAATAGGACAATATTAATGTATCCGTCCCTAAGCATTATACAGGCAATGTCTCCCATTAGGTAAGTTCGGATTGGTTTGATTTTGGTTATAGTTTGATTGAGATTATTACAATACGTATATTGTTCACAATGATTTTTTAAAAAAATTTAGTGCACAGATAATATGAATGTTATTTGTTTGATGTGGCACAAACTATCACTCAGAATATAATTAAGTCTCACCTTTTAATGAAATTGTTCAAATAATTTTGATGTGATTGTTGTGTTTATTTCTGTTCCATTATATCTTAACTTTTTGTATGTGTTACCTTTTATATTAAAAGCAAAAGAGAAAAGTGATATCTATTGTTTATTGTTATATAACTACATACATTACACCTAAAAACAGAGGTATAGCCTAGAGTCGCCCATGTTGTCTAATCATTTCAGAAATAGTAATGTTTCAAATACCTACAAATTATTCTAGAGTAATGATTATTTATTAGCAAAAAAAATTCAAATTTTTTTTATTAGGCAAATATATAAAATTACTAAGAATTAGACAAATGTTAACTTATAGTTAGCAATTTTGTTAGTAATATTGACTTGGAAACATGCTACAAATTATTCTAGAGTAATGATTATTTATTAGCCAAATTTTTTCAAATTTTTTTTATTAGCCAAATATATAGAATTACTAAAAATTAGACAAATGTTAACTTATAGTTAGCAATTTTGTTAGTAATATTGACTTGGCAACATGATACTGACTTGGAAGCAAGGTTGTCAACCCGCGGGTTGACCCACTTTGACCCTGACCCGGTGAGAAAAACGGGCCGCACGCACCCGCCGGGTCGACCGCCACAAGGTACTGAGTTGGAGGTCAAATTGTGTCATTTTTTTCTTTGTTAATTTTGCGAAATGCGCCTATTTTCCAATTTTTCTTTTCGCCTAACTCAATCTTTGGAATCCTAAGTTGAACATTTGAATATTAATGTTATATAAGTGTGTGTGAATTTTCACTATATGTTGAATCTAAGTACGAAATGTTATTTTGGTGTAATATTATAGGTTATAACTCATATGTTAGATGAGATTTGATATAATTTATCAGGATAAGTACAATATAATGACGCTTTCTATATTTCCGGGCTAAAACGGGTGACCCATTAACCCTTGACCCACTAGCTCAACCGGGTCCGGGTCAACCCGCGGGTTGACAACCTTGCTTGGAAGAGACACTTGAAGGTTAACTTTCCAAAATTTTAGTATTTTAACTAAGAAAAGGATTACAAAATTATTAACGATACCGTAAAAATGGCTAATATTATAATGCATTACAAAATATTTGGCTAATTAATAGAATTTTAAAAGGTTTGGATACTATAAAAAATCTGAAAAAAATTTGGATAAAAAATAGACATTATCCATTATTCTATTTCAATGATTCTTCTTGATGCCAAAACAAATGATCCTTCTTTTAAAGGAATAACTTAAGCATTGACTTTGGCAATATCATTGGCTTGAATATGAGTGGCAATTGTAACAACTCGTTTAAGCTCCAATGAGCCGTCTTGTTCTTCCAGTTTTGAGATAATCTTCTTCTCATTGATCTCCATCTTAATTATCTCCTCTTCTTTGACTTTTGCCCATAAAACACTATAGAGCCCTCCAGCCAACAAAACTCCCCCCAAAATACTATATATACACAAACATCATCAAAGCCACAAAACAAAGAAACAAAATTAGGTTAACTTAAAGAACTATAATTATTAATTATTAAACTATGATTAAGAAATTAAACATGATGGTTGGCTAAGTACCTTCCAAGATCGATGAAGTCGCACAAAAGCGCAGAGCACATCATTGTGAAGATGAAAGCCAAAGGAGTGGACATGGCTAGAAAGACTGGACCTTTCTTCTCTAGAACCCATGCTTGCAAATAATAGGTTACTCCAGTCACCACAACTCCCTAAGTATACACATTCACATCAAACTAACTAAACACTATTTATTAATGAATAAACATGAAAATTATATACGTACACAATAAACCACGGCTACTAGTTTCATATCCCAGCCAAGTTTCCACTCATTAGGATCTCTTTCGATAGTGATTGCAACAACAAATGACTGAATTGAAGCCAGAGCACATTGAAGAGCCGTGAACATAAGCTTTGGTGGATAACACTTTTGAAGTCTTGCCTATACAAAAAAAAAAAAAAGAATGTAAGTTATGTGTTGATTGAGAAATGTATATGAGTAGAATCACATATCATAATAGTAATACTACTCAAAAGTTACTCCATATTGCTCTTATGTACTTGTTTTAGTCGTTGGCAAAGTCAGAATTTAAAGTGAGATGGAGCATAAACGAATAGCCACGGTAGTATGTATGTTGAAAATGAGGATTTTGAGTTTTGAAAACCTTTAGATTTATGATGAATTTGTTCCATTTATGAATTTGAAATGGTACATTGTTTGTGTAGTTAAATTTTTTATCATTAGTTTTGAAAACCTTTAGATCTAAGAGATCCAAATATGGGGGCTCCACGAATTTGGCAGTCCATTTTTGTTTTTTTTTTTTTCATTAGATGGAGGTTTTCATCCTCACAACCCATTGAGGTTAGCTTCCCATTTTTTTACTCAACAAACAATGGAGTTTTTTAAATCCATCATGCTTGAGATTTTGATAGCAAATTCATCACCCAAATATATCCAACAAGAAAACGACCCCTAAATCTTAGTCATCTTGGATCGATGATGACGACCTAATCATATCATACGAACCTGACACTTTTCAATGTCGGTTTACCATATCATTCACATTGCACAACCTAAAATCGAACATTTGCAACTTAGTACCGGCTCTACACGCAACTCCACCACCTACTTTAACAACATATATACACACACTAAAAAAGTTTGGAATATTATATATGGGTACCTGAAAAACAAGCCAAACCCCCCAAGTGAAGCTAGATGAGACCATCAAGGAACAACCTTTGATCCATGTTTCATGAGATCGAAGATGTTGATTTTGCCCATGATGAGAATGATCAAAGAGGCAGAATATCTTGAAATGGGGGCCTTCATAGAAAGCTAGAGATGCCACTCCAACCATGCACGTAACTATTCCTACTAGTTTTGCCTTGCCCGATTTGCTCCCAATCCTCAATGTTTCAGCTCTGCGTCTCCATACATTGATCATATTATCACTTTGTAAATTCCATACATACAATTGTACGTAGCTAATTGAAGTGAAAGACTCTTCGATAATACATTACCGGAGGAGGAGGGCCAAGAAGAAAGTCACGACGGGGAGGGAATTAATGGAAGCCGCGGCCAAGGTGGCGGAGGTGTATAGCAAACCGTAGCCATTGAGGTTCAATGCCAATGTTATCCTGCACATATAGTACGATAGTATATGTTAGGACTCATGAATGCAAAACTTCAAGTCTCTGAATTGACTTACGCGCTTTTATGACCCATGCACCGATAGCATGTATAGAAATCGAATGATATATAAGTCTTGTTATGACATTAATCATCTCAACAACTAGAATTATGGATACCGGTTGGTTTTTGAACATGCACACAAGTCGTGTCTAGTTTCAACCGTAAAAAAACTAAGATTTATATAGGTTAAGTTGAGAAAATGAAAAAAAAAATACCCAACGAGAGCAAGCACGAAAATCTTGCAGAATGTGAGTGGCGACAGCGGTGGAGCATGCTTCCTGTAGTTCATCAAAACCCAAAAAAAAAAATCATCATCACTAGTATTATATTGTCCCGAAAGAAAATATATAAGATGCCTGCATTATATATCTTGGGCATTCTCCAACTTTTTATAGATGAGTTTAGGTCTGTTATAAACGGTTGATGTTAGCATAAAGTATAGATATTGTAACCGTATGTGTTGATTCTCGTTTGAAATAGTCTATGTACGAGAATAATGATATGTTTTTTGGGTCGCTTCAAACAATTTGAGTAATTAAACTGAATCGATTCTTGAGAAGATGTAGATATGATAAACACATGTGTTGATTCTCGTTTGAAATACACTATGTAACGATATGTTTTTGGATCGCTTTAAACAACTTGAGTAATCGTAAAGTGGACGAAAGGGCCGGAGGTAAAAATGGAAGAGGTCTATGTACCATTCGAGGAAGAGGGCAAGAGGAGCAAGGATGACGGTGGCGAAGGCTTGCCGGTAGAAGACCAAAATGGCAGGGTTCAAGCCGCCGTCGAACGCCGCCTTCGAGACCAAGAACATTCCGGCGTAGATCAGCCGTGTTAATACCACGGCTCCGTACGCCTTCTTCGTGTCGTCGTTGCACCACGACCAAAACGACGCCGCCTTTGAAGCTCCTCCCCTTTCTTCTCCTCCGCCCATATTTACTTGCATAATAACTGTAATAATGGACAGTCAGACGTACTGCGCATCTTTGTATTTATAGTATTAGCTTTGTCGTCGCCGAGGTTTTGTTTTGTTTTGTTTTTTTTCCGGTTCAAGTGGAGGCACAGGCAAGGCAATTTCCTCGTCGTCGATGGATTTGAGAACACGAGCGGTTGAAGGCTCCGTCGATTGCATTTATGTGTTGTTTATCGATCGGTCGGAATTTCCTTTTGTCGTAGGTTGAGGCCAGTGTTTAGAAGAGCTTTCTTGTTTTAGGAAATAAAGCCGGGTCAAATACCTTTATAATTTTTTTTTTTAAGGAAAAAAGTGGAAAAGTGTTTTTTTATATAAGATAATTTTGTATTTGACAAAGATAATCTTGTATTTAGCAAATGTATTCTTGTTTAGAATACTTTCGTTCCATTTATGTTCTGTTAAACTAAAATAAATTTAAAAAAGACTATCATTGAATATAAAAGAGACCCAACAAGGTTCATTTTCATTGTTCTTTTATTTTTAGTTATATTTTACATTAACCAACCACTACTCAACTATTTATGAAAAATACTTCTTTAAAAACTTCAACCAGAAGCGGTTTTTGCTTTAAGTTATAGCAAAACCAAACTGCATATTTTATGCTAAAGTTGTAGCCAATCTTTCCAAAACGTATGACGCCATCTCCAACTACGCTATATTTGACTCGACCGTTTGCCCTGCTCTTCACTGTTGTCAACTACGGACCATCCACAACTTACGATTTCTATAAACTTGTGATTCTAGGAAATCATGACATATTTTACTGGTTGTTATTGAGGGTTAGTTAAGTTATTAATCCTTTGGAATTGAATTCAAGGGAAAAAATTATATAAAATTGTCAATACTATATTGAAAATTCTTATTTTTGCTAATACGTCTAAGCGCTGCAGAGACACCACTTAGGCGTGCTAGGCACTTAGCAGGACTCCAACGCATGTCTAGAGCTCTCTTGAACCTTGGGTCTAATTATATATTGTGCTTGAATCAAATGTTAATATTAGAGATCATGGAGATTCGAACACACTGGCCTTTGTTCAAACCACTTATGGTGTCATGTCATAAATATTTTGGTTCCAGGGCAATGACCGGAGAACAAAAACATCTTGCCAAAATTGTTGTGATTAGCCGATTACAGCAAAGCTAATCCATACTTTAGTCATTGGCCTGAAAGTGAAAAGGGGATCGAAAAAGGTAGGCCGCCAAATCTATACCAATGGAGATACTTAAGGCAGTCTTGTTTGGAGGGTTATTTATTTCAATGAGATATTTGAGTCTAAATTTACTCATTTGGCAACGAAAACATCAAATATGACAATTGGGATGCGAGTTAATTGAAATAATTCAAAATGAGTTTAACTGCATAACTCTTTAGGGGCAGTTATATGAAATAACTCATCTTATTAACCCTTTCTCGCTCTCTTTTTGTGAAGAAATACCACAAAACAAATTACTTATGTGAATGCTCTAAGCCTCTAACCAAACAGGACAATTCTCGCGTGATATAAGCTCCAAATAACTCATAAATATCAAACCTAACAGTAATGCACCCTAAGTATAATAGGGTTATCCATCTCGTAGCAAAAAATACTCTCTCATCGTTGGATCGTCGCTTGATCGAACAATGACTCTTCCTTAATTCTAATTTACAATTTGACATGCAAAGTTCCTGTATATTTTGTCATATCATGTTATTTACCTCTGGAAAAAAAATATTATGCACCATTTGATCCCAAAATACTCACATATGCAAAATAACTCATCCAAACTAATCATAAGTAATCATTTTGACCAAGTCTTTGTTTCCCGGTTTCTATGATTGTTTTAATGAGATTGCTACAACACTTATATTTCTTTCATTTTTTTTATTCGCAGACAAGATACATCAATTGTTTGGTTGATGCGACGAAAATAATAATTCAAAATGAATGATTGTACAGTTTTTCAGCTGAAATTGTTATGACGATTTAGTTGACATATTTTTTTCTAGTTATCTCCTCCAAAAATATTGCAAATTACATTTTCGCTAAAAGTGGATTTTCTCTTTACTCATTAAAAACACAACTACATTTATCAAATGTTGTAATGTACAATAGATCAAATTCATAAATACAATGCATACATCGGAGGAGATGAATTCCCACCCCTTTTTCTAACAGAAACTCTCATGTTTCTCCCTTTTTCGTTCAAGTATGACTTGTAGACGATTTTAAAATGTTATTTTCCCCCATCAAAATTCAATCCATTGGCTTGTGGCGCTTGATGTTCGGAGATGCTAATGATTGTAACAACTTGTTTAAGCTCTAAGCTCTCCTTTTCCACTTGTGAAATCTTCATGTTCTCGTCACTATTCTCAACCATCCTCATATTTTCTTCTTTGCCTTTTGCCCATAGAACACTGTAAAGTCCTCCAACCAACAACACTCCACCCAATACACTATGAAAACACATCACCAAACAATAACATACAATGTTATATTGGATTCATAATTGGTTGGTAAGATTCTACGATTTATGCCTCAATAACAAGCTAGAGTTATATATATAAACACGCACGTATTTAATATGTGTCAAATTTTTATAGGTAATCAACTTAGGTTAGAGCCTGAGTTCAGAAACTATATACCTTCCAAGGTTGATGAAGTCACCTAGTAGTGCAGAAAACAACATTGTGAAGATCAAAGCCAAAGGAGTTGACATGGCAAGAAAGACTGGGCCTTTCTTCTCGAGAACCCATGCTTGCAAGTAATATGTCACTCCAGTCACCACAACTCCCTAAAGATGAACAAAAGAAAAATGCATGAAACACAAATTGGCAAGTTTAAGACTTAATAGTGTGATTGTCTTGTAATAATTATGAGTTTAATTAGGTATTGCATGATTACACAATAAGTGACAGCCCCAAGTCTCATATTCCAGCCAAGCTTCCACTCCTGGGGATTTCTCTCAATGGCAACTGCAACCACTAAGGACTGAATCGAACTCAGAAAGCATTGAAGAGCTGTGAAGAGAAGCTTTGATGGGTAGCTTTTCAGAAGTATTGCCTACACACCAAATGGAAATTTGAAGGGGGAAAAGGTATGCCAATGGATTAATCAAACAAATATGTAGATAGTGATTCTTTAGAAAGGTAGATATCTAGTTGTTTACCTACCTGAAAGACGAGCCAAAAGCCCCAACTAAGGTTGGAGAAGAGCATCAAGAAACAACCTTTGACCCATGTGTTCTTATGAGAAGAGCCAGAGTGTTGTTGAGATCTAAGGTCATGTCCATGGAGGCCTTTGTAGAAAGACAAGATCTTGAAATGGGGGCCTTTGTAGAAAGCAAGAACTGCCACTCCTCCCAAGCATATCACTATCCCAGCTAGCTTTGCCATGCCAGGTTTTGTCCTCACCTTCAATGTCTCCATTCTGTGTGGGGTAATAAATATAGAGCACACAAAGTGACTTAGAATAACTTAATCTTGAACACACTAATTAGCTAGTTAATTAACAATGTTTATGATTGATTATATTGTTTATACTTTTATATGTATGAAGGTATCTATACGGAATTCTGCTGAAATGGTTACAACTCAACTTATAAGAACGTTCTCAGAGAGACTCGCAATTGGATATGTAAATGATTTGGGAACACCATAAATATGCCAAAGTTTCATCACCTTATTGTAAAAAAAAAACAAGAGAAGAGGAAGAAGATTTTGTTTCCCTTCTCATGAGGGAAAAGAGAGATGCAATAGAGGACCACATGAATAAGATTGATTGAAAGCGAAACACCCTAACCTTCATGAGAAAGAGAAAGTCAGAAAATGGATGGAAACTAGAAGAAAACCATGTGAACGACGTTTGTATTTCAATCACGTGGGTCAAAATCGATATACCCTATATCTCGGTGCATATCATACTTTATACTATTTGTAGACGATTTTTAATACAGAATTCGTAACGATTTTCAAATGAACTTATCGTCCTTATGAAATGCAGTTCACGGATACTTTTTTTCTTTCTTTTTTTTTTTTTTTTGTGGGAAAAAGGGTGCTAAGGGCACCCAAACCTCAATCGGTTACAAAGCGGGGGGTTTCAACCCCTAACTGATACTTTTTTTCTTTCTACATAGGTGCGTTGTCAACGGAAGAAAATTCGGAAATTATTCATAAGCAATTCACATTGTATACATTTGTACTACTTATGATTTGAAACCAATTTGGTGCACCGCCCACGCTATAACATTTATAGCTTTCAAGTCACATAAATGCAAACATGATGATAATGTTATAGAGAGTTCCCATACCAACCAAACCGCCCATATTAAATCCACGTCCTGAAATTGCCGCCGGCGATGATGATGCCATCATGATTTCTTCCGATGCATGTAATTTTCTTTTGGTTATCGTTTCTATAAACCCTGAATTTTTACTCCGATGTAAGAGCGATCGATGACGGTTGTATGTTAATCCATATATGTAAAACAGGGGCAAAATTGTTGCAGCCATTGTGACGACCTTATTGTTGAGTGCATGCTAACATCGTTAGATCACAAATTTGTGTGATGCTAATCATCCAATAATGCACATTTATTGGACGGATGATATCACACAAGAACATGATCCAGCAATATCAATAATCCTTTACGCACACACTGCATGCTCATCATCAAATCCCTCGACCTAATCCCAATTCAATATAATTGACCATTTCGTCGAAATGTGCAATCACATAGGGGAAAAGATGGTGTAATGAGAAGGAACAAAAAAAATTGAGGGCATCATCATAGACATTCGATAAAATTAGAACAATTGATATCGATTTTTGTTTGACTTATAGGTTATTAATTAATGATAGAAGAGAGTAGAAAGTGCTAAAGAAGTGTAGATTATCCTTCGAACTGATGAGCGACTTTAGATAAAGTTTATAACTTTAGCTTTAGTATATAGCTAATTAAGTTAAAAGAGCATCAACATATATATATCCACCAGACAATGCATATTATCAAGTAATAAATAATTCATTAAATTACCCAAATAGAAGAGCCAAGAAGAACGTAATGGCTGGCAGGGTATTAACAGAAGCAGCACCCAAAGTGGCTGAAGTGTAGATCAAAGCTATCCCATTGACGTTCAAGCTCAACGTTATCCTGCACCACATCCATCATCAATTCATAAAACGCGTCATAAAAAAAATATAACAATCCGACGATATCAGCACGTGTCAATCTATACACAATATCTTAAGAATTTGAACAAAATTAGAAACAAGTAGATTCTTTTTACCCGAAGAGGGAGAGGGCGAAGATCTTGCAGAATGTGGGGAGCGAGAGCGCCGGCGCGTGCTTCCTGTTCGCCGCCGGCCAGCCGAGGTTGGAACAACATTAAAAAAAAAATTACAATATATTAATGAAATGAAAAGAGTAGCGAAATGGTAATACCATTCGAGGAAGAGGGCGAGAGGGACGACGAGGGCGGCGGCCAAGGCCTGCCGGTAGAAGACGAAGATGGAAGTTTTGAAGCCGCCGTCGAACGCCGCCTTGGAGAGGAGGAACATCCCGGCGTAGATCAGCTGTATCAGCACCACCGCTCCATACGCCTTCTTGCCGTCACCAAACTTCGCCGTCGGTGAAGCTCCTCCCATAATTAATGGAAGTAGGTTTGTTTGTGTTTTGTTTTATTGTTTTGCTTCTATCTTTTTGAGTGTGTGGTGTGTGTTGGGAAAAGAAGTAGGGTTGTGAAGTTGTGGACGTGTTGTGTGTTGATGAAGAGTCCACTCATTTATATATGTTGAAGATATATGATTGGAAAAGAGAGAGAGAGATCGAGATATCCTAACTTTGACGATTTGTTTTGGTTTGATGTGACAATTTGATTTCAATCCAAATGACATGTGAACTATTCATTCTTCATTTTTTTGTTTATAAAGAGTGTAATTTTGTGACGTGAGAAGTTATCTGTAGTCGAATCGATAAGATCGAGTTCGTGTTGTTAATAGTTAAACTTTTTGTTTAGTAGTTCTTGCCCGATCAATATGAGGCACTCGGTTTATGTGTGTGATGTGCAAGAGATAGGATTCATGGGTGATAGTTAATAGGGCTGGCTATTTGGTCCGGGCTTTTTGGTTTTACTCAAAATCGTATAACCCGGACCGAAATCGGACTGGGACCGGATAGTAAACAATCAAATCCAATCTTCAGGCAGATATTTGAGGTAAAACATCGTTTGGACCGGACAGAAAACCGGATAAAGAGCGAATAAGAGAGCCCAACATCCAAAATTCAACCTCCTCACCCTTTCAGGCCTTAGGCCACTCAATCCCCCCTCAAACCACTCAAATCCCCACAAGACAGTATAACCCGGATTTGGACCGGATAGTAAACAATCCAATCTTTGGGCTTGGATTTGAGATAAAAAAACCGTTCAAGATAGGATCGAAAACTAGATAAAAACCAGATAAGAGAGCTCAACACCCAAAACTTAAGAGTAATTTGCATAAACGGTCACAAACCTTTGCACTTAGTACAAAACTTAATCAACTCCTCACCCTTTCAGGCCTTAGGCCACTCAAATCCCCACAAGCTCAATATAAAATCAAGACCGAATTGGGACTCGACTGGGTCAAGACCGGACTGTATCCAATCCAATCTTTGGTCTTTATATTTTCAAAAAACCCGGACTGGACCGGATCAATTTGGGCCAATTTAACTGGACCGGACTGTATAGCCACCCCTAATAGTTAAGAGTAGGGCTGGCTATTTGGTCTGGGCTTTTTGGTTTTACCCAAAATCGGACCGTATAACCCGGACCGACACTAGACCGGGACCGGATAGCAAACAATCCAATCTTCAGGCCTAGATTTGAGGTAAGAAACCGTTTGGAACCGGACCGAAAACCGGATAAAGAGCGAATAAGAGAGCCCAACATCCAAAATTCAACCTCCTCACCCTTTCAGGCCTTAGGCCACTCAATCCCCCCAAGCTCAATCTAAAATCAAGACCGAATTGGGACCGAACCGGTTCAAGACCTGACTGTATCCAATCCAATCTTTGGTCCTTATATTTTTGAAAAGACCGGACCGAGACCAGATCAATTCGGGGCAATTTAACTGGATCGGACCATATAGCCACCCCTAGTTAAGATGTATTATGATGTTGTTTTGTGTATTTGACACTTATAAAGAGCTTACACGAATGAGAGAGTGCAACAAATGGAATTTCTAAGAGGTATTATGATGTTGTTTTGTGTATTTGACACTTATAAAGAGCTTACACGAATGAGAGAGTGCAACAAATGGAATTTCTAAGGTAAACCACCTTACAAGTTATATGGCTAAAATATACATGCATATAAACAGATCGAATCAGAGTTCAAATCGACCCTTGTATCAAATTTCCGACTCCAAATTTGGAGTTATGAATAATAGATCAAACTTCATGTTCTTTCTAAATCTGATAAACAAGTCGAACGTAACCAAGCGATTTGGATTTGGATGGTTTTGGTCTAGGGACCAATGCGTTGCAACTTGCAACCTTAGAACCTTGATCCATAGTATACAGTATGCATACACGAATTTATGGTTTACAATAATGGAAGCTTAGGTAGAAGATAATAGAAGGGATATTGGCCAATGATGGACAGAAGAGAAAGGTTTCCATATTGGGACGTGTGTCCAAAGGATATTGGTCCCCTTAAGTTAAAAAAAAATTCCCCTTTCTATATATCTTTTATTTCCCCCTCTCCAAAAAAAATAGGTTATTATTAGCTAGCAATCACCTTTGTAACGGATTTTTTTTTATAGTAGAATGAAATAGATAGTCAAATTCCAAAGATAGTCAGACGACTAGTTTAACTGTCGATAAAAAAGCATTTCGAAACACTTAATGGATGGTCCTGTTATACCCTGTAGCAAATAAAATGCACAATCAAAGATAATTAAAAATGAGCAAGCCGAAATTCCTCCAGAATTTACTCAATCGAGAACATGAGCCACGTCTCAGTTGGAAAATGTATTGCTTTCTAGTTATTATAAGTTGATCTTTGGGTTATTTGAAACTGTCTTGGCGGATTTTGGATCGCGCTCCTAGTCGATCGGCTGGGCAATCGGCTAGGGATTTTGGTGACTGTTGCGGTATCAGGGGGCAGTCTTCGATTTGGTTGGTGGAGAAGCCTTTAGTTTTTCTTCCTCCAAATTTGGTTTGCGGTGGTTCGTGGTCTTTTTTTCCCAATTTGGATTTGTGCGGGGGTCGATCTGAGGAAATTTGAATTTGGTGTTGGTGCTAATTGGAGTTTGGAAGTAAATATGATGTTTGGTGTTATCGACGGAAATAACACCAAGTTGGTTATGCATGGCAAGCCCCAACATGGGTTGGACTTGCTGCATGTTTTGATTTGTTGATCGCCCGTAGGAGCATTTGGAGGCAGGGGAGATTCTGGTACAGCTGATTTGGAGGAGTTTGATACGTCTGACAATTTTGATTGCATCTGAGTTTGGCGATTTGCATCACGTTTGGTCTGGCGATATGAATCGCATTTGGATATGTCTGGCAATCTTGATTGCGTTTGAGTTTGGCGGTTTCGATCGCATTTGGATACGTCTTGCGATATGTATCGCGTCTGGGTACATCTGGCAACTTTGGTTGCGTCTGGTACATCTGGTATTTGATAGAGAATTCAAGTCAAGGTGGAGATTGTTAGAATATAACTTGAATTTGATTTGGGTTTGTTTTGTGTTTTAGGCCTATTCTGTTTGGGTTTGGGATTGGGTTTTGTTTTGACCTTTTCCTTGTATGTTTGGGAAAAGGTGTTTGGTTTTCTGTTTGGGATTAGGAGAAGAGTTCTATAAATACTCTTCATCACCCTAGTCTGTAGTAGGGGTCAGTCAGGTTAGTTTGTTTGGTTTGTCCGTTCGGAATTTGGTTTGTAACCTGTATTCTCCTCAAAATCAGTGAAATTTGTTCTCCCCTTCCCATGGATTAGCTAGCACACTTTGTGTTAGTAAACCACATTAAAATTGTGTTCGTTCGTGTTGGTTTGGATTATCGATTGCACGCTTTTGTTCTGACACATCTATCTTCTGAATGCGTGTATTGGGCGGTATTATGTTATAGTTCGGGTCAAACGCGGATCATGACATTGAAGGTTTTCCTCCCACCTCAACTACGGTCCAACCGTGACTCGAAAGGGGGGGGGGGGGGGAGACAATTCCCTTTCAATGTTGATGGAACTATATTTAAAGGCCTTTAATTGATTTTATTGATTTCTTGATTGAGATGAAAATGACCATAAAGCGAGACAAAAGCACGTTCATGATGATGATGTGCTGATTAGGTAACGATTCATTATTCAACCACCGTTTGAAATATGTTTCCCTATTGCTTTTTTTCTTCTCTGCTTTCCTTAAAGCCAACCATAATACATCCATTGTGGACTATAATGCATACACAAATATAGAGCATGCTGATCAGGAGCAGTCTCTATAGATGTCAATGAAATTTGGGGCCATGCCAGCAACATTTTATGGTTGGTTTGTCGATCTCAATCTTTCAATAATTTGAGTGAGTACGAGAATCCTATGATGCTTTCATTATCGATATAGTGTACTGATTCTTAACATGATATTAAGGTATTTAATGGTATGTAGTATTATAGTTCGTTTGCTTAGGAGAAAACAATTCAATCGTTTTCGATAGAGAAAGATGAGTGAGTGGTTTTTTGTTTCCAAGTGAGTGATTTTAATTTTTAATATTGGTGGCAAAGTTTCAAACTTTTTTAGGGACCCCTAATCGCTTTCAAAGTGTCACTTCTTTCAACTGCACGTTACATGCATGCTATATATATATAATGTAAACGCGTCCATTTTCCGACGAAAGGGACGGGCCTCCTTTTGGCGGCCGGCGCCAATTCTCCGGCCATTTATTAGCTAGCTGGTGATGGCCGGTTGGCTTGGCTTGAGTCGTGGGAGAGTCGAACTTGAAGAGGACGTCGCCTAGAAAGAAATATCTCGTCGGCTCATTAATCACATGTTTGACGTATTTAGGGTTTGTTTGCCTGTGCTGCTAGTTAATTTAACTCGGTCTGAATTGGGTACATCGATAGAGATGACAATACTCTTAATATCAGGCAAAATTACATCTCCATATCTCAAATCTGGCTATCCTCGAATCGAACTGTCGAACATTGATTCCGAAATTTTTTAAAAAAAAAATATTAATGAGTAGGTATCGATGTGAAAGATAGGTTGTGCATGTAAGGAGATAAAATTGGCCGCTGAATTGAAAATATTCGTTAGAAATTTTGAACGTACGTGAGATTGGAGGGTAATAAGGAATATGATATTATGACTCATACGATTTGTCCATGGGATGAGATAATGGAGATATAAAAAGATTGACCACGAATATGACATTAGCATGACAAATTTTCGCCAATTGGACAACTGAAATACAATCTCAATTCATCTCTATATCACTCTGATTTTTGTTATTCGAAGTAAACTTATTCACGGGTGGTTGGTCCACATCACTCATACAAATTGAGATGGTATTAGAATTACAGTCTCGCTCTCGAAATGAACTCTTGCCTATCCCTTTAGTATGCATAAACTCATAATCAGGAGGACAATATTAATGTCTTTCTTCAGGCTATGCCTCGATCCCCCAACTCATCCATAGTGGCCTTAAGTAAGTTTATTATCTAACACCACATGCATTACCCAGCCCAATAAAAACAGATGGAAACCTCCCGACTGGGCTGAACTGAATTGCTTCCTAAGCCCAAACTGTCAAACGTAACTCTCTCCTTCCGCCAATCTAGTTCAGCCCAGCCCAACTCAATTTCCATCCCCACGTGCATATCACGTGCACTAGGGCTTTACCAAGGGTTTTGGATTCGTCTCTCTTCTCTGCAACACTCCATTCTCCAAAGGAGGAAGAGCTCACCCGACCCACCTCCTGCAGCAAAACTCACCGACCTAAAATGGCGAACTAGAAGACAACCCTTTTCCCCCTCACATCACACTTCTCTGAAACACGCCCACCTTCAAGCTCCAGTGGAAAAACATCAGAACAAACCCAGAATCCACCATGATCGCGAAGAAAGTTGCCGTCCTTCCCGCCAAAACCCTGTCTCAATCCGTCATCGTTTCTTACTTCTCCACATCCTCCCCGTCCCAATTCCAGCCGTTCCAGTCGCGGAGGCAGCAGCAGGAGGAGGATTCGAGGTCCGTGAGGGTCTCGGTGTGGTGGGATTTCGAGAATTGCAATCTGCCGGCTGGGGTCAATGTGTTTAGAGTGGCGCAGACCATCACGGCTGCGGTTAGGGCCAACGGGATGAAAGGCCCCGTTCACATCACGGCGTACGGAGACGTCTTCCAGCTCTCTAGGGCAAACCAGGAAGCTCTTTCCTCCACTGGAATCAACATGGCTCACGTCCCCAATGGTATTTTCCTTCCTCTCCGTCTCTCCCCCCCCCCCCCCCCCCCCCCCCCCCCCCCATTGCTCATTTCGGTAGATTATTTCTAAAGGTCAAACCCTTGGTGTTGTTTATGTAGAGAATTTGACAATGTGACTTTGGATGTATTGGGAAAGTATAGAGATTGAGTTGTGTATGCATTGGATTAATGTTTGAGTATTGAGATCAAGTCTTTCTTGATTTGGAAAAGTTTTAAGGTGTGGTGGTTTTTGAATCTATGATTGTTTTCGGATAGGTAAAATTTGTGCATTTTGAGAATGTATGGTTTTGAATAAGTAGACTTATATACAGATCAAATGATTATAAGGATCTGTTGTTTGGAAGATTGTTAGAACGTCAGACTATGTGTAATTTTTCTGAAATCCTTTCTCTTGGATTGAATCATTTGAAACCGCAGGTTTCAACCCACTGCTATTGAGTTTTTCTCCCTTTTTCGTTCGCATTGTTGCAGGAGGAAAGAACAGTGCAGACAGGTCTCTTCTAGTGGGTCTAATGGACTGGGTATCCCAAAATCCACCGCCAGCCCATTTGTTCCTCATCTCCAGTGACAGAGACTTTGCCAGTTGCTTGCATAGGCTGAGGATGAACAATTACAACATCTTGCTTGCAGCTAAAGAAGGTGCTCCCAGTGTTCTATGCAGTGCTGCAAGTATCATGTGGCATTGGAACGATCTACTGAATGGAGAGAACTTGGTTGGGAAGTATTTCAACCAACCTCCTGATGGTCCTTATGGTTCTTGGTATGGTCATTACAAGTTACCCTTGGAAGATCCATTCTCGGTTCCTGAACCTACACCAGCACCAGCACCAGCACCATTGCCACTTCCTCCCAAGGTCGAGGAGCCTGTAGATTCTATTCGTCCCATACCAAAAGCAGTGATGAAGCAGATTCGGCAGATTTTGTGCTCGCACCCTCAAGGTATCACCATAACGGACCTTCGAGCCGAGTTGTTGAATGGCAACTTGGCGATCGATAAGGAATTTTATGGCCATAAGAAGTTCTCCCGATTTCTCTTGGCAATGCCACAAGTGTTGAAGCTTCAAAGCAAGGGGGATGGTCGGTTTCTCGTGCGAGCTGTTCCTGGTAGGGCTCATGATCCATCTGGCCCTCTTGTTAACACAGCTACTGATATACTTAACAATGTGAACCGGGTTCCTGCTAGCTCTTCGAAGATGGATACTGACTGTGCAGCTGAGAAGAATCTGTCACCATTGGCTTCATCAGAGCCAAATGTGAGAGCTGTGGAAGTGGATGTTGATGGCAAGGTATTCAACTTTCCTGGTAGTGAAAAGGTCTTGGAGAAGGCTAATGGTCAGGAAACAGATAAGCAGTTATCTGCGGCGAAGAATGAAGAGCCTGATGTGGGATTTTTCAGGACTCTTCGAAAAATCTGGTATGGAAGCTCTGAGAAGAACACTGATGACTCTCTAGGAAAAATTCCAACTGACAAGCTTGGAAGAGACGGAGTTGATGAAAAGAACCTTGAATTGCCTAGCAGAAAGTTAGACACATCTACTGAAAGCCCAGAAAGTGAAAGTGACAGCAAGTCGGCTGTTTCTAGTGATAACTTAAGCAGAAATACAGGTTTGTTTAGTCGGATTAAGAACTGGTGGAAGTCTCAGGGAAACCATGTAGAATCTGCACATGATCAACCCAGCAAAGTCCTTGATCGGATGAATGTTGACATGAAAGACCATGAGTTCTTTTCGAAGGACACATTCTGGAGGGTTATGGAGTCCTTTCTTCAGACACGGAAAGGGTCACTCGCTATAACAGAATCCAGGACAAGGTTTGTGATTTTGACTTGCTTTTACATCATTCTTTTACTTAGATGATGATTTAAGTTTTGGTTGGTATGAAGTATGAACATGTTTCCGTTTTCTTACCTTACTGGCCATCTCCAATCCGAAATGGTCCCTAACTATAAATCATATTAGTAAGCTAGTTCAATTAAGTGATTTATTACAAAAACAGCCCCTTCAGTCTAGAATTATATGGGTTTGGTAGAGTAACGTGCTAAATAGACTTGTCATGGTCCAAAAATGAACTGTCAGCATCCCATACATGGATACATCCACTCGCTCAACCCTTTCAAACTCACAAAACTGACTTTCAACCATTGATCAAACAGCGAGCCAGAGATCCAATCATTCTTGAGTTGGAAAGGGTTTACTAGTGAGTAAACGAGATGCTGGTCGATGTGGATTATAGACAGAGCCTATTTGGATTCTGAATTTGCTGAACTGACAAATTAGCAGAATGTGATGGAGTCTTTGGTTGTTACAGATCATTTACCTGAGTTTGTATTTTGTGCTGATTTTTAGTTGAGTGACCATTTTCTCACAAAATTGATAGTTTGATGATCACTGAGGCAGTTAATCCAGAATTGGAACACCCAAATTTTCTAGTGTTGAACAATTCTTTTGGTATACGCAGAAGAACTTGCCGTGAATAATATCTTTCTCAATGCTGATTCCCCTGTTTTTCAGGGAAGAGATGGCAAGAAATCTGGTAAAGGAAGGACCTTTGCTTTGGAAATCTCTCAAGGAACCTGACCTACTTCTGTTGGTAGACATCTTGATATCACAAAAGAAATGGGTGGCTGAATGTCCCTCTGAATCTTCCCCTTTTAAGGTCATTCTATCTAGGGATAATGCAGCCCGGACCAGTTCTCAGGGATCCGATGGATTGAGGTCTTTGATTCAGAAAGAAAGACAACAGAATGTTTCGCATACTGGTGTCTCGCCCCCCATCGCTTACACAAAATCCTCCGAGAGATCCAGAAGCGAGATACTGATGGACTGCAGGAACCTTGTGCAGGAACTAGTGAAGAAATACCCAAATGGTTACAACATGGGCTCTTTCCGAAAGCTGTTCCTTGAAAGGTATGGTTACCATCTTGACATCCAGAAGCTGGGGTACCAAAAGTTGGCCGCTTTGCTGGAAATAATGCCAGGGGTTAAAGTCGAATCTACCTTCATCTATCCTTCTACCAAAACCCTTAAGTCTAACTCTGATGGCGAAGTGTCAAAGAAGGAGAACGAATCAGATTCTGCGTGGGATGAGCTCGGTCCTCCCGATGTCAACTCATCGTCCCAAGGGGATCCTGATTACGAGCCTTGCCTTTCAGAAGATGATAGTGATGATGTGGCGTCAGATTCAGAACCCGAGACCCTGGCTACTGCAAGTACTTGTCAACCAGAAGAACGCCGCACAAAGTCCAATGAGGATAACAGCTCGTTGCTAGATATTCTTGATAGGTGGTCTGGGAGTAAGAACGAGGAAATCGAAGGCAACTGCAAGAAAGAGGAGTCTGAGAGGAATGGTGAGCAGAATGCTGCAGTGGGTTTGCAGCAGCTTACTGGTTCGTCTGGACAAGGTGGCAAGGCAGCTGAGGCAACTGCTGCTCAAATGGGATGCTCTGGAGAAACGATGCAGAAGTCTGTAAAGACTTATTCTTTTGTCGACGATTCAGTCTCTCCTAGGGATCAGCAGCATAAGGTCATTGATGGGATCTTAAGCAGGTTGAAGAAAACTAGTGATTCGAGGGTGCCAAGCTGATTTATTTGTAGTTAAGAATGTTCTGCCTTTTGTAGGGTTAGATGAGCGTAGTATGGGAGCTAAGCTAAGGCATAGCTACTGCTGCAAAATTTATGGTACCATTGGTTGTTTTAGACTAGTATCCTCGGTTTTGATTCAGGGAAAACTTGTTCAAAACTTAACTCGCTAATTAAGGCTTGTTCACTGTTGTGTCGCTCGTGAGCCGACTTGACATGTTGGCTCGTTGAGCTCAAGGTGTGAGCTTACTCGAAAATGTAGTTTGGACGAGCTGGTTTAACTAGGGGGTTATTAGTGAATTGACTTCTAGGGGGTTATTACTCGAAAATGTTCGTAAATTATAACTTTGTTACATTATATATTTCACAACTTATTGTAGTTTTAACTCAAATTGTTTACCAACAAGCTGAATGATGATTAAACTCAGCTCATTTACCAACCTGGACAACATGGTATATGAATGCTACCAATTTATGTGAAAACTATGTATAGATTGATGGATATGGTACAAAATGAGATGTTGAGAAAACCAAAATCCGGTATTCTTGGGATGGGTTGGGGAGGAAGAGTACTTTGGTGGTGGGGATTAATAGAATTGACTATTGAGAGAGAAGATGGGACACAGCCTGTAAAATCAGCCACGTCACCCACTTGCTCTCCACTATATATTCATTTAGTACCTCCCAAATTGACTTGTGATAGGGCCCCCAATCCCCACAAACCCAACTATACCATATTTTGTGGATTTACATGACACATTCATCAATTAGCTCATATGGATAAAAGCTAGCTACAATTTGCTCTTTTTCTTATCCACCTATCAATATGTGTTGAATGCAAATATTCTAGTTCAGAATTGGATTTCAATGAATCATATGGGGAGGAGTCAGTTTTGGTCACCATCTACTGCTGTCATCTTGTGAGAGAGTTATGGCTTTTCGAGTAAGTTATGATGGTGTTTTTATTGTTTCTTGAACAAATTACTTGTTGAATTGTACGTTGTTACGATGTAGTTCATCGGCTAAGATGAAGTGTTAGTGTACAAGTGTAATATGGTAAATAAAGGAGGAGATGTGGAACCACATTGTGGTATATGCACCGATGCAAGGAAGAGCGGGAAAAAATGATAGATAAGTATGCATCCTCAACAATAAACAGTAGGTACATTTCAGTTTTGATTCGAGATCAGACGAATTTGAAAACAAGGATATGTAATAATTATGACTCAAACATAATCAAACTCGATCCTATTTTGTCCAAGCCAGTTTAGAAATGCTCCATCCAATTTTACATTTTCTTATAGAGATCCAATTGAACAAAAATGGAAGTAGTAAAACCAAGGATTAAAATACCGTAACGGAGGTCGTACTGAAAAAGTCAGCGGTATGATATTTTATCCTAAAATCGTGGTTTAATCATGGTTCAACTGTATTATACCACTAAATACGGCCTACCGGTTTTGCTTTCTGGTATGAGATTTTTCAAGTTGAACCGCGCCGGTACGGTATGGTTTTTTAATCCTTGATTAAAACACAATTAAAATCATAAACATATTTTATCCGATCTTGTCCAATAATAAACGAATGTAGCTTGCTTCAATCCAGCTCTAGTCAGTTAAATTTTTCAGAACAAACAAGAGGAGAAAACCATCCATGATTCTAATAAGCATTTATCATTACCAAAATAGCAAGGACAAAAGAATTAGTATATGATCCTTAATCTATATTATAATCAATAATACAATTCAAAGGGAGTAAGACAACTATACATCTACTTTAAAAAATGTGTATTGTGTATTAACCAAATTCCCCACTTCTACATTGCATAAGCATCGTTAGTAGCCACACACAAAAAAAAAAGCATCTAAAGGGCATCAAGTTGAAGATAATTCCGGTAGCTATTCTTCTCAACCACCTAATTCATAACCCAAAGTGACCCTTCACCAAACCCAAACTTGGAATATCCCACACATTAGCTTCACCATAGTACATGCCTTCATAAGTTAAGAATTGCAAATTGGTCCCTCACCCTTGATGCATCTTTCATAATTTGAACATAATGCCCAAGATTAAGTTGATCATTCTCCAATATCCATTCAAACCCCTAATCCTAACGAGATAATGATAAAAACGCATCCTAACGCTTAATAAAGCTTATCGCAATAACGAGGTGCAACGTGGAGGCTTGGAGCAGCTAAACAAGACAAACATCTATTGTATTTTTAACCAAATCAGGAGCTGCAGACGATTATCAATTTCAACTCAAAATCGGTTCCTCTAAAAGTGTGATCTCTGTTGGTCGAAGCAATCCCTCGAGAAGCCTAAGTTAACCATAACATTAATACTTTAGGCAATGGATGGAGGACTTTGCAAATGTGAAATCAAAAGCAAATCGATCTTCTAGCAATGACCATCCTCCCAAATCTCTTCATGGGAACTTATTTAGCACAAGAAAAAGCTCAAAAGAAAAATGTTTCTCTTTTTCCTCTTCCTTTCTCCTTTCCTTTTCACTTTGAAAAGGATAAGGAATAGCATAGACCAAGAAAAGGTAGTACTGATCAGGGAATTACCCTCTTTCTCTCCATCATCCTTTTATCTGCCCCGTCACTTTTATAAGAGCACCAAAGCACCTCTCCCTCCCAAGCAAGCCACCCCTTTCTTAGTCTTTTGGTGTTAGGCAGAGGGGAAGGGCCAAAGTGAACACTATCAATAAATCAAGGTACCCAAAACGAAGTTGACCACGGGCCGTTGGCCGCTACCAGTGCCTGCCTTGAGAACCGCCACCTTTGTTCTTGGCAAAGAATGTATTCTTAGGCTTTGGTATCTCGTGAATGTCCATCACTTGAATTGTTCTTTGCTTTTTGGCTTCACCACAGCAACAAAAGAAACAAATCAGTACCCTTTATTTTCACCTTTGGTCCCCAAACTTTCTTCAAAAGTAAAACTATGTTGGGGAGAAGAGAAGTAAGAAGAAGAAACAAACCATTTTCAGCTTTGCTGTAACTCTCCTGAAGCCTTTTGGTTGCTGAGGCCAGCCTATCTGAATTAAAATTGTTGTTGCCCTCTCTTTGCTGTTGTTGCCTCTGCTAAAAGTGAGAAGAAACCCACATCAGCCAAAGTACAGAATTTTCTCAGCAACCAAACAGTCCACCATCACCCTAATAAAAGAGAGAGAAGGCAGTAGTAAATGCTGACATTATTGTGACTAGTAGATGCTGAATGGTGTTGAATTTGTCTAGCAGGTGCAGCAGCCTCTTTTCTAATAGTACTACCAGAAGAAGAAACTGGAGGCTTTTGCTTCCTTACTACCACTTCAGGTTCTGAGTAATTTCTGTCTGATCCAGAACTACCATCTACATGAAATCCAAAGCAGAATCAGAATCCATAGGATCAAAGTCAGAATCTTGCCAAACTTTGGGATGAGATTCTCTTTTCTGTACGTGTAAAGGTATAAAACTAACTAGTAACACTCACTGTGAGGGTTTGGAGAGTATGCAAAATCAGGCACCTAGCAACAAATAAACAAACAAACAACAACAAACCCAAAATAGAATCTCAGATATAAAGCAAAACCTAAAGAATGAATTCCTTAACTGCTTCTACTTCTTCTTTCATTCTAGTAAGGGGACAAAGGAAGAAATAGCTTCATTGGCTGTTCAATTTTTCACCTGGTGATGACCATTGTGGGTAATCTTTTGTTGCTGAGGTGAGTCCCCATCAGCTGGTGCAAGAAACACAATGAAAATTTTCATTAAAATTTCTCACTGCCCAACAAATCTGCCTTCAGAAGCTTTTTTCCTTTGAAAGGAAAGTTTAAGACTTGTGATTCTTGTTTTTTCGGTTTTTACCCATCATAGCTGAGGAAGTATGCTCTCCTTGTGGATTCAACCTCACCCATTCATCCACAATTTCCTTCCATTTCCTGGAAACCAAACACTCTCCCATAATCAAAACTAAGAAGATACCTCAAAAGGAAGTAAAAAGGGAAATTTTGCTTGCTGGAACAATATGATTGATTACTTTCAACAAGGTATGATACCTGACTAGCAGTTTCACCAATCTCTTGACATCATTTGACGAATGCTTCCTCAGCCGGTTCACATGCCTTCCAATATCAGTCTCCTGTGAATTTTCCAGGGAAACAAAATCAACTTCCCCAGCTTCCAAACAACCATAAAAGAAAGCAAAATACTAATGAAGGAGAAGAAGTTTTAGACTTTCATCAGCACACCTTCAATGCTTTGAATGTAATGTCCATGTCTTCCAAAGTTTGCAGCAAGTCAACCAAAGAATCTTCAGTCTGTTTAAATAAACCAACACACAGGAAAAAATAAAGAACAAGCTGATGTATGTAGAATTATCTGCTAATAAACAGACTAGAATTCCATTATTGACCTGGTCAGGATCTTCGAGCTGCTGTTTGATTTCCAATACTCTCCTCTGTTCATCATCGAACAATAGGTCGTATGGATCTACATCCTCTTCTCCTTCTTCTTCTACATCTACCTTCTCTTCTTCTTCCTCCTCCTCTGTTTCAGGCGACCGCCGACGGATTCCGGCGGCAGCTGGTCCCCCGACTCTACCTCTGCCTTCTCTCTCAACGATGGAGGCGGGAGCGGGAGACAATTTCTGATTGACTAGTTCCCTCTGCCCACGTCCATTTCCTACGCCGCCACGGCTACACTGATTACACGTGGCGGTGGCTGTGGCGGAGTACAATGCCTGAACGATTTTATCCCTCCGCTGCTTCAGCTCAGAAGGGTAATCCGAAGAGGCGACGGCGATCGCCGTGTCGATGAACGCCCAAACGTCCACTCCGGCAGTTTCCAGAATCGATCGGAGATCATCCGAATCCATCCTCCTTTCCCCGATTTAGTAATAAACCCAGAAACGATATTTCAAAACAAAAAGAACACTGACCGGAAAAGGTAAGGGGGAAAAACAATCAACCGCGAAAAAACGCCATCCGGATCTAGAAAAAGCGGGAACGACGAACACGCCCCTGAATCGGATTTCTAACAGCAACCCACTAAAAATCAGCTCGCGAACTTCAATACCCAGAAGAGAAAACCGATGATTCCCCGAACCCAGCCAGATCTAAGCCTGGGAAAACCAAAACCCAACACCAAAAAAAATTCCTCCTTCCCCTCTGGTTTTTCGTTTCCACTCCTTTCTTTCCGTAGAAACCGCGTGGGGAATCGGAGAAGAAGAAGAAGCCCTGCTGCTGCTGCAACCTTTTTTCCACCCACCTTCCTTCCTTTCTCTCTTCGCCCTGCGAGCTTTCCTTCTCCCTGCTGCTAGGATCTTTTTGTTCCTCCTTTCCCTTTGTTTAATCAGGAAAATCTGTCCGTTATCTTTCTCTCCCTCTCTGTTTCTTTCTGTGTCTTGTAGGGGCGTTTCGGATTTGTGAAAAATGGAATCGAATTAAGGGAGAGAAAGTGGAATTCTTCGAGGATAATTGAGAGAGGGAGAAAGAAAGGAACGATTCACGATTGGGTAATATTCTAATGCCAATTCCCCGCCAACATGACTGCTTCCCTTTTTTGTTGTGGGTTTCTTTCTGTGGTTGGGGCTGAGGCAGTGCTGACCACCTACGCCATTCTCTCTCTCTCTCTCTCTCTCTCTCTCTCTCTCTCTCTCTCTCTCCTTGGGTTTGCTTTGCTTTGCTTTAGCTGTTTTGTCATTATGTGTCTGTAATGGTGCCCAATATGTTCCTTAATCAATGGTGAAAACATATATGTAAATATTGAAGAGGAATTATATATGATTGTTCCTATAAAAAAAATTAAAAATGAACCCAATGAAATGTGCAAATATACAAAGCTGAAAAACGGTGTGGTCTGATATATGGTTTCATATGAAGGGCTAGAGTACAACCGGATCAAATACTATATAGTTCGGAGTTCGGGCTAAGTCACACCTATGCGGACTGATCTGGATCAAGTATATTAGATTGAGCAATAAATGGACATTTTTGTTTGATCCATCAAACAAAAATTTAAACTAACAACGTAAAACCAAATAAATAACAAAGACACAAAGCCGGAGTAACCCAACTTCCATCATAACATTATAAACATTAAACATAATGTCATGTAGAGACGCGATTGTATCTACTCTCTGTTGGAGTGTGGTTTGTGAATAAAGGAGGGGACGAAGGTAGGATTGATGCTTGAATCTCATTGGGGAGGTGGGAGAGTGGTCGAGCGAATTGCTAGCACGAATTGAAAAAATAATTTAGGTCTGTGGTATGGTTAGATAAATGGGAGTCTATACCAAACGAGAAGATCAAAACATCTCGAGATTTATACTACTGAACCAAATCAAACCATTGTTAACGAGTTCCGATTTTATTCACGTTTTTTCAAGCAATCCAACGGATTTCCCCAACCCTACACATACATTCATCCATTATCACAAAAATTCGCCATGTACTAGAGTTACTACCACAATAAATTTAGATTCATCGATATTTTTTATAGGATGGAACCTTTGGGTTTCCCTAGTTAGTAACTCCACACAACTGTGTTCCACTAAGTACAGTAATGCGATAATTGTTAGCATTATTGAGTATTGAGTCGTTTCTCATGGTTCTTTTCCGGCAGCTTGAGAGAATCGCGGCATTTTGAATGGGGAAAATTCTTGTACCAGAAACGACGAGATTGCGTAGATGCTGCAGAAAATGATATTAACCATTCTTGTTTCCACTAATAGTTAGTAAAATAAAATACGAAAAAGTTATGTATAAAATATGTACTGGTATTTTACTCCGTCTTTAAACTAATGTTACGTTTAATAGTACGTTAATAGTCATAAATATATAAAATTAATTATTTTTAAAAATATATAAAAAATAGTAAAGTTAATAGTTTAATTGATTAAATACGAATATTAAACGTGTTATACGGGTGTTATACGTGTTTAGTACGCGAGCCGTCAAATGAATGAAAACAATTGAAACAATTCGACAATAATACGAATACGGGAGTTTAAAACGAATAAAATACGTATGGGTACATATACGTGTATTAAATAGAGTATTGCCTAACTATGTTTTCACTTTGGTTTGAAAGATAATACTCATGTGACACATACTCGGGCGGATTGAAAAAGTTCGCATACAAACCCTACAACCGAGTGGGTTTGAGAATGACATAAAAGTGATTTTGAGATGATACGAACCGGAAGCTTGTCAACTACTAAGTTTAATTTTGATTGCATATGAGTTACAACGAGTCGTCTGTATCAGCAAAGTCAAGTTACACGGCCGTACTTCTCGCCAATCTTTAACGAGTAAACACGCTAATCCGAACACTGTGATCGGAAAACCCTTGAAGAGTAATATCAAGGGTTTGTTGAGCATAGGGGTGGCTATACGGTCCGGTCCGGTTAAATTGGACCAAATTGATCCGATCCCAGTCCGGTCTTTTCGGGAATATAAGGACCAAAGATTGGATTGGATACAGTCCGGTCTTGACCCCCTCACTATATCACAGTAAGGGATATCAAGAATCTCATGTCTCGAGATTGGGAGGTAGCCATCAAGCATGTCTATAGAAAAGGCAATGTTGTCGCCGACTATAACGCGTCGTTAGGTCATGGACAACCTCCGGGTATCCAAATTATCGAGAACCCCTGTTCGGTCAACAAATATTGGTTGTTCTATGATTTACTTGGGGTGGGGTATAGAACCATACAGAATTTTTAAAATACAAGAAGCAAGCGGCCCTTTCGCGAAAAAGCCGGTACGCTTTCCGGCTCGCGACGATGCGAAGTTGCTCGCATTTTAATTAGAACAAGAAGGAGAGGAGGGGAATATGTTCGACCGTAGGGAGAAGGTGCGAAGTAGCTCGCATTTGAATTAGAACAAGAAGGAGAGAAAGAAGCTCGAAGAAAGTGAGAGGAGAGGTTATCAAGTCACTATAGGGCTACCTTGCTATGCACCTAAACTAAGTAACTTTCCTTCCACTCTACGTTCTAGCTTTTTACGGACCAGAAGAAGTGTGGTATTCTCTGTCATCCCATTCCCTCTCCCCCCTGAATAAGTAAGGCCTCCTTAGCCTGGGCGAAGATGGGGATAAGGAATAAGGATTGAAGCCCTTTAGCTCTGCCAGGCACTGGGCAGGGGTTAGCTCTCTAAATGTGTAGAGCCAAGTGTAGTGTGGTGTAGTAGTAGGCACTTCTAGGCCCCTTCCCGGCTACTGGACCCCTCTGGGATGATGGGGAGTCATCAGGGATAGTTACCAATTGGGAGTTCGTATACTGGGGTCAAGTTACCGTATTTGGGCGGAAGTAAACAAAGCTAGAGGAGGAGGCTGGGTGTCAAATAAAGTTATAGGGAGAGAACTGGAAGAGAGAAGGAAAAAGAGCAAAGGATTTACAAGTCTAATAGGAGAAGAATGGCTGACACGTTGACTGCCTTCGATACTCGAAAAATAACCCAAGCGGTCTAACCCCCGGGGCGGACCCCAACCGAAAGGCGCTAGACGGACTAACGGCAAGCGAGATAAAGAAAGCAAAGCAGCTGGCCGGTCCGGTCCCAATTTTATCTTGATTTTAGGTGTTGGGGGTCTCTTATCCGGTCTTTATCTGGTTTTTTACCTCAAATCTAAGCCCGAATATGAGATTGCATTGTTTGCTATCCGGTTCCAGTCCGGTTCCGGTCCGGGTTATATGGTCCGATTTCGGGTAAAACCAAATAGTCTGGGACCAAATAGCCGGCCCTAGTTGAGCATATCAAAATTTGGTGAGCATTTGGTATTGTGACATGAAGAAGTAGTGACCATTTATGCAAAATTAAACATCAAATGAGAAAACAACAAATCGAAATTGGATGATGGGTTTCTTTGTCGGGTGGGGAAAGGTCTGAAAGGGAGTCTGTCGAGGGCCCAATGGTTCTTCATGTGGGCTTGGTCAGTTAACCTTTGACATTATTCGGCCATGCACATGAAGTGCTAATGCAAATGCAAGTGTGCATACAATGAACCGCATCTATGGTTAAGCATTGGAAATGGATCCCTCGCTTTGGCCGTGAAGATGCTATGCTCATTTCGTTAAGATGGAAGAGTATTCTGGCGTATTTTGGATCGGATTATTATGATTCTCGTGATTTCAACTAAAATGTGGACTGAGGTATTTGTAATCTTGTTCAACAGAATTGTAAGGACGCTCTAATCTTTATGCATTAAATCGTGTTCCCGTTTAGAGGTTGAAATGAATGAAATCTACCAATACCATAATAGAGATGAGGAAACTTACTATTGATAATCAAATTAAGGATAAGGAGTAAGGACACAAAACTTGCATAGGTTGGATTACATATGGGCTTATGAGGAGAGAACTATGGGCTTCTACCGTTTGGCCCAATTCAATTAAGGCTATGTAGCATGCCTATGTTTTTAAACTTTTTATTGGGCTTAGCGCTTAGGCCTTTTAACTTCACTTGCGTACCTCTTGCACTGGCCCAGTATTCCTTTCCCGCGCAAAAGATAAAATGTTAAAAAAATAAACGACGCCGTTGCCGGGGATCGAACCCGGGTCACCCGCGTGACAGGCGGGAATACTTACCACTATACTACAACGACCTTGTTGTTCTGGAATTCAAACTAATTAATTATCAATTATATCTTTAACTTTATTATTTGCAATTATTCAATCTCTCTTTTTCCCCCTACTAAACTGTGTTAAGATTTAAGTATTTTCATACGACTTCCTATCTACAATTTATCCTCTACACTTGAACCGATTGTATTATTTGTTGTTTGTAGTTGTGTTACGTTGATTTATGATGCACTTTCCATCTTCATAATCCATAGTTAGAAAATCGATAAGCTTTCATATATCGAAACATGTATGCCTGTAGAATTTTGATATTGCAGAATTGAAATAGAATACGAGGCAAAGGATTTTACGTGGTATCCTCGATCGGTTGATTGATCGAGACTAATCCACGGTGAGCTCATAAGAGCTCACGACTTATCTCTTATTAGGATTACATCTTGACGGCTTGCTTACGACAGGTTTGTAGTTAAGCTTTTATAGAGATAGACTTAGGGTTAAAACCCTAATGACAACCAAGTTCCTTCTTTTACCGAGACAAGGAAACAAGGGACTTGGAGGACAAGGAATTAATTACTTTTGACTAAGTAATTAATATCCTCACCAATGCCCTCTTTATGTTCTAAAACTGGAACTGGACATGGTTTGACTATTGTAGTGATTTGCATAATGACAACTTACATCCTAGCCTTTGTTTTTTTTTTTTTTTTGACAACTTACATCCTAGCCGCCCATGCACCCGTTTGGTATAAATGAATTTCATAAGTTTTGCGGAATTCATTTTGAATGAAATATTTTTGTGTTTAGTATTTAAAAGAATACATTTTTAATTATAAATTTTGAATTCGATAGAATTGGTACGGGTTATAGCAATTCCGAGGAATTGAGATGAAATTTCCAAGTAAATTCCACAAGTATTTACTAATTATAATAGAATAACATCATTGTCCTCTTTATTAACTAAATTACTTATATATATGAAATACCAAACACAGGAATTCATTTGACAATGAATTCTACACGACAATTCATTATGTTTCTAAGGATTTGAATATGACATACCAAAAACAAGATTTTATTTGACAATGTATTTGACAATGAAATGAATTCTTTATTTATTCGGTACCAAACTGTGTATAAAAAGGAAATGAATGCTAGCTAATTGCATGGAGAATGGGACACGAACATGAAATCAAGGGAGTGATCACAATTCACAACTAGCGTTTTAGTTTCCTTCATTTGCTTCCTTTCCCGGAACCAAAGTGATTGAAGTTCATCAATTGACTTAACAGAATGGAAGAGCATGGGCTAGAAAGTGGTGGGTGGGCGTGTGGTTGGAGTGTATTAATTTCATTTATGGAGGCCAACAAACTACTAAATTTTAAATCGTTTTGAAAGCTCGAGAAGACCAATCCAACAAGCCCCATAACAATCATAATATCTCGTTACCCCACAAAAAAAAAAAAAAAGCGAAGAGGTGTGTGGTTGTGAAAGAAATGGGTGAATAAATATAATTGTTTTGTGATGGTCAAGGTTCAAGAAAGAGCTTAACGTGGAATACGTTTGGATGTTAGACAATAATAAAATGTCTCGTCTAGAGTTTGGATAGAGAGTTAGACTTTCATAACGTCTACGGGACATCTAGGTGGAGCTAGATACGGTCAGCTTTAGGTGATTAATCTTATTTAGACACGTTTAAGCAACTACCACTTCATCTGATCATACTATGTATGTGTTTAGGGATGAGGACGAGGAAGGAGATGGTGCAACATCGAGTCGTGTTACAAATTCAATGTGAGTAGCTTGAGCTTCTTAAGAGTGCAAGAGTGAGAGAGCTCCATGATGTAGAATTATGAGTCTAAAGAGAAGTATGGGGAGGAGATTCTTTTGAGGATGGTGAAGATGAAGTGGTGGTTGTACGAACCTATTTGAATGATGATGAATGAACTAGGCCGTAACTTGTAAGTGTTCTCTATTTTATTGTTTGAACTTGTTGTTTTTGTAAACTTGTCTTTGAAACTTTATGTGAAGTCGTGATTCTTTAAACTCATACTTTTGGGAAATTATAACATATGTTGATAGTTGTTGAGGGCTGGCTAAGTTATAAATTAATTATTTGAAATCAAACATAAGCAAAAAGTGTCATACAATTGTTATTTCTACTAGAAATTTATATATTTAGCTTAAAACGCTTAAACGTCATCCAGGTGTCGCCTAAACGTCCTAAGCGCAAGGCATGACTCCAATGCCTGCCTAATAGCTTAGTTCCAGCTTGATTATTTAGGTTTTTGTGCTCGATATGTTGGTAGGAAAAATAATAAGATAACTTGACTAAAAATATATTTTCTTTATTTCTTGTTTATGAAATATATTATAATATAATTGATTGCTAAATTTGAATCTTTGTTGTCTTGATAATTCACATAATTTTTCGAAGGAAAAAAAGAGAGGTATGTGGTTGTTAAAGTAACGGTTAGTTGGCGGCGGCGTGTGGGGAGATGACGGCCGTTTTATTACAGCTTTCACGACGAACTTTGGAGGGGGGTTTGATCACTAGTAGAGAGTTAATTGGGATCTTGCATGGACTGAAATTCACTTGGAAGACAGGAGCTAGGAAGGTAATTCTACAAACCGACCGACTACTACTTTTTAGCTGATTTCCTAGCTAATGTAGGCCACTCTCGCCCTATAGGTTCCCATGTTATAGCCGCACTTGACAGTGTGTTGTCCTACTGGTTGTACTATGACACTATCGGGATTCAAGCAACCCGCTTTGTTCTTGAATAAAGGTTGGGATGCACTTTAAACAGCGGTAGATCCAGGGGGTGGCCACCCGGGCCGTGGCCCGACCATGCTCTAGGTCCGGAGTTAGTAAATCCCTTATAAATTTTTTTATTTTAGATATTTGGCTTAGTGTTATTTTATAATAAAATTGTGTGCAACAAGAAAAATGGTTCAAATGAACATATTCAAATTACTACTCTAAATTTAGCCAAAAAATTCTAGCTCCATTGATTTTCGTCTAAAAAAATAAACAATAAAACCTAAAAATCTAAAAGAAATATGAGGTTTGTTCCCTTCAAAAATTACTAGAGCTGCTGGATATAGGGATGGATGCACAATACAATCGATTAGTCGATTGATTTGTCTAGTCTTGACGTTGCTTGTCTCAACGACTACTATGTAGTTAACCTTTTCAACAATAAAACGTGTGAAAACTGATTTGCGCAACTAAAAGAGCAATGAGTTTCTCGTCAATTGGTTTACTATTTTATTTGAAAGAGAATCTGCTATTGGTATGTGTGTAGACTCCATTATTGATGAATTGGCTAAAAAACCGTCTTGTACAATTGACATTGTACAAAAAAATATTTTTTATTGCGGTATCTAATTTTCTAACAAATGTGACCTAATACTCTACTTTAAGCCTCCACTTCAAAAAAAGAGGTTGGTGGGAAGTGGGTGTTGATTTTTGCTGGCTTTGTTGTTATTTGTTGCATGAAAATCACATTTAATTCTCTCCCTCCAATCTCACCAAACCCCTCCTGGCCCTCTCAACCGTCACCTTTGTTTCCATTGGAAAAGGGAGAACGGATAGTGTAAAATCAAAATTAAATAAAATATATGGTAATATCGATAAAATTCGAACAAAATGTTATGGATAGTTGACGAGATAATTTTTTCATTATCCAATTTGAACTCGTCTAATAATACATTCAAATACAATATTTTATATAAATTGTATCAAAATCTACAAAATGTGCTTTTCCACATTTATTATAATTTTTCAATCTAGTTACCAAAGTTGTGTTAGACATTTCTCTTTGGTGTTCTTATATTAAGAAATTTTGAACGAACAAGGGATTGGTCTAGTGGTAATACCGCTAGCCATGAACCTGGAGGTCCCAGGTTCGAGTTCCTTCAATAGTACCTAATAACAAAAAAAGTAACCTATATCACCCTTATTAAAAAAAATATTAAGAAATTTGGATGAACTATCGATATAAATAAATTCATTGAATATTTTGATTTTATCCTACCTAACATGATGGTCATAATGCATGGTTTTTCCCCCCTCCTATCTTCACCATCCCTCCTTGTGTAGCACTTAACTCGTTACTCATTGTGTTGTTCCTTGTGTAGCACTTAACTCGTTACTCATTGTGTTGTTTTACGACTATTGTTATGCATGTTAACATAATTAAATTGCCTGAAGTGTGGATCATCAAATATTCGAATGAATACTACTATACTTCATAAAAAATAGAAAGATTTTTGCTTCTAGCCACGAAACAAAAATGGAATGTAATTGTTATGAGATTTTTTTTCTTACTGGTTTACAAATTACAAAGTAGAAATATCAACAAGAATGACACAATTTCATTAAGGCAAACCTAAAATTGAGAGCTAATTAATCTAGTAGGTGCCGAAAGTGAAAAAATACAGAAAGCAATAAAAACATTGCACTGGCAGAGGTGACTCTCTGCTCTGACACTCTACAGCGCTACCACTCAGTCACTCACCACCCACCATCTATTTAACCGGAGAAGGAAGAAGAAGAAGAAGAAGAAGCAACCGACGCTCTCCCTCAAATCCCAACTTCGGATAACTCGAGAGAAAATGGCGAAATCACCGGAGACAGAGCACCCACAGAAGGCATTTGGCTGGGCCGCCAGAGACAGCTCCGGCGTCCTCTCGCCCTTCAATTTCTCCCGCAGGTCTCCTTTTGTCTCCCCCTGTTTCTCATTTCTGCATTTGTTTATTACCCCCCCTTAAACAAATATTATGTGTGTGTTTAGGAACTTGTTAAGTGGTCAAAAGGGGGAGATGTGCTAGTGATGTAGTGATGTTAACACTGAACAGTTTGGTGGTGAAAGATTTGGGCACAACTAACGATTGTGTGAAGCTTTCTTTCTTTTGGATCATATAATGTGGCTAGCTAATCAAAACAAAAAGTAGGGTGAGAGTAGATTATAATAATCAAGGGTCTGAACTTCTTGGACCAGGCACTTTTCTGAGGAAAGCTCCAATTTGGACCAAAGTTTTCCACTTTGTGCTTGTTTTGTTTCGTCATTTGTGGGTTTGGTTTACTCCAGATGTATATAGATTGTGTAGCTCTCCTCCACTTTGGAACTTATTTAAGGTTAGGAATCAGTTAGGTAATCCTTAATCCTCTTGTGGGTATCAAAAGAATGAGTCTTTTCTCAAAGGGTAGTTCTTAATTTGTTGTGACAGCTTAATTTGTTCTTGGACCACTCACTAATCACTATCTCGAGTTTGGGTTTTTTTGAGGAAACTCCAATTTGGATCAAAGCTATCCACTTTGTGCTTGTTTTGTTTCGTCATTTGTGGGTTTGGTTTACTCTAGATGTATATTGATTCTGTCGCTCTCCTCCAATTTGGATCTTATCAAGGTTAGCAATCAGTTAGGTTATCCTAATCCTCTTCTGGGCAACCAAAAGAATGAGTATTTTCTCAATGGGCAGTCCTTAATTTGTTGTGACAGCTCAGTTTGTGGGTCCTTTTGTTGTTTTAGAAATGGGGTTACCATTGTGTCTTAATTCTTAATTTGGTGGCTTCACTGTGGGTAAACTAAATAGAAATGGTGCTTGCTTGTTTTCAATGTTAATGTAGCCAAGGCAGGGAATCCAGGCATCCAGCTAAGAAGGCCAAAACTTTGTTCCATTTAGAAATATTGTCTTGAGAATGGGTTGAATGAATTCTTCTAGGATTTATCACTTTCTGCTCTAAGAAAGCTTTGATGCTGGTTGTTTGATTGTTACAAGACTGTTTTGTTTTGTTTCTTTGGAACAGGGAAAATGGAGATGAAGATGTGACCATAAAGATCCATTTCTGTGGGATCTGCCACTCTGACTTGCATGCCATCAAGAATGAGTGGGGCTTTGCTCATTACCCCATGGTTCCAGGGTAAATCTAAAATCTCTGATCTGTAACCCTTTGGGTTAAATGCCATTGTTTCACCTGAAACTGAAACAACTTAAGTATTAAGCTCGTCTTAATAAGTTATATCTTCATTGGCATTCTCTGTGTCCCAAGTCTTACTTTGTGGTAATGTAGCTGATATCATCAATATAACAACGAAAGTAGACAAGAATAAACTTACTACTGCTTGATCCGTCTCAATACCAAGCCAGTGCCCAATGTAATGCATTTAATTGAGGTTGACCATCAAATTGATATTAAGTTGTTAAGCCATTTCCTTTGTCTTGAGATCAATCACTCTGCCCTCTTCGCTTCTGAAACTATGGATTCCTCCCATCATCGCAGGCACGAGATCGTTGGCATTGTGATGAAATCCGGTAAAAATGTTGAGAAGTTCAGAGAGGGGGATCGAGTGGGAGTTGGAGTGATGGTGGGATCATGCATGTCATGCGATTACTGCAACCAGGACCTGGAGAACTACTGCCCAAAAATGATATTCACCTACAACTCCGTCTACCATGATGGAACTGCAAACTATGGTGGATATTCTGATATGATCGTCGTTGATCAGCACTTCGTGGTCCGGTTTCCTGACACCATGCCATTCGATGCTGGGGCTCCATTGCTGTGTGCTGGAGTGACTGTGTACAGCCCCATGAAGTACTATGGAATGACTGAGCCAGGGAAGCACTTGGGAATTGTTGGGCTCGGTGGGCTTGGACATGTTGCTGTGAAGATTGCTAAAGCTTTTGGGTTGAAAGTTACTGTGATTAGTCACTCGCCGGGGAAGGAGACTGAGGCTGTTGATAGGTTGGGAGCTGATGGGTTCCTTGTCAGCAGTGATCCTCTAAAAATCAAGGTATGTGGGAAATTTTTGGGAACTGCTATTTCGAGTTATGTATTCTAAGAATGAATGCATTTGAGGTAATAAGTCATCTTGCTGTGAATCCATGCTTTCAAAATATATATCCAGTCTAAGAATCACAAGTTTCAGCTGATTCATTAGGTGTTTTGGAACACTCCGTGCTAATCCTGAGTGGACTATGTGTTTGCTTATATGAAAGATGTTGCTTTGATCTTTCCGCAGGCTGCTTTTGGTAGCATGGATTACATAATCGACACAGTCTCATCAGTTCATGCGCTGACACCACTCCTAGCCCTTCTGAAGCCTAATGGGAAGCTGATCACTCTAGGCTTGCCTGACAAGCCCCTTGAGCTTCCCATGTTCCCTCTAGTTTTAGGTACAATAACTTAAGAGATTGCGATTTCTGTTACTGATCACGAATAGCTTATATAAAGCATAGAGATATAGTTTCATTATAGGTACTGACTATGATTCTTGCTTTGGTTTGGTAACAGGTCGAAAGCTGGTGGGAGGAAGCGACATAGGAGGGATGAAGGAGACGCAAGAGATGCTCGACTTTTGCGCGAAGCACAGCATCACAGCAGATGTCGAGGTGATCTCCATGGATCAAGTCAATGTCGCCATGGCGAGGCTTGCCAAGTCGGATGTCAGATACCGATTTGTAATCGATGTTGCCAACTCCTTGTCGAAATGACTTAGTTGTGATTCAAAGATGCGATGAATGATCACCGTATGAACCCTTTTGGTGGCAGGGCAAACTATCTTTAAACTAAAGCTTTTCCTTTTAGCTGGTTCTTGTGGTTATGAGTCTGATAATGTATTGGATATTTGAATTCATAACTGACTCTATATGTTTTAGAGTCTGAACTATATCCGGCATATGAAGAAAAGGCTAAACTTTTAGAGTTGCTTTCGTATTTAAGAATCCATGACCCAACCAAACAATTGAGCTCCAAAAGCCTCTTGGAATGGCCATGGCCCATGGCATACAAGTGGTGAAGTCACTCATAGAGTCATACCTAGCAACAATATGAGTTCCATAGCGAGCTAAACAATCGGTTAGGAAATTAGTTTTCTTATAGACAGTAAAAAATAAACAATTGGTTAGGAAATTAGTTTTCTTATAGACAGTAAAAAATATGAATCACATGCTCCACATGTAAGAGAACTCGAAATGCTAATACTAGCATGCTGTTGAGGAGGGTTTAGGTTTCAGATGAAGTGCTACACCGATCTTCGAAGTGAGCTGAACTTATTTTTGTAGGATATCACAATCTAATCAAGATCCTTGAATTTCCCCAAATCTATGTACGAGTAAAAGTACATTTCTCCATGTTCATCATGTAAACCTCTTAATAAGTGACCCTAATGTCCCTCCGACAATAATAACCCCTGAATCTCGTAGGAACGAGCCATTAGAATTCACAATTATCCACTCTATCAAGGCTGATTTTCACCCTACGACCACGCCTCGACGCAATCCCTTCCACCCAATAAAATGATTTGTCCACTACTTTACTACTTTCTGCAATGACCTAGGAAATTAAATGGTGGCATCTATGGCCTTCAAAAAAAAAAAAAAATTGGTAAGAACCTTCAAAATTATTTGAAGATGAATACACCAAGCATATGAACTAGAATAAAAATGGGCTCAATATAAATTTCAAGCCCGCGAGAGACATAGCCAAAAGCCCAATACTCACCGGACAGCGCGCAGAAAAAAGCGCCAAGTTTTTCCCGCCCAAGACGCCAGTCGCCGGCGATTAGAAATCAGAGAAGAAGAAAAGGAGGAGGAAAAGGGGGAAAATATTGAGCGCCTCCGATCTTCCGACGAAAATATTTCAAGATCCTGCAAAATCCAACGGCCGGGAAGTCCGCGACGCCCGCACAACGAGGTAAGGCTTCACCGCCTCTGTACACTACTTTGAAAAATAAGTAAGCTGCCAAAAGAGAGAAACAGAAAGCAAGAAAGACGTTTCACTTGAGCTGGCTCTGTTTCTGACACAGTGACACTCTGCAGCCTCGCCACTCCGCCACTCTCTACCGTTTCCTGCCATCTATTTAATCACAAACGAAGGAGAAGGAGAGGAAATAAGAAGAAATCGACTCTCTCTCTCTCTCTCTCTCTCCCAATTTCGGATATCCCGAGGGAGAAAAAAGAAAGAAAACAAGGCGTTCCCCTGCAGAAATGGCGAAGTCGCCGGAAACAGAGCACCCACAGAGGGCATTTGGCTGGGCCGCCAGAGACCCCTCCGGCGTCCTCTCTCCCTTCAATTTCTCCCGCAGGTCTCATTAGGCAAATATCTATGCATGCATTTCGTTAGTGGTACAAATGGGGGGATGTTAAACAAGGATCTGAATTTCTTGATCCTCTACTGGGTATCAAAAGAATGAGTCTTTTTCTTGATGGGTACTTCTTAATTTTGTTGCGACTGCATGGTTGAAAATGGATTCTTGTTATTGGGGTTGAAAATGGATTCTTCTTTGCTGTTTGTTTCATCGTGGTATAAATCCCTTTCTCTATTGGTTTGTATCTTTGGCACAGGGAAAATGGAGATGAAGATGTGACCATAAAGATCCATTTCTGTGGGATCTGCCACTCTGACTTGCACTCCATCAAGAACGAATGGGGCATTGCTCGTTACCCCATAGTTCCAGGGTAAAATCTATAATCTCTAATTTGTACCCCCTAGTCTTTTAGCTTGTCGTAATCTGTACTCCGTCAAGTGTCAATAATTCGAGTTGTTGGAATAAATTAGAGGTTTATATACAGATGTTAATCACTTTCTTACACGTTACAGGCACGAGATCGTCGGGATTGTAACGAAATCTGGCACGAACGTCTCGAAGTTCAAAGAGGGCGACCGAGTAGGAGTAGGAGTGATGGTGGGATCGTGCAGGTCATGCGACTACTGCAACCAGCAATTGGAGAACTACTGCCCAAAAATGACATTCACCTACGGCTCCATCGACCGTGACGGAACTCCAACTTACGGCGGATACTCCGACATCATCGTCGTCGATCAGCACTTTGTTGTCCGATTCCCCGACTCCATGCCGTTCGATGCTGGCGCGCCTCTGCTCTGTGCCGGAGTGACGGTGTATAGTCCGATGAAGTACTATGGAATGGCGGATGAGCCTGCAGGGAAGCACCTGGGAGTTGTTGGGCTTGGTGGGCTGGGCCATGTCGCTGTGAAGATTGGGAAAGCATTTGGGTTGAAGGTGACGGTGATTAGCCATTCGCCGGGGAAGGAGGGTGAGGCTGTCGGGAGGTTGGGTGCTGATGGATTCCTCGTCAGCAGTGATCCTCTCCAAATCAAGGTATGCGGGAAACATTGGTTTGGACGATGGACTTATGAAATGATGCATTTCGTGTAGCTACTGCAATTTGACAGAATTGCTTGATTTTGAAACAATTGAGCCAAATTACTTCATCCATACGGTTGTTTATGATGTTAGTTTCAAAAAGCTACTTTTTTTTGCGAATAATGTATTATGAGAAGGCATGTATTTGAGGAATTTGTGCTTTCAACCAGTTCCTTAGCTGTTCTGGATTACTCCAAGCTAATTCTGAGTGGATTAGATTTTTGCTTTTAAGAAAGTTGTTGCGTTGTTTCTTTTCGCAGGCCGCTTCGGGTAGTATGGATTACATAATCGATACAGTCTCAGCTGTTCATGCGCTGACACCACTCTTGGCCCTTCTAAAGACTAATGGCAAGCTGATCACTCTGGGTCTGCCTGACAAGCCTCTCGAGCTCCCCATCGCCCCTCTAGTTCTAGGTACACATCAAAACGCATTATTAACAATCATGCCGTCTTGAAACAAAAAAGGTTATGATAGCGTGTACAAATTTTGAAATCGTGATTATGATGTTGTTAATTATAATACACGAATGGCCTACATAGGTCGAAAGCTGGTGGGAGGGAGCGACATAGGAGGGATGAAGGAGACGCAGGAGATGCTCGACTTCTGCGCTAAGCACAACATCACAGCGGATGTCGAGGTGATTCCCATGGATCAAGTCAATGTCGCCATGGCGAGGCTTGCTAAGTCGGATGTCAGATACCGATTTGTGATCGACGTCGCCAACTATTTATCGAAATAACTCAATCGTTGTTCAAAAGTTACGATGAAACGAGAACCCTTTTGGTGGTGAAGCTAGCCAACTCTCTTTAAACTAATAAGGCTTTTCCTTTTAGCTTGTTCTTGTGCTTTGAATGTGTTGGATATTTGGATTCATATATGAATATGAAGAAGTTTTATGGATGGATTTGGTTTCATTATTGAAAACCTTTTGGAATGGCCACCATGGCTGATCACATCAGTTAGCTTTAATTAAGAATTGAACATTAATCGCTTCATTTTCCTCCCTCAGAGAGGCTTTTGGAGTGTACTCCCACCCATTTAGCGACGAATCTCGCAACCATATATAACCAGTCTTTCCAAATCTCACAAGCCATCATGCATTTACCAAAAGAAATGGCTTTTAACCTCAGAACCACGGCATTGTTTCTACTGGGAACGCTGGTATTCACAGCGGCGGCGGCGGAAGGGCGGCGGCTGGAAGAGAAGGCGGCCGGGCTGGCGGATTGCTGGGGAGCGCTTGCGGAGATCAAGTCCTGCTCCGGCGAGCTGTTCCAGTACTTCTTTAGCGACGGCCGGGTGGATGTCATTAGCGACGGATGTTGCCGGGCCGTGTCCACAATCACTCATAACTGCTGGCCCGCGATGCTTGACTCTGTGGGCTTCACGGCCCAACAAGCCCACTTGCTGAGAGGGTACTGCGACGCGGCTCTTGCTGAAGGTGGCCGTGATGCTCCGGCGCCGGCGCCGGTTAGTGGTCGTAATTCGTTTGCTTAAAGTGCGATAGTTGGTCGAGTTTGTGATGAACGAATGGAAAATAAAAAATAATTTTGTTCATAGTAATAATAAAAATAACGTTTGTTAATGAATGTTATGTCTTACGCAGAGTCAAATTTCGTACGTAATGATTGAAAGACGAAATGAGATCAACCAGCACAAACCCGTTTTTTTTATTACCAAATAAACCCTCATGACATGGTCGGAGTCGGACATTAACGGTGGTCCGTATACAACGGTTTTAACGTTATCACATGAATGCACCAAGTCCTAAAGCCTACGATTAGCAACAAATGGGCCCAATGTAAATTTCAAGGCCGACAAAATTTGATTGGGCCAGAAAGCAAAAGCCCAAAGCCCACCCAACAACGCAAACGAACTCTTCCCGCCTGAGACCGAGTTTCGCCGGCGGTTATAGCAGCGAAGAAGAAGAGGAAGAGGAAGAAGAAACGACGAAGGGAAGGGAAAAAATGAGCGCCTCCGATCTTCCGACGAAGGAAGCGAACGTGCTGAAAGGCCACGAGGGCGCCGTGCTAGCGGCGAGGTTCAACGCCGACGGCAACTATTGCCTGAGCTGTGGCAAGGATCGAACGATTCGCCTCTGGAATCCCCACCGTGGCATCCACATCAAGACCTACAAATCGCACGGCCGGGAAGTCCGCGATGTCCACGTCACGCCGTACGACTTCTCCCTCGCTTGTTTCTCTCCATTTTTTGCCTTCCCAATTTGGTTTGTACCTTATCTTGCTGAACCGTTTTGGGGGGCAGGGATAATTCGAAGCTGGTCTCGTGCGGCGGCGATCGGCAGGTGTTCTATTGGGACGTATCCACCGGCCGAGTGATCAGAAAGTTCCGGGGACATGAGAGTGAGGTAATAATGCTTTTCAAATTTTGGGCATTCTATCAATTGGAGTGGAGTTGCAATTTGGTTTGGATGAGAATTAGTTAACAAAATTTAGGGTTTTGGACGATTAGGTGAATGCTGTGAAGTTCAATGAGTATGCATCTGTGGCGGTATCAGCTGGATATGATCAATCCTTGCGCAGTTGGGATTGCCGGTCTCATAGTACTGAACCTATTCAGGTGTATTTTCAGGTTCCTCCATCTTCAAGTTTTTTCCCCCTTCTTTCTCCTGGCCTTGTTTATGTGCAAATGTTGATTCTGTGGCTCGTTTGGCAGATCATTGATACGTTTTCCGATAGTGTGATGTCTGTTTGCTTGACGAAAACCGAGATCATTGCTGGGAGTGTTGATGGCACGGTTAGAACGTTCGACATTCGAGTTGGGAGGTGAGAGATGCTGAGAGAAGCGTAAAAAGACCTGCATTTTCCATTGCTCGAAAGTTATGGTTTTGAAGTTTGGTTTCTTTTGTTCGATCTTACGAAATGTTTTGATGCCAAATTCGGTTTCTTTTGTTATGTAGAGAAATTTCGGACAATTTGGGGCAGCCTGTTAACTGTATATCTTTGTCGAATGATGGTAACTGCATCTTAGCTAGTTGCTTGGATTCTACCTTGCGCCTTTTGGACAGGTAAAGATGTTACCAAAAGTGCATATTGGGTGGTTCACATTGATCTGTTTGTGGTTCTTATGCTTTGGTTTTGTTGTTTTAGAACGACGGGCGAGCTCTTGCAAGAATATAAAGGGCATACTTGTAGAGTAAGTTTGTTAAGTTAAACTTCAGCTCTTCGTTACTTGAACTATTGTGAATTTCTACTGATCTGTCTCTGTTATTTTGAGTGAAGTCTTTCAAGATGGACTGCTGCCTTACAAATACGGATGCCCATGTAACTGGTGGCTCGGAGGATGGGTATGTTTACTTCTGGGATCTTGTCGATGCGACTGTGGTTTCAAGGTTCAGAGCACATGCTTCAGTGGTAATTATTCTGCTTGATTCTGTTTGACTTCACTCGTACTTATATTTCAAGAAACTGACCTTGGATAGTTGAAAAAGCTGCAAAATTTTCACCTTTATCTCCAATTTTGAGTACTCGAGGGTGTTGCTGGCTTTACTTTGAATATCATATATGAGATGTTAGCCCTAATTATGAGATGCTATGTTATGGCCATTGCTATTTCCTTTTCTACATTTTCATGATCATGGTAGTCTATCAATTGGTCTAGCGCAGACCGAATTTTGTCACCCCCTGCGTGCAAATCCCGACTATGATCCTAGAGTGTTTTACATTTCTCAATGGTTGGTTCTTTTTGCATGGTGCAGGTAACGAGTGTGAGTTACCATCCAAAGGATAGTTGCATGGTGACTGCATCTGTGGACGGCACAATCCGTGTATGGAAGACCTGAAAGACAAAATTCGGGGCAAAGAAGCAACCTTTTCCTGATGCCATCTATACCAGAAAGCTACCTCTGCTAGTTTCCGTCGAAAAGGAAGGATCTTTACAAGGCAAGTTGAGCTGCATTCAAGTCGAATTAGTTCCCCGGGCTTCTTTCTTCCACCTGCAAAGCTTATTGAATGAGCAGGCTGATATTTTACTCTGCAAAATGAAGACTGCCTGAATTCTTGGGAGGAAAAGCTTGAAACTGTATGAGAGTTGGAGATGCTTTGTATTTAACTATTTTCTGAAAAACTGATATTTTCAAACCTCTAGATTGCAGCATATTAAGTTATCATGTTGTATGAATCAATACAGCTACTGATTGAAGTCGTATGCGACTGGTACATGATCCATCGTTATGCGCCTCTTCTTATAATTCGAATTGTTGATAGCATTCTCGTTGTATTAGTGCCTCCAATGATTGAAACGTCTTGCTATGAAATATTAATTGTCTTGCTATGAAATATTCCCGAGATCCCAAATAATAATTCCAGCTTTAACATTGACGCGGAGAACTTGATCCTATATTGAATCAACATTCAAACTACTTCATAAGTCCAAAATTCAAGTATTGGCATACAATTACGGGAAGAAATCTCTCACTTTAATTGTCATTCTAAATGCCATAATTTGCAAGTGGGTATATAAACCTCACTTCACATTGCAAAGTACAAACACCTAGCAAAGTTTACAGCAACAACATTTAGCACAAGAGAGAGATAGAGAAAGAGAGAAAGAAGAATGGAGAGTGGGAGAGTGACAATTGGTTACAAGTCCATTTTTCTGGGGATGATTTTGGTGATGGGAATGATGATCGAGCCATCAACTGCAAGTTACCAACAATGTTTCGTGAGGTGCCTCAGGACATGTATTTGGGATGTTGCGTGCATGTTCAGGTGCGGTAGTAACTGTCTTATCACAGATCCAATCCATATCGACGAGAAGAAGAAGAACAACGTCAAGTTCTGTAATTTGGGATGCATTGCTACTACTCTCACTGCTCGAAATCCGTCAGGTAATCGTAGATTCCGTTGTTTCGACGAAGTTCGTCATTGGGATCTTTTGATAATGTAATGCATTGAATTCATCAAGTTGTGGTGATTTGGTTTGGCAGCTCTGGCGGTTATGAGTGAAGGTGAAGCAGAGGAAGTAGCAGAGAGAATGGTGAATGGTTGCTCATCTACCTGCTCCAAGAGCATTTAGTTGTGCATTGAGCAATTTCTACTAGACATAGGATGCATCTTGAAATTGTTTTATGTAGTAGCTATAGCCTATAGGTAGCAATAAAAGGGTGGAAGACTTTGTGTAATTTGTTTAATTTTAGCTCTATTTTCTGTAATTTTGTGATATCTTAGTTGATGAAGTTTTTGTTTATGAATTATTAGTGAGAGTTCCAACGTTTCAAATAACATGTGAAAGTGTTATCACATTTGGAGCGTAATTATGTTGATGGACTACAAGCATTTAGGATAGACATAGCCCTGTCAATATAGTTTTCTTTGCTATTAGCAAGAAGCATTATTTGAGGATTCTCTATATAATAAGTTATATAAAAATAGTCGTGTAATTAGCGAGTTAAGAATAATTATTCGGATTACCATCTGTATCTCATTTAGATAAAGTAAATCAATATGATCATATTAAATCAATGTGAACTTTATCGGGGCATATGTACCTCGAACAAATCAGGTGAATGAAAAACTAGTGAAACTACAACCTATCTATTGTCATGTTTAAAAATCATCTAATTTTCGAAGATTTCGAAAGTAAAATACAAACCATGGTATACTGCATTGATACACGAACTAACACATGGTTGGAAAAAAATACTCCAACAAAAAATTACATGGTACTATAACTGTAACTCGCAAGACCTACGAGACAGACGAAGAGACTTGACATTACCTCCACATGATCAGGGCATTAGATATTTTCTAATATTTGAGGTTATTTAGACAGATTATATTTGGATATGATATGGTATTCAAAATTAAGATGTTATAGCTTCGTGGTAATGTGATGATGGTAATTCCATTACATGTTAGATTCAAGTCTTTAGGCCAACAATCATCGTTCTTATAAAGAACATTAATATGGCATCCAAGCCCCGAGTGATCATAGGATCTATCTTGCACCCAAATGACAAGTCAACTGGCTAGTACAAATCTCAAACTTTATATGTACGTGTACAATACATTTAACGCTATTATAATTAGATCGGTGAATTAAAAGTCAAAATCTTAAAATGATGTGTAGCAAATAGCCTATTATTTAAGAATAGACAAAACCAACCGAGTGAAATTTAAAGCGCTACCATCAACAATATAAAATATTTCAAGATCTCAAAGAATAAGCTCTTGTAGTTATATCAAAATGGAAAAATCTTAAGAGATCCTAAATTGGTATGCTTATTACAAAATATTCAGATAAGGAACAACTTTAATTGTCATCATATGATAAAACATTAATCTTCTTTCCTATTTTTGTGGATCCTCTTTCGTCTTTAATTTCCACAAATTATGTGATCAATTAAATCCACATTCCAAATACGACAATTTACAAGTGGGTATATAAACTCTCTCATCTCATTGCAAAAAATAAACACCAACAAAGTTTACAATGTTAAAAATGGACATGGCACTAAGTTCTGGGATGATGTGTGGATTATGCAGGTACCTCTGGTGGAGCTGGCTACGATTGAGGTCCCATTGGAGTTAAGAGGCAAAACGGTTGCTGATTATTGGGATGCAAGTTCAGGTTGGATTCTCCAAGAGATTCAGCCATATCTCCCGCCCGGAATCATTGATAAAATTCGGGCTGTTTGGCTGGATCCTCTGACCAATGAGGGTGACACCCTTTTTTGGAGAATTACTTCCAATGGCAAGTTCAGTGTGAGCTCGGCGTTTCAGGCCATGATGCCAGAACAAGCTGGTCAGGAACGCATGGACTGGAGGAAGATTTGGAGGCTGCACCGCCCTGAAAGAGTTCGATTCTTCATTTGGCTCGCTGCTAAAGGGAAATTGTCGACTAACAGTGTTCGGAGGCATCGTCACCTCACCACTGATGACACTTGCCATCTTTGCAATGAAGTTTCGGAGACTAATCTGCACTGCCTGAGAGACTGCACAGCCTCGCGGAAGATTTGGGAGAAGTCACTGCCTGTCCAGGCGCACCAGAGCTTCTTCGAAGCAGATCCAGATAGGTGGTTTGGCATGAACCTGGAAAAGAAACTTGGGGCGGATGTGCAGGAGGATTGGCCAAGCCTCTTTGCCTTAATTTGTTGGTATGTTTGGAAATATAGAAATGAATTTATTTTTCAGGGAAAAAAGATGGCTGAGTCGTCCATAGTCAACTATGTCACGTCAAAGGCTGCCGACAGGTTGAAGACGTGGGACAGGGCATCTTCAAGCTTAAACGTAGTTGAAAGACCTCCGAGGACGGACCAGTTGATCGGTTGGAAGGTGCCGCCAAGCGGATGGAGGAAAATGAACACTGATGGTGCGGCGCAAGGTAATCAAGGGTTAGCAACTGCTGGTGGGGTGCTCAGGGACAGTAATGGAGATTGGGTTTGTGGTTTTTGTTGCAAGATTGGAATTGGGACAGCTATCCTTGCGGAGCTGTGGGGCATTCATCAGGGGCTTCTCATGGCCTGGAACAATGGTACGCAATTTCTTATCTTAGAGACAGACTCGCAGCTCGCTGTCGAGCTTATCAAAGCGAGGGAAGACCCTGTTCATCCTCACTCCACACTGTTGGCTGGTATTCGTCGTTTGTTGTCACAGAACTGGGTGGTCAGGCTGGTTCACACGTATAGAGAGGGGAATAGAGCCGCGGACTGGCTCTCGAAGCACAGTCTCGTCTTTCCCTTCGGTACGAGTGAAGTGGCAAGTCCACCTAGGGAGCTTGGAAGAATCTTGATGGAGGACATAGTGGGGGTTAGTTTTCCTAGAAGAATTCTGTTGAACAGGGAGTAGGTTGGCGGGCTGGGAATTGTGTTTTTTCGGTTTCGCCTTGGAGCTCTGTTTTGATTCCTTTGCTGCAGCTGGCCCTCTGCCATTGTGCAGGAGTGCGTCTGTTCTGCACGGCTTTCGCTTGTAACTTTGGCTAAATGCCCCCCCTTATTAAAAAAAAAAAACAAAGTTTACAATAACAACATTCATCAACGAAAAAACAGCGAGGAGAATAATTGCATAAGATGGAGAGTAGAAGAGTGGCAATTGGCTACAATCCTATGTTTTTGGTGACAATGTTGGCGATGGGAACAATGGTGCAACCATCAAATGCAAGCTATCAACAATGCTTTGTGAGATGCTTGAGGACTTGCATTTTCGATATTGCTTGCACATTTAGATGTGCCAGTAATTTTTTTCTCATAGACCCTTCTATAATAAGTACTGGCAGTACCGTTGGTACTCATAGCAACAACAACCTTAAATTTTGCAATTTGGGATGTGTTGCTGCTACCCTCGCCACTCTTCGTCTAGTAGGTTATCATTTAGCTCCCTCTTTCAAAAAAAAAAAAAAAGTTATCATTTAGCTAGTTGTTGTTATTGTTGTTAGCAAATAACGTTTGACAACCATGTTTTTGGTTTGGCAACTTTTGCAATCATGAGTGAAGGTGAAGCAGGAAAAACAACAAAGAAGATTGTAAATGACTACTCGTCTTCATGTTCAACGAATTTTTAATTTGCATAGAGCCATGTTAGATTGATAGGCTTTGAATTGTGTCGAATTGAACTAATTCATATACATTTGGCCACTTATTATGTTTGTTATACATTTGTTGGGTGGAAAAGATGATGAACTTGCATGAATCTTGTGAAAAAGATCACTAAAAGTAGGATTTTGCTTAAAAGTGAGTATGATCAAAATAACCTAACGGGTCATTGCCACGTGTTGGGTTTGCAATCATGAGGTCGGTGCTAAACTAAAGTTTTGAGCATCCATTAATAAACAAGCAAAGGTTCATGGACACCCAACCAATGAATGTTTGCCTAACATCTATGAATCTCCAAATGATGTAAAACATGTCATTTGCACAACAAAATCTTTGTTTAAGAATATTGAGATATAGGAAATGAACTATTTAAATGTGTTCAATGAACATATGATATGAGTATGGAGGGTGGAATTTGGTTCATTTTAAATTATGATTTAGTTGGTTTGTTAGGAGGATTTGCCAAAATTGGGATGTGGGTTATATTAATATATTGATCTTGAATGTGAGCGACTTCAAAAATTAAGGATAATAGAGATTTTGATAAGGTAAATGACAGTCTAGAGTAATGATTATGAAAACTTATTGAGTATAATGTTATTCCATTCGAGAATCACACATGTTAGCTGGCCGTATTAGACATTAGACCAAAGGTTTTTGACTGATTGGGCTTATGTCTAAGTTTGAATTTTAATTAGATACATAGTATGACGAATTCGTGCAAGTTTCAAGCTAATGACTTAGCTTTTAATTTGATAGTGTGTGTAGGGTGACTATATAGCATTAAAATCCATTTTTTTATTTTTTCCTACCAACTCGATTTATTGATAGTAAGAAACTCTTGAAAAATCCGAGCCAAGCAATAAATTGTGCACAATCATCGTGATCAATTATGGTACAATCCATCACTCCAATTTCACCAAATTCATTCAACTAATTTCTTTTTATTTATTTATTTCATCAAGTTAGATTCATGTTCTTTGCATTGGTAAGTGATATTATTGTTAGGCTTTTCTACCTTGTATTCATGTGTTATGTTATGAGGTCACATGATGGGGTTTTCTTATTCTTTATTTGGGTTTAGGGTTCACGGGACAATGCCAAGTTAGTTAGTGTCTACCTTTTTTTAGCATCTAATTAATTATTAGTATATATTTTTCTAATCCAATTGATTATTAATATTTTCTGGTAATCATGTAATCAACAAGAGATTAGGTATATTAATCATACGTTATATGGGCCGATTAAAGACAGCAAGTTAAGTAGAAGTAAGCTCTTGTCTATTATTTATTTCCAACACCTAACCGAATGCTAAGTGTACAGTTATGTGAAAGCAACCACCACTTAACCTAACAACATTTACATTTGTTAAATGATTGATTCATTTGATCTTCACTCAATATCAAGATAAAAAAACTCCACTTTGCACCAAATTGTCTTGCAAAGGTGATTAGAAGTTATCGAAGTTGGACTTATATGAGCGAGATAGTCCGTCTGAAAGAGGGAACAATCAAATATCACGAAATTTCAAGAGCAATAAGAGTGATGATGTGCAAGTCCAGACACCCTCTCGTTTAGATTTGTCGATCATCACCTATCTATTTGTTATATATTTTGCTCCGACTTACTTGATATTTATTTTTTGTTTGTCGTAATGAGTTTTTATTTTATAATATCCATATACGAGATTTCTTAAATTTCATTTATTATTTTACCAGAATGACAAGAAAATTACATTTGGGAGGTATTTTATTACTTTCTTATTATGTTTTATCCAGATTTTATATCTCTCTTCAAGTAGAAAATAAAACTCACGCACATGCTACTTTTAAAAAACAAACGATAATACCTATGGCGGTCTGCGATTATTACTCAAACCCATTCAACTTGACTAAACATAAACGAATATCCAATCAATAAATCACCAAAATATTTCATCGATTTACAACCGAATTCTACTTACTTATCTACTAAATAAAAATCTATAAATTGCTTACCACAAACCGATCCAACCGACCCAATGTTCACCCCTAACCCCTGAGACTGGACAGCCAATTTCTTTTCTGAATAACAGAGGAAGAAGGAGGAGAAGAAATGAAGAATAGAGGCAGAGAGAGAAAGAGAGGGAGCGAGTGCGATAAATCCCCTCGTGGGGTGAAAGTGAAACAGAACAGAGACGAAAGCAAGAGATCACTCACAGCAACTCGTTTTCTCTAAAGACATCCGATCCGACCACAGAACTAGGATCTCTTGCCAACGCGGCATCCTTTAGATCATCATCGTCCTACTGTCTCTCTCTCTCTCTCTCTCTTCATACGCGGTTTCCTTTCCCTCTCTGAAAAGCGAATCCCTAGTTGGCAGCCGTAGCCATCAATCGAAATCAAGACCAAAAAGTCCAAACCAGAATCGAACACTCTCTGTTTTATTACTACGATCACAACAAATTGGAAGCCAGCTAGATCAACCCCGCCGGCGGGGCGCGGCGGCCGGCAGGCAGACAGATCAGCACCGCCACCACCGTCATCTTCACTGGGTCCCACCTCCCCCTCCATCTATTCTTTAATTTCCCCCACATTTCACCGAGTGATAAAAAAAACAGAGCAATAAAGAAAAAAACTGTTTCTCTGTTTTCCTTTTTCTTTGTGGGACTGGGATTTAATTTGTTGTTTGTTTCTTCCTGTCGCTATCCTTCATTCCCTCTCCTCTCACCCCATTTGACTCTCTCTCTCTTGCACTATCCGGAATGATGTGTAATAACCCATCACCCACCATTACCACTACCACCATTACTACTTCATTGCTTTGCATTGCAGTACAAAAGGCATAAACTTTGCTCCCCACTGTGGGTTGGGGTTTTGCCTCTCTGGATCCATCTGTCTTTCTTTTCGTTTCTCCCCATTTGTTTTCCTTCTCCATTACGCCTTCCATTCCCCCATTTGCCGATAAAAAGTGGGGGGAAGAAACTGGCTTGTGAACTAATCTATCCAAGCTGCCTGCTGTAAAAAGGAGAAAGAAGGGGGAAAAAGGGAACAACTTTTGTTTACTCGTTGTTTGACTGCTCCGAGAGGAGGCTTTGCTTGTTTGAGGTGCAAAGTTTGGAGCTTTTTTCATTCAGCGAGCTGAAATGACCCATTGGAGCTCGAGGAGACTGTTGTGTGTGGTTCTGAGATTGAAGTGAAGCAAAGGGGCTTGTTGGGTTTTTGTGGGTTCTTTCTAAGTTCTCTACGCCATGAATACTGGCGGAAGGCTCATTGCTGGTTCTCACAACCGGAATGAGTTTGTTCTCATCAATGCCGATGAGACTGCAAGAGTAAGAAAGAAGACCCATTTTCTCAACTTTGTTTTGATCTGGTTATCCTCTACTGGTTTCCTTTGGATGTCGTCTGTTTTCCTTTGGTTGGGTTGTTAGAATGTTGGTAGATTCTACTGATTTGGGGGTTTTAGAGTGAGAAGAAGACTAACTATTTTTACTGGAGGCATTTTCAGCCTCAGGGTTAGTTTGTATCAATTTGTTAGAAGTTTGTGAATGTGGGCATTTGAATTCTGGTTTTCGGTATAGTACTGTTGACGGTTGATTTGAGTTGAACCTTCAACATCAGGAGGGATAACTAAGTAGGTGTTGCGTCTATGCTGAGTGAAAAGGGCAATGCACTTAGGTTTTCTGTATCCCTTCTGGGAATGTTCTCGGGTGGACTTTCCCCCTTCAAATGAGCATCACTCTCACTACAGTGTGTTTATGCTTCTTACTTGGTTGTGCTATAAGTAAAACCGGGATTGCAGTTTTCGTTTTGTCGAGAGCTTGTTGAGTTGAACATATTGTAGAAAACCTTAGGTTTCTCACTTTGGAGATCGTCTTCCTTGGCGAGTCTAGTTCCAACTGAACTGGTTTGTCTTGGTTCATTAACTACTATTTTGTTCTCAAATTATTACTAATGAAAGTTCAACTGGTTCTGGACATTATACAGATTCGATCGGTGCAAGAATTGAGTGGCCAAGTGTGCCAGATATGTGGTGACGAGATCGAGATCACAGTGGACGGAGAGATATTCGTTGCATGCAACGAATGTGCTTTCCCTGTGTGCAGAACTTGTTATGAGTACGAGAGACGAGAGGGCAATCAGGCTTGTCCTCAGTGTAAAACCAGATATAAGCGTCTCAAAGGTCAACTCTCTTACCTTCTTTCCACTATTCTATCTGAAACAAAAAGATAATTCGGTCTTCTCATAGTGTGATGCAACATTGCAGGTAGTCCTAGGGTCGACGGTGATGAGGAAGAAGATGACGTCGATGATCTGGAGCACGAATTCGAATATCGCGACTTTGACGGTTTGGGCCCAGAACAAGTTGCAGAGGCAATGCTTGCTGCAAGACTCAATACTGGCCATGGTTCCCACCTTAATAATGCCTCTGGAGTTTATGTACAATCAGAACTCAATGCTTCACCCCTCGACTCTACAATTCCTCTGCTCACATATCACAACGAGGTAATTTCTGGATCACAGCTCCTCTTTTTCCACTAATTGGTCAGCTCAATGAGCTCACTTGTTTCCTATTTTGCTTGCAGGATGTTGATATCACTTCTGATGATCATGCTCTTGTTGTTTCCCCTCGGTCGAGTCATGGAAATAGAGTTCATCCGATGCCTTTTCCAGATCCATCTACACCATGTAAGTGGTGCCATTTTACTGCTAGCTGCTGTTCTGAGTTCCATGTTTTTGTCATATCTATTGAGTTAGCTACTTAGCTGTAACTTGTTTATTGGCAATGCAGTGCAACCCAGATCTATGGTTCCACAGAAGGACATAGCTGTATATGGCTATGGAAGTGTTGCTTGGAAGGACAGAATGGAAGAGTGGAAGAGAAGGCAAAGTGACAGACTTCAGGTGGTCAAGCATGAAGGGGGGAGTGGTGGCGGAAACTACAATGGGAATGAACTTGATGACCCTGATTTGCCCATGTAAGTTTTTTTCACTGCATTACCTATGTGCAAACTAATGCCATAGATGGGTTATATGATGGCTTTAGCTAGTTTCGTTGTTCTTATTATGTTTCTGCAACATGACAACAAAAACTAACAGAGGAAGCACTAGTTTGTTGCATTAACTGTCTCAATACCAAATTTAGTGCTCAATGTAGTTTGGTAAGCAAGTTTAGAGACTAAGTTGGCATTTAGGTTGGTCTTTGTTAAGGGAGATGGAGTATTTGGTATTGATTCGGTTATTGATGAGTTTGTCTTGGTATATATTGTCAGGATGGATGAGGGCAGGCAGCCACTTTCGAGGAAGTTACCTATTCCTTCAAGCAAGATAAATCCATATAGACTTGTAATTGTCATCCGTCTTTTGATCGTGGGACTGTTCTTCCACTACAGAATTCTTCACCCCGTCAAAGATGCATTTGGATTGTGGCTAACATCGGTTATATGTGAAATATGGTTTGCCTTATCATGGATTCTTGACCAGTTCCCAAAATTGTACCCTATAGAACGAGAGACATACCTCGATCGATTGTCACTAAGGTAGCTTAATTTGCTATTCTCTGTTTTTCTTTCACATTTCTTCTCGAAAGCTGTTGGCTTTACCATTTTCATTTACTTGCCAGGTATGAGAAAGAAGGCAAACCATCAGAGCTAGCTAGCATAGATGTATTTGTTAGCACGGTGGACCCCTTGAAAGAACCCCCATTAATTACAGCGAATACCGTCCTCTCCATTCTTGCCGTAGACTACCCCGTTGATAAGGTCTCTTGCTACGTATCCGATGATGGTGCTGCTATGCTCACCTTTGAAGCGCTCTCAGAGACATCTGAATTTGCTAGGAAATGGGTTCCTTTCTGTAAGAAGTTTAATATCGAGCCTAGAGCACCTGAGTGGTACTTCTCCCAAAAGATTGATTACTTAAAGAATAAGGTCCATCCCTCGTTCGTTAGGGAAAGGCGTGCTATGAAGGTTAGTTAGTGTCACTTTTTTCCTATCAGCTTTATATGGTCAAATGTGGTGTGCAAGTCTCATGGTTTTTACCACTTTCTACTTTCCGTTGCTGGTAAAATCCAGAGGGATTACGAAGAGTTTAAGGTCAGGATCAATGGATTGGTTTCGACAGCGCAAAAGGTTCCGGAAGATGGTTGGACAATGCAAGATGGAACTCCATGGCCAGGAAATAATGTGCGGGATCATCCTGGCATGATTCAGGTGAGCTAAATGTTTTTTGCCTGAGCCAATAGCTAATTGAAAACCTGATATTATCATCCTTATTCAGCCTTTTACTTTTCCTTGCTCTTGAGAAAATCTTTTTTCTTCTTCATGCACCAAATAGCCCCTTGGTTCCTCCAAGCTCTGAGTTCCAAGGAACAAAACGAGGAAAAGGGTTTCAAAAGGTGCTATATCAACGGATTCCCGTGGCAGAGGAATTAAAAAACCCCTCTCGCGCATTTTGCTAATAGCATTTTTGCGAAGTGCGCACTAGGGTCTCCTTTGCTACAAGCCAGTGGCTGTTTTGTCTGCAGATACTTTTTAGTTAATTGGAGTCCAACTCTCCATCTTCAGGAAAAAAAACTTATTGCTTCTTGAAGGACAGCTGCAATAACATTATGAGATTGTTTTGCATCTGAATACTTTGTCATGTGGATATCACATTTTGTATTGGTCTTCAAAGTTCTTTGATCTTGTTGACGTTGCTTCATATTTACAGTCGTATTCTTTCTTATTTTTATAAGGAAAAAAAATCTGCATTTTCAATTGTCAAACTGGAATGATCCAGATTGGTTATAGTTAGACAGAGGCTATCATCTGGTATTTGGTCCCTATATCAGCTTATTCACTTATAGCCGCCGCTTTGGAAGTTCCTTTGATCTTTTTAAAATCATTGAATATGAACTTGCTTTTGAAATTGACATCTTGCTAGTCGAAATTACTTTCGAACACTCATTTTACTTTGTATCTCAAAAGATGTTTTGCCATTACAGGTATTTCTTGGTCAGAGTGGTGTGCGTGACGTTGAAGGTGATGAGTTGCCTCGTTTAGTTTACGTTTCTCGTGAGAAGAGACCAGGGTTTGACCATCACAAAAAGGCTGGGGCTATGAATGCACTGGTAATATCTCAAACTTGTGTGATTGTACGATGATGGTTGATGTTTTTGCTACACCTTTGAATAAAATGAGATGTAAATAATTATTTGTTGCGATTGATGTAGATACGAGTTTCAGCTGTGCTGTCCAACGCTCCTTACATGCTGAACGTTGATTGCGATCATTACATCAATAACAGCAAGGCTCTAAGAGAAGCCATGTGTTTCATGATGGACCCAACTTCGGGGAAGAAAGTGTGCTATGTGCAGTTCCCTCAGAGATTCGATGGGATTGATCGACATGATCGATACTCTAATAGGAATGTCGTCTTTTTCGATGTAAGGATCGCTTTGCAAGCATTAGCTTTCTTCTTCATTGCTTAATTCTTTTTCATATCAAGTACCACAGCTGAAGAGGCTGACTCCCAAATTTGAAACAGATCAACATGAAAGGTCTGGATGGTTTACAAGGACCAATTTACGTCGGTACTGGTTGTGTCTTCCGGAGGCAAGCTCTTTACGGTTATGATGCACCCGTCAAAAAGAAGCCTCCAGGGAAGACCTGCAACTGCTGGCCTAGATGGTGCTGCCTGTGCTGCGGATTGAGAAAGAACACGAAATCAAGTGCCAAGAAGAACAAGAACAAGAAGAAAATGAAGGGCAGAGAAGCGTCAAATCAAGTCCATGCTCTTGAAAATATCGAAGGACAGAATGGTAATGGAATTCTTTTTTATCTATTTCTGTACGACACTTGGTTGTGATTCGTGTTCATGCTTCTCAGTATTCATTAATGGCTGCAGAGTTGATTACAAAGAAGTCTTCTGAAACACCTCAGACCAAATTGGAGAAGAAATTTGGGCAGTCCCCGGTATTTATAGCCTCTGCTCGTCTTGAAGAAGGTGGAGTTCCAAGAGATGCCAATCCTGCTGCCTTATTGAGAGAAGCTATTCAGGTTATCAGTTGTGGGTATGAAGACAAAACAGAATGGGGCAAAGAAGTAAGTACAGAGAGAACTTTACCATGACGACTTAATTTTCTCTAATTGTTTGACTAAGCAATGGTTCGTCAAACTCCGTTCAGGTGGGATGGATCTATGGCTCTGTTACGGAGGACATTCTGACAGGGTTCAAGATGCACTGCCATGGATGGCGGTCTGTGTATTGCATGCCTAAAAGACCGGCCTTTAAAGGATCGGCTCCTATTAACCTGTCAGATCGTCTGCACCAAGTTCTTCGATGGGCATTGGGGTCGGTTGAGATTCTCTTGAGCAGACATTGCCCACTATGGTATGGATATGGTGGTGGGTTGAAGTCGCTGGAGCGATTTTCATACATAAACTCCGTCATCTATCCTTTGACCTCCATTCCCTTACTGGCTTACTGCACACTGCCAGCTATCTGTCTTCTCACTGGCAAGTTCATTGTCCCTCAGGTAATTGCGTTACACCATTACGATTGATGGTTTGCCCATTCGCTTCTTTGATGTTCTTATTCTATGTAGAATTAATAGTACTCATAAATTTCTTTTTGTTGGAGTGTTGCAGATTAGCAACTATGCCAGCATACTGTTCATGCTACTCTTCGTATCGATCGCTGCGACGAGTCTCTTCGAGATGCAATGGGGTGGTGTGGGACTCGATGATATTTGGCGAAACGAGCAGTTCTGGGTGATTGGTGGTGTCTCGTCCCACCTCTTCGCCCTCTTCCAAGGTCTCCTCAAGGTCTTGGCCGGAGTGAACACCAACTTCACCGTGACCTCAAAGGCAGCCGATGATGGAGAGTTCTCGGATCTCTACATCTTCAAGTGGACTTCCCTCCTCATCCCTCCCACGACATTGTTGATTATAAACATCGTCGGAGTTGTGGTTGGGATATCCAATGCAATCAACAATGGCTATGACTCGTGGGGCCCACTGTTCGGCAGGCTGTTCTTCGCCATATGGGTGATCGTCCATCTTTACCCTTTCCTCAAGGGGTTGCTAGGGAAGCAGGACAGGATGCCGACGATCATTCTGGTGTGGTCGATTCTCCTTTCATCGATATTGACCTTGCTTTGGGTGAGAGTCAACCCATTCGTGTCGAGAGATGGTCCTGTGTTGGAGGTCTGTGGGTTGAACTGTGACTGAATAAAGTGACTGGATGTCACTATGCCAGTGTGTAGAAGATTGTTGTGAATGGGAATTTTGGTATGCAGACATTTTGGATTTTAGGGGTGTAAATATATATGTAGGGGAAGAAGACAAATTGGTCTTTTCTTTTTTGGGTAGTTAATTCCTTGATTAATTGTTAGCTTGGGAGAGGGTTGGTTTCTTGTTAGTACTGATTGGATGATTTTTGTGAATCATAAGAGTTGAATACACCATTATGGGAACAGAATTTCAATACAAATATTCATCTGTTTTTGTTTTTTGAGAAATTTGAAGGGAATTGAATCTATATATGGTTGACTTTGTATACCATTCCGTTGTAAATAAATGATCTTATCATAGATCCATTGGGGTCTTGAAATTATAGAATAATGGAAACAGCAACCCTAGTCGCCATCTTTATATCTGGTTTACTTGTTAAGTTTTACTGGGTATGCTCCAAACGATTGATTCAATAAGTTCTTGCCAATAACCACGACCGCTGAATAGAAACATTAAACTAAAAGCCCATACAAAATGAGCACCTAGGAAGAAGAGGCCATATGCAGATAATGAAGAACCATAAGACTGAATTACTTGGGATGCCTTGAAATGAAAGACAATTCCGAATCAGCTTTGTCTACGAACAAGGAAGCTATAAGTAATACAACTAAGAATCTCATGGAGAGTTCGATCCTGGCTCAGGATGAACGCTGGCGGCATGCTTAACACATCTGATATTTGCTGAGAATTACATGAAGTCATGAGAAACCAAACAGCACAAGTGTCCAATTTGTTGACCAGCTCCAGGTTGTATATATAGGCTTCTGCAGGAGCTGGCATTTTGAAGGCAAGTTCTCCAAGCTTGATCTGAAAAACAAACCATGAGTAGCTACTCAGCAGCCCTTCGGGCTTTTGATGAATACAACGCTGTTAAACCAAGCATCAATGGTGGTTGATAAACATAGAACAAGTAGTTGATAAGCTGCAACTGGACCTTTATCGGCTTCATAGATTAAGTAGTTAATAAACTCTGTATGGCTATACAACCCAAGGAAGGCAGAGGGAACAGCTTCAATCTGTATCAAGTAATTATGATGTTTCGAGGTTGAACAAATTTGCATTCTGATAATCGCAATATGCAGTGACTTGCATCAATCTGTTGTTGCACTTCTGGCAGTTGAACAGTAAATCCAATGTAAGGCTTGAACAAGCATAAACAAACTACCCAGAGTGCCAACAAGGTTGAACTAGATTTTAGTCCGAGCTAGCTACACTCCTGCCTCCACGTCAAAACTCAAGGTGCGACTTATCTACAGAGAGAAAAGCACATCCACCGTTGTTCATCTCAATCCAACTACATCCAGGTTGTTTCTTGACTCCATTGTTCTTCATTCGGGTCAAAACTCTCTCCGCCTCATTCAATCTTCCAACGCTAGCATATAACTCTGCTAAAATCAAGTACGTGCCAGACCTATTTGGTTCAATTGCCAATACATTCTCAGCAGCAACCGCACCAACTTCAACATTTCTGTGAACTCTACAAGCTCCAAGTATAGCTCCCCAGACACTAACGGGAACTTCAAGCCCATCGGCTCTCATTCGGTCTATAAAACTCATAGCTTCATCAATCAGTCCAAACCTTCCCAATAGATCCACGATACAGGTGTAATGTCCACCTGTTGGCTGCAGAAAGCACTCGTCTTTCATATAATTGAAATAATGTTTACCCTTTTCCACCAATCCTGCATGGCTACAAGCAGACAGAACAGCAATAAAGGTTAACATGTTAGGCTTCACATTGCTCGATCTCATTTGTTTGAACATTTCGAGGGCTTGTGGTCCAAGGCCATGGTGGGAAAATCCAGAGATGATTGAGTTCCAAGAAATTACATTATGGGTAGGCATGGAGGAGAAGGAAAGCAAAGCAGAGGTCATATTCCCACATCTAGCATACATAGTGATCATTGCATTGCATACCTCGATAGTATGATTTAGTCCCGTCTTGACAACATGTACACAGACTTGTTCCCCAAGGCATAAGGCTGGTAACTCCGTACAAATTGTCAAGATGCTAGTGAAAGTAGCCTTATCAGGTGACAACCCCAATTCTTTCATCCTCATGAACAATTTGACGCCTTCTTCCTCAAGTTCATTCTCTCCTAGTCCACATATCATCACATTGCATAACGTTACGTCTAGATGATGCATCGAGTAAAACAGGCTAACTGCGGCTCCTACTTCACCTTCCCTGAAGTATCCGATGATTATGTTAGTCCACGACACAATGTCACCATATGGAAGCTTTTCGAGGAGGGCATGAACTGGTTTAGTTGCTCCACTCTCCATTAATTTCAGTAGCAGCGAGTTCCACGTAGTATGACATTTCTCAGGTGATTCCAAGTAGAGGCTAAGAGCACCACAGAGTCTTCCACAAGTGACTAACCCATTTATCAATTGCCTCCAGGAATCAGAGTCTTTTTGTTCTGACTTGCGAAACAAGTCTTCTGCCCGGTCTAGGTCCCCGATTCTGATATATGCAGCAATCAAGGAATTGCAAGCGTGAGAGTCCTAAACCGGCATCTGCTCATAGAGCTTATGAGCTTCAATAAGACGCCCTTCCTTAGCCAATCCAGAAACCATAACTATCCAAGACACTGTGTCTTTCCCTCTCATCCCGACAGGCATTTCATGAAACAGTTGCATCGCCTCGTCGATGATTCCTTTGTGAACATAACCAGCAATAATGGAGTTCCAGGTAACAATATCTCTAGCGTCCATCTTATCGAAGACCTTCCTAGCACCAAACAGATCACCACCCTGGACCAACCCGGAGGTCACTGTGTTGTATGTATAGATATCGGGTTTGGGTATCGAACCCAGCAAACTGAATGCTTTTTCCTTCTGCCCATTCTTGAAATAGCCGTTTATCATGGTGTTCCAAGTCACAATGTTACGGTCAGTCATTTCATCAAACAAATCCTCTGCTTCCTCGACCAGGCCACTTTTTATGAAGCTGGAGAGCTTGGAGTTGAGAGGCTTGAGATAAGGAAGTGCCAAAGACGGTTGGCATTGCGTAGATAATGCTTGAGTCGATAAATTGAGCGAACTATTAAGGTTCAGAGAGACAGTTCGAATGCGTTTGAGCAGGTGGACACACCAAGAAGCACAGAACATACTCTATTATTATGTTTCAAAAAAACTAAAAAACTGCTAGCAAGAGGAAGAATTGAAGCCAACCAACGTTCACTGCTAACATCTAATTCAGTACAAGACACAAAGTAATCAGCTTCCCGGAAAGTTGCTTAATCCTCACTATACACGATACCACACCATGGCACAAAATTGAGAACGCAGTGACCAAATCATTAACCTTCATTAACCATCCAGATTCGCCCAGAATCAGTATCAAATTCCACGCGTGAAGAAAGGAGCATGCGAAGCTTCAAAACTAAAGAGAAAGCAATGAACTTGGAAGTGACTTTCTCCAGGTGACACAAGATGAAACGCATACAGGCGAAAAAAACAGCCAAGATAAGCAAAAGAAAAATGGAAAACCCAATTGGCAGACAGAGAAAATTGCTAACTGAAACCATGGAAGCGAATTCGGAATCAACCAATAATTATAGGAAGAACATTCATTGTGAGCAGAGAAAACCCAGAGACGAGAAATTACCTCGCTTCCGACTGGCCCGGAGCTGAAACACTGGTTAGGAAAGAGAGTATAAATCACCAAAAGGCTAAATTTTTCTTCGTTTATTCTTCAAAAGTTTTCCGGGTCACAGGTGAAAACGATGGAGTGGCGGCGGGTTGGCTGGCGGAGGCCAGAGGAGGAGCTTCGCGCCGGCGGCAATAGAGCGGCGAAATAGTTAAGTGAATAGCGATGGAACGAAATTTGAATTTTAGGGATTGAAAATCTGAAGCTAGTAGTCTAGTAGGGTCCTAACGACGGCGTTTTGGTTTCTGGTTCGGGTTCCATTTACTTTTAACCACGGCATGAATTTACCGATGTTTTCTTATTGCTTAGAATTATTATTTTTTAGCAGTTAGCCACAACAACCATAATAAGAGGAATTTCACCATATATGTGATCTTGTTTAAAAACAGATCTTTTACGTTACTTTTAATATTCTTTCCGTAAAAATAAAATAAAATATACGATACACATTAAACTTATTATTAGAACATTAAGATACAAATTCAATTGGTACATTGAAGTACCAATAAGTAATAGTGTAGTAGATGAGCTTCCACAATAGACCTTGCTTGTCTTGGGAAAATGATCCCGTAAAGCTACACGACAATTTAGTTGTAAATTTTTATCATGCATCTCTTACCAAATTTTTTGTGCATTATGATGATATCTATCGTCAATAAAGAGGATAAACATTTCACCATTAGTAATAATGCGAAGAAGTAAATGATTCGTCACAAAATGAGTGATATTCATATTCTTATAGATAGATCCATGGAATGAAATAGATAGATAACATAACATGTGACCTAAACATACCAATCCCAGGTGTTTGACCCAAGAAATTAGGAATCTTCAAAAAGAGTCTGCTTATGTAGTCAAACAACACCCACTAGTTAAACCAACAAAACCACAGGCAAAAGCAAACATAAATACCTCAACTTGTACTCTTGACTTTGAACAACAGACTAAGCACAATCTTCCAAGAATCACTGACTATTAAAATCAAGATGACCTCTTCTAGTTGGAATAATCAAAATGCTCAGCCATTTAAAAACAGATGCTGAATTACAAGATCTTGCCCAAAATCATCTCAGAACCAACAAAGAACAAACCATGGAGCCTTGCTTCCATTATACCCACATAATACCAACAATGACGATCATCTTACTGTCACTTCTCCACAGGCTCCCTTCCATAACCGCCCAGCAAGACTACATCAACAACACTCAGCTCAACTGCAACTCCGGCGACGCCTCGCCTTCCATAGCCAAAGGCTACAGCTGCAATGGAATCACGACTGGTCAGTGCCAATACTTCACAACTTTTCAATCAAACCCGCCTGACAATGATACCCCGATATCGATCGCCCTCCTCCTGGGCTCGGAACCTTCCACCGTGGCTTCCATAAACAACATCTCATCCACCTCGGCCAGAATCCCACCCGGGACGTGGATCATAGTACCTGTCTCTTGTTCCTGTTCAGGCAGCATCTATCAACATAACACTCCTTACGCCGTAAGGGATCCAAACGAGAGTTACTTCACCATTGCCAACGACACCTTCCAGGGCCTGACGACTTGTCAGGCACTGGCAGGGCAGAATTACTATGAGTTTGACCGACTTGATGTTGGCTCGGAGCTGAATGTTCCGTTGAGGTGTGCTTGCCCGAGTGAGCAACAGGCTGCAAGTGGTGTGGTGTCCCTGTTGGGGTACATGGTGACGTGGGGCGACTCCATTCGATCGATTGCTGACCGGTTTCGTGTGGATAGTGCCAGGATCATGGAGGCTAATAGATTGAGCAATGATAGTATGCTCTTCCCATTTGGGCAGCTTTTGGTCCCTCTTGATAGCCAGAGTTGTGAAGCGAATCCTGACAGCTTCTTCTGCAGCTGTAGTGTCAATCCTGGAATCTGCATTCCTGACAAGAAAAAGTTCCCTGTCAAGTTGGTTACACTACTAGGTATGAATCTATGTGATGCATTCTTGGATTATTGTCGTATTATTATTATTATTATGGTTATTTTGGTTATTCGGTTTAGTTACTGTTTATGATTAGTATTAATTAGGATTCTTGCGTCGGAAGTAACTAAATATTTGTGAGATTGAGAATGAGGTCGGCTTAGTTAGAGAAGGAAAGGGTTTGTGGGATTAGTTTTATAAGATTAATCATGAATGAGATTGATCAAGTTATTTACAAATTCGTTATAGTTTTCATAGTTAATCTCTCTAGAAGTTCGTTCGATCTCGACACGCAGAATTAGCACGCGTCACTATATATCTTTTGTAATTCGTAATTCAAAGCTCTCGAAGTCATAGACAGGTATCTCTCATTCAAAGTTTCTGATGTCTTGTCCTGTCTCTCTCAGGAATTGGGATTGGAATTGGACTACTGGCCACATTCCTGATCCTCTACAAGCTTATTCAGTTCCTCAAAAAGAGAAGAGACAGAATCCAAAAACAAAAACTGTTCAAGCAAAATGGTGGGGTCTTGCTACAGCAGAAGCTCAATTCATACCCAGGAAGCCATGAGAACTCAAAGCTATTCACCGAAGAGGAGCTGAAAAGAGCTACTGACAACTACAACCAGAGCCGCTTCCTTGGCAAAGGAGGGTTCGGGACAGTCTACAAAGGAATGCTCCCAGATGGAACGATAGTTGCTGTCAAGAGGTCAAGAACCATTGACAAGACACAGATTCAACAATTCATAAATGAGGTGGTCATTCTGTCCCAGATCAACCACAGGCACATTGTCAAGCTCCTGGGTTGTTGCCTTGAAACTGAGTTCCCATTGCTTGTCTACGAGTTCATCCCAAATGGTAGTCTCTCAAGTTACATCCATGGCCGAAATCTGGATGGAGAAGAAGTTTTGGCGTCTCTTTCATGGGAGGATCGATTCAGAATTGTCGGGGAAGTTGCTGGAGCTGTTGCTTACATGCACTCTGCAGCTTCATTTCCCATCTTCCATCGTGACATCAAGTCTTCGAACATACTGTTGGATGCCAAGTTGAGTGCTAAAGTCTCAGATTTTGGCACTTCTAGATCGGTTCCTGACGACAAGACTCATCTTACTACCGTGGTAATTTCTGTTGTTTAAGACTACCATGCTTAATCTATTTTGTTCTTGACGAGCTGTTTAGAATTCAGACATAATAATGTAATGTTTTCCATTAAAATATTTGTCCCTCAAGGTACAAGGCACCTTTGGGTACTTGGATCCAGAGTACTTCCACACAAGCCAGTTCACAGAGAAGAGCGATGTATACAGCTTTGGGGTCGTTCTTGTGGAGCTTATGACGGGACAAAAGCCCATCTCATTCACTAGAGGTGAAGAAGAGAGAAGTCTCGTCGCACATTTCATTTCATCAACGAAGGAGAACAAGGATGGCCTGTCCAAGATTTTGGACCCTGTGGTCAGTAGAGAAGCCAGGGAAGAAGATGTGGAATCCATTGCAGAGCTGGCTGTGAGGTGTTTGAGATTGAATGGGAAGAAAAGGCCTACAATGAGAGAGGTGGCTATGGAGCTCGACGGGTTGAGGAACTCACAAAAGAGATTGCAACTTGATCAAGAAGAGTCCTTTGTGGATAGAACATACAGTAATCAGCTTGATGCTGAAAGAGAAGAGTCCATTGAGGACAGCTTTGCGATCTCTGTAGAGCTTGAATCCGTCTAAAACTTGAGACTAATTATTTTGTTTTCTCAGATTTGTTTCCATCTTTCCACTTAGATAGTTTCACCGTTCCCATCAAAACTAAGGTTAAGACTTAGTACAGCATTTCCAGTTAGTTTTTTTCTCTTTAGCAGTTACAGCAATAAGGGACAGGAGCAATGTAAACTAAGTACCTTCATGTTCTGGGACAGCTGTTGTGGCCCGAGTCTGTAGGGAAAGCTACTCACTTTGAACCGAAATAATGTCAGCACCAGATATGCATCGTAACCTTCGGAAGTTCACTGCACAAAATTGAAGCTCAAACAATTTGAAGAACAGTGAGCAATGGTTCTCATACTATACGTATACTTGATATTAGACGCATACACAAGTATAACCGATCAATCATTGAAATTAATATGACGTGTATTTACGACCCTTGAGATGAACACAACCTTTATGCCATATTTAGAATGAAGGATTTGGCGCATTCAGGCACAATAACTAAGACTTAGCAGTCAAAGTAAATGATTGTTGATTGAGGAGTGGGTGTAACACAGAGCAATCAATAAGACTTTGCTTCCACTATGATCGTTGATGAACAAAAGAACATGGCAGCTTTACCATCCACTAAATCCCTAAATACCTCAAACTTACTCTCTTCACTGTTTTTCAGTGGAAGACTTATTCTTTTGGCCCTTTCTCTTATTTCTAGTGGAAGACTTGCTCTCTTGACTTTGAGCAATCCTTCAACTATCTTTTAAATATCATTGACTAGAAACAGCAAGTCTTTAACGTGTTTGAAACCTACTTAACAAGAACATTCAAAAGGAATATATGAGAGCACTTCCAAGTTCCAATCAAAATGCATAACCACCTTCTGCATCGACGAAAACGACGACACTAACGAGGTTTCTCACAAAATCTAGCCAAACTATCTTTAACCATGAAGCCATCAGTTGGCTCAACACAGATAATCATAACAATGGCAACAATCTTACTTTCCTTTCTCCACAATCTCCCTTTCATAACTCCCCAGCAAGACTACATCCGCAATCGTCAGCTTGACTGCTTTTCTGAAGCACCTTCGATAACCAAAGGCTACAGCTGCAATGGAATCAGAACCGGCCAATGCCAGTATTTCACAACTTTCCAATCCTTCCCACCTGACTATGAAACCCCAATCTCGATCGCCCTCCTCCTGGGCTCAGAACCTTCCACCATAGCTTCCATAAACAACATCTCATCCACCTCGACGAAAATCCCACCCGGGACATGGATCATAGTACCCGTCTCTTGTTCTTGTTTCGGAAGCATTTATCAACACAACTCTCCTTACACTGTCAGGGCTCTGGATGAGACTTACTTCACTATTGCCAACAACACCTTCCAGGGCCTGACGACTTGTCAAGCCTTGGCAGGGCAGAACTACTACTACAGCATCGAGCAGCTTCGCATTGGTTTCGAGCTGAATGTTCCATTGAAGTGTGCCTGTCCAAGTGAGAAACAGGCTGCCACCGGTGTGGTGTCCTTGTTGGGGTACATGGTGACGTGGGGAGATACCATTCCATTGATCGCTGACCGGTTTGGCGTTGATAGTGCCAGGATCATGGAGGCTAATAGATTCGAGAATGATAGTGTTATCTTCCCGTTTACTCAACTTTTGGTCCCTCTCGATAGCCAGAGTTGTGAAGCAAATCCTGACGGTTTCTTCTGCAGCTGTAGTGTAAATCCTGGAATCTGCATTCCCGACAAGAAAAAGTTCCCTCTCAAGTTGGTTATACTGCTAGGTACGAATCTATATCTCTCTTGTAATCAGCGTTGGTGAAAATTCCTGAAAGTTTGATATTAGTAGGGCCAATTTATGATTACGACTTACAGCGTGCATTCAATTTCAGAAGTTAAGGGTGAGGATTCTTTTAGAATTTGAGGATCAATGACCAGTGATTCAAAAGATCAGTGATTTAAAGCAATCCAATATATCATGTCTATTTCTTGGCAAGATGGTGACAACTGGTAGATATGAACTTCTATTGTGATAAATGTTAGATATGGTAATATATGGAGTGACTTGTTAGTCCTGGCCTAGTTTGTTCTAGAAGTAGAGCTAAAGTCAGCATCTTGGGGCAATCCAATTCGAGATGGTCCATTAATTATCGGGCTATAATTCGAAAGGATCAGTAAGTAGTTCAGAGCTCTCAATCTAATTGTCAGGTCTAGTTTATTCATCAAATTTCTGATGATTTGTCCTATCAATCTCAGGACCTGGGATTGGAATTGGACTATTGGCCACATTCCTGATCTTCTACAAACTGATTCAGTACCTCAAAAAGAAAAGAAACAGAATCCACAAACAAAAACTGTTCAAGCAAAATGGTGGCCTCTTGCTACAGCAGAAGCTCAATTCATACCCAGGAAGCCATGAGAACTCAAAGCTATTCACCGAAGAGGAGCTGAAAAGAGCTACTGACAACTACAACCAGAGCCGCTTCCTCGGCCAAGGAGGGTTCGGGACAGTCTACAAAGGAATGCTTCCAGATGGAACCATAGTCGCTGTCAAGAAGTCTAGAACCATTGACAAGACACAGATTCAACAATTCATAAACGAGGTTGTCATTCTGTCCCAGATCAATCACAGACATATTGTTAAGCTCTTAGGCTGTTGCCTTGAAACTCAGTTCCCATTGCTTGTCTACGAGTTCATCCCCAATGGTAGTCTCTCAAGTTACATCCATAGCCAAAATATGGGTGGAGAAGAAGTTTCGGCGTCTTTTCCATGGGAAGATCGATTCAGAATCGCAGGGGAAGTTGCTGGAGCTGTGGCTTACATGCACTCCGCAGCTTCATTTCCCATCTTCCATCGTGACATCAAGTCATCAAACATACTGTTGGATGCCAAGTTGAGTGCCAAAGTAGCGGATTTTGGTACTTCTAGATCGGTTCCTGAAGACAAGACTCATCTTACTACCGGGGTAATTTCTGTACTCTCGGACTACTTTGCGTAATATTGTTTGTTCATGACAGAATTTTAGTATTCAGACATAAAAATTCAATGTTTTTCAGTTAGTATATTTTCATTATTCAGTGGAATGGATACTAAACATGCTCTAGTTCTCGTCCAATTCTTTTCATTCTTACTTCCCCCTCTCAACAGGTACAGGGCACGTTTGGGTACTTGGATCCAGAGTACTTCCGCACGAGCCAGTTCACAGAGAAGAGCGATGTGTACAGCTTTGCTGTCGTTCTTTTAGAGCTTATGACAGGCCAAAAGCCCATTTTATTCACTACAGGTGAAGAAGAGAGGAGCCTTATCGCACATTTCATTTCATCAATGAAGGAAAACCAGGATGGCCTGGCGGAGATATTGGACCCTGTGGTCAGTACAGAAGCCAGGAAAGAGGATGTGGAAGCCATTGCAGAGCTAGCTGTGAGGTGTTTGAGATTGAACGGGAAGAAAAGGCCTACAATGAGAGAGGTGGCTATGGAGCTTGATGGGCTGAGGAACTCACAAAGGAGATCACAACTTGATCAAGAAGAGTCCTTTGTGGATAGAACATACAGTAATCAGCTTGATGCTGAAAGAGAAGAGTCCATTGAGGACAGCTTTGCTATCTCTGTAGAGCTTGAATCCGTCTGAAACTTATTAGTTCTTGTTTTGTTTGGATAGTTTTTTTGTTCTTCCTTTTTTAGGCTTTTGATCAGTGGTTTAATTCAGTTCGAGTTGGATGAGATGAACACTATACGTCATCATAAGTGTATAGTGTTGCTTTCATCAAATTATACTCCAGCTTTCTCAACAAGACATAAGTCTTTAGGCCATGCAATAGGGCAATGCATTCCGAAAGGGTTCATCCAGTTTTATAAATGTGCTTACTTAACGAGATACACTCTAAAAAGTATAACTGTTACAGTAAGAAGGGGCAGGAGTTATGGAAACGAGTACCTTCAGTTTCCGGGACAGCTTGTGCAACCTGAGTCTGTTGGGAAAGCAACTCATTTTGAACCCAAATAATCTCAAAGATATCAAAATGTCTGCATCCATTGTAGTCCTCAGAAGTTTACTGCACAAAATTGAAGCTCAAACAAACAAAAGACTAGTTAGCAATGTTAAACTCTTACCAGACAGATACACAAGCAGCATGACCAATCAATCAATGCATTCAATATGATGCTTAACTCTTACCAGGCAGAAGAGATTCCAATAACCACATTGAAATTTGGATATTTGAGCCAGTTGCTTCTTCATCAGGAGCTGGTTATAGAAAAGCTTTTCCTCAGCGGCAAAACATCAAACACCTGGTGCTCACCGCCAAGTGACTGTAACGGAGATCCAAAACTAGTCACGCCGAGTACATTACCTTGATCAAGGAGGGGAAGAGAATCGTATATGCAACAAAGAGAACAGAACCCAAGCGAGCAGTTGAAGCAATAGGAAACGGGATTCTGCGCGACTCGCCTCGATGTTGGTTCTCCGGCGATTCCCCTCGATGATCAGAAGAGCGGGTTTTGAATCGCCTGAACATATTATGCCCCATGTTCCCTCCACCGGTTGGTCGGCGAAGGAATCGAGTATTGGGATTGGCGGGTAGCGGCTGAGTTGTGGTGTTTGAGGTCGCTAGAGGCTGAGGTTTTCCGAAAGGACTGTTCTTTGCTTCTGGCGGGAAATCGAAGCTTATAATCGTCAGTTTGGGTTAAATTCTCCCCATGGTCACCGTTCTTTTCCATTATTTCTCCCAATGTTCTTATTACTGACAGTTTTAGTCCCTATAATTATGATGTTATAGCAATTAGCAAACAAGGCAAAAATAACAAACAAAAGTACACATTTCATTTTCTTTCAGACTTTTTCTTGTGTCTATACTCTATAGCTATTACATAAATGAATTTGAATATAAAAATCAAATATTATTACTAAAAAGAACACGAATTCGTCTAGGTAATACAGATTAAGGCTATAACAATTTTATTGCTTAATTCAACTTAAAGTTCTCGAGCAGGAAGACGAGCAATCATTCACAGCTTTCTCTACTATTTTCTCAGCTTCACCTTCACTCCTAACTCCCAAAGCTGCCAACACAACAATTATAGAGCTTAATTAGCTTAATACATTATGATAAGAAAAATAACCCAACATAGGGTGCTTGATCGATAATAATTAACAAAAGATTATCACACTGCAACTTAAGATCGATGATTACCTGATAGATTATGAGTGGTGAGAGAAGTAGCGAGGCATCCTAGATTGCAGAACTTAAGGTTATTGCTATTGACGTTGACACCAGCAGCAACAATCGTACTAGGAGGATCCGTAAAAAAACAATTACCTCCACAGCTGACGGTGCAGAGAAGACTGTAACCACATAATTTTATGCATTTCAGAAAACATTGTTGGTAGTTTGCATTTGATGGCTCCACCATCATCCCCATCACCAATATTATCCCAAAAAACAAAGACTTGTAACTAATTGCCACTCTTCCACTCTCCATTTTTGTGTACTTCTTCTCCTCTCTTTTTTTAGTTTCGAGCTCAATGTTGTTGTTATAAACTTTTCTTGGTGTGCATATTTCACAATGGGAGGTGAGAGTTTATATACCCACTTGTAAAATGTTGTATTTAGAATGTGAGTTTAAATGATGGCATGATTTGGGGAATTAAATGAGAAAAAGAATCAACTAAGAGGGGAAAGATAATTAATATTTTTCTCATATGATGACAATTAATGTGAAATATTTTCCTTCTTTTGAGTGCAATGCATTCACTTTTGTTCCTTGTTGGGATACTTTGAAATATAAATTTTGGGATGTGTAGTTATTTTCGTATTGCTATTTAAATTGGAGTCACTTTATCGTTTGATATCTTAAAAGATTTTCCAGGGAATTAGATAGTCATGTTTGAAATTTCACACTACGGATTTTGTGTATTGCTAATTAGGTTGTTCTGAACACATAAAACTCTATGATTGACTTGTAATTTGCTAACTTGAGTGTAAGGGTTTCGATATAAACGCTACTTTTCTACAAATGCCAAACTGTTTGGGCAAAAGACCTCACATCATCAATCAATCCCTCTAATATAATGTCAGTAATCATTTTGTCTCAATAACCCACATTTGGAGTTAGCAACGTTTAACCCATACTAGTTACCAGTACATAAATTATATGAATAAGATTGGCAAAGTCCCTTATGGGATGAGCGAAATTGGGTATGCAATGACACGAGTATAATACACTGATTTTGATAGATCGACCGATTTCACAGAAATCACATCGATCAGTTTTGAAACTAATACAATAGTCTTAACATGTCTAAACGAGAAATCCAAACACAATGAAGTTCAAGAAATTTAAAACCTGATAGCGCGGTAGGAGAGTAAACTCGATCGATACAAAAAGGAACAACCAAAGAGGGCCTAAAATCACTTGCCATTATCATTAATTACTTCAATTTCCATTTTTTCCTTGACGACGAAACAAGAAAGTTGACTAAAAATAATTAAACCACACGAGTTGTATTGTATGTACGTACATAGTTGAACAGTAAAAACTCCTCTTACCTGACTCAAAATTAAATATTATTCACCTCGCGAAAACAACACGAATAAAAGCAACGCAATATATAAAACGATCACTCGCACTGAACATGAGAACAAATTAGGGACTTCTCATACTCGTATCAATGCTAAACATAAAACCACTTTTTTTTTTTTGACAATATAATTAATATACAAAACCGATATGTTATATTTGAAAGAAAAAAAGAGAGGAAGTCAACTCCTCATTCTTGTTAATTGTATTTCCTAATTAGACTCAATACCCAAACAAGAAAAGGTAACATAGTAAATAAATATAACTGCATCACAATTCGAGTTATCCTTCTTTAACAACAAAGGAAAAATATTACAGGTACCAAAAGTGTAATTAAACCAGCGCGCTGTTATCTATCCACCGACTTATATAAAGAACAGGGAGCGTCGAATTACATTTGTAAAAAAAAAAAAAAAAATACAGAGAGCAATGGCGCTATCAACGGATCACTACTAACCACCATGGAAGAACATTATTCACCCGCCGCCGCCGCCACGACGATCACCGAATCCGACATCCAGGCGGCGGAGCAGTTAATGGAACTCAGCAACAGCGACGGCGGGACTGCTTCTGTCTTCCCCCGTGACGAGAGTAACTCCGCCGGCAGCGTCGTCAACCTCGCGGGAAATGTTGATAAGAGGAACAAGACGGCGGCAAAGGAGGAGGAGGAGATGGTCAGCGGGCTGCGGTGGAAGAAGAAGAAGAGGAAGTGGCGGTCGTTGGAGAGCATTTACAGCTCCACCGTCCCGATCAAATTAACTATTAGTTTATCTTGATAGTTTTTCCTTAGCTGAATGTTAGTTTTCTTCTTCTTCTTCTTCTTCTTCTTCTTCTTCAATCTTCTGTTTTGTACTGTGTAAATTTCGTTGAATGGTTTAAGTACGCATTGCGTAATTATAGTTGCTTAAAGCGCAAGGTAAAACCACAAACGGATAACGCGTTGCCCTCCGGTGTTGTTCCTCGTGTTCTCCGATCGATTCGAGCCGACTCCTTGAGAATACACATACCCGTGTAGTCGGTAATCGTGACGTGATGGTTGGACGTCTCGTTTTCTCAAGAGCGAAAATCGTAGTTTCGGTATGTTGTGCAGAGTAAAAAATCATCCTGCATTTGCCGGCAGTTGCTTGAACAACAAGGTTCCCCTGTTCATGAAAAGAATTGATATACCAACTGCTCTATCTATTATTCCTAAGGAAAATTTCCACAAAGATGATAAAAGAAAAGAAATGAAGATGTACAAGTTTTCTTCTGTCTGCTGCCTTGCTCTAAAAGGAAGAAGAAGAGAAGGAAAAAAAAAACAAAGGCAAAAACTGCAAGCACCATTGTAAAATGGGAGACATTCGCTTCACCAGAAGAAAAAAACGTCCCATGGCAGATGTTCATAGTAGAGAGAGAGAGCAGAGAGAGCAGAGCACCCACCAAACTACTACATTCGCGAACGAACTGGTTTATACCGTGTCGTCTACCTCAGGCTGCTGATGCTTGGACCGGACCATTGAGTCTCGTGTAGCTACTGCGACCACCACCACGTTCACGGCCTCTCCCCCTCCCACGTCCACGTCCTGCAAAGACACAAGTGAAACCCTTCAAGTTTGAAGGCAACATATCCAGAACTCCAAGAAAATAAGTGATAGCGAGAAAGCTATGATCCATGAATGATCAGCTTCGTTGGAGTTCAGTGCTTCTGTTCATCGAAAACTTACCACGAATTTGGGGCACATATGTTTCAGGTTCACCATAGTTGTCATAGTACCCTCCTCCTTGCTGACCACCACCATAGCCTCTCCCTCTTCCTCTTCCACGCCCTCGCCCTCCGAAGAAACGACCACCTCTTGCTCGGCCTCGCCCTCGTACTTCATAGCTATGCCCACCATCCCAACCATCACCGTCGTTATGGTCTCCTACACCGTTGTAATTGACTACAAAACACAGGAATTGAATGGAATTATCACACAGTCAGCACTACAGCAAATGCTATACAGAACACAGGGTTCAAAATCTTTGATATTTTTCGTTCTTGTAATCTCTCATTTCATGAGTGAAGTGGACTAAATCAAAGTCGACAAGTGAATACCTCGACCTCTTCCTCTCGCTCTACCACGCCCTCTATCTCGCATCATCGGTGATCCTTCTGAATTACATGACAAATAATGAGACATAGGAACACAACACATCTCCATACAAGTGAAAAGAGCTTCCAAAAAAGAAAAAAAAAGGCCAATCCATGTCGTTCTTACCGCAATCATCTTCGATTTCGTTCATTATTGGTTTCACTTGTTCAATCGGGAGAGGAGGCTGATACCTGCAAGTATGACCCAAATCAAAAGAACTCAGGACAGATCGGTCATTGAACTTATACTCTCAGACACAGGATTCAGAGAGACTATTAATCAACGTGAACCTTCTTAACCCGAAACTAACATGCTAGAGAATGATGAAGAAACGAATTAAACTACTGAGTTCACAGACAGACAGACATCATCAATCATCCATCCATAGAATCACCACAGATATCACTTGAACGAGAAGAAAAAATTACATCTCCAGGGTTAGAGTTTACCCTGTAGAGGATGTATCGAGCTCCTTCTTCGACAAAGTGATTGTGATCATCGAAACATGTCGCGTCGTCTCCAGACTGTTCAACAAACGAGTAACAACAACACACAAAAGTACAAACCATAAACAAACATGGCAAAACAAATCACTGATCTCAATGGGCAGCAAACATCAACAAACTCCCCCACATACGGAAGAAGGCCTTCTTCTAGTGGCTCCCACGTATCAGTTATATCAGTGGATCCAATTCCGGTATTCTGATGCAGACCAACAATCCTTCTCTGATCATCAACACAACAAATCTCCATAAGCTTGCAACAAAATCGAAGAGCGTGTAAAACGGGTTGGAAAAATGGTTGAAGTAAGGACCTTGATTATCTCCGCGATCATCACAGTCTTATTGATAGCTCTGCCCATTGCTTTAAGCACAATCTCACTCGACCCTTTCTCCTGGAAACACATAAAAAGCTCCAAACTTTACCAAACAAACGAGGGAAAGAAAGAAACCCCATGTAATAATCAAATGAATGAAGAAAAGGGTTGTAGGTGGAAAAAAAAACCTGGAGAAGCGCGGTGGCATAACTGATGTAATTCCGCATGCGGCCTTGAGTAGTGATTCGAATCTCATTCTCGTTTATTGGGGTCTCAGCCTTGGGCTTCTCCACCCTCTGGTACCTATCCATCTTTTTCCCCAACAATAACTTCCAATCAAATTCCAGGGGAACCAAACAGAGCATCAGAACCCAGAAAGAAAATTGAAGATAGGAGGTTTACCTGAGGGAGAGGGCGAGTTCCCGGAGGGAAGGAGGGTTTCCTCTGTTTTCTTCTTCCTGTTCTAGTAATTTACAGATTGGTGAAGAGGAAAGGAGGGGAGGGATTGAAGGCGTTTTTGTAAGAGATGAGAAAATGGAGAGTGTAGAGAGAGAGAGAGAGAGAGAGAGAGAGTTGAGAAGAGTGTGGGGAGTGAGAGTCAGCGGGAAATGGTAACTGTAAGGAGCGAAGAAGACGAGGGAATTTGGGTGGTTGGGAGAATGGAGTGGGCAACTGAACGGAACAACTGAGATAACTGATAAATCTCTCTCTCTCTACATTAACTAACTAACTAACCAACTAAATCTAGTTTATAGTGTCTTAATTCATATAAATTTGTGTTCTTTAGAACTCTTTGACATTACTAAAATAATGTCAGATTGAATATCGATAAATCGGTAACTTGATTGAGAAGGTATCATAATCGAAACTGCGTAATGAACCGAGTGTAATTAAATTAAACTTGCAGTCATTGCCATTAAACGAAAAGAGCGAACTAACTAACAAACTGAATCTCTATCTAGTTTGTCTAGTGTCTTTTAGTTTATATCATTTTTTGTTTGTAAATAGTAATCATCTTTTCTATTAAGTTGTGTTTTTTAGAACACTTTGACATCACTAAATGACTAAAACAATGTTAAAAATAATAAATATTGATAAACCGCTAGCGAGTAATTTTAGTTTAATTAAGAAGATATTGAATTCGAGACTTGTATTATATGGTTATGTCTAATAGAGAGAACTACGCGTGCTTATGTAATATCATTCATATATTGTTAGATTTAACTCGTAGGGAATGAATACTTTGTCACAGCCATTGAACACATAGAGCTAACAAATCTAATTAGAAGGAATCTTTAGTATTACCATACCAATGGTACGGCTTCTTTTCTCAAAACTGAGTAGCTCGAGCCAATAATATAAATGAACAACGTTAACTCACACGACGATGGACTACCCTTTTCGCACCCGAGTTATTTTACTCTATGCATTGTGGTTGAACAGTTGCATGCTAGACCCCGGCCATCATATACTCTGTAGTCAGCTCCTTCTCCAACTTCAGACAGAGATCGTAAGAATGGCTGGATTTTAGAATCTTAATATCTTATCGCGTTGCCTTATACAACCCCATAGCTCTCCCGCCAAAAACAAACCTTTTAAATCCCATCTAAAGAGAGCCCGAAACTTGAACTTTCAACACAGGCAAGGTAAGCAAAACATGACTTGTACACCAATCTTCGCCGGTACCATCATACCATGGCCATAAATTGAGATATAAATAACTTGATTTACTTTCTACAGTACAAAAATTACTACATCTCTAGTATTGTATTAAGGTACAAACTCAGCACATCGTCTCCATAGTACATCCGAGGCAGAGAAGCAAGCGATTCCCCTCGGTTTGCAAATGCTTCTGCTCTAGACAACCGCCGAGATAGGAGCTATGCCAAGGAGAGCACTTTCTAGTCCTAGTGGCTATTGGGGAACTTGGCTTCATATTCATGGGGCAGCTGCAAATTCGAATTGAACAAACGAGACTTTGAGGCATCTTAACCCTGAATACGTACGAAGGAAACCAGGGTAAACAACTATTGATTACCATGAAAGTTGCTGAGATTGATCGTCGAGCAAACCACCTCATATGCATTGCAGCCTGAGCTCTGGCGGCTGCTTCCAAGGTATCAAACCGTAAATACACAAACCCTGCGCTATTCCTGTAAAAAAGGCAGATAATAAATGAGATGAACAAGTTTTTCGCACAAGCTGACACTAGGGAGAAAGTTATAAATAATCATATTGCAGGAAGTTGAGACAAAATCAAATAGTAGGCACTTTTTTTTCCTATTTCTGTGACAACTATTTTAGGCATTTGATCCAAACGTGCATGCTAATCCACTGTAAAAAATTTCAATACCCTCGATACACCATAATTAAGTTCGGACTTCATAGTATTTTTGTTTCTTAATGAGTTAATCCAGACACTGCCATCTTTAAGCAACCAAATGAACCAGTCCATAAAGAAATATCTGATTCTATCTCATCTAAACCAACTTGGCGGTTTCTAATATAATATTTTTTATACCTTCTATTATTGCAGATTCTAACCTAAATCATTCATTAAACATGAAATGAAGCACCTAAGAAGGTTGTTATGCTTACTTCTCAACATATATATGTTTCACGTGTCCGTATTTTGAGCATTCTTCTTCGACATCGTCCTTTATGTCCACATCAAAATCTGGTTCAGTCTGAGAAGAGGCATTAGCAGATATATCACAGTTCATCCAACAAAAATTTCAAATAAAATAGTAGAAGAGGAGAAGAAATAATTCACATACCTCGGTGGAAGGATCAAACATGTTTTGCAACAATAAGCACTCACTGGGTTTTCCAATAGATTCAAAGGCTGGAGAAGGCAAGACATGAACTGGAAGAGCTCCACGAAGTGCAGCTTGACCGTTCAGTTGCAAGGCCATGGTTTGTGGATTTTGAACAGAGCCATTAAGCATAGGCACTCCAAGGGAGCCAGAAATACTGGAGAAACAAAGGTCAATTTTAAGTGCTTAAACAATACTCCGCAAAAAAAGCGAGCAAACCAGATAATATTGCGGATGGAATACAGACCTCGTGGCAATGCCAGAGCGATCCAGCTTCTGCATGAGCATAGCTCTTGATTGAGCATTTAAAGACTGCAAGATAAAACTACTACGAATTAGTCAAAAGACATTTGTGAGGTTCCATTCTACAATGATAGAATTGTTAATCCCCGTCAGAAAAGATTTGTGCCATTCTCTGCCATTGAGTGCATATTGGATAGTCAACATACGACTCATACAATAGGGAAAAGGTAAAGAGAGGACTCAACTTTGCAGTAATTAAGTTTCCATGTGAAACTTTAAACATAATTAATACAGTCGGGTGTAAGTACGACAAGAACCATATCTGGCTAGGCCAAGGAAACACCAAGTACGTACTATGTTTTGTGGTTGTGAATTGAGAAGATAATAAATGTAAATTAATCACATCCATAGAAACTATAACAGATTAGGACTTTGTCAAGGGTAAAGCAAAACAAACTGACCAAACCACCACCATCATCGTCATCAAAGTCAGCAGATTTAGCCCCAGGCTCTTGCGGCCCTCCATGTTCCGTGACAGAGGAAACCTAGCATATACACAACAACAAAATCGGAAGTTGTTATTGGCTCTTAAACAAAATGTCCCTATAAATTGATGAAGTAATAAAGTGCAAAATGATGTATATCCTAAGGTTGAAGCCAACCTTTAAGATCCGTCCAGCAATCTCCAGTTTCCCATTCAAATGTGTTTGCGCTTCCTTTGCACTTTCGACTTGAGCAAACTGCAGGGTAAACACCATTACAAACAGTGCCAACAGGTATTAACCAACCATTGAGCAAATTAGAAGCTTTTACTAACTTGAACAAACCCAAATCCTTTGCACTGTCCCGTTTCAAGGTCAAGGGGTAGCTGAACAAGCTCCACAGTTCCAAATGGCTCAAAAAGCTGAAACATTACCAGCCAAGAAAAATGAGGTGTTACCAGATGACCGAAGGTAGCAGCTCTTAGAACGTACTAGCAACAATGAAATCAAAGTTTATCCATGTAACCATTACCTGTCTTAGCTGCATTTCCGTCATGTTGAAGTGCAAATTCCCGACATATAGTTTTCTGTCCACAGGCCCATAGGGGCCAGTAGTGGCACCTGTAGCATTTGACTGAACAAGATTCTTTTCCGCCTCAGAAGGCTTCACCATCACAGGTTGTCCAAAGAGTGGCTGGCCAGAAAGAGCTATTGCCATTGGAACAGACATCACGTCATAGAACTCGATATACCTGCAGGTATTTACAAATAGTAACTAACTTGTTAGAACAAAATAGAAGAAACAAATCCTAAGCAGCACTTACAAAGCATCCAGTAAAGAGATTAGGAGAAACTAAAACTGAGTACAGAGAGCTCATTGCTGAGTTTCTTTCTGCAAATCTGATTTCCGTCATTTATAATTTGTTAGCCCATAACAGGAAAGAGTAAAGTAATCACTGACCAAAATAGAGCCAAATTAAAAACCTGACATAATCAAGAAAGATAATAAGCTATGTAAAAATAAAGGCATTTTCCCAGTTTGACAAGAGTTGAGGAAACTGCAGGGAACACAGTGAAGGAGCTCCAGTTGCTAGCTATCCTCACCAGAAAAAGTGTTTTATATACCATTCAAATCATAAGAGGCATGATTAAGAAGCACGGAAGAAAAAAGATGTTTCAGAGGTGTCTTGTCCCACTTCTATTCCACTTTCTCTTGACAGACGAGAAACCAAAAGAAAGAACTTCACAGGGAGACAAACAGAAAGTAGAGAAAGCTCATATGAAACTGCTTCTACAAGGACCAAGAATCCATGAGACCAAAGTTATCGTCTTCACGTAGATACACTCATCAGGGAATTAAGAAAGAAAGCAAAAGAACAAACTTCAAGTGTATGTCATCTACCTTGAGTGCGCAGCATGAATTGATTAAACATGAGTGCAAGGTATTCCCATCATCCATCATCATTATCGCATTGCTAGTGCATTTAAGAATACAGTTAAACTTGATTCTTGAAAGCAACATGCTGGTAACTTATTAGAGCATAATAAGATTTAGAATTTGCATACCCAACTCCTTTTGATCTCCTTGAGTTCCTGTCCATTATCAATCTAACATCCCTCACCTGAAATTTCAAGGACATAAATGGTTGATGATGATGAAGATACGATGAGCACCATGATGGGTATAACACTTCAAAGGGAATCCAAGAAAATGCTGCAACCCATTTCTGAATGTTCCATGAATTTAACAAAAAGGTAATTCGATTGCATGGATTCTAAACTTAGCTACACATCTAGGATTTTGATATATACAATACAGTCCTCAACAGAAGACACATAACATATATAGTGTAGAAAAAACAGCCAACACAACTGACAGTGAGGCAGTGAGCCAAGAAGGTTTTCCGATCGGCAACTGCTAATACTTGCACACAAGCAGAATTTTATAAAAAGTTCAACGCAAAATAGAAGATAAGACACAAAATCAACCTCAATCTGACAGCCGATGAAATATTGGCAGAAGTAGGGATTGCAAATGAACAGGAAAAAATCACTAACCTTGCCCGCCTTGGAGAAGAACTCATACACATCTCTCTCGGTAGCCTTCAAAGGCATCTTCAAGGATTAATTCGAAAACAAAATAAGTTTTAGTATTTCGCACGAGAATGGTAATATTCAGGCCACAATGTGATTCTACAGAAGGGTGTCCACTGTCCAATCAAATACCCTACCTGATAGGCAAATACAGTTCTCTGGTCCCTCTCAGGGTCAGCTTCAGGCTCCACAGCTTCTTTCTTATCTTTGACCCTCCTGTCACAAGAAACAACTCCGAAGAATAATAAGAATACATCGAAAGTAGATGAGCCTGCATAGGCACAAAACAATAGCCATAGCCAGCCGATAACCATTCCCGCCTAACACATCTGCAGAATGTGGAACATCTATTTGGCTCTACATTCTCTTAAAAGGAGACCAAAGTTTAAGCAGTCAAGTCAGGTAACCTCATTGTTCCCAAAGTACCTGTATGCCTATGGTGACAGTGTGAAACCTACAAGGTACAATCAACCATTACAATCTTCTCGACAAGTTCAGAACTTCCTACATAAAGAGTAAGTATCCAAATTGGAAGCTAACAGGGTGGCAATTCAAGACCTCATAGCAGGATTCCATTCCAAAAACCAATAATGAAGATTGAAGGACAGAGAAATCAAATAAAATGGCCAGGCACCTGCTACCGCTGTCTCGCAGCTCGACATCCCTTTCTCTCTCCCGCACTTCCTTCTCCCGATCACTGTAACGACTCCTGCTCCTCTCCCTCCTCGCCTTGCTCCTGCTACGACTTCTTTCTCTCCTGCTCTTGCTCTCGCTTCTACTCCTCTCCCTCTTCTCTCTTCCTTCCTCTCGCTCCTTATCCCTCCTTTCCCTCCTCTCTTTCTCCTTATCCATGTCTCTCCTCTCCTTCTCCTTATCTCTGTCCTTCTCTCTATCTCTGTCCCTGTCGCGGCGGTGGCGATCCTTCTCCCTCCCGTTCTCTTCATCCTCGCCCCCTCTCGATCTCTTCGCATCCTCGTCGGCGGCATCCCGCTTCCTGTAACTCCGCTCGCTCTTCTCCACGCCTTCGCGCTTGCTCTTCTTGGCGCTCCCGTCTCGATCCTCCGCTTCTTCGACGGTCTTCTCCAGATACTCGATCTCGTCGAAATCCATGGTTGTTTGTTCTTCTGACTGAGCAGATGGCTTTCTCGAGTGAATCTTCGGGGTACCGACAAGAGAGAAAGGTCGGGGGTGGGTTAATTGGGGGAAATTGGAGATTTTTATTTTTTAATTTAGGGTTTTGCGGAGGGTTTGGATAAATTACAATGCTGGTCATTGCAATTATAAGTTATTCCATATTTGTCACTAGAAAAAAATTAAATCATACATTAATTACATTACTCATCGTTTCCACCAGTTTCTTTGCCCCCGGCCACCAAACCTCCTCCGACCGCCATCCCGAAGTCTTCCATCGCGATCTGGAGTTCAGCGGGTCGGAGAACTGGCAGCGATAACCTGACTGAATCCAACGGCGCCCTGCAGTTCTCGTAGTACAGAGAAATCCTCCGGGCTGAGGCGGCGGCGAATCCGGCGAACTTTTCGTGCCGTGCGTGGAACCGGTCGAACACCTCGGGGGCGAAACTCAGCACCGGGTAAGTTCGCCATAGATGGATTTGCTTGATCAATCATCGAGAAATAGAATAATCATTTCGGTAATCGTCAATCCACTGTGTCTGTGAGCATTTCTTCGTCGAAGTCTTTAAATATTAATTTTCCCGCCATTGTTTTACACTATCCCTTGATTAGGGGTGGCAGAAGATCATTGGCCTCACTATATCACTCTAGCTCTTTCTCTTAAGCTTGCCTGGTTTCCCCTTGCCCTCTTGTTCAAGCTCGCCTATTTTTCCTTGCTTCCTTGTTTTCTCCCTAATAATGGCTGAAATCATTCGGATCCCAGTTGCAAAATAAATCCTTGGCAAGGCTGCCGACTTGGCCTTGGAGCAGATTGGTCTCCTGTGGAATTTTAGACGTGAGCTCAAGAAACTGAAGGACACTGTCTCCACCATTCAGGCTGTGCTTCGTGATGCAGAAGAGAAGCAGTCCCACAATCATCAAGTCAAACTCTGGCTCGAGAAGCTATCTGACGTGATGTATGATGCCGATGAATGATGATTTGTCTACCGAGGCCTTGTCGGATAGCGATAGAAGAAGCAAATGAAGGTAGGAGAACTACGATGACCACTTGTTGTTGGAGTATGGTATGCTTTCTGTTCTCTTACTTCCCAAACAATTGGTGTATGATCTTAAGATGGCTCATGCTATCAAGGCTGTTAGGGAGAAGATTGATGTTATATCACAAGATAAGGAGACCTTCCATTTGGAAGTTCTTACTGAAGAGGAAGGTCAGAGACGAATTCTTCCCCACCCACGATTGTCGTTGGGAGAGAAGATGACAAGAAGAATATCATTTGGTTACTGCTGTATTTTTATGGTGAAGCTAACATTTCTGTTGTCCCAATTGTTGGGATGGGTGGCTTGGGGAAGACCACTCTCTCTCAGACCGTGTTTAATGACAATGGGGTTAAAGCTCACTTTGATATCAAATTTTGGGTCTATATATCACAGAGCTTTGATGTGAAAGCTATTCTTGGAAAGATATTGCAATCTATCAGTTCGGAAAGTCGAGCTGATCTTCCATTGGAAAATATGCAAACTCAGCTTCAAGAGAATATCAAAGGAAAGATTTTTTTGTTTGTGTTGGATGATGTTTGGGAGGAGAATGAGAACTAGTGGCAGAGTCTGGGAAAATATTTGACGATTGGCAGCCCAGGAAGCAAAGTGTTAATTACCACTAGATCCACTAAAGTGGCAGAGGTAGGAGGCAGCACATTGAAGACAGGAACAAGTTCAATAATAATTGAACCTTATTGCTTCAAAGACTTGTCAGAAGAAGAATCATGGAGTTTATTGGTGAAAAAGGCACTTCTAGAAGAAGTTCCAGAAGACCCACAAGTGTATGAAGTTGGCAAACAGATATTTAGGAACTGTAATGGAGTTCCTCTTGCTGTGAGCACCAGCTACTATGTTATCAGGTCCAAAAGATCCAAAAACCTAGTGGCCGTCATTTCTATCCAAGAGCCTTTCAAGTATCACTAAAGACAAAGATCCTACAATGTCAGCACTCCAACTCAGTTTCAATCATCTCCCTTCTCATATGAAGCATTGTTTTGCTTACTGTAAATTGTTTCCATAGGGGAGTCGATTAATCATCTCCCTTCTCAGCGTGAGTTATTTTTCTCTTGCAGCAGTATTTGCAGAATAGGATGAAATATCTCGATGGACAGAAGGCTGAGGGGAAAAAATCCTTATCCTCAAAAGGTCTCTGTTACCCTGAGTATTGCTGAGTATGTAGAGAAGTTTGGGAACTTGAACACTGGGGAACATCTCAAAGAAACTTCTGAAACTTTGCCTGGTATGTCAATATTTTCTTTAACTTATATATTTTACATTCCACATTTTTCGAGTAAATATCTTCCAAACATATGCTAGTTAAAAACACTTTCAAAGCTACTAAAAAAATCAATCATCTCACCTCCCTTCGTCTTCGTGTGGACTGATCAAGAAATGATTTTCTTGAAGAGACGAGCCTTGTGACTACTTCATTCATACTAATTCTCTCTTGTGGGATGTCTGAAGAGCAAGCAACACCGATTTCCAAAATGGAAATCAAAATTTCCTCTGCTTTTGGGCTACTGGTTTTGTTGGCGACCTTTGAACTAGTACTACTGTTGCTACGGATGGTATTGTTGTGGGTCGTCCGACCGATATGTAGTTCATTCAATAGAACTGGATCCAAAAGTTCTGTGACCAGCTTCTCGGAAATAGCAGTTCTGACGAATCTATGAATGGTGAATCCTTCTTGAAAAGCCTCGTCAGTTGGTTTCCGTCCAGTAAACATCTCAAGCAAATGAACTCCATAGCTATATACATCTCCCTGTACAGAGACTTCATGTCCCATACCATATTCTGCCATGTATATTGAGTAGAAGATTAGGGGGTAAAATTAATGGAAAGCTTTGTATTTCATCATTTTTAGGATGAGGAGAGGGTAGGGATGACCATTCGTCACTTTACCTGGAGGAGCGTAGCCAACAGTTCCCTTTATACCGATGGAGCTTGAAGCCTCGCAAGTCGAAGAGGAATCAGCAACTGATGGAAGGAATTGCGCCAATCCAAAGTCACCAACATGGCCTACCAAGTCCTCGTCAAGAAGCACATTACTGGGCTTCAGATCACAGTGAACAATCGGTGTGCCACATTGATGATGAAGATAATTCATTGCATAAGCTACATCTATGGAGATGTTTAGCCTCTGGATGAAGTTTAGGCTCCTTGGAGGTTCATCTCCACTTTGCACCGGATGCAGCCAATCTTCCAGACTGCCATTAACCAAGAACTCATAAACGAGAGCCTTGAAGTCATTTCCTTGACGATCAACACCTGAACACGCTGTTAGTACTTTCACGAGATTTCTGTGCCTGATATTCTTTAAGGCTGCACATTCTGCCATGAAACTCTTGGATGCTCCACGACGCTGAAGGTTGAACACTTTCACTGCAATGGTTGTTCTATTTTCATTCATGTCAAGGACACCCTTATATACAGAACCAAAACTACCCACGCCGATCAGATTCGTTGTGGAGAAACCATCTGTAGCTTTATGCAAGCTATGGTAAGACACTTGTAGTTGGAAATCATCAGCTGGAATTGTATCTGGTTTCCCTTTCTTTTTTATCCAGAAGATCAGCAAGCAGGAAGCAATGCAAGTCAGAAAACCCAGGCTGGAGATTGTAGATATGACAATCTTCAAATTGTGACTCAATACCTTCTTATGTTGTCTGAAACTGCAAGAAGGAAGTTGAAGTTCAGCTATGCCGCCGCAAAGTTTTCTATTTCCGTCGACCAAAATGATGCTGGCATTCTTGAAAACTCCACTTAGTGGCACTTCGTCCTCGAAATCGTTGTAAGAGAGATTCAAAAGCTGCAGTTCCTTCATATCTTCAAGAAATTTTGGAATTCGACCTGACAAGTTATTGGTTGATACATCCAATATCCGAATACCTCTCAGTGAATGAATAGAAGGAGGAATTGTTCCTTGTAGGAGATTTCCTTGCAAGTGCAGTTCCTCCATTGTCACACAACTACCCAGACTATACGGAATCTCTTCTGATAACTTATTATGAGAGAGATCCAAATCCCCCAAGTTTTTTAGATTCCCCACTTCGACCGGGATGGCACCAATGAAATGGTTATAAGACAAGTTGAGGAGACTAGACAAGGAAGACATACTCATGATCTCTAAGGGAATGACGCCACTGAGATTGTTGTAAGAAATGTCCAGAGTCATCAGATTTCGACAATTCTCGATTCCGGCTGGAATTCCTCCCTGCAGATGATTGTTACTAAGATACAACCCCAACAGTTTGGTCAAGTTCCCTATGGACGACGGAATGGACCCCGAAATGCTGTTATAACTCATCTGTAACCGTTGCAGAGCTTGCAAGTTCCCGATGGTAGATGGGATTGTACCTGAGAAGTTGTTGTATGTTGCATCTAGCCATTGCAGGCTAACAAGGTTCTGTATCTCACCTGGAATGCTTCCTGATAATCGATTCCCTTTGAGACTCAGAACCTCCAGGCCGGTCGACAAGTTGGCAACTTGCTTCGGCAAGCTGCCTCCAAAGTTGTTGTAATGAATGAGCAGCCACTGCAAGCTACTGGCATTGGTCAAGGAACACAGGAAGCTCAGGTCATTCGCCTCCCCCCCGCTTCCAAGCGAGTTGTTGAAGACAGAAAGCCACATCAGGTTGCGAGAGCTTTCCATACTAGGCATGGTTCCTGTAAAATTGTTACTCGGCAGTTGAAGTACCACCAAGCTTGAAGCATTGGACAAGGAAGGTGGAACAATACCGGTGAACCGGTTATATGCCACGTCTAAGGTTCGAAGATTCGGAAATGATATCCCCAAGTTTCTTGGAAGATTGCCATGGAGTTGGTTGTATGAAAAGTACACATCCGTGAGAGAAGATAGATTGAAAAAGGAAGCAGGGATTTCACCGGTTAAGTTGTTTAACACCAGATCTAGATACTGAAGCCTCTTTAATCTGCAGAGAGGGGCAAGAACAGTACTCCCGCTGAAATGGTTCTCCCCTGCTCGGAGGATTTGTAGAGACGACAAGTTGCCGAAAGAAGGAGGGATGCTTCCTGTTAGATCGTTTTTCGTGACGAAAAGTACTCGAAGCTTGTTCAGACCTCCAATCTGCCATGGCAGCTGCCCCACCAGCTTGTTATTTGCAGCACTGAATCCGGCGAGAGCAGAGCATCCTGAGATGTTAGACGGGATCTCCCCGCGGAGCGAGTTGTTCGTGAGCTGCAGATGCTGCAGTCTGTGGAGGCGGCCGATCTCCGGAGGGATTCCTTCACTGAAACTGTTGTTGGTGAGGTCCAGCTCCTTCAGGAAGCTGAGGTTGCCGATGTGTGGCGAAATGGAGCCATAGAGCATTTGAGAAGACAGTCTCAGGACAGCAACTCTGCCGCCAACTTGTCTTCTCGAACAGGACACGCCGTACCATTGGCAGAAGTGGGTGGAATCATTCCACGAGCTCAGAGCTCCCAATGGGTCGCTAGAAACCATGGACTTGAACTCCAGCAACGCCATACGATCCGTCTCGTTACTTCGAATCCCAGAGGCGGCAGCAGCAGCAGCAGTTGCAGTAGTAAGGAAGATCAACCACGACTGAAGAACTGCTACTGCCATTGCTGCAGAAAATACTCGCCAAGTTCTTGATGAAGAACTCATCTTGGTTAGTTGACACTCACTCTGTCTCATCTTGGGATTTCTTTGGTTTTGCATATTTTATATGCTCGGCCATGCATGCTCTGGTTAATGGTGGGATCCAGCTTGTTGAAAAACCATGGCGGGGAAGGTCAAATCGGACTCTCAAGGTAGGCAAGTAGCGGTCTATACACGTCTATCCAAGTCTTCGCAGCCATAAACTGTGTTTGCGATTAATTTAGTTATTATATACCAAAGCTTGGATCCATTTTCCATAGATGTACAGAGACTAGAGAGACTCCGGTTGTTTCAAGGAAGATGAGGATCACCAAAAACTTTGGAAACTTTCCTGTATATTGAAAATTACTTTTGAATATAGTATGGGGAATTTAGCTTGAATTTTTTACCGTATGTTGTTTCATGGGTCCTATTACGTAAAATATAATAGATGGTTATGTAGTAACTGTAATAATTGTAAAATGTCATTATGAAAGCATTACGTAATGGATGATCTCTTTGTATAATGAATATATTGTCCTCACATTATGTAATGGATATTTTGTACTTAAACTGTGGTTTAATCGTTACATATCAGTAAAACAATATACATGCTTGAACTTCGATAAACAAATTAATTTTATCGATCGTTGATATGATACGCTTTTGTATAGTTGCAAACAAAATACCGACAATGTACATGCTTGAACTTCGAAAGGAGAGAAATATTAATCTCGGGCTAATCAGCCCAGTAGATTCTTTGGGCGAATTTGGGCTTTTTTTAATTTTGCAAGTAATCAGCGGAAAATGAAGATGCCAAAAGAAGAGCATAGGAAACCGCGGGAAAATTAAGAGACAGCAGCTAATTACAGTTTAGTCCCTCAAGAATATTAATATGAACACTTCAATCCCAATAGAACGCAAATACGGAGGTTTGGCGCCAACTAAAACTGCCGAAACTTTTATTTTTGGGAGTTGGCGCCATTTTAGTTTCCCGCTTCCCCATTACTCCTGAGACTTCCTCTCCAATCTTCTTCCCCATTAGAAAAACCCTAAAAAACAAAATTCACTCTCATCTTCCTCTTCCTCCCCTTCGCTATCAATCAGTCTCTTTAGTCTCATTCTCCGGCCCCATACTTCCCGGCGAACTAACTTATTGAATAAGTGGAAGAAGTGTACGTGCTCCGGCGACGACGGCGGCTAGATGTTTTACTCGCAGACGTTTTTGGCTCGAAAGGGCCCGCTGGGTACGGTCTGGTGCGCCGCTCACCTTCAGCACAGGCTCAAGAAATCTCATTACACTTCCACTGATATCAAAGCCGTCGTCGGTAAATCATCTCTCTTTCGTCTGCAATTCCCTATTTTTTGTTTTTTTCCTTCTTCGTCGTTGAATAAAGCTCATTACTTTGCGTTTGTTATCTTGATTTCCCGGGTAAAAGAATCTTGCTTTGTATGATTCTAATAGTTGGGGTTTGCGGACTGTAGACCACATAATGTGCCCAGAAGTGCCGATTGCGCTTCGGATGTCTGGCCACCTTTTGCTAGGAGTTGCTAGGATCTACTCCAAGAAAGTGGATTATCTATTTCAGGACTGTAATTTAATGAAGCTTAGTTTGAGAAATGCCTTCACCATCACAGTAGACATCAATCTGCCAGAGAATGCCAAAACAGCCAAGCCGGATGCTGTTACTTTGCCCCAAACATTTGACCTAGATGCACTGGAGGTCGATGATGACATCCACAATATTTATGGGTAATGACTGAAATTTTTAACAAGTTTCGAACTTTCTCCATTTTCCATTGTCTTGGTTTCTCTTCTTGATAGTTTTTTATAGGTCTCCAGATAGTCATTGCAAAACTCGAGAGGAAATCACGCTGGATGATCAGATCCCTACAGGGAGAGAGCCGTTTGTTGCTATAACTTTTGACGAGGTTAGTTGTTGTTGCTCTAGAAAACTGTTGGTGTCGGGGTACTCTAGAGTTGCTCTGGCCTCTGAGTGATGAACAATTCATTCTTCTGCACAGGACATCACAATGGATGATACTTCACAGCAAGACCTGGCTCGTGATTTGGGAGTTAGACCAGTAGTGGAAGAGTATGCCTCCTATTAGTATTTGGGAAGTCATGTTACTTTGTTTTAGCAATGACTGTGGTTAGTCATTCTGATGCCTGATTTTCTGCAATTCTCAGCCCCGATCGTGATGAAAACAACCACAGAGGAGGTGGTCCAAGCAATGACACAGAAATGCTTACTGAACCTGCAGATTTTGGGGATGTCGGTCCAAGCAATGATACAGAAATGCTCACTGAACCTGTAGAGTTTGGGGATGTCGGTCCAAGCAATCAGACCGAAGTGCTCACTCAAGCAACAGGATTACAGGATCCTGGGCCGAGCAATCAGACAGAAGTGCTCACCGGATCGGCAGAAGCATCACAGGGCACTGGCACAAGGGATCGTACTATGATGGATGATGTACTTACTGAGAATGTGGAACCTGGTCAAGTTGAAAAAATTCGTGATGCTCGTGATTCTAGTCCAAGAAGAGCACCACTTGTGTCTCCGGATATGGAAAAGGATGATGCTGCTGATCGAAACCGGCTTCGAGAAAAAGATTTGCTTGAGAGTGGGATTAATATTCGGATTCCAGAAGAGCCTTCCTCTTCAGGGGTACACTCTTTTCGACTTAGGCCACATTCAGAACCTCCTACCTCTGCTGTCTCTGGAGGATCGGGACTTTTCCTTGATGAAAATATGTCTCCTGGTGAGTGTCCCTTAATGAATTGTTTCACCTGACAGATATACTGTACGATGGGAATGATCAACCAGCTCATTTTTTGGCTGTTTCAGGCCAAGCAACACCTGGACTTGCTATGGTTGTTGCACCTTCACCTGTTCAGCAACCACAGCGGAGGGCCAGAAGGAGAAATTATTTCTTCGATCACGCAACAGTATTGACGAACAAGTACTGTTCTTACTCTCATCTTCGTCCTTTTCTCCCCATGCTTTTGTTCCTTACTGGTTTTGTTTACTCATAAGAAAGATCGACTTTGTAGGTTTGTAAAGAAGGGTTTGAATGATTGTACTGATTTGTTGCGCAAAAAGAGGGCTCCGCCTTCTGCTTTGAGCGTCTGGAAGCTGAACAAGAAATCAAGGAAAGAACAAGTTTTTCATGAGCCGTTAATAACAGGTAAAAAATGGTTTTCCATTACTAAGCTGACTATTTGTGTAATTTGAAGCTTGTTGAACTTTATTCTACTTACACCATTGGTGCTTTATATTGTTATTCAGGCTTGTCCCCAGATATAAGTACCTACTTTGACGCGGACCATAGCTTTGCTAATCGTCATCCAATTCCTCAACTGGAAGATATTGCTGAGCCTAGTGGTCCTTCATCTCCTATTCAGTCAACTGCTGTAGATGTCAATCCAGAGCCTACAGTTCCAAATTCTCCTCCTGTGATTCAACCCATCTCGCCTAGAAATGTCCATTCTCAATCTAAAGCTCCCTCAGATGATCCCACCACTACCACCGTGGAGCCCACTAATGGGAAGTCGGCAAACCCAGAGGCTAATGATACTGATACGGGCATGGATATGGATATTGATATTGACATTGAACGTGTTCGGGATGATGGAGGAGGCCATCACAGTAATGATGATGTTCTAAATGAATTTTCGATGAATTCTCCTGTTCAATATGGGCCTTTTCCTAGACAAGATGCCTCGACTCCCAGTCCAAAGCATGTGCATTCAACCACAGTCCGTGATGGGGCAGGAAACACAGGTGCAAGTGACATGCTGCATACTGCAACAGACTTTGCTGCCTCCACTAGCACATTCAGTTCAGTGTTGAGGACTCCAAGAATGTTTGGAGAGGACACTCAGCTCTCAAATATTCTTGAAGTGATGGATAGCGCGGAATCAGAAGTAAGCATCAAGCAGCCTCAAACTGGACTTTCAGCTTTCAGTGTCATGTATATTTATAACTCTTCTAAATTCCTTTTGCAGGGCCGTTATTCTGGTGGGGGAGATAGCACGCCTGCTCCTGGTGAGCTACTTGTTCTGGAATTCCCTGTTCATTACCTTGCATGGATGATGTTTGGTTTTTTTTTTTTTTTTTTACGCTCTTAATGTTGATTACAGGGTTTTATAAGGTAGGCAGTCAAGGAGTTCACCAATTGTCTGGTAGAACCAGGTACCACATAAACCTATCCCCTGTGGTTATGGGTTATTTTTGTTGGATCTTCATTCACCTAGAGCAGAATTTCTTAAGATGGTACCTTTCTGGGTTTTGCTCTTTTAGGGCTGTGGCTCAGTACTTGGAAAGACAATCTCCTAATACTCCAACCTTGGGAGAAGATCAAACCAGAGATATCAGTCTCAACAAGCTCCTAGAAGGGAAGACCAGGACGGTGTGTGCCCGAATGTTCTTCGAGACTCTGGTAAGCCTCTTCAAAACTGCTTCCTTTTTTCAAGCTCAAGTTCTGGTAATAGCCAGTGAACGTTACCTCATTGACAATGGGTGGTGTTCTTCTATGCAGGTTCTGAAGAGCCATGGAGTCGTTGATGTCGAACGAGAGAAGGAACAGGGCCGAGTTCTTCTGAAGCTTGATGTGGAACAAGAGGAGCCCTATGGCGACGTTCATTTGAAGCTGACCCGTTTGGCAACATAACATATCAGTAGTAGTGCATTGGCATATATGAGGCATTAATTAGGTCACGAACCATGATTTTGAAGTCCAGGTTTGTGATTATGAAGTATGATAGTAGGTTTTGGTAGAAGTAGGACTAGTTAGTTAATTTATATAGAGGGATAGTGTTCTGTTACAGGCAGAAGGATGAGCAGAGTCCATCCATATGGTTGCTTGATTGTATACAAAGATAATTGACCAGTAAAACTAAACCAGCTGTTGATCTTTGTTTCTTGAGTCTAACAACCATACGTAAAGATATTTAAGGGGTCGTTTGGAAGTTGCGATTGTTTTGTTGAGATTGTCATTATGCATGTATTGTTTACAATGCATCGTTTTTTTTTTACCGTTTTTTAACATGTATTGTTTCTGTGATGAGATAGAAACTATCACTCATTTTGAGTGATTGTTATATCTCAACTTTTAGTTGTGATTGTTGAGATAGTTGAGTTGAGATTGTTTTGTCTCAGCTTTTAACTGATGCGACATACACAATCACACATACCAAACGTTGTATTCTACAATGCATCAAATTCGACAATATTATACATGCATTCTCAACAATATATTTATTTAACAACCGCAACTTCCAAACGACACCTAGTTTTAGAGCTGAAAAGCATACCAGCAGATGGGAATGGGACCCAGAAAACCAATCAAACTCTCTTTAGGCAAGAGAACAGGCTCTCATGCGATAAAGAAAACAGAGGCTCTTTCGTCCTTGAGCTGCAGACACAGAGAGGAATAAAATACTTTTCTTAGTTCTTGGAGGAAGAAGTCGGATATGTATGATTGAAAGAAGACCATGGAAGAAAAGCATATAACAACGGTGCACAATCAAGTAAAAGGGTGACAAGAGGATTCCACCAGGGGAAAGCAAGAAGAAAGCAAGGTCGAGCGAGATGAAACAGTCTCTCCGAAGAGATAAAAAAGCGAGTTCTCTAGCAACTTAGAGAGAATCATGAGATTTTCTTTCTGCACTGCTTCCTTTAGCTGGGAATGGGATCCCCCCACCAGGGGAAGAAAACAGGGGAAACCAAGGTTTAGGGAGACGGGGAATTCCTTGCTTCCTTTCGGTAGATGGGATTTGGGATCCAGAAAAGCAATGTATTTTATTTTCGGGAAAGCTTCGGTTCTCCTGGTATTTCATCTCGCAATCTCTCTCTTTCTCACCCTCGCCTCACATTTCCTTAACTTTTCCAAGCTCCCCTGAATTTCCTCTGTTTTTTCACTCCCAAAGAAATGGCTGATATCATTCTGGGCCCTGCAGTTGAACTAATCCTTGGCAAGTTGGGCAGATTTGCATCCGATCAGGTCCGACTTCTTTGGACTCTCAAACCCGAGATACTGAAACTCGGGGACACTGTTGCGGCAATCCAGGCTGTGCTTCTCGACGCAGAGAAGAAGCAATCCCACAACCACCAAGTCAAACTCTGGCTCAAGAGGATCTCCGACGTTATGTACGATGCTGAAGACCTGCTTGACGATTTCTCCACTGAGGCTGCGCTCCAGAAGCAAGCAGTGACTCACTGGAGGACGGGGATGGCAGCGACTTGCTGGAGCTCGGCATGCTGCTATCCGGTCTCTTCCCTTCCCAAGCAGTTGATTTATCATTTTAAGATGGCTCGTGATTTAAAGGCTATTCGAGAGAAGCTTGATGTCATATCAAAAGAGAAGGAGGCTTTCAAGTTGGAAATTGGCTTCGAGGTAAAAGCTCTTCCTTCTTTCAGGGAGACGGATGCATGCCCACCCACGGTTGTGATTGGGAGGGAAGATGACAGAAAAAACATCATTTTGCGACTGCTGAATTGCAACCCAGAAGCCAGCATTTCAGTCGTTCCCATTGTTGGGATGGGTGGGCTGGGGAAAACCACCCTTGCTCAGCTCGTATTTGACGACAAACAAGTTCGAGATTACTTCGATGTAAAAGCTTGGGTCTATGTTTCACAGAGCTTTGATATCAAAATGATTCTCCTAAAGATGTTGGAATCCATAACTCGTCAGAAAGTGGGGGATCTCATGTTAGATGTTTTACAAGCTCAACTCCGGGAGAAAATCCAAGGCAAGAGGTACTTATTTGTATTGGATGATGTTTGGGAGGAGAACAGGCGCAGTTGGGAGAATCTGGGAAATCATTTGGCGTTCGGTGCTCTTGGAAGCAAAGTACTGGTGACTACTCGATCCACTAGAGTGGCGGAGTTTGCCGGCAAAGCTCTCAAGTCGAGAACAAGTACCAGTAGCAGCATTGTGGAACCTCATTTCTTGGAAGGCTTGTCAGAAGGTGAGAGTTGGCAAATATTGGAGGCAAAGGCCCTCCCAAGACAGATCCCAGCAGAAGTACAACGTGTTGGTAAACAAATACTGAAGCAATGTGGTGGAGTTCCTCTCGCTGTGAGCACCATAGCTGGTGTATTAGCAGATTCGACTGATCCAAAGATGGAGTGGCCATCTTTTCTAGAAAGGGGCCTTTCTAGCATCATGAATGAAGGAGGGGAAGTTTCTATTATGGCCACACTCCAAGTCAGCTTCAATCTTCTTCCCTCTCATATGAAACATTGTTTTACTTATTGTGGATTGTTTGAAAAGGGGTTTCGATTTGGGATTCCGATGTTGGTTCGATTTTGGGTCGCACAAAGGTACATTGAGTCGGAAGATATAGGCTATGATTACTTTAAAACGTTGTGGTGGAGGTCATTTTTCCAGGAGGTGGAGATGGATGAGTTAGGGAACTTGTCAACGTGCAGAATGCACGATCTCATGCATGACTTGGCTGATTCTATAGCCGGAGATAATATAAAAAGAAGTACAAGTTCAAGTGTTCTAGAAAATGTTCCTTCAAAGGCTCGTCATTTATGCATAACTCGTGGCGGTTATGATAATCCAAGACAAGAAGACAGTGATGGTGGCGATGAGCTTGGAAGCATGAGTAAGGTACGAACTCTAATATGTTTCGAATCTCTTTCAAACGAAGAACTTGAACAAATCCTCAACAATTTCTTACGCTTGCGTGTATTGGTGATATGTTCATATGATGAAAGTGCTTATACGTCGTTGAAACTTGTTGGAAAGCTGAAGCATTTAAGATATCTTGGTATGTTGGGTTTCCACAAAATGAAAAATCTTCCAGACTCAATTATTAACTTGGTTAATCTGCAAGTTCTTAACCTCATCGGTGGCGAGTCACTGCAAGAACTACCAAGGGGGATTAAGAAGCTTGTTAATCTGAAGCATCTTGATCTCGATCAAACAAGTTGGAAAAATTTGAGACATATTCCAAAAGGGATTGGTGAGTTGAAGTTTCTCCAAACCCTACCAATCTTTGTAGTGGGGAAAAGAAGTAGTTGTAGTGGTAATGGGGAGATTGCCGGTGCAGAATTGAACGAGATGGAAGGGTTGAATGCATTGTGTGGAGAGTTGATTATCATAGGCCTGGGAAATGTCCACTCTCTAAAGAAAAGTGTTTATGTCTTGAAAGAGAAGCCACATCTTCAGTCACTTGTTTTAGATTGGAGTCGATATGATCTCCGTCTATTGTCTGGTCGTGATGAAGGGATACTGGAAATGCTCTGGCCACACCCTAATCTAAAGAAATTGACGATACATGGTAGTATTGCTTATGGAGGTGTGAAGCTTCCTATCTGGCTGTCCAGCCTCACGAATTTGGTTAAGTTCTCATTAAAAGATGGCCATCGATGTGAGTACCTCCCTGCTCAATTGCATCAAATGGCGAGTTTAAAGGAGCTTGAAATTAGCAATTGTCCAATGTTGAAGGGCATCAATAATGATGTCACTCATTGTGACTCTTATTCAAACAACTCAACAGCAAGATTAAGAACAGAGGAAGAGGAATGGCCGCAGTTTCGATCTCTAGCCCACTTGGACATTTGCCGTTGTCCAAGGCTAACTCGGCTGCCCACCTTCCCTACCGTTGAATATTTGAAGTTATTCAAGGCGAGCTCGACACCACTTGCTCGGACCATGAAGATGAAGATAAGGAGAGGAGGAGGTGTTGTTGATACAACTGTTTCTTCAGCCCTCGTCCACCCACTCTCCAAGGTGACACAGTTGTCCTTAGCAACCATAGTTGATGATCTCGAATCCCTATCGCATCATGATTCAAGTAGTTGTCTCGTCTCTCTTCAGACGTTACATGTTGGAAACTGTCGAGCCGTGAAGCTACCTGGTTCGCTGTGTTCCAGTTCATATCTAATGGAGATCGTTTTATCGGGTTGTGAAATGATAGAGTACATGCCACCCTTACATGAACTCCCACGGTTGAGGGAGCTAATTATTTTTGGATGTCCGAAGCTGAAGGGATGTTGGTGGAAGAGGACGAGAGGGAATAATGACCACCATCATTGTGGTACTGATGATTATTATAACTTTGACCCTTCAATGGAAAGAGATGAAGAGGAAAAGGGAGATGATCATGAGACTGAGGAGGAGTGGCCCCATTTCCCTTGTCTTTCCAAATTAGATATTGAAGATTGCCCAAATCTGACTCGGGTGCCTCTGTTTCCAACCGTTGAAGGCAGGTTGGTGCTTGAAAGCTGCACAGAGGCACTAGTGCGGACAATGAAGATGGAACCAGTAGTAGCTGCTCATCATCATCATCTTGACTCTCAACAAAATTCTTCTTCTTTGTTGCTTGTCGCTCCTCCGCTCTCTAAGGTGAAGGAGTTGTTCCTTGAGCGTATGAAGGAGTTGCAATCTCTACCAGAAGAAGGCCTCCGCAACCTCACTTCTCTTCGATACTTGTCGATTCGAAATTGTCGAAGATTAACATCTCTGCCTCCTGCAATACGACACCTCACCTCTCTACGACAATTAGTCATCGTTGGGTGTACAAGATTAGCATCTCTGCCTCCTGCATTGCGAGACCTCGCCTCTTTACGAAGATTGGACATTGAGTGGTGTACCCTGTTGAGAGAAAGATGCAGAAGAGGGGAGGGTAAAGATTGGCCCAACATTTCCCACATCCCTGTGATATATCTCAACGGAGAGGCGCTCCAGGGTTCAGGTTGGCCATCTACTCTACACTACTACTGCATTTTATTTTTCTTGTTTTATAAAAGTGATCTCATTTGATTATAACTAGAGGAAATTTGAGTTTTTCATTCCATTGTGATGTCGTAGATTTTCTTCAATACTATCAGTGGTCGGACTGAGGAAGAGGAGCAGACAGAGGCTGCTGCAACAGTGGAAAATCGTCATCAGACACAAATATCTTTGCTTTCAACAGACTGCCTGCACAAATATTTTGGTTATGGGTTATTTTTATTGTATCTTCATTCACCTAGAGCAGAATTTCTTAGGATGGTACCTGTCTGGGGTTTTGGTCTTTTTAGGGCTGTGGCTCAGTACTTGGAAAGACAATCTCCTAATACTCCAACCTTGGGAGAAGATCAAACCAGAGATATCAGTCTCAACAAGCTCCTAGAAGGGAAGACCAGGACGGTGTGTGCCCGAATGTTCTTCGAGACTCTGGTAAGCCTCTTCAAAACTGCTTCCTTTTTTCAAGCTCAAGTTCTGGTAATAGCCAGTGAACGTTACCTTATTGACAATGGGTGGTGTTCTTCAATGCAGGTTCTGAAGAGCCATGGAGTCGTTGATGTGGAGCGAGAGAAGGAACAGGGCCGAGTTCGTCTGAAGTTTGATGTGGAACAAGAGGAGCCCTATGGCGATGTTCGTTTGAAGCTGACTCATTTGGCAGCGTAACATATCAGTAGTAGTGCATATATGAGGTATTAATTAGGTCATGAACCATGATTTTGAGTCCAGGTTTATGATTATGAAGTATGATATTAGGTTTTGTTAGGAGTAGAACTAGTTAGTTGAGTTATAGAGAGATTGTGTTATATGCAGAAGGATGAGCAGAGTCCATCCATATGGTTTGCTTGTATACCAAGATAGCTGATTAGTAAAAACTAAACCAGCCGTTCATCTTTATAGCGATATATCGATTCTGATCTCGAAAGACCCTTCGAATAACAGAAAAGAGTCGCAAAAAGCCTTTATATATTGAATTTTTTTGCATAAAAGTACAAAGAACTAATGTTGTTGCATATAGTTGTTTAGATTAATCTCTGTTTTTTTTTTACCCACATCCCTTGAGCCAAAATCTCTTTGTTATGGTGATGACATCGTGAATGGTCTGTGGAGGAATAGGAAGAAGTGGAAATCTTCCTTCAATGGGGTGATTGTGAACGTAGCCTCGTTACCTTGCAGCAGTACAGAAGTGTACGAACTCTGGCTCAATGTCGTCGAGGCAACGTGAAATCGTCTGCCAGACTCCTTTCGGCGCTAGAGCTGCATTCTCGTAGTCGAAGTAGGGAGGTCCAGCAGGAATCTTTCGATGAATCTTCCCAGGTATGTTCTCCAGGGAGACCAAAGCCAATCATTGGGTTTGGGAGGCTGAGAAAAGTGATAATCCTCTGTTTTTCCCCTTTTAAGGTCTCTGTCCCAGGTAGCTCCTCTTCTTCAGCTTAGTAATCAACAAGTTTGGCTTCAACTGATAAACACAAGATCAACAAACATATTAAGTCAAAGAGAAACCATCTATTTTATCAACAAAATGCGTCAGTTCTCAAGAAGGAGTGTGAGAACCCAACCTAAATCCTGGAGTAGCTCTCCGTCCAGTCCTATCCTGGGAATGTGAGAAATGTTGGGCCAATCTTTACCCTCTCCTCTTCTGCAGCTTACTGTCAATAGGGGACAATCCTTAACGTCTAATGTCTGTAAAGTGGCGAGTTCTTGCATTGCACGAGGCAGAGATGCTAATCTTGGACACATATCAATCGTCAACCGTTGAAGAGAAGTGAGGTTGCGGATGCCTTCTTCCGGTAGAGATTCCAACTCATTCATACCCACGAGGAACAACTGCGTCACCTTAGAGAGCGGAGCGACAAGTTCAGTCCCCAGCAACAAAGAAGACGAAGAAGAAGAAGAAGAAGAAGAATTGTGTTGAGAGTCAAGATGAGGATGATGAGGAGCTGCTACTGGTTTCATCTCCATTGTACGAGCTAGTGCCTCTGCGCACTTTCCAATCATCAAGCGGCCTTCAACAGTTGGAAACAGAGGTACCCTAGTCAGCTTTGGGCATTCAAAGATCCCTAAAGTGGATAGACAAGGGAAATGAGGCCAGTACTGCTCCCCAGTCTCCTCGTCTTCCTTTGGCTCTTCTTTTCTTTCCATTTGAGGATCAAAGTTATAATAATCATCACTACCACCATGATGGTCATTATTCCCTTTCACCTTCTTCCACCAACATCCCTTCAGCTTCGGACAGTTCCAAATCTCTAGTTCCCTCAGCCGTGGGAGTTCATGCAGGGGTGGCAGGTACTCCATCATAGCGCAATAATGTAAACGAATCTCCATTAGATGTGTACTGGAACACAACGAAACAGGCAGCTTCATGACTCGATAGATAGTGGTAACATTTAACACCCGAAGAGAGACTAGACAACTACTCGAATCAGGATGCGATAAGGATTCGAGATCATCATCTATGCCTTCTAAGGTCAACTTGGTCAGCTTGGAGAGTGGATGAACAGCTGTATCAACACCTCCTCTCCTCATCTTCATGTTCATGGTCCGAGCAAGTGGTGCTAAGCTCGCCGTCTGTAATGATAACTCACCTTCAATGGCAGGGAACGTGGGCAGCCGAGTTAGCATGGGACAAGCCCGAATGCGCAAGTCGGCGGCAAGACATCGAAACTGCGGCCATTCCTCCTCTTCTCTTAATCTTGTTGCTGCGTTTTCCAGAGAAGAGTCACGGTGGTCAGCATCATTATTGATGCCCTTCAACATTGGACAATCTTCGATTTCAAGCTTCTTTAAACTCCGCATTTGATGCAATTGCGCGGGAAGGTGCTCACATCGCAGGCAACGGTATAGTGAGAACTCGACCAGATTCGTGAGGCTACACAGCCAGTTGGGAAGCTTCACACCTTCATAACCTTCATCACCATTTATCTTCAATTTCTTCAGATTAGGGTGTGGCCAGAGCATTTCCAGTATCCCTTCATCACGAGTAGACAATGGACTGACATCATCACCATCCCGGCTCCAATCTAAAACAAGTGACTGAAGATGTAGCTTCTCCTTTAAGACATACACACCTTTCTTTGGAGAGTGGACACTTCCCAGGCCTTTGATGGTCAACTCTCCACACAATGCATTCAACCCTTTCAGCTCATCCAATCCTGCACCAGCCATCTCGTCATTACCACTGCAACTGCTTCTCTTCCCCACTACAAAGAATGGTAGCGTCTGGAGAAACTTCAACTTGCCAATCCCTTTCGGAATATGGGTAAAATTTACCCAACTTTCTCGCTCAAGATCAAGATGCTTCAGATTCACAAGCTTCTTGATATCCCTTGGTAGCTCTTCTAGTGACTCGACACCAAAGAAGTTAAGATCTTGCAGGTTGATCAAGTTAACGATTGAGTCGGGAAGATGTCTCATTTTGTTGAAATCCACCATACCAAGATATCGTAAATGCTTTAACTTTCCAACAATACTCAATGCTGTGTAAGCATTTTCATCATACGGGCATATTACCAATACACGCAAGCGTGAGAAGTTGTTGAAGATTTGCTCAAGTTCTTCGTTTGAAAGAGGTTTGACACATATTAGAGTCCGCACCTTACTCATGCTTCCAAGCTCCTCGCCACCACCGTGATCTTCGTGTCTTGAATTATCATCGTCGTCATCTTCAGTTATGTACAAGTGACGAGCCTTCGAAGGGACATTTTTCAGAACGCCTGAACTTGTACTTCTCTTGATATTTTCTCCGGCTATTGAATCGGCCAAGTCGTGCATCAGATCATGCATTCTGCATGTTGAAAAATTCCCCAACCCGTCCATTTGCACCTCCTGGAAAAAGGACCTCCACCACAACGTCTTGAAGCAATTATAGCCTTTATCTCTCGACTCGACGTACCCTTGTGCTACCCAAAGTCGAACCAACATTGGAATCTTGAACTCAAAACCCTTCTCAAACAATCCACAATAAGCAAAACAATGTTTCATGTGGGAAGGGAGATGATTGAAGCTGACTCGGAGTGTGGCAGCCATAATAGAATCTGCCTCTCCTTCATTCATGATGCTCAAAAGTCCCTTTTGTAGAAAAGATGGCCACTCGATCCCTGGATCTGTTGAATCTGCTAACACACCAGCTATGGTGCTCACAGCAAGAGGAACTCCGCCACATTGCCTCAGTATTTGCTTACCAATATCTTGCACTTCTGCTGGGACTTGCCTCAGTATTTGGAGTGTGTCCTTCTCCTCCATTATTTGCCAACTCTCACTCTCTGACAAGCCTTTCAAGAGATAGTAAGGTTCGACAATGCTGCTGCTACTTGTTCTCGACTTCAGAGCTCCGCCAGCAAACTCTGCCACTCTAGTGGATCGAGTAGTCACCATCACTTTGCTTCCAATAGCACCGGCAATCAAATATTTTCCCAACTCCTCCCAAATGCGAGTGCTCTCTTCCCAAGCATCATCCAATACAAACAAAACCCTCTTGCCGTCGATTTCCTCCCGGAGTTGAGCTTGTAAAACAGCAAACGTGAGATCCCCCACTTTCTGACGAGTTATGGATTCCACCATCTTTTTGAGAATCATTTTGACATCAAATCTCTGTGAAACGTAGACCCAAGCTTTGATCTCAAAGTGTTTTTGAACTTGTTTGTCATCATATACAAGCTGAGCAAGGGTGGTTTTTCCCATCCCACCCATCCCAACAATGGGGACGACCGAAATATTGGCTTCTGGGTTGCGATTCAACAGTCGGGCAATGATTTCTTTCTTGTCGTCTTCCCTCCCAATCACAATGGTGGGCGGGCAGGAATTCGTCTCCCTGAAGGAAGGAAGAGCTTGTACCAACTCGGTACCAACTTCCAACTTGAAATCCTCCTTCTCTTTCGAGATGACATCAAGCTTCTCCCGAATCGACTTGATATCACGAGCCATCTTAAAATCATACATCAACTGTTTGGGAAGGGAAGAGACTGGAGAGCATACCGTGATCCAACAAGCCGCTGCCATCCCGGCTTCCGTCCGGTGAGTCGCTGCTTGCTTCTGGAGCGCAGCCTCGGTGGAGAAATCGTCGAGCAGATCGTCAGCATCGTACATAATGTCGGAGATCCTCTCGAGCCAGAGTTTGACTTGGTGGTTGTGGGACTGCTTCTTCTCCGCGTCGAGAAGCACGGCCTGGATGGCGAGGACGGTTTCCCCGAGTTTCTGGATCTCGGGTTTGAGATTCCAGAGGAGTAGGACCTGATCGGACGCATAGCTGGCCAACTTGCCCAGGATTAGTTCAACTAGAGGGCCCAGAATGATTTCAGCCATTTCTTTTGGAGGGAAAAAAACAGAGGAGATGCAGGGGAGCTTGGAAAACTTGCCAGATGAAATTTCAACAAACCCAAACAATATTATATTACACCATGGTAACAGCAAAGAGAAACGAAAGAACAGGGGAGCAAGATGGAACAAAGAGAGTAGGAGGAAGACTGAAATTTCACAGGCTTTAGATCTCTGGAAAACAGGGGAGCAAGGGATCTGCAAGAGGGATTTGAGCTTTCCCAAGAATATGGCATCGCCATGGAGATTTTCAACAAACCCAAACAATATAATATTCCTCCCAGAACTGAAAAGCGACAAAGGCATCCTGACTAGGTGGAGAGTGTGACCCTTGACCTACTCCAAGCTCGCCAATGAGAGTTCACGGGAGTTGTCAACATTCCCCCCAAGCCCAAGTCGGCCAACTTGCCGAGGAATATTCGTCTAATAACTGGGAATCTCGAGCTTCAATGATTCAAATCGTGTGTGACAGAGAGCATGGATCCGAGCTGGATCATCTTTCTCTACCAGCAGCAGTGGCTGAGCTAACGGCTAGTAGCAGAGAAGAGACGAAACGTGAACGAAGACTGAAGAAGAAGAAGAAAACGTTTCTGTGATGTTTTAGTCAAACGATGTCGCATTATTGGTTCTACTTATTTACCGCCTTTTTGTTAAGTTACTGTAATGGATAAACAAATGAGACTCAGCTACGTGGCAAATCCATCTGATGTTTCACGATTTTGCCTAAAATATATTAAAGTGTTCTCATTTATGAATATTGCCTAAAATATACAAATTTTTAATTTGTAACGGAATAAAAGTTTGAAATTGTAAAAAATGGTCACTTCTATTTTATTTATTATCGTTCTGTATTAAGTCCAAAAGTTTTGTTACCGAATCGTTATAAGTTAAACGTTTGTGCCCGTTTTGAAGTCGGGTCGTGTGTTCGTCAAGTATATGACACTAATCACTTGAACGAAATATAAGATGTCAACTAGTGTGTTCATCGATATACTTGCTTTGCCAATTAAAAATGCCCTCCCTTTACCTCTCAATTGCGATACCAAGAAAGTAGGCCGAATTTTTTCAACTGCAAGCAACATGAAACTGTGAGGCATTTTATTCCCTCGTTGTCAGCAATAATTCCGATCATATCATTCACACAAATTAACAATACCACCATAGCTCAATTGGATAAAATTGTAAGAGTGATTTATCGTTCAAACCTTTAAACTTTGTAAAAAATGGTCACCAAAAGTTTAATTTATACCAACACGATAACAAAAGTTTTGTGATCATTTTGTTGTAAGTACAAAATTTTATTACCGTATCGTTACGAATTAAAGATTTGTATGTAAAAGTTTGTAACTAATTACCCCCAGCTTCTTTTTCTGGATTCCTATTTGCAGCCCTAAGTTTTTAAAATTTCAGCCCTAAATAAACTGAACAGACAAAATTACCCCTCCAACCATTTTCAATCGAAGCCCTAATCCCCTAATATGTCTAGCCGCCGTCGTTCGCCATTTATGAGCGTCGCCGCCGCCGTTCGCCCTCCCGTCGCAGGAAGCCCCCTCCCTCCACAAGCAGGGCCTTGGAAAGGCGGATCGGTGCTGCAAATCATCCACAAGCTCGGGTCCTTGTTGTCGTCGTACTTGTGGCATATGCAGCACGAGCACCTCTTGCAGAACGTATCGCCCTGTTTCATTGTGGCTTTACAGGCAGAGTTCTTGCAGTAGACCGTATTCGCCTGATTGGGGGCGTCTCCTCCGCCGCCGCTGGTTGGAGTGACGGGGAGCAGTCGAGACGGTGGTACATCCACCTTAAACCCAAACTCATCATTTAATTTCATTTGTCCTGTTTTGCTTTCCCCCTGTTTTTTTTTCCAAATTTCTCCGACTCTTTCTCCCCAGCCACCGCCATGGCCATCAATCACTCTTCCACCTATACCTCTGTCATCGTTTGGGCGACGACACTATTTAGGGACGAGCCCCCTTCCGGGGTCTGCAAGTCGGTGCAGAAAATCTTGCTAACAAAAACAAAAAAGAATGGTTCGAATTGACGAGCCATCCATTTCGGATGCTCTAGAAGCAGAGGAAGAAGAAGAGCTGGTAGACGCGGCGGAATCAGGGGAAGCTGCGGCGGCGGAGGCAGAGGAAGAGGAGGAACCGATTGGATACGATGAGCTGAAGAGGCGGATGTGGAAGGATCGATTACGGCTCCAGAAGTTCGAAGAGAATCGAGGGACTGCTGCTGCTACGACAAAAGAGTTGGCGCTGAAGGATCGATTACGTCAGCCGCCGGTCAATTAAATGAGCAGGATTTTAGGGATTAGGGCGGCGCCGGTCATCGCAAAATTAGGGATGTGATGGTTTGAAATTAGGGCGGCGAATGGCTAATAGGGGTAATATTGTCTGTTTGGTTAAATTAGGGCGTAAAATTTAAAAAGTTTAGGGCTTTAATTAGTACCTCCTTTTTTTTTACCCTCAAGTTCAGTCCGTCCATTTCGCTTTCTTCATCAGGCGCCAGCAGACTACCAGTCGACCGTCGGCATGAGCTCAGCGGCGATGGAAACTTCCTCGACCGGCTGCTATACTTCCACTTCTGTTTTGGAGACCGCCGGCGAGTCCTGCAGTGGGAAATCCTTCGAGTCCGTTGTTTGGCACCTTAAGTTCAAGGATTCCGCCGACATATCCTCCGTCGTCCGGTTTGGCCAACGTTTGTCCGCTTCCGCCGGAACTAGAGGTGTGCAGTAGGAAGAATTCAACGGCGGTAGATTGCAGGATTCCACGCGATGAGGAAATTTAATATTCGGTATTCTTCTTCCACTTCGCATTTCTGCCTTTCGATCAATCAACTTGCTCGCAGTCACACGACGATTAGGGTAATCCAATGGACAATAGCAATAGATGCCTGTGGCGTTGATATTTGCCTCATATCGATTCAAGATTCAGAATATCATTCCGTCGGATTTGATTTCATTGTGTCCAAAATTCTTATCCTTTCAAAGCTCAAATTGCTAGGTATCCCGTGAAGACTGAAGCCTGCTGCTTCTTTGAACTGAGGCAGATAGCATAACTGTATTTTATTGATTTAATACCAAGGTATATATACCAGGAAGCAGATAAATCCGAACAACCTACTTACTGCCTGCTTCAAGAACTCTGATCACACACATCCTCTGAAGTTCCAGCAATCTAGCTGTCGCCTTGCTTCAACCATGTCTTTCTGTGCTTTATCCCGCCGGTAGAATGTAGGGCAATCTCAATATATTTCTGGTTTGATCCCTACTAAGCAGTTCATCTTTGGCGTTCTTCAAATTAGGCTCAAAGATTCGTAAAAGTGGCTGCACTGCCAAAAGCTTATATTAGTGCCGTTCAGAGGATTGCAACCAGGCTGCGTACAGAAACTCATTACATGGAGACCTTCTGGAGCTGATTTGTGAGGTAATATTTACTGTCTATTGGAATATTATTCTCTAGCACATATAATGGGATCCTCAGACTTCTCATAAGTTTTACAAATGAAACATGCTCCTCATACTGGGAGTTGTGATAGAGAGAGATTTGTTTTTGCCTTGTTGCTGTCTAGCTATACATACAGTTTCTTTGTAATAGAAAAACCAAGGCCAGCAGTGCGTCTTGAATTGCTTTGCAGTGAGCCGTGTACTTCTTCTTGGCTTTTCTTTGCTCACACCTACTAACCTACATCATCATCATAATTGTTCCCACTTGGTTCAACAGTTCCCACTCTGTTTATCTTCAAAGCTTTTTTCTCTTTTCTTCTTCCCTTTGTTTAATTTCGTGAGGGTGACTAATCACTAGGACAAGGGGCCCTTTCCTGAGTTTCTGTGATTGTAAGCAAGACATTGACGGTAGGAGAAGACTAGTACTAGTGTAATACCCTCAACGGCACCCTTGATTGTCAATGAACATCCTTTACTTGTCAATTTTTGTTGTTTAGCTGAAAGCTTTACCCTGTGTAGCTCTGATGGGAAATTGATTGCTTCCTTCCTTCATTCCGTAGATGGGGATGGGACCCAGGAATAATGTGTTTTTGTGTGGAAAACTTCACTTGGTATTTGGAAATCTCTCTGTCTTTCTCGCTCTCACAATTCCTTCTCTTATCCACAATTCTACTACCTCTCTTTTCCAAGCTCCCCTGCATCCCCTCTGTTTTTCCCTCCCAAAGAAATGGCTGAAATTATTCTGAGCCCTATCGTTGAACTAATCCTTGGCAAGTTGGGCAGCTTTGTGTCAGATCAGGTCCGACTCCTCAGGAATCTCAAACCCGAGATCTTGAAACTCGAGCGCACCGTCACCATCATCCAGGGTGTGCTTCTCGACGCAGAGAAGAAGCAGTCCCACAACAACCAGCTCAAACTCTGGCTGGAGAGCATCTCAGACATTATGTACGATGCCGAGGATCTGCTTGATGATTTATCCACTGAGGCTGCGCTCCAGAAGCAAGCAGTGACTCACCGGAGGGCGGGGAGGGTAGCGACTCGGAGGCGGGTATGGTCTCCTGTCTCTTCCCTTCCCAAGCGGCTGATGTATCATTTTAAGATGGCTCGTGATATTAAGGCTATTCGGGAGAAGCTTGATGTCATATCGAAAGAGAAGGAGGCTTTCAAGTTGGAAGTTGGCACCGAGATCAAAGCTCTTCGTTCTTTCAGGGAGACGGATGCCTGCCCACCCACAATTGTGATTGGGAGGGATGACGACAAGAAAAATATCATTGAGCTATTGGTGAATTGCAACCCAGAAGCCAACCTCTCGGTGGTTCCCATTGTTGGGATGGGTGGGCTGGGGAAAACCACCCTTGCTCAGCTTGTATATGATGACGAACAAGTTCAAGATCACTTTGATGTCAAAGCTTGGGTCTATGTTTCACAGAGCTTTGATGTCAAAATGATTCTCCTAAAGATGTTGGAATCCATAACTCATCAGAAAGTGGGGGATCTCATGTCAGATGCTTTACAAGCTCAATTCCGAGGGAAAATCGAAGGCAAGAGGTTTTTGTTTATATTGGATGATGCTTGGGAGGAGAGCAGGCGCAGTTGGGAGGATTTGGGAAGCTATTTGGCGGTCGGTGCTCTTGGAAGCAAAGTGCTGGTGACTACTCGATCCACTAGAGTGGCGGCGTTTGCTGGTGGAGCTCTGCAGTCTAGAACAAGTACCAGTAGCAGCATTGTGGAACCTTATCTCTTGAAAGGCTTGTCAGAAGATGAGAGTTGGCAAATATTGGAGGAGAAGGCCCTCCCAAGACAAGTCCCAGCAGAAGTACAATACATTGGTAAACAAATACTGAGACAATGTGGCGGAGTTCCTCTCGCCGTGAGCACCATAGCTGGTGTGTTAGTAGATTCGGAAGATCCAAAGATTGAGTGGCCATCTTTTCTAGAGAAGGGACTTTTGAGCATCATGAATGAAGGAGGGGAAGTTTCTATTACGGCCACACTCCAACTCAGCTTCAATCTTCTCCCGTCTCATATGAAACATTGTTTTACTTATTGTGGATTGTTTGAAAAGGGGTTTGAATTCGAGATTCCAATGTTGGTTCGATTTTGGGTGGCACAAGGGTACATTGAGTCAGAAGATAAAGGCTATGATTGCTTCAAAACATTGTGGTGGAGGTCATTTTTCCAAGAGGTGGAGATGGATGATTTAGGAAATTTGTCAAGCTGCAAAATGCACGGTTTGATGCACGACTTGGTCGATTCAATAGCCGGAGAAAATATCAAAAGAAGTTCAAGTGTTCTTAAACATGTTCCTCCAAAGGTTCGTCACTTGTGCATTACTAAAGAAGGTAATGATAATCCAAGACAAGAAGACCATGGTGGTGGTGATGAGCTTGGAAGTACAAGTAAGGTGCGAACTCTAATATGTTTCAAACCTCTTTCAGACAAAGAACTTGAGCAAGTCCTCAACAACTTCTTACACTTGCGTGTATTGGTGATTGTTGCACGATATTCATCTTATGAAAATGCTTATATGTCGTTGAATCTTGTTGGCAAGTTGAAGCATTTAAGATATCTTGGTATGTTGAATTTCTACAATATGAAAAATCTTCCAAAATCGATCGTTAACTTGGTTAATCTGCAAGTTCTTAACCTCCTTGATTGCTGGTCACTAGAAGAACTACCAAGGGATATTAAGAAGCTTGTTAATCTGAAGCATCTTGATCTTGATCGAGACAGTTGGAAAAATTTGTCCCATATTCCGAAAGGGATTGGTGAGTTGAAGTTTCTCCAAACTCTACCATTCTTTGTAGTGGGGAAGAGAAGCAATTCTAGTGGTAATGACGAGATGGTCAGTGCAGGGTTGGATGAGTTGGAAAGGTTGAATGCATTGCGTGGAGAGTTGACCATCAAAGGCCTGGGAAATGTCCACTCTCCAAAGAAAGGTGTTTATGTCTTCAAGGAGAAGCTACATCTTCAGTCACTTGTTTTAGATTGGAGCCGAGATGATGATAACAGTGATGGTGATGATGTCAGGTCTTCTCGTGATGAAGGAATACTGGAAGTTCTTTGGCCACACCCTAATCTAAAGAAATTGAAGATACATGGTGATGGTGTTTATGAAGGTGCGAAACTTCCAAGTTGGTTGTCTACCCTCACGAATTTGGTTGAGTTCTCATTAAGTAATTGCAAGCGATGTGAGTACCTCCCCGCTCAATTGCATCATATGTCGAGTTTAAAGACGCTTACAATGTTAAATTGTCCAATGCTGAAGGGCATCAATAATGATGGTGATCATTGTGATTCTTCTCCGGACAACTCAACAACAAGATTAAGAACAAAGGAAAAAGATGCCGACGAATGGCCGCAGTTTCGATGTCTTATCGACTTGCGCATTCGGGCTTGTCCAAGGCTAACTCGGCTGCCCACATTCCCTACAGTTGAAGGTGAGTTGGAGTTATCATCTGCGACGAACTCAGCACCACTTGCTCGTACCATGGAGATGAAAATTAGGAGAGGAGGAGGGGAAGGAGGTGTTGATACAACTGTTCGTCCTTCTTCTTCATCCCTAATCCACCCACTCTCCAAGTTGTCCAAGTTGATCTTGGATGACATAAACGATCATCTCCCATTCTTATTTCATCATGATTCAAGTAGTTGTCTCGTCTCTCTTCAGAAGTTAAGGATTTCCTGCCTCAATCGAGTTGTGAAGCTACCGGGTTCGATGTGTTCCAGTACATATCTAATGGAGATCGAATTATATCGTTGCGAAATGATAGAGTATCTGCCACCCCTACATGAACTCCCACGGTTGAGGAATCTAAGAATTAGAAGATGTCCGAAGCTGAAGGGATGTTGGTGGAAGAAGGCGAAAGGGGAAAATCATCATGGTGGTAGTGATGATTATTATAACTTTAACCCTTCAATGAAAAGAAAGGAAGAAAAAAAGAAAAATGAGGAGACTGAGGAGTGGCCCCATTTCCCTTGTCTTACCACTTTACGCATTTCAGATTGTCCAAAACTGACTCGGATACCTCTGTTTCCAACCGTTGAAGGCACCTTGTCGCTGGGAAGCAGCACAGAGGCACTAGTGCGGACAATGAAGATGAAACCAGTAGTAGCTGCTCATCATCATCTTGACTCTCGACAAAGTTCTTTTACTTTGTTGCCCGGGAATGCCTTTGTCACTCCGCTCTCTAAGGTGACACAATTCTACATTAGTGATATGAAGGAGTTGGTATCTCTACCGGAAGGCCTCCACAACATCACTTCTCTTCGATACTTGTCAATTTCTAAGTGTCCAAGATTAGCATCTCTTCCTCCTACAATGCGAGACCTCGCCTCTTTACAAGAATTACAGATTAAGGAGTGCCCACTGTTGAGAGAAAGATGCAGAAGAGGAGAGGGTGAAGATTGGCCCAACATTTTCCACATCCCCAACATACAACTGGACGGAGATGCTCTCCAATAATTCATCGGCAGTGGTTTGCAGAGTCAGGGTTTCCCGTGATCAGGAAATTTGATATCCGGTAATATTCTTCTTCTTCTTCTTCTTCTTCTTCTCCCACTTCGCTTTCTCTCAAGCCTTTTTGTGGTATCAATCAACTTGTTTTCAGTCACATGATGATTAGGTTATTCTACACTAGCTCTTTGCCCGCGCTTCACCGCTGTATGAAACTAATTACATTTAAATTTTTATTCACTTATTTATTGATTTAGTTAAATTAAATAATTCATAAAATAGTCGGTAAAATACTTTATAAGCTTTAAATAAGTTCTTAATTATTATAGGTACTAATAAAGAATTTTTATTTAATATCGTTGTTTCAGCAAGATGATCCAGGTTTCAGGTTGGGGCCACTCTTTCATGAGATCAATTTCACATCCATTTATATTTAAAGTTAACTAAATGGGCATCTACGCTACACTACTATTACATTCAATCCACCTGCTGTTGAATTTGAGTTTTCATTCCATTGTAGATATCCTAGATTCACCTACACACTTTTGGTGATCATGTTGAGTAAGAGGAGCTGACAGAGGCTGGTGCAACCGTGGCAACTCAGGTGGTCGTCTTCGACCTGATATCTTTGCTTTCGACGGACTACCTGTAGATGTGTCTGGCGATAATGATGGTGATTGGATATTAGCTGGAGTGACGAACAGCCTACCCTTCAAGTCGCTTCTTCAACATGGCTTACTTAGTTATCATTATTGAATTTTGCACTTATTCTGCCGGGACTTGAGGTTGCGGCTTCTAGCAGCAGGAAGAATTCAGTGGTGGTGGTTGGCAGGATTCGGGAAATCTAATATTCGGTAATATTCTTCCTCTTCCACTTCGCATTTCTCTGTTTTTGAATCAATCTACTTGTTTGCAAACACATGATGATTAGGGTAATCTAATGTACATTAGTAATAGATAATCCCCACTTTGATGATGTTGTATTGATAAATCTCAATTGGTCTATGAGAACTGGGTTACTATCCATTTTCAATGGACATAACTACTTTGTTCCTACATGGAAGTAGTGTTTCTGAGCCTCTGTTCTGGGCTTGGATTTCAATAAAAGGAGTTTAGGACCAAAAACATATGGTCTTCTTGACGCTCTTAAGTTATTTCGATCTCTAGCATGTTGTCTCTTTTCTTAAAATTTAACCTGTGCAGAAAATTTCCGCAGGAGATGGATCAAATATGACCTCGAATTCACCAGTTCCTTGGAGAAAGAAAACAAACGAAGATGAGTTTTGCTCGAAGTGTTCCGACATGTCTGACAACCCAATCCATGAGAACAACGGTAATGGAAGCTTCAATGAATAGTTTTTTTACTTTCATTATTCGTATTCTAGCTGAAAGCCATACCCTGCGTGGCATCAGGGGAATTGATTGGTTCCTTCCTTCTTCGGTGGATTGCAAACTTTCTTCGGTGGATTGCAAACTTCCTTCCTTCTTCGGTGGATTGCAAACTTTCTTCCTTAGCTCCAAGTCATTTTCATTATTCGTATTCTAGCTGAAAGATATACTCTGTGTGGCAGTCAGGGAACAGGTTGGTTCCTTCTTCTTCTGGAAAGATTGGTACTCTTCTTACTTAGGAAAGCTCCAAGGCCCTCACTTGCTTTTCTCGTTCACGATATTATAAACCGTTCATGTTCTACTCTTTTCTTTCTCTGTTTTCCAGATCCCCTGCATTTCCTCTGTTTTTCCGCCCAAAGAAATGTCTGAATTCATCGTGAACAAAATCCTTGGCAAGTTGGGCAGCTTCTTATTCGACCAGCTCCTACTCCTGTGGTATCTCAAGCCTGTGATCCTAAAACTCGAGACGACACCATCAGCTCCATCAAGGCACTGCTTCTCGGCGCAGAGGAGAAGCAGTCCCACAACAACCAAGTTATATACAATCTTGATGATCTGCTTGACGATATCTCAACTGAGGGCCTGAGGCTGCACTCCGTCAGCAAGCAGTAGCTCACAAGGAGATGGAGATGGGTGTGGCTGCTCTCTAGTCTCTTCCCTTCCGAAGCAGTTGATGTATGAATTTGAGATGGCTCGTGGTAATAAGGCTATTCGGGAGAAGCTTGATGTTATGTCGAAAGAGGAGGAGACTTTCAATTTCGGAGTTCGCACTGAGAATGGAGGCCTTGCTGATTCTTGCCCAGACCCCTTTGAATGAAGCGAACATTTCAGTTGTCCCTATCATTGGGACGGGTGGGCTAGGCAAGACCACTCTTGCTCAGCTCGTATGATGCCGATCAAGATAAAGGTCACTTTGATATAAAAACTTGGGTCTATGTTTCACAAATGTCTATGTGAATATGTTGCAGTCACCGATTATAGATGCAACTCATTTAGTTGAACTCAATGAAATTAAGCACTCTATTTGATGTTCTTGATCTTCTCTTGATTGATGTTATTGATCGCATGTAAATAAACCAATCATCTCTGCTAAAGTGAACTCAGAACTGTTTGGTAACCTGCGAAAGCCTGCTGCAGTGCTGCTATCTGCTACTTCTTTGAACTGAAGCAGAGAGCAGCATAACTATATTTTCTTGATTTAATCCCAAACCACACAGTCAAGCAGACATTTCCCAGGTACAAGATATATATGTACAAGGAACCAGAAAAATCCCTACAACCTACTTCATGCTTGCTCCAAGACCACTCGCCTGTGTCTAGGAATTGTACAATATGATTCACCATCACTTGTTTTTGCGCTCTCTCTGTACCTTCCTTTCCGAGGCCTGATTTCAGAGCTGTTGTGGACAATGAATTTCAGATAGAGGAAGGTGGGTTGACAGTCTGACGCCTTCCTACCAAATTACAGGTGAGCATTTGTGTTAGGTAGCTATTGTTACCCTTTATTCTCCCCTCTTTGCCTTCCTTTATATAGAGAACGGTCAGATTGCAATTTTGGGTATCCAATAATAGGTGTCATCATCTTTTTTGTGCTATGATTCTTGAACATCGAACCATTTTGCCTTATCTTGTGAACATTGAAACCATAAGCATATCTATTTGAATCTCTAAAACGAACAGCAGCTTCTGATGATTTCATTTGACTTTCTTGGGTAGAGGGGATAAGGATTGAAGGGAGCAAGGAATTGAATAATTGATGAGGTAGGGCACATCTTATTCAATCATTGAAATTTGCATCGAGTTGGACCCAGAAATTTTAATTCCGTGAAAGCTCAGTCTTTATGACTCTTGTTTTGCTCTTGCTTTGCTACGTACCCTGCTTCCCCCCTTGGCTCTTGGTTAGAATTTCCTTGCTCTCTGATTTGAGGTTGTTGTTTCTCCCCAGCTTCCCCCCCATAACATGGCTGCTGAAACCATTCTGATCCCTGTTGCCAAACAAATCATTGCCAAAGCAGCCGACTTGGCCTTGGAGCAGCTTGGGCTCATTTGGAATTTCAAACCCGAGCTCTGGAAACTCAAGGCCACCGTCTCCACCATCCAGGCCGTGCTCCGTGATGCTGAAGAGAAGCAGTCCCACAACCACCAAGTCAAACTCTGGCTAGATAAGCTCTCCGACGCGATGTATGATGCCGATGATCTGCTTGATGATGTGTCCACCGAGGCTCGTCGGAAGGCCATGACTGCGACAACTACTAATTGTTGGAGCCTGGTATGCTTTCTGTTCTCTTCACTTCCTGAACAGTTGGTGTATGATCTTAAGATGGCTCATGCTATCAAGGGCATTAGGGAGAAGCTTGATGACATATCGAAAGACAAGGATACCTTCCATCTGGAAGTAGTTCATAGTACTGAGGAGGACGAAGCCCTTCCTTCCCGAGAGACGGATTCCTGCCCACCCACTATTGTTGTTGGGAGGGAAGAGGATAAGAAGAATATCATTCACCTGCTACTACTGCTGAATTCCAACTCTGAAGTCAACAATGTTTTGTTCGTCCCCATTGTTGGGATGGGTGGGTTAGGGAAGACTACTCTTGCTCAACTCGTATTCGATGACGATGAAGTTGCCGCGCACTTTGATATCAAAGCTTGGGTCTATGTTTCTCAAAGTTTTGATGTCAAAGCGATTCTCGGAAAGATGCTACGATCGATAGACCGTCAAAATCAGGCATGTCTCGAGTTAGATGATTTGCAAGCTCAACTAAGAGAGAAAATCAAAGACAAGAGGTTTTTGTTTGTGTTGGATGATGTTTGGGAAGAGAGCGTTGAAAGGTGGGAAACTTTAGGAAAATATTTGACTGTTGGCGCCCTCGGCAGTAAGGTGCTGGTGACTACTCGATCCACTAAGGTGGCCGAGGTTGGTGGCCGAGCTCTAAAGTCGAGAACAAGTACCAGCATCGTGGAATCTTATCATTTGAAAGGTTTGTCAGAAGAAGAGTCCTGGAATTTATTACTGACAAAGGCCCTCCCTAGAAAAATTCCACAAAACTCATGTGTTGAAGAAGTTGGAAGGGAGATACTAAGGAAATATGGTGGAGTTCCTCTTGCTGTAAACACCATAGCTGGTATGTTAATGAGTTCGAAACATCCCGAAATTGATTGGCCGTCATTTCTGCACAAGGGACTTTCTGAAGAAGAAAATCCTACCATATCAGCTCTTAAACTAAGTTTCAATCATCTTCCTTCTCATATGAAGCATTGCTTTGCTTACTGCAAACTATATCCGAAAGGTTATGAATTTCATGTTAAATCATTGGTTCAGTGTTGGGTGGCACAAGGGTACATTGAGTCTGAAATTAAAGGCTTAGACTGCTTCATAATGCTATGGTGGAGGTCATTCTTCCAGGAGGTGGAGATGGATGAGCTGGGGAATATGCTAACATGCAAAATGCATGATTTGATGCACGACTTGGCCGATTCGGTAGCTGGAGATAAGATCATTAGAAGTTTAAGTTCCACTGCTCTAATAAATATTCCTTCAAAGACTCGTCACTTGGCAATATACGAAGATGATGACAGTGATGCGGGAGAAGAAGCTGATGCTGCTGTTGCTGATGAGTTGGAAAATGCTAGTAAGGTGCGGACTTTGGTATGCAATAAACCTCTTTCAAAACAAGAGTTTGAAAGAGTCCTCTGCAAATTCATACGCTTGCGAGTGTTGATTGTGTTTGAAGATAGATCAGATGCTTCAACACTATTGCACTTTGTTGGTAAGCTGAAGCATTTAAGATATCTTGTCATTCATTGCCATGGAATGGAGATGCTTCCAGATCCCGTTACTAACCTGCTTAATCTACAAGTGCTTGTGCTCAAATATTCCAGATCATTAAAAGAACTACCAAGGTATATTAGGAAGCTTGTTAATTTGAAGCATCTTGTTTTCGACGAAAATATGGACCTTTTGACCCATATGCCAAAAGGTATTGGGGAGTTGAAGTCCCTCCAAACACTGCCAACTTTTATGGTGGGTAAGAGTAGCAGTAGTAGTAATGACAAGACGGTCGGGGCTGGGTTGGATGAGTTGAAAGGATTGAATGCATTGCGTGGAGAGTTGAACATAAAAAACTTGGCAAATGCTGAGTTTCCAAGCACAGACGTTTATGTCCTGAAGAAGAAGCTACATCTTCAGTCCCTTATTTTAGATTGGAGCCCTCAACGTTATGTAAGTGATGATGATGACAATGTTAGATCTACATCTACTCATGCTGAAGGGATATTGGAAATGCTCTGGCCACATCCTAATCTGAAAAAATTGATGATACGTGGTGATTATTATGGACTGTTGGAGCTTCCCAACTGGTTACCCAACTGGTTATCTAGCCTCGTGAACCTGGTTGAGTTCTCACTAATAGATTGCCTGCAATCCGAGTACCTTCCGCCATTACATCAGCTGCGGTGTTTGAAGAAACTAAAAATTGACAACTGTCCAGAACTGAAGGGCATCAATAATGATGCAGACAGTGGTGATCATTGTGATCCTTCTACGAACAGCTCAACTACAGAGGAAAAGGAGGACAAATGGCCCCACTTTCACTGTCTTGCCTACCTATCTCTTCAGAATTGCCCAAAGCTAACTCTGATGCCCACTTTCCCATCTATTGAGGGTGAGTTAAGGTTGGTCGCAACGAGCTTAAAACCACTAGTGAGGACGATGAAGGTGAGGAGAGGAGGACGACAAGTTGTTCATTCAGATGAATACACCAATTCTGCATTTGAGGAATATGATGATGCAGATACTGCTCTTCTTCCATGTCCTTCATCTCACTTGGTCCGCCCACTCTCAAAGCTGACCAACTTGACGTTGAACGGAATTGATGATGATCTTGAGTTGCTACCTGACGAAGATTTTAGCAGCAGTTGTCTAATCTCTCTTCTAAAGTTATGTGTTTGGAGCTGTTCACATGGTCTGAAGCTACCTAGTTCTTTGTGCTCCAGTACAAGCCTGACGGTGATAACGATAGGTTGGTGTGATAGGTTAGAGTACTTGCCACCCTTACATGAACTCTTATCTTTGAGGGAGCTATTTATTGAGGGTTGTCCATCGTTGAAGGGATGTTGGTGGAAGAAGAAGGGGAATCATGATCATAGTGACCCTTTAATGGAGGAAGAGGATGGCGAGGAGGCGGACGAGGAAGAGTGGCCCCATTTCCATTGTCTTTCGAGCTTGAAAATAAAAGACTGCCCAAACCTGACTCAGATGCCCCTGTTCCCGAACCTTGAAGTTGAGTTGAAGCTATGGAGAACCAGCACAGAGGCACTAGTGCGAACAATGAAGATGAAAGTAGCGACCACAAATCATCATGATTCTCAGAAACATACTTCTTCAGCTGCAACAGTGACGAACTCCTATTATTCTTCTTCCTCGTCGTCTTGCACGGCCCTTGTCACTCCTCCGCTCTCTAACTTGACAAAGTTGTCTATCCGTGGAATTGATGAGCTGCATTATATACCCGAAGATGGCCTCCGCCACCTTACCTCTCTGCAAGACTTTGTGATTAAGAACTGTTCAAGTTTAGCATCGCTGCCTCCAGCAATGCACTGCCTCGCCTCTCTACAGACACTGTACATTCGGAGGTGTCCGCAGTTGGCAGAGCGATGCAGGAAGGAGGAGGGTGAAGATTGGCCCAACATCTCTCACATTCCCAACATACTACTGGACGGAGAGGCTCTCCAGTATTATTCAGGTTTGGGTTCCTTAAAAATGTAATATTTTTTGCAACAAGTTTAGCTAGCTAGCTGATCTTCCCTCTTCTTGACGCTGACAAGCTTCTTCTTCTTCCATGGTATGCAGAAGAGGAGAGCGACGATTAATGCTCTATGAAGAATTGTTTGGGAGAGATGTAATTATATTTTTGTCGCTCTCTGAAGTTGAGAAGAAGAGCAGAGCCTTCAACAGGTAATCAAAGCTCAAGTCTGCTCTTTTCTGTCATGAAAACAAGCCCCATAGGAGAATTTATCAAGAGGATGTTAGCTAGACCCTTGAACTCTGCTATAGTAGATTGTCGATTTTTTAGTTATTTAATAAAATCATGCAACTTAAAACCATAAATTTTTGCTGTTAGCTATACGCTTGAACTCTGGTACAGCAGATATTTCTCAGATAGAAGATATGTACAAAGGGAGCCAAAAGATCCCTACAACCTAGTTACTGCCTTGCTTCAGAAACTCTTATCCCTACAGTCTACTGATATAAGAAGACAGACAAATGGAACAACCCTTTATTTTCTATTGGCCTCCCATCTCCTAACCTGAACCACTGCGTGCAACTTGGTGGCCACCATAACCAACAATACTCAGAAGTTCCAGCGATCTAGCTGCCGCCTTGCTTGGAACATGTCTTTTTGTGCTTTCTTCCACCGATAGAATATAGGGCAATCTCGACTGCTCTCCCAGTTGTTGAAATGTAAAATTGAAAGAGTAAGTCCAACCATCATTCAAGAAAGAAGCATGATGTGACATGGTTTAAATGAAAGAGAACGGTCCGTACCTAGTGCGGAGCACATCTTGATGAAGAGAGCCTTCAGCCTTGGCATTCCTGCACTGTGTTCACAAGCTCTAGGAGAAGAACAATCTCTGTGAGAGAACACATAGAAAGGCATGTTGTCGTGTTAGATAGATAAACAAGCAAGAGATAATATTGACATGTCTTTTACCATGAGAAACACTCTTGCAGTACAACTCGGCTTCTCTTCTTTTGCAGGGAGTGCACAGAGTTCGTTGAGAATCCCTGGTTCATTATAGCATGTGGAGAAACTCTGTTACATTACAACTCCTGGAGCCAAATATCCACTCGCAACTACTCTGAAAATTTGCTACCGAGAAGAATGCATAGTATCCAAGACATACTTCATTACTGCTTTGCAACCAAGACAAGTGAGTTGTTGTTTCACAAATCTCTTTATGTCTGATGTGATCCCCGCTGAGTAGTTCATCTTTGGCATGCTTCAAAATAGGCACAACGGTATGTAGAAGTGGTTGCATTGCCAAAAGCTTGATATTGGTGCCATTCAGAAGATTGCAACCAGGCTGCGTCCAAAAACTCATTACACAGACCTCTTGGAACTGTTTTGTCAGGTAATATTTACTGTCTGTTGGAATATTATTCTCTAGCACATATATGGGATCCTCAGACTTCTCATAAGCGTGGCGAAAATAGCAGATCACTGTTGGTTTTGATTAAAGAATTCTACTTTGAAATTTGAATGCGAACCTTGACACTCTACTGATCTCTAATGGACCATTATCTGTGTTCTTATCCACTCAATAGCGGAATATAGAGGAAAACACTACCTTATTTGCCCCTTTTGCAGATTCTATTATGAGTTTATGACATAAGCAACTCTATGTGAATAAAGTTGTGTTTTGTGTGTGTGCATTGTAAATGGTGAGGGGGCAAGAGTACGTAATTCAACCCTTGCTGACAAAGTTGTGTTTCCTTTCATTCTATGTACCTCAGATTCTGAGGAAGACAGTGATTGATGCTGAGTTCAGGAGATAATCGCGGCAGCTTTTGTCTACAAGTTGAGGAACTGCAGCATACAGAGCCTGCCACGAGGAAAACCAGTTCACTAGTTCCTTGGAGAAAGAAACAAAAGAAGAAGAAGATTGAGAGACTAGATTGAATTTTGCTTGAAATCAATCAGTGAGAATAACGGTAATGGAAGCTTCAACGAATAGCCTTTACTTTTCATACTCTGCGTGGCAGCTGGGGAATTGATTGGTTCCCTCCTCCTTCCGGTAGATTGCAATCTTCCTTACTGAGCCAAACTTTTAAGTCCGTTTCATAATCTGTATTCTAGCTGAAATCATTTATGTTCTACTCTTTTCTTTGTCTGTGTTCCAGCTCATTATGTATTCGTGCCTGATGCCATCGTGAACAAAATCCTAGGCAAGTTGGGTAGCTTCGCATTCGACCAGCTCCTACTCCTGTGGTATCTCAAGCCTGAGATTCCTTAAACTCGAGGACGACACCATCAGCTCCATCAAGGCAACGCTTCTCGACGCAGAGGAGAAGCAGTCCCACAACAACCAAGTCTAACTCTGGCTCGAGAGGCTCTCTTGACGTGATGTACAATGTTGAGGATCTGCCTGACGATTTCTCAACTAAGGGTGCACTCCGGTAGCGAGCACTAGCTCGCAAGGGGATGGAGATGGGTATGGCTGCTCTCTGGTCTCTTCCCTTCCCAAGCAGTTGATGTATCACTTTAAGATGGCTCGTGGTGTTAAGGCTAATCTGGAGAAGCTTGATGTTATGTCGAAAGAGAAGGAGACTTTCAATCCGGGACTTCGCACTGAGAATGGAGCTCTTGCTGATTCTTGCCCAACCCCTTGTAATATCATTCGCCTACTGCTGAATTCCAATTCTGAAGCCAACAACATTTCGGTTGTCCCAATCGTTGGGATGGGTGGGCTAGGCAAGACCACTCTCGCTCTGCTCGTATTTCATGACGATCAAGTTAGAGCGCACTTTAATATCAAAGCTTGGGTCTATGTTTCACAGATGTATATATGAACATGTGTGCACTCCCTGATTATAGATGCAACTCATTTGTCTGAATTCAATAAAATGAAGCACTCTATTTGATTGATGTTATTGATCTCATGTCACTGTACTTTCATGAAAACAGTGTTTTTGGAAGGACATCTTCAGTCTGAAGCTAATCATCTCCTACTAAACTGAACTCAGAATTGTTTGGCATCTTGTGAAAGCCTGCTGGTTCTTTGAACTGAAGCAGAGTTCGTTCTGATTAAAATGTTCAGTTTAATGAGTGCTTCAACGGATATTTTAATAATACAGTGATCATTTTGAGCATTTACCCTGGAGAATTTGTTCGAACCGGGAAAGGAAAACTGTTTTCTCCCGGGAATATAATCAATATATACGCAGCGAGAGAAGGGCTGAGAAAGCCAATACGCAGAAACGCGAAGCGAAGGGGAGCTGCGAAAGAGTGAAGAATAGCAAAAACCCAGTACAGGAGCGCGGCAGACGACGAGGATGGGCGTGACAAAGGAGCAAGTTGAAGCTACTTTGAAGTCAAAGCTCAGTCCTTTGCATCTCGTAAGCCACCTGTCCTTTTGCCTTGCCTTTCTTTTTGGTCGGTTCTCTTTTGAGGGTTTATGAGTCGATTTGGATCCTTTCTGCCCTTGTCGGTTGTTTGATGTCTGATGATTAGTCGATCGAGTTTCTTTTGTAGCAGTAGATTCCTGTTTTCTGATGAAATGGTTTTCCCTGGAAACATCGTGAAAAAAGGATCAGAAAGGTTGCTGTAGGGTAGTCCGCTTGGTATGTAGCTTCTTCTATAGCTTTGCTCGGATTGGATTGGATTGGAATTTGGAAGATTTCCTGAATTGTATAGGAGCTATGAAATTTTGTTTCTTTGATAAATGTTAAGGCTGTACTGTAGTTAGTTAGAACTTAGAACTGTAGTTCTGCAATGATGTTGAATCATTGGACTGATGAGAGCTCTTGAAGTGTCCATTGCTGTATTGAGTGATTCGAATGTGAAAGTGCCATCTCTTCACTAAAGCTCTTAGCTTTCTAGAAACGAAGGTCATGGCGATCTCAATGCCTCAGTCATTGTGACTTGTGAGTAGTTTGTACCCGCGTTCTTGACCCAAAAGGATGGATCTTTCGCCTTTCATGTACCCGATTTGCCCATGATGCTGCTTCTCAACCCTAACTTCGACCAACTTTTTGCTGGTTAATTGCTAAGAATGGATTGGGATACTACAGTGTTTCAATTTGGTGTATCAAGTCTCTGTTTATCATGAACATGATGATAAGGATACACGCTATGTTAGCATCGTTTTCCCCCTTGTGTGATATGATATCATGGAAAACTGGTGGTGTTTGTATAATATTCGCAAGTTCTGCAGAATAGAAACTTCATTTGAGTTTATCACACTAGGTCAAGTAAATGTGGTATCTTGCTCGGTAAAACATGGAAATTACATGATTATATCGCGACAGATGAACATGGTGCTATATAAGGACTTCTGAAATGGCATGCACAAACATTATCAACCGAAAATTGCCTCCTCCTTTCTTTATCTTTGTCTGTAAGCTTAATAACCACAATCATCAACTAAACACACTGTTTGCTGTTTTCTTCTCCTCAGGATGTGAAGGATACATCTGGAGGGTAAGTCATGCATGATCCACACACATTCCTTCTATTTTAACTTCACTTGAAGCTTTTCATTCTGAATCTAAACTCTCTGCGATTGCTTTCCAGATGTGGTGCAAGCTTTGAAGTTGAGATAGTCACAGACCAATTCGAGGGGAAGAGGCTGCTCGAGAGGCATAGATTGGTAAACACAGCCTTAGCAGAGGAGATGAAGGAGATCCACGCTCTCTCCATCAAGAAAGCCGCCACTCCTGAACAGTGGAAACAGCAGCAAGAGCCGGAGAAACCCACGTCCGCAGCTGCCTGAACAGTTTGAAATACATGATCATGTACTCTTATTACTACAGTGGAGTAATTTCAGCTTTTGTTGCTCTCAGTTTCTAACTGGGATGGTAACCTTTTTGGCAGCTGCCCTTTGAATAAGGATTTTGCATAACCTTGTACTTGCACATATAAGTGTGTGTTTCTGTGGATGAATAGTCAAGAGAAGGCCAGTTCAAGTTGGGAGTTACAATCTTGGCTATGGCTTTCACCCTTCAGAAGTATAGATCCTTGAGCTGAAATTTTGGATGGAAGTGGTGAAATTTACTTTGGAGGGGAAATTAATGTTAGCCACATGCTGAACAGAGGTGTCCCAACCACCAATCCTCTGATTTCCCTTTATCCACAACCTCTGGCAAGAGAAAATAAAGTGAAATTTCAGGACAGAATCTATATCTTGGATTTCCTGGCATGTGGCAGATATAAAAGACACATAGGCTAATAAAATATTTTAGAGCAACGGTAGTAGTATTGTATCAAACTCAACCTACTCATCAGCAAATAAGCAAAGACAAGCATTTGGCGGGTTCTTCCTTTAAGGAGCTCTTCCTTCTTCTTCTTCTTCGTTGCTTGAGATGGCTACTTTGGTGAAGCTTGTGCATCCACCATCTCTAATGGCTTTTACTCACCAGCCATGGCAGCAACAAGCAGCCAAGTTTGGTGAGCTGCTAAAGTTCAGATTGATAAACCCTATAAAAACTGCAGCACAAAGTTCATCATCTACTTCCTCTTTGGAAGTTTCACAAATCAAGGAGAATTTTTCTCAAGCACTCCAGGGTATGTAATCTCCATCTTAACCTTCCATTCTTTTTGCCATCTTCAGTCCTTCAGTGATTCAAATATGTAAATGTGGAAATCCTACCAATAAGGGATTAACAGAGGGGTATTTGGGACAACATCTGGGAAGAAGTCTGAGATTCAGGAGCTGGTGCAGCAGCTAGAATCCCAGAACCCAACTCCAGATCCCACTCTCAATCTTCACAAAGTAGATACTAAATGGTATGGATCAATTGCTTTCTTAGTCCCTATACTATACTGTTTTAGCTCCATTTATTATGAACTTAGCAAATGAGGGTCGAATTGCCGAGTCATACCATCAATTTTTCAAATATGCAGTGCATGAGAGTCATGAAGAACATACTTACTAAACATTATTCTATTCTAACTGTAGCTAAGTTAGATGGAATTTTATATCAATAGACTAACGAGCACATTTTTGTTAAAACGGCTCGGTAATGGTTATATATTTGTGGGGAGTTTGAATCTTCGGGAAAGGTGGATGGATGTTGGAAGCTTATATACAGCACAATCAGCATAATGGGTGCAAAGAGAACAAAGCTAGGCTTGAGAGATTTCATCACCTTGGGTGACCTCTTCCAAATCATAGACGTAGCCGAGGTAGATACTCTGAAACACTAGGTCTTGACGTGATATCGGATTAGCTCAACAGCACCAAGTCAAAAGAGCTGATTTCTTTCTCTCTGTGTTTTTCAACTGTGATTGGAGAGCAAAGCAGTGAATGTGATAAAGTTCAACGTGAAGGGACTGAACCTGTTGAATGGTCAGCTGGCAATTGTAGCGTCCTTCAACATTGATTCCAAATCAGTTATGATCCCCCTTTTTCCACTCTCTTATATCACCTCTCCTCTCCTTCCTCTGCAGAGCAACATTCTGATATAATCCTCTCTTTTTTGTGTGTTGGTAGAGAGTTACAATTACATACAGAGAATCAACCATCACACCTGACCAGCTGATGAATTGCGTTCCAGAAGAACTATGACCTTCTTCTCAACATCTTCAACCCCGAGGGGTGGCTCGAGCTCACGTATCCTTAACTTTCCTCACCATGAGAAACATAAAAAAGTTTACTTCTTTACTGAAAGTTATAAAAGAAAGTGGTTTACTGTTACTTGTTCTGTGTGTTGGTGATGCAGTGGACATAAAGGGGTTTTTTACCTTAATCTTATGGGAACAGATATGTTGATGATGAGATGAGGATAGGAAGGGATCAAAAGGGTAATATCTTTGTCTTGGAGAGATCTGAAGAACAGATTTGTTTGTAACACTTAGTTTTTGCTTAGCAAAGTTGGATGCTGTTCATGGCTAATTTTTCAGAAGGTTATACAGACTGTAGACACATAACTCATTGATGTTTACTCATTTGTATAGACATTTTTGTTATTCTATGGAATCAATGGAAGCTAATGTGACTGAGCTCCTACTGTATTGATGTTTAGAGACCAAAAAAGTTAGTAAGGTTTGTTTTGGGTTTATGCATTTATCCGTTATCAACAACAGTGACTAACCTCTTATTGCGGGTGACTGAACGATACAAAATCATCCAAAAAAACTAGTTTATTCCAATCAACTAAGATCGAACCCTGATTCCACAATTGATTTACAGGGTAATCAATCATCATGTCACAATCACGTATTATGAGATGATCAACCATCATGTCACACTTATTCAAATCGAACAAGTAAAACACAACTAAAATGGCTGGCAAACTAAGGGTGGACCGGCACTAGTTACCCGCCCGGTCTCGATGATCCACTTTGCCGAAATTCGGATCCTTTTCTAACCCGGGTCACGGTGGCGGAAGAAAAAGAAACAAGTACGAGATGCTGCCGAGATCCATTCCCCCGCCTGAAACTGCAAAACCTCAGTAAACCCTCCCATCGTTCCGCCTTCCAAAAACTCCGGCCACTGACCGTAGCCGATTCAAGCAATGATCACCAGAAGCCGACGACTGCTATCTTCTCTCCTCTCGTCGACATCACTTCTCGCCAACGCGAAACCCACCTCGACCCCAATCCCATTCCCGCCATTTCAATCTTTGCAACTCCCCTCCTTCCACGGCGCCAATGGGGCATCTGGGTTTCCGGGTTCCCTTCGAAATTACAGCTTGTTGAGCTTGAACGACTTGAGGGACAACATACCCAGGAAGCAGAAGACCAGAAAGGGGCGCGGGATTGGGTCAGGGAAGGGGAAGACTGCTGGGAGAGGTCATAAAGGACAGAAAGCTAGAGGGACTCATAAGTTCGGATTCGAAGGTGGGCAGACGCCGATGCGCCGCCGTCTTCCCAAGAGAGGGTTTAAGAACCCTTTTAGCCTCACTTTCCAGGTATTGCTTTGATTAGTTGGTCAGTTTATTTCTCTGGCTGCCCAATTTCATTTGTCATTGAATAGCGGCAAGTTTTAGGATACAGAATGTTGGGTGGAACTAAGAAGTTCACGGCTTGCTCTGACTTCAAATGCATGTTTTTACTTCTTCTTCATAGGAACGAAGGCTTGAAAAGCTCACATTTTTAGTCCCATATGGTAATTATGGCTGCTTTATCTATTGGAAAATGAGAAATTTTCCGAAAGGCTGCAATTTGTAGGCGTTATCATCTCCATTGGGTTTGGTTTTGGCTGTGAATATGCCCATCTGTTATGTTGCGAGTTATATGGAAGGCTGCAGTTGGTACGGTTTATCAGCTCCATTGAGTTTGGTTTGGCTGTGAAGTTTCCTCCATTGATGGGTTTATATTGTGGTCGCATAAAGTTTTGATTTTGGCATTAATTAAGTTGAAATCTTCTTCCTTTTCAATTGCTATATCAGATTGTTATAGACTTAAGTTTTGCTATTCCTGTCACCAACCCTGTTCAAATTTTATCCAAACACAAAGTGCCCCTTTATCTCTGTTGTTATCTTAGCAGCTGAATTTCCATCCGTCAAATTAGAGAGAGGCGTGTCAGATATGGTAGTTACTATGTGTACTATCAGTATAACCCTTGAATGAAGCCTTGAAAGATACTAAATATCAACTCCAGAGCTGTCCAACTTTTGCCACTTATTGCCGTCCTAGAGTCCTTTTTCATTCGCACTACTTTCCAGAAGATACAATATCCCTTGTGTTGGTGCCTTGTACCTTTGGAGGACAATGGTTATGTCTCCTACTCAATACCGTTGCTTGTTCAAAAGAGGAGATAAAATCATTTTTTAGCTAGATGGGGGAAATCATTTTTGCATCACTGAATTGTCACCAGTTGGGAGATGTAGAATTCTTACTTGAAATTATCATAGTTTGTATGTCTGCCTCCAGTTCATAACTTCTACTTGTAGTTTGAGACAGTCTCCTGCTCCTTTCTCCCAATTCAGTTGTTTATAGTTTGGTTTCTATATATTTTCTTTGTCAGCCATGTGGCCTGGGAAAGATTGCTAGGCTTATAAATGCTGGGAAGATAGATTCTCATGAACTGATCACAATGAAGACACTCAAGGTAATTGCAAATGTTGGCCCAACTCCCACTTTAGCCTACATGCATAAAATGTGCTGGAATTTGTGTTGATGGTTTGCAATTGTTATAATAGGATACTGGAGCCATAGGAAAGCAGATAGAAGATGGAGTAAGACTCATGGGACGTGGCTGTGAGCACATTGTATGGCCTATCCATATTGAGGTAAATCTCATTACGATGTTTTTCTTTTGTTTGTGTATGTACATTTAGGATGTACTGCTGTATATAGTTTAAATCGGTAAAACCTCTCGAGGCTTACGGTTAATCACAGGTTGCATTTGTTTGCAAACATCATGATGAATAGGAAGTCGCGTGCATATGGAATTTGTACGTAGGCTTGCTTCTTTTAGATTTGATCCTGAATTCTCTGGTTAGATAACTTAACTTGCTGCCAAGCTCAGAATTTCTTGCAGTCAGCTTGGAATGACTATCATAATACTGGACCTTAATTAGCTTACATGGATTAACAGCTCATTAGAGAGTCTAAGTGGCCTATTAATTTGTAACTTGGATAAGTTGTTACATTGATCTTTAAAAATTTGGCAAAAAGCTTGACAGAAATGGAGATGACTATTATAGTTGTTTGACATGTATTTGAGAACGCTATCAATGGTATCATTATAGCGTTATTGTCGCTGTATATGTATTCATTGACCTATCGCTTGAGTATGTGGGTTATCGCCTTTCATTGTTATAGATGCCTTACAGTGTGGAAGTGAACTTCACTGCCGTCAACCTGTTTTTGCAGGTGTCAAGTGTGACCGTAAGAGCCAAGGCAGCCGTCGAAGCAGCTGGAGGATCGGTCCGACGGGTCCACTACAACAAGCTGGGGCTGCGAGCACTGCTGAAACCAGAGTGGTTTGAGAAGAAGGGTAGGCTTCTGCCCAGACCAGCTAGACCTCCTCCAAAATTGAAGCACAAAGTCGATAGCATTGGCCGATTGCCCGCGCCAACCAAGCCAATCCCATTTTACGTTGAGGCGAACGAAGGTGACGAGAAGGTGGCGGGTGCAGAAGAATCTCCCCAGCTCACTGCTTGATCAACCATCTTTTTGGTTTCAGTTCCTTTTCTCCCCCAGTTTTTTTGGTTAGGAGAGCTGTCGCTAGAAATAATAGCCATCAGTCACAAAAGCTGCAGTCTTTGATTACTCTGTCTGTGCCCTTGGCCCTTACTGATAAGTGATAATCATCCTGTATGTTCTGCAGAAAAGGACCTCCAAAGCGTTTGTTTTGCTTCTCAACTTTCCTTTCATAAAAAGAACTTTCAGTTTTTCCATTACAAGTTACCAAATGGCAACACCTACCACGTTTTAGTAAGGTTTAACCGGTTCATACATCAAGATTATAGGACTAAGAATTTGTGCATTGCCGATTTGAAATGGACTATATTGTTTGTTAAATCATTTATCATTCGAGGCAATCAAATTATAACAACATACGAATTCGGGTAAGCCGGTTAAACCAAAGAAGATTATATATTTAACCCCTTTAGCCAAACCGAAATGGAAGGAAGACCCGACCCATTTATCACTCTTGATTCGTACTTGAGAAAGCAACCCCTCAGAAACTGTACTGTTGAGAGCAATGGCAAACACGGCGGCGGCGACGACGGATGAGAAACCCCCGATGCAGCAATCGGAGGAGAACCCACCACCTCCACATTCTGCCGAGAATCCGCATGTTCCCCAATCCTCTGAAACCCTGACCCTGAATGATGTCCCCGACTCACAAGACAGTGATTCAAATCAAGAAGATCTAACAAGCTCAGCGCCCATGATTTCGTTCTCGCCCACATCGGCCTCCTCTGCCCGCCGAATAGTCGGCGGCGGTGGCGGTTTGAAGGGGAAAAAGAGCAAGCGACTAATTGCGTCTAGGTTGAAGAAGATTCAGAAGAAGCTCGAGGCTCTCAACGAAAACCTCAACCCCATTCCATTCAAGCCCGCGAAAGATCTCGACTTTGATTCTCACGAGGTGCTTCTCACGCGGCTTGGCCTTTGGGACTTTGTCAAGCTCCAGTTCGACGCCAGCATTCGCATTGATCTCGTGGCGCAATTGATCGCCAGTTACGATCCGCAGCAGCGCGGTAGCTTCGTCAACGAGGCTCGGGTCAGGGTTAACCGTGCCGATTTGGCTCGCGCGCTCAAGCTGCCGATCAAGAAGGACAAGTTTTCGTCGGAGACTTCCGCGGGGGAGGTGAAAGAGAGCGAAGAAGCGATTGCGTTCGTTGACGAGTTGGTCTCGACTTGGATGCTATTGCACGACGACGATACGTGGTTGATGCCATTGGAGATTCACAATATGACTAGAATGATTAAAGATGGCAATTTTGAGAGAATGGATTGGGCTGGGTTGATTTGGTATATGGTTGAGAAGGAGTTGTCTGATGCTCCCGATCTAGGTAATTGTTACTATGCCTCGCACTTGCAGTGTTTGATTAAATCCCAGAAAGAATATATGTTGAAGGAAGAAGAAGCTTCTTCTCGGAAGGAGATTGATTTTAAGGAAGAGGAAGAAGACGAAGATGAGGAGGTGGTTGTGAAAACCAGTGAGGATGTGGATCATATCATGGTGGTGGCTAAGGCTGAAGAGGGCAGCATTGAATTGAGCTTGGGAGGGATGGATAATGCTGCTGTTGGGGAAGGTGGTGGAGCTAAAGACGAACATGGCAGCAAGGACGATGCTGTGCCGCAACAAGAACAGGCGGTAATGGTTTTTGAGGAGAGTAAAGTGGCAGTTGAAGAAGAGCATGGCCAGTGGTTGAATAGCAGTGTGAATGAGAATTTTCTACAGCAGTATAGCATTGTGAAAGCTGAAGATGGCATGGAATGTGAAGCGGAGAAGAAGCAAGAAGTGGAAGTAGATGATTATGCAATGAAAGAACCAGAGCAAGGAGAAGAGGTCGATGATGAGGAGTCCGTTGAAGAAATGGATTTCTACCACGCACCCCAAGAGCACGATGCATTGGGTAGTTTAGCTTCTGAGAATCTTCTTGGAGCTATGGAATTAGCACAAGCTCCCCTCACTTCAGATATGCAGCAGCTTCATGCTGACCTCTCTTCGGGGGAATTTCTGGCAGCATCTAGGATTGATATAGAAGCTAACCCTGGCAACTCCTCACGTTTTGGTACTGGGAATGATCTTAAAAGGGACATTAGGCATCTTGATGATGACGATGATATCCCTCATCATGCGTTTGACAAGAGAATGAGGACTGATGATGCGCCATGGGAGAGGAAGTCTTCTTCGGAAACTGGCATGTGCGTTGGACAAATACAGCATTGGTTGGAAAAGCTGAGGGTCGCCCAAATGCAAAAAGACCAGCTGTATCAGGAGCAGAGTTTAAACCAGCAGATGTTACTTAATGAATTGGAACGACGTGATGACACAATCCAGCTCCTGCACAAGATGAGGTATGAGGAGCAACAGAAGAGCCAGGCTGAAGTTTACAAGCTCGAGCGTGAATTGTGTATGATGGGCGATCTTTTGGAAGGGTATAGAAGGGCTTTGAAGGAGACGCATAGAGCATTTTCTGAATACAGAGCGAAATTCCCATCGCATGAAGAACCACTCTACAAGGATGCTGGCCCTGGAGGTCTTGTTTTGACTGCTGCGGAATTGGAGAAGCAGAGATTGATGGAAGAGGAAGAAGAAAGGTTGGAGCGTTTGTTTATTGAGAAGAAGTTTAAAGAATTCGAGGAGGAATGGATTGACAAGTTTGAAGGATGTAGAGACGGGGTTGAACTGTTGGGACATAGGTTGTTGGGTGGCGAGAAGAATGTCAAGCTTTTGATGGAAATGCATTTGAAGAAGCATAAGGCCCCTCAGGTTTCTGAATCTGCTCCTACCGAGTAGCGAGTTGTCAAATCTGTCAGTGTTTGATCTCGCTATCTGTGTAGGGTGAGATTGTGTCAATAGTTCTTAACTAGGAAAGATGCTAATTGGTGTTCTGTAGTACTGTGGTCATAGCAATTGATTGTTATAATGGAGTTTTTAAGTATGCAGGGGTAGAAAGTTGCATGAATCTCTTCTAGCCAGTCTTTTTGGATGGAAAACAATTCTTGACTATCCAATTGGATGGTTCATCAATATATTGTTGCATTACTAGTTCTGAGTTCTTCTTTGATGTTTGACCCTCTTGCTTGTTCCCTCTACTTGGTATGTCAAATGTTGGAAGAGCATGTTTACTGATGTTATAGTTGATCTGCTGTACTTCCCAGGGTGCTTCTTTCATGTCCCTATTGCACAATGCAAAATCTCGTCATGGCTGTGGTTCAGGCTACAGCTTTTGTAGGGGGGGGCCAGATTAGCATCCTCATTTTTATGTTTCCATTTTGGTCACTTCAGTCTCCGCTGCATTCTTGTTGACATCTATTGCCTGCAGAGCCCAAGTAGGTCTTAGATTGGAGGCTTTCCTCACTCTGCTCATGTGTCATATGGTTGAATTAGTTCTCTTTTGGGCAGTTCTTCGGAACTTCGAAGCTCAGAAGATTCACAGCTTCAGTCAGAGGGTTACATGAATTATGTGTTCCCTTAGGTGGTCTGGTTCTGCATCGATTTGTTAGAATTGTAAAACTAGACCACGATTATCTGATGCAGTAAGACGAGAGCCCTTGCAGTTGCAGTGTTCAACTGGAGCTACTTTTGATTCCGAGTTGATAACTAATAAGAAAGTTAGTTCCCATATGGTGAATCTTTTGTCTTTGAAACTTTTACGCTGCTGATGTCGATCTTCATGCTCCTCTCTGAGTCTTGGCCTTGTTTGTTGATGCTCTGATGGTGGCAAAGCCAGCTAGAACACCTCCATAGTTGATAGCATTGGGCAATTGCCTGAAAATGAAGGTGGTATGAAGGCAGTGGCTGGTGGGGAGCTGGGGGCAGATCAGAAGAATCTCCCCAGCTCATTGCTTGATCATCTTTTACTCTTACCTTTTTCTTCTTTGCCAATCTTTTCTGGTTAGGAGAGTGTACCCAGATAGAAGCAATCATTCACAAAAAGCTGCTTTCGTTGATTGTTGTGCTTGTGTGTATCTTTAGTGGCGATCTCATTCAGGATGTTCACAGAAAAAGGATCATCCAAAAGCCTTCTCTTTTCTTTCCCCCTGTGTTGTATCCTGTTCTCTGCATGAGCTTCGGGTTGGGTTGAGTTTGCCAAGTCGCGTCGGTTTGTTGTGAAGATAGCTCGTGTTAGTTTGAGCTTGCATCATATCTGAGTGGCAAATCAAAGCTAACTAGAGATGAAAGTGTGTCGATTCATTGGCGGTGGCAAGTCATAGATGGTTTTGGCTTGAAGATAACATTGTATACAAGTTCACCAATGACAGTACAACTAGGTCATGGTAACACCATACACAACATTGATAGGATCATATGATTATATTGATGCAAAGACCAGGTCAGTAGATCATGACTCTGTTGCAAGTTGAGACGAACCATGAACCATTGCAAGACGGATCGTTACTAATTCTGGTTAACCTGAATAGTTACGATACGAAACGTATCGGATAAACATTTGCAAAGAAAACTAAAAAGAACAGGTAAAATTGTGAGAAGCAACTGGAGGTAGCCTTATAAACCCTACTATGATTTGGCATGAATTTAAGATTGATGATCCTATTTATCTCTAAATACTATTAAGGAGTTTCTCGGCAAACTCTTCCCGCAACTTTCGGGGTCATTTCCCCTTTTTTTTTCCTTTCATTTTGACTGCGGCTGCTGCAGTTTCAATTCCTATTTTGTTCAGTTTATCGTCTATGATTAATGTCAAATTAGATTATTTTTTTGTTTTAATCTTTTCTAGATAGTTATCAATACGCGTTTCTTTTTCATCTTTTTCCATCTGCGTCAAACAAAAAATGGACTCCTACTCTCTCTCTCTCTCTCTCTCTCCATCCTCTGTAAAAAATGAAAAACCTCTCTTTTGCGCTTCCACTTTCTTCTCTCACCATTCACTGCTACGGTTCCTTCTTCCCAAATCTACAAAACGTTTCATCTACTACCACCTTCGACGCAATGAATCCTTTGCCAACACCCAGTATGCTGATGCGCTCGATTTGACAGTATATTATGTCACTTTCAACCTTGCTCTTTCATGATTAGTCGACCAAATCTTAATCCCCGCCGGCGCCGATTAACACGTCGCCGACAACATATTCCTCAGTTTCTCCGGACGTAGATTCGTCCCAAGGCAGCATTAGCAAAGCAGTTGAGAATTTTTTTCCTTGGATACTTAAGAGTTTACAGGGGAATCGTACGTACTGGAGTCAACATTTTCTATGGAGATGAAAAGAGCCAAATTGGTTGGGAGGTTTATGGAGACGAGAAGACAGGATTATTAAAGACGATGGATTTGGGGGAGATGAGAAAACGGCGTGCAACCCACAAACAGCCTCAACGTCAATAAAATCATTTTGCCTCTATTATCTCATAGGTTGGCCTATCGCTATGTGGAGGTTACGATCCCTGCTCTTAATCGCTTTGTCGTGTGTATTTTCATTCACCGTCTCTTTGGTTTCTCATCTTCATCCAATTGGCCAGACGAAAATCGTCCATAGGTTTGATTTTGAATTGCAAGTCATACGGTTTATTATGAATTAAGCAGACAATTAAATTTTTGTTTAATTTAACATATATTAAATCTAACAATGAAAATTTAATTACTTTGCAAAATCTATAAATTATTGATCAATTAGTACATTATTTTATATGTAATTGAAATTTATGGTGTACATTTTAGGTAAAATAATAAAATTTAATATATTGGTTGAGGTTTATTTTAGACAAGTACAAATTGTCAGTTTGATATATTTTGTAGGATAGGATATAATTTATTAGTATTTTGATTGACAGAGTCTAACCCAATACTATTAAGAAAATAGTATATAAGCCTCTACCCGAAGCACGCATCAAGATTACAAAACTTAATAAGAATGGGTGGGTATGATAAAATGTTGGGAGGCTCCAAATTGGTGTTATTATAGTTATCAACCGGCAATACTCCTTCATTTTTAATGGAATATCTTAATTTAAGAGACATATTATTTATGAATTGTTTTTGAATGAGTATCACTTCTTTGGTTGACTAGGATAAAACAAAAACAATGATGTACACCCAGAGGTCGTCAAGAGAATCAAAAATATTATTTCAAATAATGAATTAAATAAATAAATAACTGAGCAGAAATGAAACATTAGAAATGGTAAAACAAAACTATCCCGGGGATAATGCTAGTACTAGTTGGATGAATGTGTTTCCGATTTTCCGTTTCCTTTTCGGTTTTTTGTGGGTTTTTTTGGCTGCTTTGGTTCTCTACTGAATCGGGTTGACCCAGTAACCCGAACAGCCCACAAAATATATATGGACTGGAACTCTACCTAGTACGGGTACCAGTCCAGCAAACGACGGCGAATTCTTCCTCTCACCTTCTCCCGCTCCGCCGTCGGTAGAAGCAGCTCTCCCACTCTCTTCTTGCCACTGCCACTTTTCCTAAGACGGCCGAATCGCTTTTCATCAGAGGGTCACAGTCTGAAGGAAATTATCTACTCACGGAGGGCCAAGAAACTCGGTACATTTGTTCTGATTTGGGGTTTATTCCTGTTCTTGGTGCTATTCAGGTTTCAATTCCAAGTTCGCATCTTTGACGGTTGGTTGCTTCTGAAAATTGATTTCGAGAACCGCTGGGTTCCGTTATTGGATGCTGGTAGTTCTCTCTATTGCTACTCTACTTGGAATGAGGAAGACGATGATCCATAGAAACTGGTCCAGATTTCATCGGCCAAGAACAGCGTGTATGACTGATTTTACTTGTTCCACTGCTGCTTTAGCACCATCGCCTTACTCATCTTGCTCTGGATGGAATCCAACTACTCCTGGTACGTCAAATTCTGCTACTTTCATCAACGTCGATGATGCCTTGGCTTCTTTTGAATTGATGGTCAGCATGAATCCCAAGCCTTCCATTTGGAGATTTGGTCAGGTATTGTCCTATCTTCTGAAAATGAACGTCCCCCATACTGCCTTCTCTGTATCTAGATCAATGGAATTGGCTGGAATTCCACACAATGAGTACACACTCGACATGTTGATTAATTGCTTGTGTAAATTAGGCCGTGCGGATGTTGGATTTTCAGTTTTGGGTAAAGCTTTTAAATTTGGAGTTCAACCTGATGTTGTGACCTTTGGTACATTGATTAATGGGCTCTCTAAAGATGGGAAACTTGCTGAAGCTGTGAAGTTGGTTGATAAAATTAGGATGTTGGGATATCAACCTGAGGTGTTTATGTATACCCCAATCATCAATGGACTATGCAAAGCAGGACAAGCAAATGCGGGTTTTGAATTGCTCGAGAAAATGGAAGATTTAGGTTGTCAACCTAACGTTGCTAATTATAGCACAATCATTGACAGCTTCTGTAAGGATGGGTTGCTATGCAAAGCCTTAGATGTGTTTTCTCGAATGAAGGGAAGAAAAGTTTCGCCAAATGTGGTCACTTATAGTTGTTTGATTCATGGTCTATGTATCTCAAGCCAAGAGAATGAAGCTATGAAGTTGTTGGATGAAATGATTGAAAAGAACATCATGCCGGACGCATATACCTTCAACATACTGGTCGATGCTTTTTGTAAGAAACGAAATGTGTTGGAGGCTAAAGTTGTAGTCAAAAGGATGATTCAAAGATGCTTGCTTCCAAATGTGGTGACTTATAGTTGTTTGATTCATGGTCTATGTATCTCGAGCCAAGAGAATGAAGCTATGATGTTGTTGGATGAAATGATAGAAAAGAACGTCATGCCTAACTTATATACCTTCAACATACTGGTCGACGCTTTTTGTAAGAAAGGAAATGTGTTGGAGGCTAAAGCGTTAGTCAAAAGGATGATTCAAAGAGGCTTGCTTCCAGATGTGGTGACTTATAATTGTTTGATTCACGGTCTATGTATCTCGAGCAAAGAGAATGAAGCTATCAAGCTGTTGGATGAAATGATAGAAAAGAAGGTCATGCCGGACGCATATCCCTTCACCATACTGGTCGACGTTTTTTGTAAGAAACGAAATGTGTTGGAGGCTAAAGTTGTAGTCAAAAGGATGATTCAAAGAGGCTTGCTTCCAAATGTGGTGACTTATAGTTGTTTGATTCATGGTCTATGTATCTCGAGCCAAGAGAATGAAGCTATGATGTTGTTGGATGAAATGATAGAAAAGAACGTCATGCCTAACTTATATACCTTCAACATACTGGTCGACGCTTTTTGTAAGAAAGGAAATGTGTTGGAGGCTAAAGCGTTAGTCAAAAGGATGATTCAAAGAGGCTTGCTTCCAGATGTGGTGACTTATAATTGTTTGATTCACGGTCTATGTATCTCGAGCAAAGAGAATGAAGCTATCAAGCTGTTGGATGAAATGATAGAAAAGAAGGTCATGCCGGACGCATATCCCTTCACCATACTGGTCGACGTTTTTTGTAAGAAAGGAAATGTGTTGGAGGCTAAAGTTGTAGTCAAAAGGATGATTCAAAGAGGCCTGCTTCCAAATAATATCACATACAATTCATTGATGAATGGGTATCGCATGCGGAACGAAGTAGACAAGGCGCGGCGGGTATTTGATTGTATGGTTCTCACGGGATGCAAGCCTGACGTTTACAGCTATAGCATCATGATTGATGGATATTGCAAAAGTAAAAGGATGGAGGAAGCCGAGCAGTTATTTAATGATATGCTTGGGAAGGATGTGTCTCCCGACACTATTACATATAATACTCTCATGAATGGATATTGCCATGCAGGAAGGCTTGAAGATGCACAAGAGCTTCTCAAGAAAATGTGCAGTCGAGGTTTCTCCCCGGACGTTGTGATATATAAGACTTTGCTTATTAATTTGTGCAACCGAGGCTTTCTAGACGAAGCATTGACTCTATTTCAAGCAATCAAAAGTAATCGGTTGAAGCCCGATCTTCATATGTATAACGTTCTTATTACTGGTTTGTTTGAAGCAGGGAGGGTTAATGAAGCAAGGGAAATGTTTTCTACCCTCGGTGAAGGTGACTACTTAAAGCCGAATACCCGCACATATAACATAGTAATCAATGGACTTTGTAGGCATGGTTTGGTAGATGACGCATACAATTTGTTTAGAACAATGGAGGGGGTTGCTTGTCCACCAAACTGCAAGTCTTATAACATGATTATCCATGGATTCCTTCAGCATAAAGGTCCACTTGAAGCTGGGGATCTTATCCAAGAAATGTTGTCCAAGGGTTTCAAAGCTGATACAACCACAATGTCCTTGTTGATGGATTTAACGTCGAAAAATAAACTGAATCATCCAGTTGTCAGAAAGCTGCTTGGTGATTCTGGAATGGCTTGTGAGGAGGTTAGGCCGAAGGGTTTATCAGCAGAGAGAAACATCACCCCAGAAGCTTGTTAGAATTGTTGCTCGAAACACCAAGTTTGGATCTTCCTGGTAGTACATTGTGCATGGTTAATTATGTCTTTCAGCTGACAACATCTGCGGAAGGTATAAGCTTCCACTCCTTTGTTGTCACTGCCTCTCTTTTTGTTAGTGTGTGTTTGTATTGTTCTACCAATCCTTCTGGTTGCTTTGCGTGCTTAGTGGTAGGAAAGTCTTTGGTTCTAAAGATTTTTTTCCCAATTGTGGACTTCCTGCACTTGGTCTACTAACAATTCAAAGTGTTTTTTGCAGCAAGGCAGGCAGAAGGGGGAAAAAAGGGAAGAACAATGATCTTAGTTTAGTCAAATATTTGGCTTCTTCTCCATGATGTCATTTGTTTGCAGTTGGCTTTTTGGGATTGTACAAATGTTTGTTGCCAAAGGGACAAGAAGAAAAGTGTGTTCTTTATTGGATTAGATTAAGATAAGTAGGAAATTGTACCCAGAGTTCCAATTTTAGGTTGGACTTGTTTGGAGTTGCAGTTATTGTAATTTATCTGGCTGCAGTATTACTTTGGAGAGCTTGAGAGCTTTAAGATTGGTCTATGATATCCTATTTCCACTTCGCTGCACTATTGGAGAAAAATCTTGCAGCAAATATCTGGTTTGTCCAATTTCATAATTTTTGTGTATTGTTTGGTTCAGGATGTTATAGATAAAAAAAATTGATGAGAATGTTTCATAATTTTTGTGTATTGTTTGGTTCAGGATGTTATAGATAAAAAAAAATTGATGAGAATGTTTATTATGTACAAAGTTCAGACTTTACAAATATATTAACCCAATTAAAACACACAAATTGTTTAAATACATTACATTAGCTTTGAGAATGCTCCTAAATCCAAATTTCTAGGTTTTTATTTTTGAATTGTGGCGCCCGCTCAAAAGAAAAAAACCCTTCTACTGTTCTACAGTCGGCTTGGCTTAGCTTAGCTTAGATGGTTTTGGCTTGAAGATAACATTGTATACAAGTTCACCAATGACAGTACAACTAGGTCATGGTAACACCAGGCATACACAACATTGATAGGATCATATGATTATATTGATGCAAAGACCAGGTCAGTATATCATGACTCTGTTGCAAGTTGAGACGAACCATGAACCATTGCAAGACGGATCGTTACTATTTCTGGTTAACCTGAATAGTTACGATACGAACGTATCGGATAAACATTTGCAAAGAAAACTAACAAGAACAGGTAAAATTGTGAGAAGCAACTGGAGGTAGCCTTATAAACCCTACTATGATTTGGCATGAATTTAAGATTGATGATCCTATTTATCAGATAAAAATGACTACCCAAATTATAGGCAAGAGCAAAGAATCCAGATGGCAAAACCCAAATTCCAATAATAAAGTAATAAATATGGTTCCATACAGTTTAATGACCGCAACCTGATACTAATCATAAAATTCTCCCTCATACAAATAACTATTAACATTGATCTTTCCCTCAAAAGGGGGAACCAGGAAAAAAGAACCAAAAAAACCCTTAAAATATCTCAAAGCAGGAAGATAACTCAAAACAGGAGAAAACCGACCATCACAAACCTCACTCTCAACAAGACAACAACCTATCGACACCCCTACTTGAGAAAGAAAGACTACAACACGCAACAACTTCAGAAACTAGGACCGTTTTGAGCAACGAAAATCGAGCTGAAGTAGCTGCTGCGAAGTAATACACCAAACCTGACTCGAGTTCACACCGACATTCGATAAAAAAGGAAAAGCCAAATGTAACAAAGAACTCATCAACCCACTTCTTCAGGAGCTTAGAAGCACTTCCTGTGGACAATGGACGGGCCAGATTCATCATACTCGGACTTGGAGATCCACATCTGCATATCATGGAAAAGAACATGTCAGCCTTGTGTCAAATGCCACCATACTGGAAGTGTACAAGTAATATAATGTGTAAAGTGTGAGAAGGTTTTACCTGCTGGAAGGTGCTGAGAGATGCGAGGATGGACCCTCCAATCCAGACACTGTATTTCCTCTCAGGCGGTGCCACAACCTTGATCTTCATGCTGCTGGGAGCAAGAGCAGTGATCTCTTTGCTCATACGGTCAGCGATACCAGGGAACATGGTAGACCCACCACTGAGCACAATGTTACCGTAGAGATCCTTCCTGATATCCACGTCACACTTCATGATGGAGTTGTAAGTAGTCTCGTGGATACCAGCAGCTTCCATTCCAATGAGGGATGGCTGGAAAAGGACCTCAGGGCAACGGAACCTCTCAGCTCCGATGGTGATGACCTGGCCATCAGGAAGCTCATAGTTCTTCTCGACTGACGAGCTGCTCTTTGCCGTCTCAAGTTCTTGCTCGTAGTCAAGGGCCACATAGGCGAGCTTCTCCTTCATGTCACGGACAATTTCCCGTTCGGCTGTGGTGGTGAACATGTAACCTCTCTCTGTGAGGATCTTCATCAGCGAATCGGTGAGATCACGACCGGCAAGATCCAAACGGAGAATGGCATGTGGCAGAGCATAACCCTCGTAGATTGGCACGGTGTGACTCACACCATCACCAGAATCCAACACGATACCTGTTCAACAGCCAAAAATACCCAAAATTGATTATTAGTTGCTTATAATTATCATACAGAACATATTAACGACAGGATGGTAAGTCCTTAAGCTCTTATCAGTTACTAACCAGTAGTACGACCACTGGCATACAGGGAGAGGACGGCCTGGATGGCAACATACATGGCGGGGACATTGAATGTCTCGAACATGATCTGGGTCATCTTCTCTCTGTTGGCCTTTGGGTTAAGAGGGGCCTCCGTCAAAAGGACTGGATGCTCCTCAGGTGCAACACGAAGCTCATTGTAGAAGGTGTGATGCCAAATCTTTTCCATGTCATCCCAGTTGCTGACAATACCGTGCTCAATTGGGTACTTCAAGGTCAAGATACCTCTTTTAGATTGAGCCTCATCACCAACATAGGCATCCTTCTGACCCATCCCAACCATAACTCCAGTGTGCCTAGGTCTGCCAACAATACTGGGGAAGACTGCTCTTGGTGCATCATCACCAGCAAACCCGGCCTACAAGTAGCATGATTTAGAATACAAATTTAATCAACAGGCTCTCAACAATAACAACAAAACAACATCACTGTTTTGAGGGGAAGAAACCTATAACTAACCTTCACCATTCCGGTTCCATTGTCACAGACAAGGGGCTGAATTTCCTCACCGTCGGCCATCTTTTACTGTAGTGCAATAGCAAATAAATCATAAGCTCAAACAAAGGAATCCACAGCAACACACTCTGATCTACATTTCAAATCCACACACACAAATGACGAAGTACAAGACTCAAAATTTGAACTGGAAACCAAGAGATCCATGGAAGAGAATACCAGATCAAGCATTGAAAGCAAACTACTACATTATAATGCTAACAAACCACCAACTAACTTCAGATCTCACATTCAACAAAAGCCCAAATGCTAGCGAATCTGAGCATCCGTATATATTACATGACAGTACATAAGAAGCTAGAACAACTTCAATACAATAGCTGGATGAGAAACTAGAGCTTCTTTCATCCCTCGAATGTCAGCACAAGTAATTCAACTAAACTACATCAAATCACAAGTCAAGCACTAAGCTTGCATAATTAGACTCCAAAAGGCAATCACACAACCCATCGTCATCAGCAAAGTTCAAAACGAGATCGGAGCTCCGAACGCAAACAGAAGCAAGATTTGGCAACTAAAGCTATCATTTTCACTGTCTACTTGTCTTATCCTCCAAACACGCACCTACTTCCCGATCGATAAACACATCAGCTCAACACCACAAGATCGAGCTCAAAAATAAATAAATAAAACCCACCAAAAACTCAGATCGAATCGCAACTCGTACAAGTGCCCGATCTACAGATTCAAACGGAGCAATGAAAAAAACGAAGCAAAAGGAAGCTATCCATACCTTTGAGAGGAGATGCGGATCGAAGAAGCGAGCTCCGGGGAAACGTCGGCCGCCTGCTTCGCGTTAGTCTTCCAGATGTTTCTCAGGCGATCTCGTTCTCCAGATGCGCAGCTCGAAGAGATATGAGAGAGGAAGGATTCTGAAATGAAGAGAGGAAGGAGACGAAGGGGAAATGAGAGGTTTATAAAGGGAGGCGGGGAAAGAAGACGGAAAGGTTTTTCCCGAAATGCAAATGAAATTGCGTCGGAATTTCGTTCAAATTTGAAAGAAAAGCATTTGGGAGGAGGCGGGGCTGACCTGGCAGCTGATGACAGCCTTTCTTGGTTGGAGTTTGCTTTGCTGCCCAGCCTGCCCTGCCCCAGATTCAACAAGTACATTCCTTTTTCCCGTTAAGCCCGTTTTACAACTTTTTCATTACTTAACAACAATTAATAAGGTTTTAAATTTTATATTTCAATTTACCCAATTCTAGAATTATAGTATTTTTCAACGAGAATAGAATTGATTCATTTTATTGCGCCTTAATTTTTACAAAAACGATTAAATTAAAGAAATTTCAAACAAGGATGTGATGCCATGAGGTAACAAAATTTGATAATTTTATAAATTGTTAATCCAAATATGAATGTCCACAAAAATAATTAATCACATTTTGAATACACAAGGTATAAAATACGTTGCAAATTAAGGAATCTCTCCGTCGCATTTTGACAAATGGCAGCCGGGTTTTCTGGGCTCGTATGCTTGGGCCGGGCGGGCGGAGTGTTCGGAAATTGGGTGATATATGCGGGCATATCGGGTCGGGTCGGGGAATGTCTTTTTTCTGTCAGTGTCGTTTAGTCGCAGGAAGGACTCGGGTTTTGTTGGCTCAGTGCCGGTCCCGGTAGTCGGGATAGGGATTGGGCTGGGCCACACCTCGTTTTGGGCGGCCTGCCAATTAAGATTCAATTTCTATTTCGTGTCTGTGGAAGGTTTGAATCTTTGAACTTAGGAAAGGCTTGGAAAATGGAAAGTCCTGTATTTTTTATTATTATTATTTATCAAACATTTCAAAATTCAAAGTCCTACATTAGCTAAGCAATAGTATAGTAGCCGATCGTAGTTGAATTCCATTATTAATTGGGTTGTTTGTGTGTGTTCGATATGAATTTTCATTTCATACAAAATTTGCTCCCTATCAGAAAGATCCATATGAAACTACAACAAAATATGAGTTTAAACGATTAAAAAAAGGTAGATTAGGAGTCCGGAATGATCACAATTGAGAAAACGAGAGAACCGTTATCCCAATAGTGGTATTCCCCGATCCAAAACGGTCGAGTTATTGCTGCTTGTAAAGAAGGTAAGCAATGACTTATTGCAATCAACGATATTTTTAGCTACTCATGCAAATACACCATAGCAGCTTTCCTCCTCGTAGTAAGTGACATTGAGGATGTATGAGTCGCATCCTACTTGCTACCCCTATTAAGGTCGAAATTCGAAACTAATACAACATCGGTACACCAAAACATTCACGGAGTAAATCAAACTGAGTGTAAATCAAACTGAACTTACATAATAATAGTTTTAAGGTAGGATGTGTTGCATCATCGTATGGTATGAACTAGGAAGCTTGAAAGGAAGCCCTAGCCTAGGTTGGATAGAATGCACGTAAAATCAAGCCGTCCAAAAAGCAAATTGGGTAAGCGCCACCTTGGACACCAATCACCAATAGCCGCCCAAGTCACCATCTTTCTTTTCCAACTTGGCACAATTACACCTTTGAAATAACAAAATACCACGTGTATGCAGTACCCCAATTGTATAGTATTGCTATTAATGAATATATTGGGAGGTTGATGCCTTGATGGACAAATTCGGTCAACCGGTACTACGGTGGATCGGTATTGTAAATATATTGTGTATATTTCATGTGGTTATAATTCTTGATTGACCTATTTCACAGGTCCACCTAGAAATTCGTAAGTTTGTATCTTGACATATGGAGGTCGACTGGTTTTAAAACGTCATGTCTACACCAACAACTTGTTGTTATATTGGTCGATCACGTTGTTATATAAGTCCAACGCTTTCAAGAAAAGACGCCAACACAATAGAACTATTGTTTGTTTCGATCAACCGTCAATCCGCCATGATGTACAAGTATACCAGTGTTGGATAGCATAAGGTGCACTACTCATAAGCCAATAGCATATATGGCTATTTACAGGAGTTTCTGTTGAGATTAATGCTAGTTAAATTGTTCTCGTATCCTTGTTTGATATTGAAACTTTTCTAATGTTGGAATCCTGCTCCAACACTAATAAGATCACACGACAAATTAGTCAACCGATTGGTAAGAACGGTCGCCCGTTTTTTCCACCTAACCATGATTCGAGAAATATTATGGATCAAAGACAGAAATTACTTGACTAAATTCAATATAACTTGGAGTTTAACAAATTCACCTCAATAAACTCCTAAAATTTAATTTACAGATGAGCTCTCTTTGAAGCGAAGTTGCAAGCATTTTTGAGATTTTTGATCCACACACTTGAAGCCCATGTTCGGTTGGATCATAAGCGAGCCGGCCCAATAGAGCTGTCGTCGAGTGAACCAAGATCAAGAAGGGCCCATGAAACGGTTTTGGTCAAAGCAAAGAAATAAAAGAGAAACAAGCACAATCGGCCCAAAGCCCATCTGAAAGACCCAGAATTTGAAATTTTGTCAAGCATACATTTAGGGTTCGTTTGGACGTTGCGATTGTTTTGTTGAGATTGTCATTATGCATGTATTGTTTACAATGCATTTTTTTTTGTTTTACATGGATTGTTTATATGATTAGGGTTCGTTTGGACGTTGCGATTGTTTTGTTGAGATTGTCATTATGCATGTATTGTTTACAATGCATTTTTTTTTGTTTTACATGGATTGTTTATATGATGTGACAGAAACTATCACTCATTTTGAGTGATTGTTATATCTCAACTTTTAGTTGTGATTGTTGAGATAGTGAGTTGAGGTTGTTTTGTCTCAACTTTTAGTTGATGCGACATACACAATCACACATATCAAACGTTGTATTCTACAATGCATCAAATTCGACAATACATGTATAATATTATACATGCATTCTCAACAATACATCTATTTAACAATCACAACTTCCAAACGACCCCTTAGTCTACCGTAGATTCAATTGAGCAAATCAAATGAAATTTTTGCGTCTAGCTAGTTCCCTATATCGAGATGGCCGGTAAATACGAGCCCCCTAAACAAAATCATAGATAATCACTTCTTGGTCACATTCAGTTAGAAGTTGCCACTTGTTAAACACCCTTTCCAAGCCTAGTTATAGAATTGTGAGTTAAGCTGCCGCCGGCCCAACCCTAACCTACCTATCTCTATTCATCAAAACGGACCAACATTCTAGTTTATTTACCAATGCACGTCATCTGTTTTGAGAAAACAAAAGATTTGATAATTAATTCGCCTTCCGCCGGTGGCCGGCCGTTCATCAATAAATCTACGGCTGGCCGGCCGGCAGCCGGCCGTCCCTACACTACATCTAAGTCCTAACTAACTAGCTTAGCTCCTCCAAGTCAACGTAGAGGAGAAACGTATGTAGTAAGTACACCGGCGGCCGGAATGCAGCAGTTGGCTGTTGCCAAATTCCCCCTCCTCGACGCTTTCTGACTTGGTTACGATTTAGGCATGAATCATGTCAGCTTTAAGCTATCAATACGACGTTTCAACCGTTGTACAAATCATGCCGTTCATAAACCCAAAAAAAAAAACAAAAAAAAAAAAAAACTAACGCCTGTAGGAAGAAAATCGGTGAGGTAGTACTTCACAAACAATATAACTAATAAGGACTTTGAATAAATTATATTTCAACGCGATCGTGAATTGTTAAAGGATACCTTAGAAAGAAAGTAGTGCGTAAGTATTTCAGGAAGAAATGAAGTCGAATACACTTCCAGTCTAACCACTCAGCGAAAGCAGGACAATCACATGACATGAAAAAGGTCGGGTCAATAGGTTTCACTCGTTCTTGTCCTCTTCCTCCTCCTCCTCATCTCTAAGAGATCATTTTATGTTGATCACATACACTTTCGACATGATATTGTATGTTTCATTTCAAAATTAATAAATAAAAAATTGTGAAATAGTTGGAATCTTTTGTTCGTATCATCTTCGTCCACGCATATTAAGAAACGACGTACATGAATGTATGATTCACCACATCAACACATAGAAGAAAAAACCCGCGATGGTCCAGCCTTAATTTTTCAGGCCGATTGTCTAAAGATAAGGAAACACCATTCGTAACCTAAAATCAACGCAATACGATCAAGTTAAGAATCGTCGTTCGAGAGCTTGCCTCGATGATAGGGACATTCATTCTCTACATAGGATTAGGAATCCATCTATTGTGGAGAATTCTTCTCGAGACCCTCAAAGTTTCAATTTACATTGACTAAGCTAGGACAGCTACGTTACTCCCATTATAAATTACATTATTAGTGATCGAGACACCATGTGTCCTAATTTATACGACTGACCAACCGGCGGCCGCCGGAGGGAAAGGTGAAAGACCTTCTTTTCATGAAGATATTTTCGTTCCTCCCTTTTCCATGTCCTAGTCGACCGGCTCAACAAATATCCCAGGCACGATATTTATTTCACCATAAAAACAAATATCTCTCTAATCCTTTTTTTGGGTGGAAAAGTGCAAGTAAGTAAATATCTCTCGAGACTTTTAAGATTGCACGATATGTAAATCAATATGCATGATTGAAATCGAATCATGGTTTATGATAAATTATTGATAACTACTTGTCCTGTCAATGACAAAAAAAAGTTTTGATTAATAATAACTAGCTAGTAGGCTAATTGGGTTAAAGCTAAAACCAGGTGCCATGGAATGAGATTAGCTAGAGGGGCTTCGATTATTAGTCTGTGTGCGGCTTTCCTACCTAAGAGCAAAAAACAGAAAGCTTTTGATGTTGGGAAATTAATGGGAACTAATTGGTGTCAATGTATCAGCACGTGTCGATGAATCAACTCAAATTATTAGAATGGTTGGTGGTGATGTGGTAATAGAGTTGGTTTGGTAAAAAAGTCGTTTTGTTCGAAAATTTTACGAATTACGTACAATAGTAAATTGATTCGTGAGAGTGATATAGGATTCATAACGATCAGCATTCTTCAATCAACTCGCGTTATTTCAATGGAACGACCATGAGATTCATAATTAACCTTCTCCCAACGGCTCGACTTATTAGAACTGAATGATTTGTTTGTTAACCATTTAGTCCGCTTAATGGCAAACCGGCTCAGATACCAAGTCATAAACGAACTAGTCTTAATAACTCGAGTTGCTGGCAGAGACCCATCTTAACCACTTCCTTACACGTAGAAGTATAGCAAGGTAACTAGAAAGCTCGCGACGTTTGGTCTTTCACTTGCCATTGATGTTGCTACAGCGTGACAAGATTTTCATAAGGCTCAGAACTTTTTAGGTTGTCCATACCATTAGTAGATAATATAAGATCAATGATTGAATCTAATGGACGCATGGTTATTATGGAATAATCATAATAGTTAAACATATCTCTATCAATCCATATCTCAACCATTATTTTCTTCTGCTAGTTCTAAATCCCATCTCAACCCTCGATGTCTTCTATCCCTTCTCTAAATTACCATCACAATCATATCCAACTCGAGTGCCAAGATATGTACATTCATCAAGATCTCTCTCAATAATTCGAGCTATCAGGAGTATACAGTTCATGACGTGGTATCAAAGCCTTTGATGCTCCCTCTCCCAAATGTTAACCACATAATATTCAAATTTAAAGCTCATATAAGTTGACTTTAATTAGTCTCTCCAAATAGCATTTTGATTAACCATATCTTAATTAGTCACTCCACGAATACCACATTTGTGTGTTTTAAACATGAATCAACCATCTCCCCTTTCACAAAATTATTTAAAAAAACACTAAGTGGTTGAATCTCGATCACAAATTGATGCAAACGACGTGGCACCAATTTTGGACACTTAATATCACTGGCCACTGCCAGCGTGGATATTAAACTAAAAAACCTCGTCCTCAATTTGTGACATTGTACGGTGGCTTACTGGCTTTCCCCTTCATAAATTTTACGATATTGTACGGTGGATTTCATTGGCCATTCAAACGCCTTAGTGGGATTCAGTCTCAGCTTCCAGTAACCTTTGGCCCCTGCAGCAATTTCATTGGCTGGAATCTATACGTACAGTAGGACACAATAATATGTGTAATGTGTTAAGACTCTTGTGTGTTACATATAATGCTGATCATAAGTCAATGGCATGAATCAAAGAGGGGGGTTTGGTTCCCCATTTTGCACATTGACTTTCCTGATGTGATGAGATTTCATTTGAGGAGTTTCACATGTGTGGTTAGGAGGAGAGGCCATTCATTCCACAACAATTCCCCTCCCATTTGACTTCAATGGGACAGGTGTAGCATCGGAATCCACGAGGGAAAAAACTAGGAGATTTTCAGGTGTTACGTTTGAGTTTGGGATGGGTGGAAGCTTCGTTTTGAGTGGATTCGACAGCGTGGTGACATTCCGTGTTAAAGACGGTTTAGTAGACGGGGTCGAGATGTTGCTTCCGAGGCAACGTGCGATCATCTCAAATCTACGATCTACGAGCTGCCAACTTGGCAAAAATGTGTAGTGAGAGGTCGCGTGAGTGACTAGTCTACCAGTAATGCAGACAATAACATAAAGAAAAGGGGAGTTCAGAGTCATCGTCCTTTGGGAGGAAGAACTCCATGGAAAACTAGGAGAATTCAGGTGTTATGGTCGTTATGGCTCAAGTATGGACTGAGTGGAAGCTTTGTTTCAAGTGGAGTCGACAATGAAGACACTCACATTAAGGAAAGTTTAGTGGACGAGGTTGAGATGTTGCTTCCGAGGCAACATGCAGTCATCTCAAATATTCGAGAGCTGCATGTTGCCAACTTTGGCAAAAACACATTGTGAGAGGCCACTTGACCGTCTTGCTAGCAATACCAAGAATATATAATTAACACATAGAAAAGAAGAATTTAGAGTTATCGCCCTTCAGAATGAAGGAAACTTAATCCTTTTCGACCCAAAAAGCCACGAAGAGGGTTATTCCATACACTAAAGAAGGGTGCAGAGACGAGATTGTAAACTTGAAAGATGTTAACCTATAATTATCCTAATATTTTTGTTCAGTCGACCTCCTCTAATTAACACCTTTCCTTTTCCCTAATCAAAACATGTCCACATTCATTCAGATAGTATCTCCAAAATACCAACAAAATGCTAAGATCAATCAATGTCACATTTTAGCTGAAAATTGACACAAAGTGCTTGCCGCTGAAGAAATTGACATTTGAAGGCTATCTCTTTGCTTTGCTTCCTTTAGAGTGTGGATAATAGTGATTAAGATTCTTCAACAGTGAACTAAAGAGACAAAAAGATTGCCTGATCTCTAGTCTCTATCCCTTTTTCGATAATTGCCCTTTGGTGTCACGATTAAGTCAAGTGTGTACACCATTTTGCTTTGCTCTCAAGACACAATTTTAATTTCTAACAACAAAACACTATACGGTAAAACTTGAAATGAGGGAATGGTATTGTTTGGATAGGTAACTCTCGAGAAAAAAATCGTGTAAGTGTTGTCCTTTCAACGATGAAATTGACAAGTTTCAATTTCTTGAACGAAAATAACCCTTGAAATTGAGGAATAGGATGTTGGAAGAATTCCACCACTTTAAATTTTAATTTTTCTCCAGCGGAAAAAAAAAAAACGAATCTACTAAATTCCTTCCGTGGGTTTAGTTTAAAAACCATTATGTCGCTCAACTTCCTCATTCAAATAACACCAAAGAGAAACAAAGACGAAACTACTCAATCTAGAACTTGCTTATATAGTCTATGTTTAAACAAAAGGTAATTTTTCGAGAGTTAATTACCAACTTGGTCATCAAAATTCAATACACATCCGTATGGTGGGTGGAATGGAAATGCCAGCTAATAACATTAAACCGAACAGTTTCTCATGCTATGTTGCTTATGTGACAATAATTTTTTAGTCGTCACGTTAGAAACACATGTGTGACAATGATATCCGACAAAGTCGAGAGACTTAATAATTAACATCTATCGGGTAAATCGTGTATTTTTAGTTGACTTAATGCTCAATTCACTGCGCATCGGTAGCAACCTCATCACATATATACACATTAGTTTCAATACGTTTTTAATCAACTCGAGATTTCGATTAAGATTAACCGTAACAATGTACAATTTCGACATGTTTTTACTACGAAGTAAAAAAAAAAAAGAACTAAAACCTATCCGGAGTGACAAATTTGGCCTTTTAGGCTTTAGCTATCTCCTCTGTATCCTCGTACCAAACCCTCTGCCTCCATCGGCGGCATGCTGATAACGACTTCCCCCGCCGGCACCACGGTTGCCGCCGCTTCTGGAATCGATACTGATGGCTGCGGAAGAGGAGTGGGAGTAGAAGTGGAAGTAGTAGGAGGAGGAGGAGTAGAAGAGGAAGCCGCGGTATCGATCTCGGCCACCACCACAGTCACCGGAGCTGCCACGGCCGCCGGTGCTGGCGCCGAGCAGCCGACGATTTTCTGGCAGGTCTCGATGAGGCAGTGTCGGCAAGTCGGGCAGGAAGAGTGGGAGCCGAGCCACTTGTCGATGCACTTGACGTGGAAGCCGTGGTTGCACTTGGGCAGGATCTTGACCCGCTCGCCGGCGGCGAACTCCGACAGGCAGATGACGCACTCGGCGTCCAGCCCGGGGAGGTTCAGCTGGTCGGAGAAGCTGACCGTGGGGAAGGTCTTGAGCGCCTTCTTCTTGATCCCGGTGTTGGCCAGCCTCGCCGCCGCCGCGGCGCCGGCGGCGCCGGGGGACTGGTCGGCGGCGACCAGGTTGGAGCACCGGAGCGCGCAGCGGATGATGGAGTTTAGGCCCAGGGAGCAGATCAGCGCGCAGAGGAGGACGGAGAGGACCATCACCACGTTGGCGTCGAACGTGCTGTCCGTCGGCGTGCTGTTGTACGGCTCCGCCGCGGCAGCCGGCGCCGGAGAGGAGTGGAGGAGCTTTCTTGCGATGGTGAATTGGAGGGTGGAAGCCATGGTTGATTGATCTTTGGGGCTTAATTGAGGGTTTAAGGAGTAGAGTAGTGCTTGACTTTCTTTAAGTGAAGAATTGTGGGGAGTGGTATTTATAGGGGAAAAGGGTGGGAAAGAGAGAAAGGTTTGGTTTGAAACTTCTTATTGCCACTTGAGAGAGAGGATTTTGATTAGAACATATAATTTAATTACAAAATGGGGCAATCATTTCCTTTTTGATTAATTTGTTAAGTGTTGTTTTATGGTGTATTGGTGTTGTTGGGAGGAGGGGGGGGAGGTGGAGAGTTCAAAAAGTTTTCTCTTAAGTGTTTGTCTAAGTCTGATGTTAATGATGATAATGTATACAAATACGAGAAAAAGTGTTATGCTTGTCAATTCTTTTATTAAAGGTTTTACACCGTTGTTTTTAAGCTCCAGGTGATTTACCGTGGTAGTTTTGATTTGTTATGTATTTTTGTGACTTTCATGATTATATGTAGGAGGTGTGCAACGATTTGGTGCACGTCGAATTAAATCGATATTTGGACTAATCCAAACAAGCTTATGTGATATGTTTCTTAGTTTCGTGAATTTCTAGAATATTAAAGAAAATTGGGTAATGTCTATTTTTTACCCAATTTTTTCAGATTTTTTATACTATCCAAACATATCAAAATTCTATTAATTATCCAAATCTTTCATAATGTATCAAAATATTAACCAATTTTACGTTATCGTTAATAATTTTGTAACTTTTTTCTTAGTTAAAATACTAAAATTTTGGAATGTTGACCTCCATGAGTCTCTTCCAAGTCAGTATCATGTTTCCAAGTCAATATTACTAACAAAATTGCTAATTGGAAGTTAACATTTGGCTAATTTTGTGTATTTCGATAGGTTTGGATAATATAAAAGAATCTAAAAAAGGTTTGGATAAAAATAGACATTAACCAAGAAAAATATATGAACATATAGTTGGATCGGCCAATCCAGACTAATGCACTTACGATTCTCGTCCTGAACTTGTATTTATTTTTGGATTATAGTGATTCTCGTTAAATTCGTCGCGGTCTGGACCGAGCCATTGTGCATCCCTAATTATATGACTAGGATTTGTGATGGGATGTCACTATAATAAGTTTGAGTGGTCATTTTCTCCTTCAATTTTGTCTAATTTGTAGGGTTTTTTTCTACTTGAGAGTGAAAAATGCTCAATTGACAAGTCATCTTCTTGAGGAAACATAAATGGATAAGAGAGACCAATCATCAATATTTTAGGGGGCTTTTAGGGTTTTGTAGATAGCCCACATTGGGGGAAGGAGGTAGCTGGCTAGCTAGCTAAGAGTGTTTTATTTTATCTTTCAATTTGCTTTAGTGCAAGGATCAAACCATATAGATTCCCCACTTAAAGCTTTCCAATGTGTACGTGTATTTTAATAGCTAAATTACAAGAATATCATCCGATTCAGGGTCATTTATAAATGGATCACTAAATTTGAGATTTTTAATAGATTGTTGCCAAAGTTTGGAATATAGCAAACATACTTAATCACTTCATACATCCCTACTTCCCCATGCCCTCCGTTCAATTGGTCAATTTTATCCAATACCTCAATTTGAAGAAAAATACGTACTTGTTCCAATTTCGTATTCAGATTATTCAAAATCATCCAAATCCTTCTTCTTACCTGTAGTTTATTAAAGGGGCCGTCTACATTACTTTTTATATTTCTTATTTAGTTAAGTTGACACGTCAATAGAGACGAGAACTTGACTACAATAGACACACTGATTTTACCGTCAATTAATTTGATATTCGATTGCGAATTTGCCCAAAAATCATAGTTAAGTGACATAATTGCTATAGAACCCATAATTGAGTAGTGATTATTTATGCATAATTGGTTGTTTCCCCCTCATTAATGGGGGTGTTCTATCTCTTATCAATGGAGAGTTGTGGGGTCTTCTCCCACTTTCAACGAGCAAGGGAATTCCCCATTCTCAATCACATCTCTCACAAAACCCTAATTTTGTATGTAATGCTTCAAGGGTCCCATGTATGCCCCATATGAAGAAGAGGGCTCATGAAGCTTCCCATGTGCAAAACCATTGGCTTCATTATCTTTATATTAAATTTTCACTTTGTTTTTGGGTCTAGGAAAGTATTGGTTTACACTTTACACTAAGTGGGAGGAGTATTTGATACATGTGTAGTACTAGGATAGGAGTTTGGGAAGGAGGGTTTATTTTAAATGTGACAATTATGTGTAGTTGTTTGTTGGTTTGTTAATGACCTTTCACTGTAAACATATTAAAGGGATGTGCATTCCCATTTGAGTCATACTCAACTGATGATGGTCAGTTGGGGGATGAGTGTGGTTGAGCTATTGTAATCCTCAAATGTGTGAAGTGAGTCACTAGTTTTTTACTTCTTAATTAATTACCTTCTATCTTATCATCACCAAAACTAAATTAGTGAACTTTTTGACTAATCCATCAATTTAGAGACCCAACAAGTGTATCGGCTCGAGCACTCATTTCAGATTGTGTATTGCGTTGTGTCTACTCGTGAATTGTTAATGGTCGGGGCCAATATGAGTACGTATCACAAACATGGTTCAATTCCAACACCTTTGAATCAAATGAGACAGTGAAGTGATTCAGATGGTTCTAATGAGTTGATCAGGTCCGACCAGAAGGAGATCACTTTTCACTATAAAGTGAATATGAGTTAGGTAAGGGATATAAGATCATTTTCGAATCGCGAGTATTGATCTAATTAAATGGACCGAGATAGAAATTTCCAACCTTCTCTAGCTCAATTCTATTATCGATTGCGTGAAATTTTGTGTTGAACTTAATGTTGATAAATTACCTAATTTTTTGTGTCGATAGGTAGTCCTGGTTCATACTTTATTCTCCAAAAGGAATATAATAATTGACCATAAGGTACAGCGTGCTGGTTGAAAATCTCTTTTCTTAAACCATATACTCAGTAGTTCGATACTTGCCTCGTGCAAAACGAAATCCGCTTTATGATAAGATGTGTATCGCCCTTTATGCGACGATCCATATGATGGCTAGAGTACAATGAAATTAGATTCTAAACTCTCATTATATAGGGAATTGAAAGTGCTTTTCTCAAATTCCCATTCAATCCGAAGAAACCACTTTGAGAAAACATATATATCTACTCGATCATGTGCAAGGCAAACCCTTTTTCATGGGAGGGCATATTGGTGGTATGTTCACTAGTGGGTGTCCAAAGGCTCAACAGAAGTAGTTGTGGGTGCCCTCATGATGATCCAAACGACCCTTGGTCTCTCCCACAATGATCATGTGCGCTTCCCTTTACCTTCTATTTGTATATGAATCCGTTTGTATTAAAAACTCGACGAAGTCGAGATTTATGTAGTTTTTTTTTTGTTAAATCGAAACTCATTTAAAGCCACTATGCCTTGTGCTTAATCAAATGTCAATACGAATGTGTAAAAAAGAAGAGACAGAAACAAATCCCAACCGAAAAGAATCAAAACGAATAAAATGCAACATTGATCAACACTCCAAAAACATACGTTTTTGGAGATGAACTTCTCTAGCTCTCATGTGATTTGTGGTGGTGACTTTGAGAAGCCTTATCAACACACACTTGTAGGCCATACGTGAAGGGAACATCCATGTGAATCTTAGCTTTTGTGGCATATAACAGAAGAATGCTCTGTAGGCCACTTCAAACTTTTTTCTTTTTTTTGCAGACTAGGGCATTCATTATACAGGGAATCTTGGATCTCCCATATCCCAAATGTCCCCACATGCTATAGGCTAGAAAACTATATATGAACAACTACAATTACATAAAATTACTTCGAAGCGATGGTTCGTTCAGATTGCTCGTGAATTGGAGTGAAACATGGTTGTTAGTTTCTGCTCTTCGAGAATGTCTTCCGATAACTCCATTTAAAGACGCAAGCTTAAAGTTTTAGGGTTGATGTCTACCCAGGTTAGCCAACTAGACTACTTCTAGAGTGACATGCAAAGTCCTTTCTCTATTTTGTCTGGAGTTCAGTTTATACAGCTACTTGATGTGATTACGTATCTGTGTATGGAACAAGTTGTTCCACTGCACTTTACTCGTGTTACGTGTAAAGGATATTGCAGAAAGCTGGACAACATTCGAAAGTACGACAAGATGTACCAACAATCCTACATAAAATAAAGTCCCTCATGGACTTTAGTATTGGTAAAATATAGGCATGCGCATATAACTAGCAAGTGACAGATTTCAGCAATCTTTAAGGTTTCTACATGTTGGGGCATATAAACTAAAACCAGCAGGCAATCCTTGAGAAGATCTTGGAGTTTGAGTGCTTTTTCACTCCTACCCTTATCCTCATGTTTGTTATAATATTTGTTTAAAACCCAAAGCAAAGAGCTTTTGAGCATTAACCTACAACTTGGTGGATTAATCAAGATTAGTGAGTAATTAACTAATGTAATTAAGACAGGGGGGAGAAAGGGTATTAATGGTCCCCCTAGATGAAAACCCTAATATTCTAATTGAACTTTTTGCCACCTCCTCCTCACTAATGCACTTTTCTAGAACAAAATTTCTCATTGCAAGTAGATATACAAGCAAAGATTGCCATCAACCGATCCAACAAAGCCATAAATATGGTGATTACTATTATAAATGGGAAGGGGATTGATTAGCAATACACCACATAATGTATTGGTGCCTTACGGCTCAAGATTAAAACAATATTCTTTAGATCTTTGGGAGATAAGAGAATCTGTATATGGCAATACGCAATAATAATAAAAACTTGGGCACTTAATGGGATCAAAGTTTGAATAAGGATTTAGCTCTTACAGAAAGGTTTACTGGTAACGTGAACTCTATTTGTTTTTTCAATGAGATTCGATAGAGCTCGGTAGGTGAAAAATAGATGCATAAAGAGGTGTGTTGGTAACTAAAAATAAAACGAAATCAGGTAGTCGATTGTTCAGGATCAAATGGCTTTAATGGAAGCTAGTTTGGTAGACCTAAAAAGAGTAATAGATTGGTTTACCAACTTGTCTCCATCAGGGACACCCGGTAAAATTAGAACGATACGGAGAAGATTTGGTTTACCAGCTTTCATCTTTTGACATCTATGGGTTGGGCAATGGCTGAAATCGGTACTCAACTCAGATTATAATACTGTTGCTAAAGACCATTTCATGAGGGATGCCCTGCAAAAGGTTCAGCTGAAAGCCTGAAACAGTTGAGGACGATTGCTGCTTGGAGTGATTTGGAAATGAATAAATATCTAGAAGAAGTTAAAGGGACAACACAAAAGGTTTTTTTGGATGAAAAAGAGAAGCTATAAAGGGACACAACACAATTGGAAGAAAGCAAAAGTTAGTGGGGGAGTGAGTTGGGATTTGATTTACATGTGCACAAATATTTTTTGGGGGATTTTCTTTTATTCTATTTTCTTCCCTTTTTTTGGAACTTAATTTATAAAATAGTAATTAAAATTTAAAATGGATGAAATTCTTTTTTTTTGGTGCAAATGAAATGAAATTACAACAAGAAGAAAAGGTACAATACACAATTAGGGCTTGAGATACATCAAACTCTATCTATCAAAATGCACGGCTTGTTTTAGATTTGGTGGAGGAAAGCCCGTAAACCCTCTCCTTTTAGGTCATGTACTAGTATAATCGACACATCTGCCACCTAGTTTTATTTTTCAAACAACATATTAGATGGACAAATACGAACATAAGCGCGTCGATCTTCTACCAAAACTTCGAAAGAGTGAAAATTATCCTATGGAGGAATGAAACTATAGAAGAAGTGAGGGGGTGAGTAGTTGGTTGGGATTTACCTTTTGTTTTTGTACAACAGAACAAAACTCATAGGATTATGTGTTAATGCATGCATCTCTTCCTCTTCTCCTCAACTTGAAGGATTCATGGAATATGCAACACGTACGTGGCTGGCGGCTGAGCCTTTTCAACGATATTATACACCCTTCAATTACATGCAATTGCAAATCCCTTTTTTAAACAGCAAACATGATGGGATAATGTAGGACGAATATAAAACCCCCCATTGTTTTAACTTTTTAAGGATACTACTTTTTATTTGGGCTATGATTCTCCCATCACATCAAACAATAGTTCACTCCTGAAAATGAACCGTTGAAATTAAAAGTTCGAAGTTCGGGAGGATATCTTCATAAGAGAATGATATACGATTCGAATCGTTGAAATTGAAGTGTGAAACTCAGGAGGAAATCGCCGATAAGATAATGATATATCATATATGATTTTATTTTTATAGTCATCTTTTGATCTCCCAAATGAGAAGTTGGTCTAGTGATAGTATTGCTGGTTTTCAACTTAATGATCTCAAATTCAAATCTCGGTGTGGACTTTCCCTTCCACGCTTACCCTCTTGATAAACTTCATTCATAAATGCTAGTTCCCTCACAGAGAAAGCTCGCCTGATCTACTAATTAAGTAGTCCAGTATCGAGCCGATCTACACCCCCGTCAAAGAAATCAAAAGTTCAACTCTCCACTGATCCGCTGTCTCGAGTGGCTGGATGATGCATAAAAACTTTGTGTGTAGAAAGATTGTATCAAAAACATTTTTCGAGCAGTGAATTTCTTTCAAAGCAAAAGGATAAAAAAAAGAGAGTCTCTTTTAACCTAGAAAAAGTGAGTGAGGTTGGAGGAGAGGAGATAAGGATAGAAAGAGCGCAGCTAATGGGTAATGGGTAGATAGAAAGCACTTGTTAATGTCTTTCATATATACACAAAGATCGACTGAAAATCGCACCATAAAAGTCCATTCCCTCAATAATAAAGAAGAAGAAGAACAGCAAAGGAAGAAAAGGGTAAGCAAGAAGAAGAAAAAATGGCAGGAGAGTTGTTATAATTGGAAGAGCCGAAAAGTGCCAATAAAATGCAAGTTATGAGGGCAAAACTGTAGAAAAGAGTGATTAGATTAATTAGTATATAATAATGCTTTGCTGCTTCTCACTGCTGTGAACAGTCACAGTGCACCAGCAGCAGACAGCCAAGCTGGTTGATGATTAAAGGCCTGCAGGCTTGATCAGCATGTGGAGACAGCCAAGCTTTGGGCCCATGCAAGAAGAAGTAGTAACTGCAAGCAGCCAAAAATCTATCGTATCCGCAGTTCAATTGGAAAAATCATTTGTTGGAGTTCACGTTGGTAGACGGTTTTACCGTCACGAAACAATTGAATCAATGATTAAATAGCGGTTTAAATGTTTAATCACAAAATAAGTCAAGGGCGAATTGGGATAAACGACAATACAAGAAAGTAAAGAACACACAAATTTACATGTCTCTAACACAAATATGTGTTAGTTAGTATGTGGGCAGGAGAGTGCCAGTTTCAGTATGCTTGAGGAGATTACAGACTACAGAGGGATTGAGAAGTATATATAGTATTTCTTCGGACGACCTAACACTAATCCAATCTGATAAACAACAAGGTTACAGACCAAATACAAAATAGAAACCCAAACGTGTATAAGCCCCATACACCGTGGATCGGGGGCAACCCTTGCTCTCACGAGCCCCCCTAACCGGGTCCTTCACTCATGGACCCCGGCTTGATGATCGAGCAGCGAAACCCCTTGATTTCAAGTTGATGACAGATGATCTAATTCAAATCATATCAACAATATACCCTACTACTATATTTTTCATGTACAACATTCGGTAGGGTTTTACAAAACCTTGCATAAAACTAAGTGGTTAGTGGTTGTATGATGCTTTTGGGATTCGATTGATATGTAAAAATCGTGCTAGCTAAAGCTGCAACTTGACAGTTGGTGTCCTTTCTCTATATATAATCTCAGTGGACAGTTTCCTAGCTGCTGTTTTTCTTTTGGAACATGCTGCTAGCTTGGCTTTGCTGTTGTTCACTTTAAGTGGTCCATCACTCTATTTCTGCGGGCGTGTAAAGTGGCTACGCATCCTTATTGTATTTGTATACCTGATACTGCTAGGGGTTTCATTCTCAGACAGTATGATGCTCCGTTTTGTACAAAGCGAATAGTTTTGTTAACAATATATCATGCTACTGCTGGTGTACATGTCATAGTGACAGTAGGATGCTCAAAGAAAGCACAAAATTTCTAACCAATTTTAGGTTAAGCAGAATAGGTTCGAACTGACTTCGTGATGAATTCGACATAGATACATCCTGGTAAAGTTAATCATCGATAGAGATTCGAATATGATCGAAGATTCGAATATGGATCTTATATTAACCTTTTATGCACACATATAGGCATACAACATGTAATTCGACGCAGTCACAAAGACAAATAAGATTTTGTGACAACGGGGCCTACTAAATCTGGGGACCACCTGCAATCAATTTGACGACAATAGGACTTCGCCCACAACAGCGTTATACTCCGGGAACACCAACGGGCCTCGCTTGGATTCGAAAATGGGATCTGCAACTCACAGGACTTCACTATCGCAACAGCTTTACCGTGTTAGTGTTCTACTTCAATGTTATGAGTTGGATAAACTTTGAATCAATCTTGGGCTCAGCTTTGGTAGCCAAAACCAAACCAATGGAGTTTACATTTTGCAAGGTCCACCAAAGTATGGCTCGATTGGGCTGAGCACAGAACATCATGGGCCTTCTAAGAGTCAGCCCAAGTTAGATCCATGGAGTCCAATGACCAATTTATGGAAGTGGGTCCAGCAATCAGACGGAGACCGGGGCCCACACAAGTTTCCTTGACGAGGAAGAAGCAGAATCAGTCGCTGAGGCTTCGCTCTGCCTTGCCAGCAGAGAACCAAAAAGCCGTAGCGTCGGTACACAGTATTAGCAAGTAGATAAGGCAAGCTCCAGCGGCGAATTCCCCCGAATCTCCCATATCTTCTTCCGCCCAAATTTCTCTCCCACCAGAAAAATCCCATTATAATCGCGGAGAATCGCGACGACCCCCATGGACTCAATTTCCCCCTTTCTCTTCTCCTCCTTCTGGGATTCCGGCGAGCCTTCGGTGAGTAACTCAAAGCTGCTACCTTTCCCTCCTTTCTGTGGACGATACTGTAATCCGGTTCATGGGTTTGTTTGTTTTAATCTGGCAGATTGACTTTTTTTGGGAAGTTTCTAATACGGAGATAAACGATGAGTAAAGTTTGTTCGATCGTTTTGTTTGTTTGTCTGTTGTTTAGTTGATGATGCTATTTATATGTGGATGTTCGAGGTTTTGAGAACTTGGGTTCTTCCTATCTGAGCTGAATTGAGTTTCTAATTATGGGTTTGTCGCGAATTTGAACGTCGTTATCTCTTGTTTGTTGGTTTCGCAGTGAACTGTCCTTTTGGAGGTAGTTTTCCAGGGAAGGTAGATTCGATTACCCAGGTGTTGAGATAATGGTATCATCTCACGGGAATAGTACTCATTCAGAATCTGCCAAGACGGAGCAGATCATCACTGAGTTTTTTGCCAAGAGTCTCCACATAATACTCGAGTCTAGGTCTCCATTTGTGTCCTCACGTAACTTCAGTGGGGAACAAGCTCTCTCGTCTCCTTCCTCGTCGTCTTCCTCGTCGTCGAGTGTGAGGCCGAGGGACAAATGGTTCAACTTGGCCCTGGGAGAGTGCCCTTCCGCACTCGAGAATCTCGATCTCTGGCGCCAGAGCAATTTCGAGCCAATGGTGGTTGATGTGATCTTGGTGAAGAGAGGGCTTAGTAGGAATCAGTCGTTGAAGGAGAATAGTAATCCTTACGGATCTGATCAGGAGGAGCTCTTGTGTGGGAGGGAGGAGAAGGTTATTGAGAGGTGGATAGTTCAGTATGACACTAGAAGGCCAAGGGAAACGGGTTCCACTAGTCGCAGATCATCGAGCAATCTACTCCATACCCTCTATAAGAAATCGATACTACTCTTGAGGTCTTTGTATGCTACTGCTAGGCTTCTACCTGCTTACAAGATCGTCCGGGACCTCAATTGCTCCGGAAATCTTCGGCCTTTCACTCTCACTCATAGGCTATCATCTTTTGCTGAGCCCTTCACGCGTAAAGAGGAAGCTGAAATGCAGCGATTTAGTTTCACTCCGGTTGACACTTCTTCTGGAAGGCTTTGCCTTTCGGTTTTGTATCATTCATCGGTATCTGATGCTAGTTCTGAGTCATCTACTCCTATGTCCCCTCAGTTCATCCCAGATTATGTTGGAAGTCCATTGGCTGACCCTCTGAAGAGGTTTACTTCTCTGCCCGTGTCTTCTCCATCGTCTCTGCCATTCTCCAGGAGGCATAGCTGGAGTTATGACCGGTATAGGGCTTCACCGCCTGCTGCATTCTCGCCTTCACCTACTCATTCAGAACCACCAGCTGCCAATGCCCTTCAGTTTGGACCCGTTAATTTGCCTCCTCAGTATCCAGACAGCTCTTTGATCCACAAGACCAATTACAGTTATGATGAGTACAATCCTTCTCCGAACTTCACACCCTCGCCTTCTCCATCCCCACCTGTCTACATGCATGGGAATAATCTTTCGAATGCAGCTCTGTTACGGACCGAGAGTGCTCCTGTCTGCATACCAAAACTCAAGCTCAATATTCAGCCATCTCTTCCAATAATTGATAACAACAGACCATCACGTGGTTCTAAATTAGATACGAGTACAGGTTTGCCTCACACTGGTGTATCGGTTGAAAAGGTATTCTGTTTGCTTATTTATAACGTTTGATTCAGGATGCACATGTATTGATTTGTGATTGCTTTTCCTGTTTCTGTGTAGTTGATTGTGAAAGATGACTCCAAGAAACATTCCGGGACAAAGATATCTACCATCAGTTCTTTGCAGTTTTCGTTTTCGAGAAGCTCTAGCAGGTCATTTCATGATGACTTTGATGATTCAGATTTTCCTTGTCATTTTGATGTGGAGGACGATGATCCGACCTGTCACGGTAGCAGGTAATGTTTAAGCTAACCTTTGAACACCGAAACCACTGCACACCAAGTATATTAATGTGCAGATGTGACCACATCCAAGACATTTGATAGCAGTTTTGCTACTTCAATTGAGATATGTAACTAGAATTTGTAGTGTTATTTGCTTGGGATTCATAAAGGCGATCATTGAATAATTCTAGGACCCAGTTTCGGTATTTAGATAGGCTTAGGGGTCGTTTGGGCGTAGGACTTGACTCGGTTCATTTTTTTAAGTAGAGAGCAGCGAATAAGGGTACCAAGGCTATCTTGCTGGATCCATTACTTTACAAATCCTACATCCAAACCCAACCCTTATGTTCCCTGAACAATGTTATTCCTTTGTTATCTCTCTTCAAGCGTGAACTTTTTGTCCTGCGCTTCTTTCTTCCAGGCCTGAATCTTTTGATCAGAAAGCTCATCTTGGCGACCAGCTGGATCCCCAAGGTGGAGGGATCTTCCCCATCAGAAAATCACAAGATGCTGCAGTAGGTGCCCTTGTCCGGATGCTGAAGAAAGCTCCACCTCTACGCCAGGAACTCTCCTCTAGCAACGTCGATTCAACTCACGTGTCCAGCACTCGAGCAGAACAGCCTCCCGATACCTCGTCTTCTGTTCTGGTTGCATCGAAGACGACGGCTGATGCATTGGAAGAGCTGCAGGGTTACAAACGAATGAAGGACTACCTGCTTAGTCAAGGAGGCGGGAAATGCAACGTTGCTGGTATATGTAAGTAGGGTTTCTTTCAGCGTCTGTTCTCTGAACAAGTTTTATGTTCAGGAAGTTTGGGCCTCTGTACAGAACTGCAAACTCCTTATGGGGGGTTCTTCAAGGATTGGGAATCTTTTTTTTTTTTTTTATTTGCTCGAAGTATATAGCCCTAAAATGATCATATATGTAAGCGCCCACATTCCCCTTGTGTATAGAGAGGCGTTTTAAGATGAGTTCACAAGTCCATTATCTGCAAATCATTAGCTTCTTTCTGCTGTACAAAAGTGCATATCTCATATTGGATTAGTTACTAATGGTTGGTTCTATTTTCTCCTATCGGATGTTGAACCGGAAAAATTCGTAGTATGTTTATACTGAAATTATGATTGTACCATTTTGTAATGTTAAAAGCCTCTTACCAGTAAGAGTTCTTTCGGGTCGGACTGTCGGTACGTTTCACAAATATTGAAACATGAATTTATTTGAGATGAATCTAATTCTAGTTAGTAGTGGGCCGCAGTCATGGTGGTTCAACCAAGCCAAATCGAATTGCATTTTTGGTTATCACACTGTCATCGGTGTGATTATGTGGATAGAAATGAATGTTGAGCCATGTTATTTGCTCTTTCAATGCGGTAGAATAACACGATTGTCCACCTCTAATTCTGACGTACGGTGATCTGACTTGTGTTGACATTTACATTTCTCAAACATGCTCTTCTCGTTGTTCTATACTCACACAAAACTATTTACAATTATCTTCACGTTCATACAGATCATCCATCTTCATAATAAGATTGCTGCAATTTTTACTTAAATTTCAATTTCTTTAAAATGAGATTCCTATGTAGTGACCTCTTGTTAAATTATGATTATGTGTTTTTGGGCTTGTTAGAAAAGTAAGAAATCTGTCGCCATTTTCACTTCTCACTATCATCAATCATCACATAAGCTATAGGCAAAACAAAACCAACATTATAAACTACTACCATATTCATCATTTTTTGAAGGTGACATGACATGGTCCTTGTGACTTGTGTTATTTTCTTCTGACCTTAGTATTTTTTTTCTTTTTGCAGATAATTATTTTTAAGCTATTTAAAGCTTATTGGACAGAAACTCAATATGTCATGTGTGATTAGTGATGTGATTAAAACGTTTTAAGTTAACTAATCCGCTGTCGTATTGCTAATAATTTTTTTGTTGGGGGGGTCAAAGAAAAGCGGCGCTTTGTGGACTTACATAGATCAAAGTGACGATTTATGGTACTGATTACGTAAAACCAGGTTTGACTTTTATATTTAGGGAAGATTCTCTTTGGTTAATTGGGTGAATTCTGGTTTTGTATCGATATGGAAGGTTCTGGTAACCATAACATTACTTTAATCTATTAGAAAGATGACATCTAATATAATTTACTCTTTTCAAGTAAAACTCAATTCATCGGTTTGATTTTTGTATAGACTCACCATACACTGTGTTTAAATCAACGGTTGATATTGTATTTGTCAGGATTTAAATATCAGGCCTCTTGATAGTCAGTAGCTTAGATACCATTTCTATGCCTAGTTGATCCCAAGAGAAAGATAAATATGAAAGCTTATACCATTCGCTTACACTATGCAATATACTATAATCTCCATTAATTGCCTTTCAACTTATTAATATCCTTTTACGCGATCCTCCTCGTTACGACCTTGGAAATGTAATGTCCAAATTCTACCTATTAAAACTAGTTGAGTTTCGAGACGACGAAAATCTCATATTAGAAATTCTTTCTTCGTTTAAAATGGATTTCAGATTCTTGACATCTTAATGGAAGGAAGTGGTTATGTATTACATACGGACCTCTCCCAACAATTCAAGTTATTGGAATCAATTTATTTATGACATGTTATTCGAGCTGGTTTGTCCTTGAGGTTCAACTTCTCACGACCCTCAATATTAACCATTGTCTTAATGCATATGGTAAATTGTAATGATGAGCATTTGACGAACAAGGGCTTGGTCTAGTGGTAATACCACTAGCCTAGAACCTGGAGGTCCCAGGTTCGAATCCCTTAAGTAGTACCTTAATCACAAAAAAGAAAATTATATCACCCTTATAAAAAAAAATGATGAGCATTTGCAAACTTCAAACCAATAAATAAACTTTCGATTGAGCATACGATATATACGATGTAAAGAAGTTGTTAACTAGCTTAACAAATAACATTTTATCTGGCCACAGTTATACATATAGCGATCGGAGGATAATATTTTTCTTAATCATAAAGGAGTTGAATTGCTTTTTTTTATATATAGCTATAAATATATATCAATTTCATTACATAGGCTTAACAAATAACAATTTATCTCGTTATATAATTGCTCGATCATCATGAAACTTCTAAATTCTAATATTAATTTCTTAGATGATCCGACAACAACCTCCGCTCATCCATCTCCAACTTGTAATTGTTTAATTAATTTTTTAATTGATTATATGTTAATTACCATTTACGTCCACACAAATCAATACCAATTAGTTAATTGTAATCGATCTCGTCATGTACTCTATATAATAATAATATGCATGGTCTAACGTTGATTTGTTAGGTAAAAATCAGTTAAGATTAACGGCCGGCTTCTTACTTCTTAAAAACAGCATAATTTAAAAATTAGCAATTGGGTTAAAAGTTAAAACTCAAGGCTTGCGTTTAAGAAAAAAATTGCATTGTCATTTGGGCCAAAAAAACATTATACTTTCTTCTAGAATATTTATTTTCTTTTTGGTTTAATCATCTCTATTAATGTGAACGAGGATTTGATTTAGTGATTTCGAATTCGAGTTTCAGTAAATTTTTGTTTTCTCTAAATAACCTTTCAGTAGCTTCTAAAACATAAAGTAATTTCAAGTAATTAACACAGTTAACTACACCACAACAAAGAGTACAGTTGATCAGGTTAGGCAGTTGTACCCATTTTGTCAATTAAGTGTCAAAATATCAAAAGCTCAAGTGTCATATGAAGATCAACCAACTCATGCCAACAATTCAAATTATCACGAGAACTCTAACAATAGATCTTATATGATTTTCTTACAAATTCCCGAAGTAACTCATATAAGAACTTAGAGAGATTGATTGAATAATGAATTGGTTTGTGGTACTATGAGGATAATTTAATCTAACCAAGTCAATATATACAAATGTATTACATCCACCCATTTACCCCATATAAAAATTTGATGTCTTCAAACATCATATTTAGATTAGTTCTAATTGACCCATTTAACAAATAGGTCATGTAGAGGTATTCCTAACAAGTGCAATTCTTTAAGTTCTAATTAGTATTCCTTTACAAAGATGCATGGTTATCTTCTTCTAATGCTTGATTAATTATGAAGTGGGGAGGGGAGTTGGTGTAGTAATCATCCACAATGACACCAAAACGACAAACTTTTTCACATAAAAATGAACTGTAGCTATCAATCATGAAGCATCATAAGCACAAATTTGAGGAAACAATCATCTATTGATTACTACAACTTCCTAACTAATGTGCTCAAGACTAATTGTCAATAATAGGGAGAGTCATGCTGAATGCGAATAAAAGTTTAGTCTAGTGGTATTATCACCGGTCATGACTCATCAACTTGTACATATCATGTTAGAATTTCTTGAGTGGCACTTAATGTAGGCCACGAACCCCCTCGCCTTAATGTAGCTTCGTCACTGTTCGCGAGAACTAAAATAAATCGGGTCTATTCAAAACTAAAATGTGTACAACCCAAACAATGAAATTTCATAATTGCTAAACCAAATGCTATCGACAATTTTGAAACCCAATTCCATCATTAAGAATTCATTCCCACCAAAGCAAACCACAAGAAATACAATTTTTGGTTTAGTCACACAAAACAACCAAAAAGTTTTAGAAAGTGACACTATTAAGTTCGATTTGTTCACTCTATTTTTAATTAACTCCAATCTCATCCTAATGGGTGAAGACTTTTCTGTCTCTTTGGCAAGTGAGGTGACCTGTCTGGCGTGGCCTCCACCATTGCTGGATTAAAAACACAGAGACAAGAGTTCACCATCATTGACTTAAACAAAGAACCTTGCCTATATGCGATTCACATAACTTCATCAAATTTAACAATCGAGAGACGATAGGTCGAGGTTTAATAAATTTGATCTGGTGACCAATCGAGCGGGGGTAACTATCCGACTTAAAAAGATTCATCGTTTCAGAGACGACTTTATTCTGGTAGATAATGAACCCGATAGCAAATGAAATAATGATTCGTGAATTTTGTTCGGGTTACTCTTATGCTCATACAATAGCCTCAAAGCAAACCAAAGGTCCAAATTGGTAACATGTTCCTTGTAATTTGTATCCACCTGATTGATACAAGGTACTTTATCAACGGAAAATAATACTCTCATGCATGCAAACTACTCCATAACATAAAGACACTAATCGTAACAATACTTGATAAACCGTACCCCTTAAATTGAATAATATTGTCTTATCAAAATTTATTTTCGCTTCGACGAGCTACTCCCCTACTATCATAAACCCTAGAATTTATTCTTCTTCTTTAAATTTTTTTTTAAATCAGAAACCCTAGACGATGGATGAGACTTTCCCCTTTGAAATAATTAATTATACATTCATTGGTTGGGTGGCTAAAAGGTGACATAATTGAACATGTATAATAATATGTTTAGGGGGTCCCCAGCGGTTTATGCTCGGAATATTCAAGCAAGTCGCAATTTGAAGCCACAATCTTCCGCCGCGATTCATTTTATATATCTGTTATTATTTTAGGGTTTGATTATTTTGTATCCATTCGATGATGCCCCAATTAATCGAAACTAACTCATAATTAGTGATGATGATGCAGTGGTGTGGGTTTGTAAAGTTGTTGGTCATACTAATTAGGGGCAATTGATCAATTAATGATCACATAGCTCGGGACGGGTACGTAACAGAATGACTCGAACATTCAAAATGCAATAAAAATGTCGCATATGTATCTCGATACAACAAAACTAATTGGGTATTTTGGATGGAAAGAGACAAAACGACTATAATTGTTATATCGTAATATTGTTTTAATACATTTTAAATGTTTGTGACCGTATTATTACATAACCAAACTAATTGTAGTAGCTCCAAGAAAACTTGGGAGTTTAATATCCATTAATCATTGTCTTACAATGATGAGTTCATTACATGTAATTATTAGTAATTAGGTGAAGAAAGGAACAAGAAATCAAAGTTAATAGGGTGAGTGTAAAGAGGCGGTATAAAACAAAAACTGCCTTTGAATTTCTTTTGATAATAAATTAAGTTATCAGGATAATAACTAGTTGATAGAATGTCATTTTTCTATGGTAATTTTCCGATTTTGAGCGTGAATGGTGAAATAAGATAAATCCGATTGTGTTTAGAGTGAGGAGACAATATAACTTTTTGATGTAAGAAGATGAGTATTAAGAAGGAAACGTCTAATCGTCTATACATCGAGTAGTTCATCAAAACGTAACTAGTGTGCTAGTTAGATGCTTGGAGGATCAAATCAAACACATGTTTTGTGAATGTGATTAGTAATGATTAGTGCAGCCAAATGAAAATTAAGATCAAAACACAAAATTAGTTCGTCTGTAAACTCGACTAGTATGGAATTCATAAAAAAAAACGCTTGACTGGTATGGACTTGCCATCGAAGAGGTATGAGGCACCGGATCTAAAAAATGGTCGTACTTGGCAGGAGAGTCAAAGTTACGCTCCTGCTCATAATGAGTTACGATAATCAAATATTATTTTGGAGAACTTCGTACATATACGTACATTTAACTCACGGCCAATTATTCGTAAAAAAAAAAATAATAATAATAATAACTCACGGCCAATGTCGTTAGTATTTACAAACTGAATTACTCGAGAACATACTTGTTAAATACCATGTTATTCTCCTTATCGACTAGGTGTGACATCCCATTTTAAACCCTTAAATCTTGATTTCAATGTTATTTAAACCACATACCAAATCAACCCTTAATTATTTTCTCTTGTCAAGTGGACACCTCACTTAAATTAGCTGGCTCTCTCTCTCTCTTTTCAATATGAATTGCTGACAAGATATTTTCTTTGAGAAGGCAAAATGACAAGTCATTATGCATAATTAACTATCAATTAGCAAGTGGGATGGGGCAATAAGGCCAAGAGTTTGGCTAATATCTTTGTCGTTGCAAAAAACTAGCTTGGACAGGGGATGTTGCCCTCCAATTCTATATTTAGTGCCCTTCACCAGTATGTTCCTTTGTGCCCTACCAGCTCACCATATATATTTTTCTCATTTCATTATACTACTTTGAGAATCGAAATCCTAATCGTGTTATGTAATAGCCAATGACGAGCTTTCAAATTAAATATAAAATCGGACGTAAATCTATAGAAACGGAATCTACGAGGCCAAATAATAACTCGATAAAATTACTTCCTCTATATATGAGGCAGACCTAAATGATCTGATGTGTAGATGTATAGTTATACAATCAAGTTACGCAACTATTATTCGATAATTAAACTGTTAAACTAGCTATAGAACATCAATGATCTCCTAAAATCTCCAAGCTAATGAGAAATTTCCAAATCATTTTAGGCACCTAACAAATAACAATCCACCGTTTTCACATTTGACTTTGTTTTCTTTTATTATTAAATTTTTATTTTTTTAGGGAATTTGAGTTTAGGGTCCTAGACTCCCTAGTAGTTGCTAAAAATAATAATTGCAACAACCTATAGCTAGTTTGGTAGCGTTTAATTTGGTACACTCATATAATTGAATGCTCAATCGTTGTCCTCCACGCTCACAATGTTATGTTTGGCGCCACACTTTCCCGTTTGTTAATCAATAATATAAATTTGGGCTAAATTACAAAATTGGTCACTGGCCGTTAGTCTCCGTAAACTTTTACCGATGTAGCGCTCAACACTTATAGTTGACCGTTAAATGACTGACGTGGCAATTAAAAAATTAAATTTTTTTATTTTCCACCTTACGTTCATTAAAAAATAAAATTAAAACAAAACCTAATTTCTCTTCTTCTACCAGCCTCACCCCTCTCGTTGTCTTCTCCCCTACGCCATGGTTGTTTTTGGCACCGTCATTCTCCTCACCCTCTGCCTCCAAAAATCCATCCCCGTTGCTGCTTAATTCTCACCCATCCACCTCTGTCGCCGCAGCCCATCGCTCACCAGTCTCAATCTCTGCGATCTTGCATCCCTTTCATAAAAGCTTTGGTAGCAGCGACGTTCGATTTAACCCGCGAAGTTGGATGCTTTCTACCAATTCTCAAATTCGTTGCTGTAGCTCGGGGGGTCTCCGGGGGCAGGGATAATGGATAGATAATTTCTCTCTCTCAAAGCACGAGAGAGTCTACCAGTCTATGTCCTTTGAGAAAGGCTAAAAAAACTGGAGTACTAAGCTTGCGTGTTGATGTGATGACTTCTCCATCACTTGCAGAATGGCTAATGTTATTGTTGTATCCATCTCCGTAACCATCTGTTGGAAATGAATAACTTTGAAAGCTATAGAGTTTCAAGGTGGAAAAACTACCACATTGGTAGTTTTACTTTGGTGAAATATGTATAAAGATATGAGCCTCTCTCCTAAGGGAAATGCCCCTTGGGGTGATCCACTTTTGTGGGAGAGGGAGGACCTAACGGATCACCACACACACACGTGTCGTCGGTCGTTTGGGTGGGTGGGTCAGCTTGAGACTATAATTTTCGAGAAATTTCGAACAAAATTAATTAATAATTAATCGGTTATTCTTTATCCTAGATAAATACGAGTTGGAAGAGGATAATCGATTAAAACGGAATATTCGAAGGATAATCTAGCAGGATTTATCTTAACCGACTCGGTTTTAATTAAGGAGTAAATATCTTCTTAATTACCATGACTTATTCCCCACGAAAGAGGGTATACTCCTAGGGGTTCGGCTCCTATAAATAGCTGCCTCCCCAGCCCCTCTAAACACACCACAACGAGCAGAAACACAATAGAGAGAGTGTTCAGAGAGCTCAGGTTTTCGCACAAAACCATCGAGCATACGAGTGGAGCCGTTTTATCATGAAGACGACTGGTTGATAGTCTGTTGTGCGAATCGAGAGCAGTGCCACGAACGTCTTAAAGAGAGCGACCTAGTCCGCGACTCAGCTCCAGATTCGGTAACCTCATTCTCGGTTGTTGTTCCATTTCTAACACCATCCTTTGAAGATCCTAAATGATCCTAAATGATTCTTTGAAGCTCTGCATGAATGATGGAAAAACTTCTCAAATTGATGGTGTAGACCTCAATAAGCAACCCTGTCATTTTTGTGTGACCCTATCTTCCCCAAAAAAACACTCGTGTTCACGAGACTCTATTAGATATGCAAAACAAATTTGTACAAATTGAAGAACAAAAATCGAATTGCACACAATCAATCGGAAAGAGAACGGAGACTTTTCGAAACAACGAAATATCACTTTCATATTTAATTAATACTTAACTATAAACCAATTTTCAAATCCATTTCTGCCTTTCCCCCCCAATGATTAATCAATACCCATTTATGCATTTTAATTTATTTCCAAATGTTTCTCCAAGCCCACACTATAAATACCATGAAAACTGTAAGTTGACTTATCATAGTTTACCTTACTCTGTTTCCAACTAAAGCTCCTCTGCCTTTCAGTTCTTCCAACAACTCTTAAAACTCTCTTTGATGATGGAACTCGAAGCAACCCATTTTCCCTTCTATCCACCAATCCATGAAACCAATCACTACCATCTACAATGCACCTTAGAAGAAGTCCTTTTTTCTTTCCAAACGGAAGATCTCGAAGAACCAGTTCTTTCCGATAGCTCGAGCGGATGGGAGATCAACAGACTGCTGGAGATCGAGTCCGATCTCTTCATGGACTTGAGCACCAGCTCCTCTCCCGTCTTCGGTCTCGACTCCGCCGAATTAACTCCACTGACGGAGGAAGATGAGGAGATGGTCACAATTGGCGACGGAGAAACAACAGAAGCAGTCACCGAAGCAGAGTTCGTCGTTAAAAAGGGATTGGATTCTCCATTGATGGAAGAATACGAGGAGAAGAGGCTGCCAAGCCTGCTATTGATGGGAGCTGAAGCCATCGAAGCAGAGAACTTTCCGCTCTGTTCCTCAGTTATCTCCGAGCTGACTCAGCTTGGAAGTATCGTCGCCAAAACCGGCGACGCCTCTCCTTCGTCGTTAGAAAGGCTGGCCTGGTTCTTCACTCAGGGGTTGCGTCACAAAGCCCAAATGACTACTTTTAGCAACGAAATTTTGCGACAGTTCCAACAACAGCCGCCAGAGCCTCCAACTTACTCTGTTTCATCCCCTGCTTTCCACATTCTCCAGGAGCTCTCTCCATACATGAAATTCGGCCACTTCACAGCCAACCAAGCAATTCTAGAAGCCACGTCGGACAATCGAAACATCCATGTCATCGATTTCGACATCAACGAAGGTCTCCAGTGGCCCCCACTAATGGCTGATTTAGCAGCAGGAGGAAGCTCCCCTGCCTCCCTGAGACTCACGACATTGATCTTGAAGAACCACAATGGCACTAATTTGGCCATGGTGAATCAAACGGGAAGGTTGCTGACGGAGTACGCCAAATCGATCAACTTATCGTTCGAATTCGAGGCGGTAGAGATGGAGAACGAGGTCGATTTGGATCCCATTCGAGTCGATGAGAGCCAAGTTCTCGTAGCGAACTGCATGATCCACCAGCTCCATACTCCAAACAGAAGCTTCCCATTGCTGAAAACTTTCCTCTCCGGGGTAACGAATCGACTTTCGCCGAAACTAGTGGTGTTGGTGGAGGAAGAGGTGTACAACTTCGAGAAAATCCCATCAATGTCGTTCGTGGAGTTCTTCTGTGAGGCTATCCACCATTACACTGCGCTATCTGAGGCGTTGTCCGCGGATGGGATCGGTGGGATGGGGTTGGAGATGATGGAGAAGGAAGTTTTGGGAGTGAGGATAGTGAATAGCTTGAGGGAGTTTCCTTGTGGGGCAAGTGAGAAGTTGGAATGGGGGAATGGGTTTGAGTCTTTGCAAAGACTGTTCAAGGCAAGAGCTTTTAGTCACTATAATGTGTCTCAAGCTAACTACTTGGTGAGCTTGTTTAGTGGTGGCTATTGGGTTCAACATGAGAGGAATCGGTTGGCATTGTGTTGGAAGTCTAGGCCTTTGGTGACGGCTTCGATTTGGTTGCCAAAGTGTGGAAGGAAGAGAAAGAAGTAGGCATTCTAGTCCGAATTGTTAAGGGTGTCATTAGGACTCTTTTACGATGTTTCTGTAGGAGTGGAGGCGTTCTTTTTTCGTAGCATTAGGTTTGTGCGGAGATTAGAGTGTTTATTAAGAGTAGAGAAGACTTCTATTTCATTGTACATATTATGAATATGATGTTATCTGGGGTGTACTTTAAGTCTAATATTGATGATCATATGAAATAGTTGATAGTCAATATGTTTATGTAGTGATAAGTGATGGTTCGATTTACTGAACAGTTAGAGTATTTATCTAGACAAGGATGTAAAAAAGGAAAGAAGGAAGGGGAATTTGAGCTAGTAATTCGTTTGTAAATACTATGAAAATGATGTTACTTATAATGCACAGTAAGTTGCACCGATGTTACACGAAAATGACAATGACAAGTAGTCGGTATACTAATTTCATTTATGAACACGAAGATTTTAAGACAAGAGATTTTATCATTCAAAATTTAAGTATTTCCTTCTTGGACGTTCCTAAAATTAAGTAACTCAACATTTTTTTTTACACAAAGGGATGGATAGAATCATAGAGTACTCATATAAAAAAGACTAATCCCCACCTAAACTATCACGAAACCCTTAGATAATAGTGTTTATACCAACTAACTAACTACATAAATTAATCTATTCTAACCCAAATTGGAGGTGCGACATCTAGGCAAATAAAAAGTGTCTTGATGATGAGTATGTTTTGGCGACCAAATAGAGTGCTTAATAGTTCTATAATAATGTCTTAATCGTCATGATAGTGAGGTTGTTAATAAGAGCCTCCATCTAATCACCTATAAGAAGCAATATAATGTTTCTAAGTATTATGAGTATGATGTTGTTTTCATGATGCAATAGTGGTGCCGTTGACCATTGTTTAAATGAGAGGCTTCTATTAGCACCCAATTTGGCTCTCCTTTTGGCTTCATATATGACGTGAGAGACAGTTTTTCTTGTCTGCGATTGAATAAAGCAAGTTGAAATATTTCTTTTAATAACCCCGACTACAAACGCATACGTTCGAGATTACTCTGATCTCGTGTATAATTTTAATGATTGTTCGATCATCCTATATGGTGATAACAGTCTTCCATGAAGAATCATGATCCATTTCAACTGATTGCTGCAAGGAGAAAACTAATTAGATTGCTCATTCAATTATGCATACATGATCTTCTTTCTTTCTAACTGAATTCATATTCTTGATCTTCTCTCGCGGTCGCGTATTAATGACATAAATATGTTATTTCCCATTACTTTTAGTAACTAGTTTAAAGAATCCTCCAAAGAATCAGGGGATTGTAATGTTCTTTACCATAAGCGACAGAGAGTGACTGCAACTCTGCAAGTTAAAAAGACAGCAGCACAAAGAACAATCTGCACAAGTCAATCTGCATGCAATATAGAAAGAAAGAAAAAAACCCCCAAAAGTTAAGACATGTCATTTGATTCCATGCAACCCACAAATAGCCAAACACTAAAAGGTCACAACTTTATGCTTCTTGTTGAAATGGACAGGTGTCTGTACAGTCATCCTATCTCTATCCAGCATTTCATTTTTAAAACCTTTTTCTCAAGTCAACCATGCTCTTACCTCATCACATTGGAAGATGCCAAGTGATGGTGGAAGATTACCAATCGTCCAATCTTTGCTGGAGCAGTAACTTGTAGGAGAAAGAGTGAAGCTTTGACTGAGAAAAATGGTTAAATGATGACTGGTTTGAGAGTCATTGGTTGCCTGTTCATGGGTGGACCTTTTGTGTCTTGCAGGTTAAAAAGTGTTATCAGCTATTACAGGCTCTTCTGTGATAAGATTGCAAGCCACATTCTTCTCATTGTTCTGTGCCACAATGGTTAAAGACTATGCAACCATATATACATACATATGAACACACTTGCAGTGTACTTACAGGAGTTGCTTTGCTACAAGAGGACACTGTTATAACCAGGGAAAGGATCCTGCAATGTCTCTTCGTCTGATCTGGCTCTTAAGATAATGGGTTGGATTTCCCAATTCTGTTTCCTTGCCCGACAAGAATCGATGACCATAGAACTCTTCAAAAGACAGTCTGTGCTCTGCAGCAATGGAAAATGGAACAACCGCACCGGATTATTAGTTATTACTCTTCCTCTCGAGTAAGTGAGCGATAACAAGAATCAAGTTCGGTTTAAGGTAAAGAAGCTTGAATCACATCGAACCTGGGTTTGGAGAGAGCAGTTTTGAGCATACATCTATGCAGTCAGGATGCAACTGTGGAAGTACGAGTTGAGAGAAAGGAAGATGCGCGGATGACTTGATATTCTGCAGCAGCTGAAGCAAGGTAACCAGAACCAGATTAGTTTTAGAATGTGAAGAACATCATTCGGAGAAATGTTTCCAACTTTACAAGACATATATTCTACCTGGACATTACTTCGGCCATGAAAAGGTGGGTACCCATTGAGAAGTTCGAAGAGAATGGCACCAGTACTCCACATGTCAACCTATATGAATCATACCTCATTTCCCAGATTACTCAAGTTGGAAGATAAAGAACGACAGGAAAGAAATAGATAGAAAGATCTTCACCTTAGAACTGTATCTCTGGAATTGAAGAACTTCAGGAGCCATATACAATGGAGATCCACAAACTGTTTCTGCATACTTGCCCGGATGTATGCCTCTGCATTGTTCGGCACACTAATTTTCTTTAGAATAGAGAAAGTAATAAACTTAAATCCAATAGAGTAGGGGAATAAGAACAAGAACAAGAGTTAGTGTCTATTCCTCCACTGTGTTATTTATCTTAGCTTATTCCACTGGTGTGTAAACATAGCATAAGAGAGCACCTAGACCTTAAAATTACCTCGATAACCCAAAATCAGCGATCTTGAGAACCAGATCATCATCTTCTTGACCACTAAGTAGAATATTCTACATCAATCATCAAAGCAAAAGTGAACACCAGGCTTAGAGAACTAATCATTTAGATAGACAAGCAGCCTTTCGGTAACATGTTCAGGATTCGACATTCTCATACCTCTGGTTTCAAGTCTCTATGAACAATATGATGGCTGTTTAGCACTTCTAAACCAGCCCCTGCATTCCATTTCGCATTTACGTCATGCAAGCTTGACAGACATCTATAGGCAGAACAAAGATGTTTTACATCTATAAAACAGTATCAAATTGCCACCTAGTTGTTGCATGAATCTTCTTGCAGCTTTCTCTTCAACTCTCCCATGATTTCGAATATAAGCAGCCAAATCTCCCAAGCCACAGAACTCCAGTACCATGAACACAGAATCATCATCCTGTAAACCAAACTGGATTAGCTTCATCGAGCCTAATTCAATGCACACAACCTAATCGAAAAAACCACATATAAGCATTTGCTGAACTGGAGAAACTCATTACTTATTTCAACTTAACTTAACAGTACAGTGAAACTACTCCATTCTTTGCTCAATTATATCCATTCGGCTATCAAAATCGGTTTAGGAAATGAATAACAACCAAGGGCAAAAGCCAGCAAATTGGTTTAGCAATGTGCAAACCCATGTCGAATTGAGATTCCTGAGCACTATAAATTCAAGGAAGAACCTAAAATTCACCAATTACAAGTTCATCCATCCATGAACCAAACCCTGGAAGAAGCACAAACCCCTCCAGAGTTCGGTTGAATTGTAACATAAAGGTTCAGTCTTTCTACTATAAACAGCAGTAGAGAACGAGGGAAATAGAGAACCTGGAAGAAATGGAAGAGTCGAATTATGTTGGGATGGTGGACGGATGACAAGAAGCCAAGCTCGCAATCCAGACAGTCCTTCATGTGTTTGTTGAGCTTCGACAGCTGAACTTGCTTCACCACCACCGTTTCTCCCGTTGCTTTCCTCTCAGCTTTCCATACCGTCGACGACGAGCTCTCTCCCAGTTTCGATTTCAGAACATAGTCTCCGACCACCGCCGCCGCTCCGCCGTTCATATCCCCCGATGAAAATCAAGACACTATGCAACCGAAAATGCCAGAAGTCCAGAACCGTCAATTTCAATGAGGGATTTCGCCATAAGTTGGAGGAGTTTACCAGGAAAAGAAAGAAAACAGTGGAGAAGGGACCAACTTGTAAATTTTGCTACAAGTTGAGAACTTGTTTGCAACTTAGCCCACTACTACTTATAGAGAGAAGAGAAGCGAAGCTGGAAAACGAGGGAAACATTCAATAACCATGGCGCCCTCGAACAAGAAAGGCAAAGGAAAGGCGGGTTCGGCAGATTCCAAAGCGTCTACAGTACCAAAACCTTCCACCGCCGGCGACTTCCCTTCATGTCTTCGGTCAGTGCCTCCGTCGTCGGTAGCCATCACCATCCACGCCAAGCCCGGCGCCAAATCCGCCTCCATCACAGGTAGGTTTTCTCTCTTCTTTCATACCATAATTTCTGTATCTCTAATTCTTCCATTTATTGGCGTCTCTCTTATTTGTTGTGGGGTTTGTTTGCTGTGTGAAGATAGATGTCAGTGACGAGGCAGTAGGAGTTCAGATCGATGCCCCTGCAAAGGACGGCGAAGCTAACGCAGCTCTACTCGATTACATCAGCTCTGTAAGCTACAACTCGAAAATTTTTTCACTAAATTTCGCAACTTTCTTAGAATTGGGGAGATGGGTTGTATAGTGAGAAAGAATATGGTTCTGGGTCATAAGAATTTGACATGGTTGGTCCAGATTTTCTTCATTGGTGAGCTACTCTAATGATGTTCCAGTCGATTCTGCTCGTTGTAGTTATGTTCTGGCCTGAATAGGAATTGGCCTGTGAAAAGCAACATTGAGATGATTTTGGTTGGAGAGAATAGAGTTCACTCTTAGATCAATCATGGTATTATCATTAAATTACTTATGATTTACTTGCTGGTTTGAGTTATGTAACCACAGGATTCATTCACTTAGTCTAGTTCATTTGAGTTAGATCTTGAAGGCGGAACAGTAGCAGCTGTTGAGTTACTGGCGAGATGATCATATTGTCATCGTTGAGTATTGCTTTTATGCTCAGTTTAGGAGTCTTGGCTGACCTTTTTGCATCTGTTGGAGTTTGGGCGAGAAGTAAAACACTTATGTTTGAATGAGGCCTTTCTTTCCTAAAGAAAATGAGCTAGTTAAGAAAAGGGGCCTTCTGCAGCATGAACTGAGGCATAATATGTATTAGCATTCCTCAAAGTTACGAATTGGTTTAAATAGTGCATAGTTGTTAAGCTGCGTTAGTCGTTACTTATTACTAATGGCGATCACTTTCGCGAAGGGCTTCTAGATAGTATTCTTTCCTGAGGATAATTGCCATTTGCTTATAGCTGACAAGGGCAAATTGACAGCTCAAGGGTTCTAGCTAGTCGCTACTGCTAATGGTATAGAATTATCTTTTGGTAGCTTTCACCCATTATTAGCTACATAAGTTGTCTGAAACATAACTTTGAATTGTATATTTCAATGGGTTATGCAGTAGTATCTGCTTTTTGTTTGTTTGTCCGGTCTTACTCAGCTTCTCAAGCTATCCTCAGGCTCAGCCCTCATGGATTCTTTTACTTGATGGCGAACAACAGGTGTTAGGCGTGAAGAGAAGACAGGTATCCCTCGGTGCTGGGTCGAAATCGAGAGACAAGGTCGTAATAGTGGAGGAGTTAACCATACAAGATGTCTTCAGTGCTTTGAAGAAGAGTCAAGACTTGAAATGAAAGTGGTTGTTTTCTCTTTACACAGCAAAGTCACATTGAATGAGGAATAGTTAAGCTTAATGTATGGGCACAGCCAGCACTGTTGTTTATACATCTCCCACCATTTGGTGGGACAAACTAGGAGATGGAGGTTACCTGTTGCTTGATGTTGAAGGCAGGTGGTTGTTGCCATTTTGGCTGGAGATTTGTAAAAGGTTGAATGGAGAAATGAACTTTTTAGCTTTTTACCTCTTCTTTTCCTTATTGTCTGAGTTCTCAGAAGACAAAAATGGAGATTTACAAAGAATGAAAGACAGTATCTCAACCTTTTATCATGAATGCAGTAAGCAATCCAGTTCACAAGAAGCAACATTAATGAAAGCATTTAAGGTTTAGGCATCGCATACACCTAAACACAAGCATCGCAAAAACTAAGCCCATCCCACTATCTACATCCGATCTAGTAAGTTGCAGAAGAAACCCTACACAATGTACAAGATCATTCATGCTTCAGATTTGGTCTCCTCATCTTCGTCCTCTTATCTTCAAGCCAAGTATAAATCTAATATGGCCCTTCTCCATCTCGTATTCAACAACCATAAGGCGAACTGCAGAGAGACTGAGAGTTAATGTATTGGACAGTGGAGTTGCCTTCCTGATGGAGTTCATATCTTTCACAGCAAAGGTCAGGGAGATCTGCCCTTTCATCTGTATGATCGTTGCTTCCTCTGGCTGAAAATATGCCAAGAAATATCTCAAATCAACGAATGTGTCCACAAGAGACTATGAGAGAACCCACAACAAGTTGTCAACGATTGTCTTATGCCTCAAAACGAGATTGGCCTTTTCCAGTAGTGGAGAACTTCACACTTTCTTTGGTGAGCGTTATCAAAACTACAACAAGCAATCAGCAAATAATATCCAGCTTCTGGTCATCAGCCAAAAAGACTCTACAGTGCAATGGAAAACGTTGATTGAAGGAAATAATGCAACGCTAAGGGAGGGGAAAAAGCCAATGACTGAAACCAACATGACACTTTCATGTAATGAATTCTGTGTGGTAGCAACAAACAGCAGTGCCTGATCAAAAACTATTTGGTAATACCAGATAGACAATTCAAGTTTAAAATGAAGGGGAAAATATGCAGAACAAACTTCACTCACATTTCCAGAACGCTAAAACACCTATACGCGGCAAGCACCATGCACAAAAATAACCCGTCTAAAGGAACAATCGCGTCTGATTCCACTGAACCACCAGCCCCTCAAGCTCATCAGCCTAAACAAACCAAGGCAAACAAACACAGACAATTCGTCTGAACTGAACTTCCCATCCGAGTTCACCGAACCATAATCAACAAAGAAAAGGAAATCAGAGCCAGTAGAAAAGGAACTCAGAGCCGGCCGATTTGCCAAAGCCATAATCCTCCCTCAAGGCAACGAAACTTTCCTGCTGTCTGAGGATTGCGGCCGGGGGCTATAAAAGGCCTCTTCTTAGTTCTTACCACTAAAAAACATTCCCCACCCGCACTCCCGCTCCCCACACCAAACGAATGCTGAATCTAAAAGCTCTCTTCTTAGAAATCTTCACTCCTCTTTACCTCTTCCCCCCTCACCACCACAAAGCTCAAGAAAGCGATGAGGTCCTTCTTGCTCTCCATCGCAATTGTCGGTCTGGTTCACATCGATCAATGGCGGTTCTGGAAGGCGCAGCCGTATCCACCATCTCGGTGGGAGAAGAACCACAGGCGGCTGATTCTCCGGTGTTAATCGAGGCGGTGAACAATGTACAGGTGGCAACGAGGCTTCTAGAAGTTGAATCGGAGATTTCCGTCAATTCGGAGACGTGATTGATCCGCCGCCGTTCTTTGGACCTTGCTTCGGTTCCTCAACCACAGCGGCTCTCCACTCCTCGTCAAGCTGGACGTGTACCAGTACTACAAAACCTACGCCTATCCACTGCCTTTCGCCCTTTCCAACCGCAAGGCAATCAAAGCTTCTCCTCTTTGGATCCGCTAGCCGAGCGCTATCACAGCCTGTTCGATCTCATGCTCACCGGTGTCGTCGAGGTTCTGAAGAAGTCAGGTTATCACACTCTTCCGGTCGTCGTCGCAGAAACCGGTTGGCCCAGCTCCGACAACAGGAGCCATCCCGAGGCAAATGGCGAGAATGCATCCATGTTTTGGAAGGGAATCGTACAAGGTGTTGTTCAAAGCCGAACACCCGTCAGAGTCTTTCTTCGCCAGCTCGTGGATCCACAACCGGGCGGTTTGGGCTGGGGTATCCTCTCCCGCGACTTCACCAAGATCTACCTCAATCCACTTTGCCCTGAATCCTCAGTGGGGCGTCGTTGGGGTAGATCTTGGTGAAGTTGCGGGAGAGGATACCCCAGCCCAAACCGCCCGGTTGTGGATCCACGAGCTGGCGAAGATAGACTCTGACGGGTGTTCGGCTTTGAACAACACCTTGTACGATTCCATTCCAAAACATGGATGCATTCTCGCCATTTGCCTCGGGATGACTCCTGTCGCCGGAGCTGGGCCAACGGGTTTCTGCGACGACGACCGGAAGAGTGTGATAACCTGACTTCTTCAGAACCTCGACGACGCAGGTGAGCATGAGATCGAACAGGTTGTGATAGCGCTCGGCTAGCGGATCCAATGCGGAGAAGGTGTGATTGCCTTGCAGTTGGGAAAGGGCGAAAGGCAGTGGATAGGCGTAGGTTTTGTAGTACTGGTACACGTCCAGCTTGACGAGGAGTGGAGAGCCGCTGTGGTTGAGGAACCGAAGCAGAGGTCCAAAGAACGGCGGCGGATCAATCACGTCTCCGAAGTGACGGAAATCTCCGATTCAACTTCTAGAAGCCTCGTTGCCGCCTGTACATAGTTCACCGCCTCGATTAACACCTCAGAATCAGCCGCCTGTGGTTCTTCTCCCACCGAGATGGTGGATACGGCTGCGCCTTCCAGAGACGGCTGTGCCTTCCAGAACCGCGATGCGAACCAGACCGACAATTGCGATGGAGAGCCATCCACAATGCGCGGGGCCATCCTTGAGAAATTGGGCCTGCCGATCTTTGAGTCCAAAATCCTAGTGAGGTAATGTTGTAAATGGAAAGCTGTCCAGTCTAGTTCAGTTCCCCAAACTTTTTTTTTTGTGTGAACAAACCAGTCCTAAAAAGGAGAAATATTCATTGCCTGGTGCTTTCTTTTGGTGAACTGAGGAGCATGTTAGCGTCGATGTCAATATCTCATCATTATCTTCAACTGAGCAGCATGCTAGGAGAGAGATGGCATATGAAGCTTTTTTTTTTTCCCTTCTTGTCTTTGATCAGTAGTTTGCCCATTGTACCTATATGCATAAGAGAAATGACGAAAAAAGGAAGCAACCTTTGTCATTTGTTGATTCTACTTTGCTGTCCAGTTGTAGAAGGATTTTCATTCATGGTTGGACAGGCAGCATTTTGCCACAATCTACAATGTCGACTCATTAATGACTTTACTCATCTTCTGCAGTTAAGTTGCAGAAAGCTACTACATTCTAACATTTGACGCATGCTAGAAATGGGTATCAAATCACATCACAACAAATAAACGGTATAGGGAGAACTGAGGATAAGTAAGTAACAACCTCATAAATCTGAACATTAATCGATTGCACTACAATACCCCCAAAAATTCATATATACAACATTCTAGGAAGCACAGACGAAGGATTGTTATGTCAGCCTCGGCTTGATGGGTATGAATCAATCATATACTGCACTACATCCAGAATTCCATATGTACAACATTGAGGGAAAAGCATGCTCTATATCGGCCTTCAGGTTAAGTCCACTTGCGGCCTGATGGATACGTAGCAAGACTGGAGGCAGCCCACATACCCAACTTGCAAACTGGATGCACAGAGCTGGAAGAACCCAATTTCTTCCCCCAAGATTTCATGCAACTAGATGACAAGCTTTGTTCAATCCTCCATTTCAGTTCGCCCGCCTGTAGATTCTTTCCTAATCTTCAAATTGAGGACTGTAATACTTTTTCCCTCCATATGTTGAATCTTCATTGAATCTCAATACTCGGTCATACTGTATTCTTGTCACTTCATTTGGAAGCGTCTGAACTCCATCAAGAGTATTGAGAATTTGATAATCCAACGGATCAAGAAGGGTATAGGGAATGCCACTTCATATGCTCGATCAATGGTTTTGAATATCTCACCAGCCTGTGAATGCTTGCTAACATCAGGATGGTCCTGTATAAGAAACACAAAGAAATGAACTTTTTAGCTTTTTACCTCTTCTTTTCCTTATTGTCCGAGTTCTTAGAAGACAAAAAAAAATGGAGATTTTACAAGGATTTGTGAAAGAAGTATCTCAACCTTTTACCATGAATGCAGTAAGCAATCCAGTTCACAAGATTCAACATTCAGAAACTAAGTAAAGAACAATGTAAGCACTTAAGGTTGAGGCATTGCATACGCCTAAACACAAGCATCACAAAAACTAACCCCATCCTACTATCTACATCAGACTAGTAAGTTGCAGAAGAAACCCTACAGAATGTACGAGATCATTCATGCTTCAGATGTGGTCTCCTACTCAGATGTGGTTTCCTCTTCTTCGTACCATTATCTAAATCAGACTAGTAAGTTGCAGAAGAAACCCTACAGAATGTACAAGATCATTCATGCTTCAGATGTTGGTCTCCTCTTCTGCGTCCTCTTTATCTTCCAAGTCAAGTATAAATTTGTTATGTCCCTTCTTAATCTTGTATTGGACAGTGCAGTTGCCTTCCTGATGGAGTTCATGTCTTTCAAATCAAAGGTCATGGAGACCTGCTCTTTCATTTGTATGATCGTTGCTTCCTCTGGCTGAAAATATGGCAATAAAAATCTCAAATCAACAAATTTATACACAACAGACTATGAGAGAACTCACAACAAGTTCTCTAAGCGAAACAGAAGAGAGAATATCTCTTACCTTGTCAACTGTGGTCTTTATGCCTCAGAACGAGATTGGCCTTTCCAGTACACCCCTAGTGGATAATTTCACACTTTTTTTGGTGACCGATATCACAACTACACAATCCAAAGAAAATTGCCTTTCACATCCCAAAAATTCACAAAAATGTCATCCGAAAATAAATTGGCACAAATCGGTGCTTAATGGAACTATCATTTGTGGATAATAAGGTCAATAGACTTCATTATTGGTGGAGAATAATCTCGGCATGAATCCTTGATCTGTAGCCTCCAAAATCGAAAGAAAATGCCCCGAAATCTGTGATGGTACACTTTTGGAATCTGCCAAAAACTGACCGGGAGATATTTGCCCAAATCAGTGCTTAATGGACTTAATCATCATTGAAGAATATCCTCTGGCCGAATCCGTGATCTGTAGCCTTCAAAATCCAAAAAATGGAATTTCGTCGACCAAAAAATTACAAAAATGTCATCCGAAAATAAATTGGCCCCATTCGGTGCTTAATGGACTTATCTTCTGTGGAGAATAGAATCAATAGACTTCATTATCTTTGGAGAATAGCCTTGGCCTGAATCTGTGATCTGTAGCCTCCATAGTAGAAAATGTCGTTTCGGGAAAATCGCCAGAAATCTGTGACGGTACCCCTTTGGAATCTGCCAAAAATTGACCCAGAAGAAATTCACCCAAATCGGTGCTTAATGGACTTAATCATCGTTAAAGAATAGCCTCAGGCTGAATCCGTGATATGTGGCTTTCAAAATCCAAAGAAAATGGCCTTTCATCTCCCAAAAAATTACGAAAATGACATCCGGAAATAAATCGGCCCAAATTGGTGCTTAATGAACTTATCATCCGTGGAGAACAGAAACAATAGACTTCAATATCGGTGGAGAATAGCCTCTGCCTGAATCCTTAATCTGTAGCCTACACATCGGAAGAAAATGCCATTTCGGGAAAATCGCCCGAAATCTGTAATGATACCCCTTTGGAATCTGCCAAAAATTGACCTGGAAAAATTTCTCCCAAATCGGTGTTTAATGGACTTAATCATTGTTGAAGAATAGTCTCTTACTGAATCCGTGATCTATAGCTTTCAAACTCCAAAGAAAATGGCATTTCTTCGTCCAAAAAAATTACGAAAAGGCCATCCAAAAATAAATTGGCTCGAATCGACACTTAATGGACTTACCATGCGTGGAGAATAGGATCAATAGACTTCATTATCGGTTAAAAATAGCCTCGGCCTGAATCCGTGATTTGTAGCCTCTATAATCGAAAGAAAATGCCATTTCGGGAAAATCGCCCACAATCTATGATGTTACCCCTTTGGAATATGTTAAAAACTGATTCGAAAGAAATTCGCCTAATTCGGTGCTTAATGGACTTAATCATCGTTGAAGAATAACATCAGACTGAATTCGTGATCGGTAGCATTAAAAATCCAAAGAAAATGGCCTTTCACCGCCCAAAAATTTACGAAAATGAAATCCGAAAATAAATTAGTCCAAAATGGTGCTTAATGGACTTATCACCCGTGGAGAATAGAATCAATAGATTTCATTACGGTGGAGAATAACCTCAGCCTGAATCCGGGATCTGTAACCTCAAGAATCGAAAGAACATGCCATTTCTGGAAAATCCTTCGAAATTTGTGATGGTACTCTTTGAAATATGCCTAAAATTGACCTGGAAGAAATTCGCCCAAATTGGTGCTTAATGGACTTAATCATCATTGAAGAATAGCCTCAAGCCGAATCCGTGATTTGTAGCCTTCAAAATCCAAAGAAATTGGCCTTTCGTCGCCCAATAAATTACGAAATGCCATCTGAAAATAAATTGGTCCAAATCGGTGCTTTATGGACTTATCCTCAATGGAGAATAGGATGAATAGACTTCATTATCGGTGGAGAATAGCCTCGGCCTGAATCTGTGATATATAGCCTCCATAATCGAAAGAAAATGTCATTTCGGGAAAATAGCACGAAATCTGTGATGGTACCCCTTTGGAATCTACCAAAAATTGACCCGGAAGAAATTCGCCCAAATTGCTACTTAATTGCCTAAATAATCGCTGAAGAATAGCCTCAGGCCGAATCTGTGATACGTAGCCTTCAAAATACGCAGAAAATGGCCTTATGTCGCCCAAAAAATTATGAAAATGCAATCCGAAAATGAATTGACCCAAATTAGTGCTTAATGGATTCATCATACATGGAAAATAGGATCAATAGACTTCATTATCAGAGGATAATAGCCTCGGCATGAATCCATAATATGTAGCCTCCAGAATCGAAAAAAATGTCATTTCATGAAAATTGCCTGAAATCTGTGATGGTACCACTTTGGAATCTGCCAAAAATGGACACGGAAGAATTTAGCCAAAACCGGTGCTTAATGGACTTAATTATCGTTGAAGAATAGCCTCGGACCGAATCTGTGATCTATAGACTTCAAAATCAAAAGAAAATGGTCTTACGTCGACCACAAAATTACGAAAAATGTTATCCAAAAATAAATTGTCCCAAATCGGTGCTTAATGGACTTATCATCCATGGAGAATAGGATCAATAGACTTTATTACCGGAGGAGAATAGTCTAGGCCTGAATCAATATTTTAGGATCCAGAATCGAAACAAAATGCCATTTCGGGAAATTCGACCGAAATCTGTGATGATACATACCCCTTTGCAATCTGCCAAAAATTGACCTGGAAGAAATTTGCCCAAATCGGTGCTTAATGGACTTAATCATCGTTGAAGAATAGCCTCAGGCCAAATCCGTGATCTGTAGCCTTCAAATTCCAAAGAAAATGGCCTTTCGTCGACCAAAAAATTACGAAAATGTCATCAAAAAATAAATTGGCCCAAATCGGTGCTTAATGAACTTATAATCTGTGGCGAATAGGATCAATAGACTTCATTATCGGAGAATAATAGCCTCAGCCTGAATAATTAATCTTTAGGCTCTAGAATCGAAAGAAAATGCCATTTCGGAAAAATCTCACCAAATCTGTGATGGTACCTCATCGTAATCTGCCAAAAATTGACCTAGAAGAAATTTGCCCAAATTAGTGCTTAATGGACTTAATCATCGTTGAAGAATAACCTCAGGCCGAATCCGTGATCTGTAGCCATCAAAATCCCTAAGAAATGGCCTTTCGTCGCCCAAAAAATTATGAAAACGTCATCCGAAAATAAATTGGTCCAAATTGGTGCTTATTGGGCTTATTATTCGTGGAGAATAGGATCAATGGACTTCATTATCGGTGGAGAATAGTCTCAGTCTAAATCCGTGATTTGTAGCCTCCACAATAAAAAAAATGTCATTTCGGGAAAATAGTATGAAATCTGAGATGGTACCCGTTTGAAATTTGCCAAAATTTACCCGGAAGAAATTTGCCCAAATCGGTGCTTAGTGGACTTAATCATAGTTGAATAATAGCCTCAGGGTAAATCCGTGATCTGTAGCCTTCAAAATCCAAAAAAATGGTATTTCGTAGCCCAAAAAATTAAGAAAATGTCATCCGAAAATAAATTAGCTCAAATAAGTGCTTAATTCACTTATCATCATGTAGAATATGATCAATATACTTCATTATCAGTGGAGAATAGCCTCGGGCGGAATCCACATTATATGTAGCCTCCAAAATCGAAAGAAAATGCCATTTCGGGAAAATTGCCTGAAATCTGTGATGGTACTCCTTTGAAATATGGCTAAAATTGACCTGGAAGAAATTCACCCAAATTGGTGCTTAAGGGACTTAATGTTCGTTCAAGAATAGCCTCTTACCGAATCGGTGATCTGTAGCCTTCAAAATCCAAAGAAAATGGCCTTTTCGTCGACCAAAAAATTATGAAAATGCCATCTGAAAATAAATCGGCCCAAATCGGTGTTTAATGGATTTATCATTTGTGGAGAATATAATCAATAGACTTCATTATCGGAGGAGAATAGCCTCGGTATGAATCTGTAGTCTTTAGGCTCCATAATCGAAAGAAAATGCCATTTCGGGAAAATCGCTCGAAATTTGTGATGGTACCCCTTTGGAATTTGTCAAAAATTGACCCGGAAGAAATTCGCACAAATCGGTTCTTAATGAACTTAATAATCAATAAAGAATAGCCTCAGGCCGAATCCGTGATCTATAGCTTTCAAAATCAAAAGAAAATAACATTTCGTGGCCAAAAAAATTACGAAAACGCCATCTGAAAATAAATTGGCCCATACTGGTGCTTATGGGCTTATCATCCGTGGAGAATAGGATCAATGGACTTCATTATTGGTGGATAATAGCCTCAGTCTGAATTTATGATTTGTAGCCTCCAGAATAAAAAAAATGTCATTTCGGGAAAATAGCCTGAAATCTGTGATGGTACCCGTTTGGAATCTTTCAAAATTTACCCAAAAGAAATTCGCCCAAATCGCTGCTTAATGGACTTAATCATAGTTGAATAATAACCTCAGACCGAATCCGTGAACTGTAGCCTTCAAAATCCAATGAAAATGGCCTTTTGTCGCCCAAAACATTACGAAAATGCCACCCGAAAATAAATAAGCCCAAATCGGTGCTTAATGCACTTATCATCATGAAAAATATGATCAATAGACTTCTTTATCAGTAAAGAATTTCCTCGGCCTGAATCCATTATATGTAGCCTCCAGAATCGAATGAAAATGCCATTTCGAGAAAATTGCTTGTAATCTGTGATAGTACCACTTTGGAATCTGCCAAAAATTGACCTGGAAGAAATTCGCACAAATAAGTGCTTAAGGGACTTAATCATCGTTCAAGAATAGCCTCAGACTGATTCCGTGATTTGTAGCCTTCAAAATCAATAGAAAATGACCTTTCATCGACCAAAAAATTACAAAAATGTCATCGAAAATAAATTAGCCCAAATTGGTGCTTAATGGACTTATCATCCGTGGAGAATAGGATCAATAGACTTCATTATCGGAGGAGAATAGTCTCGGCCTCAATCAATATCCTTTAGGCTCTAGAATTGAAAGAAAATGCCATTTTGGGAAAATCGCTAGAAATCTGTGATGGTACACCTTTAGAATCTGCCAAAAATTGACTTGGTCGAAATTCGCACAAATCAAAGTTTAATGCACTTAATAATATATAAAGAATAGCCGCAGGCCGAATCCGTGATATGTAGGTTTCAATATCAAAAGAAAATGGTCTTTCATCGCCCAAAAAATTATGAAAATGGTATACGAAAATAAATTAGACAAAATCGCTGCTTAATGGACTTATCATCCGTGGAGAATAGGATCAATTGACTTCATTATAGGTGGAGAATAGCATCGACCTTAATCCGTAATCTGTAGCCTCCAGAATCGAAAGAAAATGTTATTTCGGGAAAATAACCCGAAATCTATGATGGTACCCCTTTGGAATCTGCCAAAAAATTAGCCGGAAGAAATTCGCCCAAATCGGTGCTTATTGGACTTAATCATAGTTGAATAATAGCCTCTGACAGAATCCGTGAACTATAGCTTTCAAAATCCAATGAAAATGGCCTTTCGTCGCCCAAAAAATTACGAAAATGCCATCCGGAAATAAATTAGCCCAAACCGGTGCTTAATGCACTTATCATCGTGGAGAATAGGATCAATAGACTTCATTATCAGTGGAGAATAACCTCGGCCTGCATCCATTATATGCAGCCTCCAGAATCGAACAAAAATGCCATTTCGGGGAATTTGCCCAAAATCTGTGCGGGTACCCCTTTGGAATCTGCCAAAAATTGACCTACAAGAAATTCGCCCAAAATTAGTGAGGGACTTATCATCGTTCAAGAATAGTCTCATGCCGAATCCGTGATTTGTAGCCTTTAAAATCCAAAGAAATGGTCTTTCGTCGACCAAAAATTTACGAAAATAACATCCAAAAATAAATTGGCCAAAATCGGTGCTTAATAGACGTATCATCCATGGAGAATAGGATCAATAGACTTCATTATCGGAGGAGAATAGTCTCAGCCTGAATCAATATTATTTATGCTCCAGAATCGAAAGAAAATGCCATTTCGGGAAAATTTCCTGAAATCTATGATGGTAAACCATTGGAATCTGCCAAAAATTGACTCGGTAGAAATTCACACAAATAGGTGCTTAATGGAATTAATAATCAATAAAGAATAGCATCAAGCAGAATCCGTGATATGTAGCTTTCAAAATAAAAAGAAAATAGCCTTTTGTCTCCCAAAAAATTACGAAAATGCCATACGGAAATATATTAGCCCAAATCGGTGCTTAATGGAATTATCATCCGTGGAGAATAGGATTAATAGACTTCATTATTGGAGGAGAATAGCCTCGGCCTGAATCAGTAATCTTTAGGCTCCAGAATCGAAAGAAAATGTCATTTTCGTGAAAATAGCCCAAAATCTATGATGGTACGCCTTTGGAATCTGCCAAAAATTGACCCGGAAGAAATTCGAACAAATCGGTACCTAATGGAATTAATAATCAATACAGAATAGTCTCAAACCGAATCCGTGATCTGTAGGTTTTAAAATAAAAATAAAATGGCCTTTTGTAGCCAAAAAAATTACGAAAATGTCATCTGAAAATAAATTGGCCCAAATCGGTGCTTAATGAACTTATCATCCGTGGAGAATAGGATCAATAGACTTCATTATAGGTGGAGAATAGCCTGAGCCTGAATTCTTGATATGTAGCAACCATAATCGAAAGAAAATGCAATATCGGAAAAATCGCCCGAAATCTGTGATGGTACCCCTTTGGAGTCTGCCAAAAATGGATCCGGAAGAAATTCGCCCAGATTGGCCCCGGATGGACTTAATCGTCGTTAAA